ATTGTGGTAGGCCCGCTATATCCATGTATATAGCGGGTATCTCTTATAGATATATAGGAGGGCACGGCCCCTTCCTTAGATTAGCTGGTATACCCCTTAAGAGAGGTAGGCAGGGCTTTTCGTAAAAGGGTTAAGGCCGGGTTCCTGGATTACTATTATATTATACTCGGCGCCACACTAAAGCGGGAGCTCCCGCCGCGTCTAACTCCTCCCTATATTCCACGAAAGGACATGGATTTTTATTAATTAAAAGAGGGGAGAGATTAAGATAATATACCCGGTATAACCGGGGTCTGGCTCTAGCTCTAGGGCTCTTACTACGGTACCTCGCTAGCCCCGCGGGGGACTATATAAGCGCTTATTAGGCCCGGTATCAGGGAGCCCTGCTATCCCCTAGTCCTTTTCGGGGGGCGTCCTCTACCCCTATAAAGGGGTTAGTCCTAGTCCTGGGCGATAATAATCGGGGGGAAGATCTACGGTTACTATAGATATACCGTTTCGGTCTAGCGGGTGATATCGAAGTCCCTAGCTCGGTACTTATACGCTTCGCGGGTTTTCTCGGCCTGTTTCCTTAATAGTCGGTATAAATCGTTAAAGGTATCGTGATTTCCGGCGTAGGCGGTATAGCAGTGGGGGCGCTCGGGCGCTATAGTGTTATAGTAGCCTAGGCCTTATAGGTACGCCGATTCGGGTTTAGCATAGAAGCGGTATACCCTCTCTGCTGCGGGGTAGCCGTTAGTCTTATAGCCGAAGTATAGGTATTTATAGTACCTTAGGGGGCTTAGGTTAAGGTCGTATAGTTTATAAATATAGCTGCCCCCTTTAAAAAGGAGGGTGTTCCGGATAAGGCTTACTACCCTTTCCGGTAAAGCCGATTTAATAAGGAGAAGCGCTACCCTGCTAATACCGTGGTGGGGTACTTACTATTATACTTAGAGGATTTTAGCCTCGGGATTTATATCTTATAGAGATACTAGCAGGTTTTCTTCGGATAAAGCGTTAAGGACCTCCTAAGGGATAGCCTTAGTAAGCGTAAGGTAGGTGTATAAGGCTAGGGTGGCTCCTTTACTAAAGGCCTTCTTAACCTATTATTCCTTATAGGTAGTCTACTACTATACCCCTTCGGTAAAGGTAAGGTAGATATCCCCGCTTAGTAGCTTCCGTGTCGCTATAGCGTTATATTAGGTAGTTATAGCGTTTATAGCTTAAATAATTTCCTTCGGGGTCCTAGCTTTAAGGGGCTAGTTTTCGGGGAGGGTTCTTTAGCGGACGATTAGTTCCCGGTAATACTTAGCGGGGATTACTTTAAAGAGGGCGGGGTCCTATAGTGGTGCTATTATAGGAGCCCGGGCTATAATATTTACCTAGGTCTCTTTTATACCGCTTATTCCTTTCCGGAGTTCTTCTCGGGTAATGTAGCGGACGGAAGCATATAGGTATACTAGCGGTATTATACCGGCGTTATTACGGGTACTACGTATTATAATTAGTTCCTTTACTAGCTCTATAACCTGCTTAATCGTGTCCCTATTAGCTAGTAAAGCCTGGATTTCTGCTTTAATCTTAGCTACTCTTGGTTCCGGGAGGCGTGGTGGTCCCCTTTTAGTCTTATATCGGTTCCGTGCTATATCCTGCCTCCGGGGGGGGGAGGGGGGGGAACCGCTTATATTACAAAAAGTGGGTCCGTTACGAATTCTGTATAGTCGAGGTCGGAGCGATACTATCCTATAATTCTTCCGGCTATACCGTAGCGCTAGTATTACGGTGCCGCTATGATAGTATCCCAGGGGGGAGGTAGTAGTTATAACCTTTATCTTAGTAGTTTTATCGATTTTACTTCTGTTACACGCCCGTGGTTAATAGACGTATTAAAAAAGTTCTCTAATATAAAATAAGATGTTGCGAATAGGGTTATAATACCTTGAATATCGTAGCTAAACCTATTATCTACGAGGTAGAATCGCCTATTAGGTATAGAAAACGACCCTATCGTAGATACCACTTAAAGTAACGAAGAGTTATTTATACTACCCTCGGCGCCGGTTAGAATATACGTAAAAAAGAGGTCGAAGTCTATTACCGCGAGGATATTTTATATAAGTTAGCCCTTCCTATTATAGAATCGCTACTAGGACCTTAGTGGAATCCACGCTGCAATATATATCCTATAGATTACTCTAATATAGCCGTTAAACTAACTATTCTGTTACGATAGTTTGATATATCGCGATACGTACATTTACGGTGGACTTTTAACGTATTCGATATAAAGTTAACGTATTGTACTAAGGACCTTGTTAAAGATACGCGATCCCGTATTTAACGATATCTTAAAACGGTGGTATATATTATGTAACGACACGCTATAGCCGATAATATAAAGGAAGATTATAACCTTCTACGATTTCGTATAGTAAGAGGTCTCCTTAATAGTGCTATTCGTTATAATCTACTATATAAGCTAATAAAATTCGTTTCGATTAAGTCTGAATAGGTTACAGAATACTATATTGGAACCGATAAAGTAACCCTTTATAATACTTAACGTTATAGTCGGATTATTCCCGTGGTCGCGATAAGAGATATTTCTACGCCCCTAGAGGCGATAAGTGACTTTAATTCGTCGTAATACTAATTAAAGAACTATTATATCGAGTCCCCCGAGGGTATTATCGTTATCTTAGTTAGTAATACTATTATTAGCCTTACCTAAGACGGCGCGGCTAATAGTAGATCCTATCCTATTAAAAAAGTATAAGATACTGCTTTTTACTTTAATAGGCACTCCTATACAAAAATAAGACCTTTTTAATAAAATCTCCCTTATATAGACCCCTACCTAGCGTGGTACCTCGATAATAGAGGGATAGTAGAGGAATGCATAAAAAATGCAGTTACACTGAGAATATCGTAGAAAAGGGGGTCCTTATACATCGGTGGGTCATTATTTATGCATCCTAAGGGCATTTTTACAGTTTTCAACTAATAGTTGAAATTGTCGAACAGGGCCTTAGCAGGCGAATCAGCGTCAAGTAGAAGAAGGGGCCATCGTCCCCCGGTCACATTGTAAGTACCTTACCGGGAGTCACTATGCGTTAGTTATCCTTGGATTATAGCCTAGTATTGCTCGGTTTATATCGATAAAATATGTGGCTATCCTTAGATACTAGGCTATCCTTGGAAATACCACTATCCTAACTTTAGCCCGGAGGTAGTATAGCTAATAAGACGTAAGTACGGATAAGATATATTACTAGTGCAAAATTTATATAAATATGTATAAATACGATTTAATTAGACTTTATATCTATGCCTGTCTTAGGCGTTCTAGAAAAACTACCTAAGAAGTCCTTATCCTGAAATACGCTTACGAATACTATTTCTATAGAAGAGGTCCTGCTATGTAGAAGAGGCACTACTATATGGAAAAGGCACTACTCTGTGGAAGAGGCACTACTATATAGAAGAAGTTAGCTTTTCGTCACGATATCGTGGAAGAGATCTACTTACCTCTATTGCTTTAGAAGAGGCACTGCTATGTGGAAGAGGCACTGCTATGTGGAAGAGGCACTGCTATGTGGAAGAGGCACTGCTATGTGGAAGAGGCACTGCTATATAGAAGAGGCACTACTATGTAGAAGAAGTCAGCTTTTCGTCACGAAGTGGAAGGACTCTGCCTACCTCTGCTATTATTATAGGAGGGCTGTTATTATAGGAGGGCTGTTATTATATGAGGGCTGTTATTATAGGAGGGCTGTTATTAAAGGAGGGCTGTTATTATAGGAGGGCTGTTATTATAGGAGGGCTTTGTATAGAAAAGGAAGAAGAAGATCCTAATCGTAGAGTCACACGGCAGAATAACCGTACCGCCTACTACGTAACCTGCCTACCTGCCTACCTACTTACCTCCTGCCCTCTTACCCCTGCCTTCTCATAATAGCTTCGTGAAGACGTATAACTTTAATGGACCAATAAAATCACTTTAAAGTAAAATTCCCGTAATTCCTATTGGTTAATAATCAAGGACTACTACGTATCAAAGGATAGAACGGATACTAACGATAAGAGGGCTTTTCCAAGGATAATTAGTGGTTCCAAGGATAACTCTTTTCCTTATTTTCCCACTAAGGTAGGTACCGTACACTACAACGTAGCGTCACCGTCAGCTTTTGCAAAGTATTACGATTTAATACTTTAGGTACGGAGGCACCGTGGGCTTTTTTTCTTCTCTTTACGTCTCCTCTTTTCTTCCCTCCCTATTAATATCACTATCGATATCGACCCTCTGCTATCCGTATTTATTTCCGCTGCCTATCGTCGACTTCCTTTCGAAATAGAACGAGCTTGAACCTCCCCTTTTTAATATTAATACAGACCTGTCCTCCCTCCACTTAGCCGTTTCGATATCAGAATCATCTGATAACATGGCGGGAAACGGCGAGACACCCGCCTAAGGGCTAAGTTCTGTAATCTCGTAGGCGGTAAGAGTTAGCGCGATAATAGACCAGGAGACGGACACTCCGCTTTCCCGTTCCTACACCTTTCCGACCGCCGAACTTAACGTCGACACCAGCGACACGGCCCCCGCCCTATCCCCTTCGTCCAACCGGCAATAAGCGATAAACCGCGTTACCACTACCTCGTCCTCCGATTATAATACCGGCGTATCTTCCCTCTTCCGCCGGCGGGCCGAATCGCGCGTTAACACCTTCAGGCCGCTGGACGACTTCGACGAGGTCACCATGGGACTAGTCAGGACTAGTCCATCCCCAACGAGGAGCCAAAAGGCTGATGGATCGCCAAGGCGTGGCCACAAAACGCCAGTCTGATGCCGTTGGTGACGAAGACGTCAGATACCGCAAGGCACGGTTCACAGAGGCGATAGAGCATCAAAGGCCTCCCTCGCGGTGACCAGAGACGATCTCTGAAGACCCAGAGACGTCAGATATCCATGTGGGCAACTAATCAATTTGGTATTTTATTACCCAACAACAACCACAAGAACGACGATCACGACAACGACCACAGCAATCAGGACCAGCCTCGTCAAGCCAATTAACACGCCAAAGGTGGCCTCGACAGCAAGGCCCTTGGAGATGAGGAGCAGATTGGACTCTTCCCCAATCGACCATGACCCTGTCAATCAACCATGGCCCTATATCCAACCTCCGAAGTCGACGCTCTTCACAGATCTTCCCGAGGCGGAGCAAACGGAGGCTCAAAAAGGTGGTTTATTTGGTTTGTGTGGATTGTGTGTTTATTTGGACTCGAGACAACGGCCGCAACGGCAAGCAATTGGGAAAGTCGGAAGGTATCGGTATTCGTTCTCGGGTGGGATTTGCTACAGAAAACTGAAAAAGAGTACGAGTCAGTCTGTGGTCTTCAAAGTGCCCAACTGACAATACTCACAAAAGGATTTTAACGTTGTTTTCGAGCTCTTTGCGTTTTTACGCGTTTTTCGAGCTTTTGTATTTGAGTTGTTTTGGAGCTTTGCCTACGGGGGAGTGTTGCGGCGGTGGTCCGTGCCCATAGCCAACCAATCAGGTTGCCGCATTTAGGTTTGGTACTGCATAAGGTAAGGTACAGTTGTACCTTGCTTAGTGTGGTCGATTCAACATGGTCCGTGTACCATACGAAGGACGCACGATACTCCGTACTATATCCGAAGTGCCGGTCTTGGGGGCGGCTGCCGTCGATTCGTTCTTGACGATTATCCATCCGGGTGCAGCCTCCCCTTTTTATTTTATTCTTTTTCTTTTTATTCCTCGGGAAGAGAAGAAAAAGGGAAAAAGACGAACCCTCACATACAACACCACAGACAGTGGCATTCATTCAGGTTTGATCTCTCGGCTGCCCTAAAGTCATCGTTGCTATCCTCATAGGCACACCCTCGATTCATTCCCACCCCAACGAAAGAGCCAGGGTCCAAGTAACAGCGCCCATACGATGGCCCCTCCCGCGGAAGCAATCCGGGATCAACCGGATCAACAGGATCAACCTCCCGCAACCACGGCACCTTCGTCATCACCTTCTTCCGTCGTCCCACCAGATTCGGACGACGAAATATCCGCCCACATCCTCGCCTACCACGACACCCGCTGCATGGCCTCCCCCCTCTACGCCTTCCTCCTCTCTCACGAGACGCACGGCCTGCAGCTCACCCACGCGTCCAAGGGGCTCGTGCGCTTCCGCCTCCGGCTGGCGGCCTGCCACCTCAACGCCGCGGGGAGCCTGCACGGGTCCGTGGCGGCGACGGTGGTCGACTGGGCGGGTGGCCTGGCCGTGGCGGCGTGGGACCTGCGCGCGCAGACGGGCGTCAGCGTCGACATTCACGTTTCGTACCTCTCGGGGGCTCGGCTGGGGCAGGTGGTTGAGGTGGAAGGGCGTGTGGACCGCGTCGGGGGCAGTTTGGCGTTTACGACCGTGGAGATTTGGAAGGTGGACGGGTTGGAGGAGGAGGAGAAGGGCGTGGAAGGGGGGGAAAGGGATGGTTGTGTTGTGTTGGGGAGGCATACGAAGTATGTGAGGAGTCGGTCCTAAAGTTCTTCGGTTCGTTCGTTTTGCCTTCATCTTGGTGTCTTTGGTTCCCGGCGGACGAAGTGGTGGGCTACCATCTGACAGGTGAAGGGAAGAGTCATGGGTATAAGATACGAGATATGAGACATGGAAAGTAGACATAGATCCATCAGTATATAGACAGATACGTGGCATGCTTGGACGGGCTGACTGGGTGGTTTGTGTGTATCCCTACATGAAATGAGTAGCAGGATTGGGGGTCGCTGAATACAGGGTCAGGGAGATAAGGTGGTTTCTTTCGAAGGACGGTATATGCAAGAGACCGTATATACAAAACAAGGTCTGCAGGTCTAGGTGGCCATCTACTGGATTGCCTTGACGGCACCCCCGGCAGCCCCCGACTCCAACAACCCTTCTAAAATCTGCAGATCCTTCAGCGCCTCGAGGGGAGTCTGCCGCGCGTCAACCCCACCCCGCGCAATACTGGCCGCGAAAGCCTCCGTCTCAGCCTTGACGCCCGAGTCGCGCCCAAACTGCGTCTTCTCGACGACCTGCGCACCGCCATCGCCACCGCCCCTGCGCACGACCGTCACCTCGGACGACGTCATGGTCACGCTGCCCTCGGTGGTGACGACCTGACACTGGAGGCCGGCCTTGAACTCGATGCCGAACGAGATGCTCGCCGTCCCCGAAACGCCGCCGCGGGTCGTCAGCACGCCGTAGACCGTGTCGACGGGCGGGAGTCGGGGCTGGAGAAGCGCCGACCGGGCCGTGAGCTGGGTGACCTCTTCTCCTTCGGCGGCGGCGAGCATGGAGCGTAGCGCTGCTATAAAGTGCACGCCTCCGTCGAGGAGGAAGCCGCCTTGATATTCGGGGGTTTTGCGCCCTTTGTAAGGTTAGAAGAAAATAAAAGGAGGAAACAAAATGAATAGGAGAAGGGGGAGGGGGAGGGTAATGGGGAGAAAGGACGTACAAGCCGTGTTATAATACTGACTATCATCCTTCACAAGCGTAAACATGTCCAGATTAAACGTCACCAACTTGCCGCCCACCTCACGAATCTTGTCAACAGCATGAACGATGGCAGGCCAGAAGCGGAAATTCTCAGCAACAGCCCACACCGGCTTCGTCAGCGTCGTCGAAGTCATGGTATTATACCAATCCATCAGCTCCCTAGCGGTAGCCACGTCCTTCGCGACAGGCTTCTCGCTCAGCACATGCTTCCCGGCCTCCAACGCCTTGCGGATGACGGCCGGCTGCGTCAAGATGGGAAGGCAGACGACCACGGCGGCAATGTCGTCTCTCTTGAGCAACGCGTCCAGGGATCTATCCTCGCCTTGGCCCCCTGCTGATGCTGATGCTGATGCTGCTGGTACGTCGTAGTAAATGTCTACCGCACTGGAGGCCGATAAGGCGAGCAATGACGCCGATTTCTCGGAGCGGGAGTAAATTGCCTTGAGGGTCAGGGAAGGGATTGCTTGGATGGCGGGGAGGTGTTCTGAAATGGGTGTGCGTTTGTGAGGTTAGCTTCTGGCGTGTTCTCTGGCGCGTCATGTGTTGACATCATTTTGTCTGGGGATTCTAAAGTTTGATACCATAGACGTGGGGCATTGGTGACAGTGTTGAGTGATTCGTTGAGGGGAAAAGGGGGGCTGTCTCACCTTCGCGGGCGAAGATACCTGCGCCTAGAAGTGCAATGCCTGTCATAGTAACGGAGGGTTTATCTGGATTGTCTTTTGGTCTTTACCAGTGTGTGCACTTGATGAATTCGTACCGAGCAAGGTAGTAGACTGAGTACCTTGGGTAGGTAGTCGTGTTAGTGTTCGAGTGAGATACTGGCAAAAATATATATACGTGAAAATACCTGGAAATGCTCGAGTCTACCTACTGTTATCCATGACCCCGCACCCCGCATCTTTAAAACAACAACTCGGGAAACCGCTCGAAGTAATTACACAGTAACCATCCACTCTGCGTCATATCATACTCATCTCATATCCCGTCTCATCACCCGTGATGTCCACAAGAATCCTCTCGAATAATTCACCCCGGAACTAGGACCCCCACCGCCTCCTACCCCTGATCGGTACGTCATCAGGTGTTTGGAACGTGGAGACTTTGGAATGAACTAACTAACAGATGGGTCCTGTTGGGAATGAGTTTTACCTCTTTCTCATAAGAAAGCGATCTAACCCCTTCCTAAAGCCTCACCAGGATGGCATCCCCTAGCGACGTCAAGGAAGAAGGCATCTATTTGAGCATCAAATCTTAAAATTCCATTTGCCTTTTTGCTTTGAATAATAAATAACCTTGGACGTCCTGTCTTCCGGTGGTAGAATATAACTATTGCCAAACCCGCCATCTCCGCTCGCCGCATATCGTACTTCTCGGTGCGCCAGACTTAGGCATCAGGGCCGACGTGAATAATAGTGAATGTCGCTTCCTCGCCGCAAGGGCCCAGCACCAGTCTCCCGTCCCCAGGAACGATACACCGGTCTTCGCCCCCGTTGGCAGGCTTCCACACAAATTCGTCGCTGTCCAGATCAATCCTGACCAGTTGCCCGGCGTCCGTCTCCCCTTCTCCTCCGGCCCGCCCGCCGCACGAAAAGAGCGTGACGTTGTCGTCCGCCGCGCGCCTTCCGTCCGTACTCACGCACCCATTCGTCAACACGCTCGTCACCAGGGCCCCGCCCTTCACCGACCCGTTGTTGTTCCGCCCCGCCGTGATCAGGTCGAACTTCTCGTTCACGCGGCCTCCGCACCGCACCAGCTCCAGCGGGATCACATTCTGTCGGAAGTCCCCTGCCGTTGGGTCCACCGAAACGCACTGGCCCGTGGATGCCCGGATCGAGACGTATTGCACCGGCCGAGTCGCCGTCCTGTCGAATCGGTGGGCCTCGGCCGCTGCTGTAGGATTCAGGAAGCCTCCCGCCCGCGACACGGGAATGCGCTCCGTCGGGCTGGCTGGGGCATTGTCGTCGTCCACGTCATCTCCCGAGTCGATATTCTCGCCCTCTTCCGGGCCAACGGATGAGAAGACGGGGGCCGACGCGCTATCCGTCGGATCAGCAGGCGCTTCCGTAACGGTGGGAGGCTCTGAAGCTTCAGGGACAGCTGGTTCAGGGGTAGGCTGAGGGGTAGACTGAGGGGTAGGGGTAGGCGCAGGCGCAGGCGTTGGAATTCCGCCACCGCCACCGCCACCGCCGCCGCGGCCCCTACCGCCCCTGCCGCGACCTCTACCACCTCCTCTGCCACGGCCTCGTCCTCGTCCTCGTCCACCTCCACCAAAGGCCCTCAAGCCTCCATCCCGGTTGCAGTTCTTGACCTTAGTACCGCCCCCAGACGTGTGAACAGCCTCTGACGCTTCTGATGCAAAAGTAAACGTCTGCGACGCCTCCCCTCCCGCGCAGTCAGAAATCGTCAGCGCATCGCCCTCCACCGCAAGGCACTGGCCTTCACCGTTCTGGGGCCGGAAGGCCAGGGGCTCGTTGCCGCCCTCATAAGCGAATAGCTGCGAGTCCGTCACCCCACCGCCGCCCCCCGCCCGTCCACCGCACGAGAAAAGGTTGACTCGACCACCCCGGCCGTCGAAGTTCAAGCAAGCTTGTGTCTACCACATTTCAGTCAGCACACCATGACCTGGAAACCCCATCAGAAAGGAAGTGGTATATTGAATGCATACGAGCGTGTTCACGACCAGCGTCGCCCCCGGCCGATCATTGTGGATGCCTTCGGTGATGACATCCCAGCCCTGGCCGTCAGTGCTTCCGCATTCTGCAACCTGGACCGGCGTCAGGTTGGCTCGAAAGTCCCCTGATAGGGGGTCGACAAAGAGACACCGCCCATCTGATGTCTGAATTTGGATATCCGAGAAGGCCCGGGTCGCCGTTTCATCCCTTTGGTGAGCTTGAGCAGTGGCTTCTTCGTTGATCTCTTGTACGGCGCGGACAGGGAATGTCTGGCTTGCGGAGGCAGGAGTGAGCCAGGCAACTAAAGCCAGGGCCAGGGTTCGTTTGGTGAACATGATGAAGATGATGAGAATGGAAATTCTTGTTCGGAGCACCAGAAGGGAAAAGTCAAGGACAATAGAGAATGAAGATGACAGAGAATAAAGAATAAAAGACAAGAAACGAAAGGAGGTCGTCCGGCGAAAATAGTTGTAAGTATAAAGACAGGACCCTGCTCAGCAGTGTACCGAGAAGAGAAAGGCAAGCCAGAAAAGGAAGAAAAAGATTGTTGAAAAAAAGAAAGAAAAGAAAAGGAGCGGAAAAGAATGATGCTATTCGCACCCAAGATTGTCGCAACCAACAGCCTGTGGTTGAAGAAAATTCTCCGACATCACGATGGGCTGGCCATGGTATATACTACCCGAGGGATGCTCGCACCATGGGTATTTGGACACCACATGGTGGTTGGCTCCTCCCCCCTGAGCCAATTTCGTTTCCCCGAGCCTTTGTTTGAGGATTGGAGCACCCGTTTCACCCAGACCACCATCTCGAAAGTACCATAATAAAGCGGCATAGACGCCGTTTTCCGACCATGAAAGCGCCGTTCGGGTTGAGCCAAGGCTCTTCATGAGAAGCGAAAGACGGGATTGGAACAAGGGTGGCGGGTAGGAAGAGCCAGAGATGGGATGGCGGATCCCTGATTGCTTTGTGTCCAACTGTCCATCTCCCGTCAGATCATCCAAGTAAGGTAGGTACGACGTAGTGATGCGGGGATAGACGCCAGCACCGTTTTACGTGTACCAGACGACGTTTGTTCTGTTCTGTCTGTGCATGGTGCATGGCGGTGATCTTCTTCCAGATCCCTAGAAGAAAACATCTACCGGGCACATCATTGGCTGGCTCGCGGTTGCACCCAGGGCTTGTGAAACTGTTGTCAATGCGTCCAAGCTGGACAAAAGAACTGGTGGACAAAACATGAGACGCGAAAGCCCCGGCGCGGGTACAAATTGGGTCAAGTTTTTCGAAACCCTGTTCACCCGCCCAATAAAAAGATGAAAAATAAAATAAAAACTTCCACCTGCCCGTCCCAGCCGCCGCTGTGTGTGCAATGGACGTCCATGAGCGCCTCTGAATGAACAACCCCCCCCCCAACCCCCCCCCGATTTAGAGGAACAGGGTCTTCCACTGTGTCCGTAGTCAGTACACTGACACGATGGTGATACGCGCCCAGAGAAATCCTAGGAAAACATATTTCATCTGCTGGGTGCAGTGTTGGCTTGGCCGGCAAATCTGCGCCGACGCTTGACCAGAAGCCCGAACTGCAAGCACAGTTCAATTCGTGCTCCTGCGGGTATCAGTAGTATTCATCCCTGTGCTTTCCCACTATGCCCTTGGATAATCGATTACCTGCGCAATTTCAATCAAATGCGCAAACGACTGTTCGCCCAACTATTCACTCATGGACATTATCTGGAGCCTCAACGCGGCTGAGTGGCGGAATTGCAGCGAGTGTCAATGATGGTTTTCGAGGGTCGGCTGTGTGGCTACACATGCAGTGCATCGTCTCTTTCACCGATCAAACAGCGCAGTGCAAGGTGAGCGATGAGCAAGGCGTCGCCCCCTGCCTTGAAAATAAAATAGAATAAAAGTCCTCACGCTCCCAAGCAGCGGTCTGCAGACTCGGCATCACGCGTTCCCTTTCGTCCCTTTCCAAACAGTGATGCCAATGCTGACCTAGCCGTCCGTGGTCGAAGCGGCGAGACGTCGACACTGGGCGAAGGTGAGCACCCGAGTCGAGCATAACCGATGCAGCGAGAGTGAGTTTCTGAGGGCCATGCCTAGCCCACAGTCGGCATGCCTTCGTGGTATGGAGACATCGCGAGTCAAAAGAAAATCGAATGCAGCCGCCGGCCTCGGGGAGGTTGGAGCGTGCGAAGCGCTTGGAGCTCGGGGAGCCAACCCACCCAACCGCATTAGGTAGAGGGGACACGAGGTGAGATGGTGGGAGGGGACAATGCTAGACAAACGACAGGCCGGTGAAAACTGTCAGCCGGGCTGATAACGAAGCCAACCCCACTGGGGTGTTCAGAAGAAACGAAACACCACAATATTGACCTAAACCCCAAAGGAGAAAAGCCTATGGTAAGACAATGAAGGTCAAGGATTAGAAGGGGAAACGGAGAATGAACCGAGAAAAAGGAAGCATTCGCAGGAGGATTCGTTCCGCCGTGCATACCTGGTCACTCCATCACTGTAGGTGGAATGCGCAGAGCCTTCACGATAGCTTCATCCGGGTCATTGTTCCGGGTCAGGATCAGGGTCGTCTTCCAGCGCAGCGCACACGGGGGATGCGTGACAAGACATCTACCAGCCAGATCTAGCATGTACGTACGTCAAGCCGGTGAACCCTGATTGCGATGTGGTGATGGCGAAGATGAACATGATGGCGGCCTAGACCGAGTCAAGTCCGTTGTCGGGAGAGGCCCGAGAGATGGGGAGCATGTTCACGGGCATGGCGCTCACAACCACGAGGGGAGGGACATGTATGGTTGGCGATGGAGCCACGAAATTCTTCTGATTTGGCTCGTGACTTCCAGAGCAGCGGCCGTCACACCGCCTTGTTCTGGCTAGGACCGGACCCCTCCGCAACGAAGAAACTGGAGAAAGAAAGAGGGAAAACATCCAGGGTAGAAAACTGCGTCGGTGGGGGTGGACACGGCAAAGGCGAGATGAGGTTAAATTGAGAAGTGGCGAGAGACCGAGACATGAATATCATCGGCGGCGGTCGACGATGCGTCAACATGTGGGCCGTCATCTTGATGGTGATGTATGAGGACGGATCCAATGTCATATCATGATAGGTGAAAGAGGCACGGGGCGGGGAAAAGATGAGATGGTGGGAGAGAATAATAAGGATGCAAAAAGAGGAAGCAAGAGATAAGGAGAGGAAGGTTTGGGGAGATCACCGGAAAGGGGGTACGTGCGGCCTTCGCTACCTACCTACCTTATGGGCATGGCATGTTAGGTAATTTTCGAGTACACCGTATCACCCATTACCCCAACCACCTTTAAGGTGAGGCGAGGTGAAGCTTGAACTTTACCTGACTTTATACGGTGCTACGCCGTTACAGTAACCACCAATTCCCACGAACGGCGCTAGAGACCGGTAACGGTATTCGGTTTCTCTGCTTGGAAAACACCTTGAGCAAACATCGCCAGGCACCTGCAACCTAATAAGGTGCACCTTCTCGCCGAACTTGCCAGTTTATCGGTCAAACCCATCTTTACTGGATCCAACTGCCAATACCTTAGTTATGGACATGCAACACCTACCTGATTAGGTACCTACTTTGTATAACTCCTGCACCCCAAGAGAGAAGTAAGGTTTGGTTAGTGCCTTTTTCAAGGTCCTCAGGTACGTACCAGCCCCTGTATCTTGAAATGTCAGTGAATGGCAGTGGCTTTAGTAAAGCTTGTCTTCGACTGAGGTGCTCCTTCTTCGAATATCATACTCCTACCTCTCTACGCGTCATCTTTCGTCAATTCCCTCTCATCGTTCTTTCTCATCACGAAGTTACCTATTACGAAAGTAGAATATGTGCACTGACCACTTCGTGGCACCGCCATCCACTTAATTATGCTCCTCACATGTCCGACCTCGCACCTGGGTCTTCCTCCCCGGCATAACACACGACATCGTATCGTCTTGTTGCAAAAGCAGACCCTCCCACCCTCGGCTCCCGTCAGAGTCTGGGCCCTTCTATTTATTTTCCGAGGCTTCCATTGATTCCCCTGTTCTGTGCAGCCTGCGTCAGCCCCGGCTTTTCACACCTGCGTTGATCGTGGTGTCCTTCTTTCTCTTACCCAACGCTTGAGTCTAGTCCGCATTAGAATCCCCGATTATCACCGCGCCAGCTTTCCTGAAGCCTCCCACCATCTCTTCTCTCCCGCATATCGCTTCCCTATGCCGGACGGCCAAGCGAGCTTGGCCCCGGGTCCGGGGTTCCCTTGAGCCCACTCGAGTCGTAAACCACATCCGCTGTCCGACTCGTCCAGATCTGCTCGTCTTGATGCGTTGTTCATCACATGGCCTCATACTACCTCTGTCCGTGTCTCGTTATTGTTCTTCTTCTATTTACAGGTCCTGCGTAACTACACACTATGTGCTAGGTCCAGGCTTCGGTCCTGTCTCTCCAGGCTCACACACAGGTCCTGCGTCGTTCTTTTGGGCTGGTCTGTTCGACGACCTACCGATGAATCAATCCACGCCCTTGCTAGACTTCGTCCAACCCCTTCCTGGTCCGTATAACTACAGTTCTGTCACTGACCTCGTGACTCCTCCGCCTCCCCAGGCGGCACGGCGGCTTCCATCCCCCGGCCTTCGTTGCTCGGGCTTTCTGCCATCCTTCGTCTACCCGTCGTCTGCCCCCCTGCCGCTGTTCATATTCGGTGGACATTCAGAGACTCGCGATGCAGCGGTGTGCGCGGTGTTCCTCTTGTCTACCAGACCAGTACCAGTTTTTGGTGCTTCATCCGTCTCCCGGCTCACCGCACGGCCGCTGTCCGTACCATCTCGACTAGTCTGATGAGATGGTGGGAGGAGCCCGGGGGGCGTGATGGTGGGAGGAGGAATGGGAGTGAGGGGAGATGATCTGTCTATCCACATTCTCTGGTCTGTCAGCATCTTTCCGATTACGGTGACCCAGCGAGATGAGTTCGCCGACAGAGACCCGCGTTGCTGCCAGGAGAAGACGAGGAAGAGATGGCCGATATGACCCACGATGCCCTCATAACCACACACCATGACGAGTTTATTATAAAACCAAACGGTCCTGCGACCCTATCCACCAATATTGTGACCAAACTCTGGGGTATCAGTTGAAGATCATCCCTTACCATAACCTTGATATATCAACTTCTCCGGTCCCTTTCATCAGTTCCCTATCTCCCAGCTGCTTCTCTTCCCCATATTGTCGTTCTTTCCCGCTGCGTTTCTCTCATCGTCTTTGGCCTGAAGCGTCAGCAAGGCTCTACACTACCATGTCGGGCTCGGAACCAACTTTGAAGGAGTCGCCCGACTCTTGGCCAGCTGAGAGTCGCCACGTCGTCCGGGTTGTCGACAGATCAGTTGACGAGATGGATGAAGCTGACAGACGTCTCGCGGAGCTGGGCTGCAGACCTGTACGTGCTCTCCCCCCTTATGCGTGGGGATCTCATGTCTCACACCGTGAACCTGTCGAAGGACATAGGGGAGAAGTCTGATCATCCCCGCCTAGGTCTTTAAGCGAGAGTTCAACTACTGGTCCTGCTTCAGCTTCGCCCTGAGCATTTCCGGCCTCTATGCTACTGTCATGGTCACCTTCAGCTATCCCCTATTAGCGGGCGGCGCTGCCTCGGTCGTCTGGTGCTGGCTCATAGGGGGGATCGGCACCCTGACACTGGCCCTGTCGATTGCCGAGATCTCGTCGGCATATCCAACGTCTGGTATGCTGCGTCCGGCCTCTTATTCACTACTAGACTCCACGTCGCGGATCACTTCTACGTCATGCAGGCAGGGTACTGACTCCGGCCCATTCTAGGTGGCATGTATTTCACCATAAAGTACCTTTGCCCTCCGGACTATGTTCCGGTCGTGGCTTGGATTTCTGGTACGTTGCGATTCCGTGCGAGGCTGCCTGGCAATCAAAAAAAAGAAGAAGAAGAGCAAATCTCAGTCACTGCCCCTGTTCAGGGAATGCAGGGCCGCATTCCAACCCGATTCTTCATCTGGGTCGCAACGGCCCGATTCCGTTCAAGTGGAGGCGTTCCTCTGACGGCATTTGTTTGATTGATAGGATGGCTCAACCTCATCGGCACTGTCACTGGAACAGCATCGGCGGAGTACGGATCAGCTCAGATGCTCCTCTCCTCCATCTCCATTGCCACTGGATTCCAGTACCGGCCCACCCAGGTTCAAACCATCGGCGTAATGGCGGTATTGTGTGTTGCCCATGGACTGGCCAACAGCATGTCCACGCGGTGGCTGAATAAGATTTCCGGCACGTACGCCATTGTGCACATATCCATTCTACTGGGGGCTGCGCTGGCACTGCTGGCCGTGGACCGGAACAAGCACACTCCAGAATATGTCTTCACCCACCTTGAGCCGCAGTCTGGCTGGTCACCCCCTGGATTCAGTTTCTGGTTTGGGTGCTTGAGTGTTTCCTGGATCATTGCAAACTGCGATGGAGTCGGACAGTGAGTTCCCTTGCCCCTTCTCCATGGACAGAGAGACGTCATCATACTGACAAGAACTCGCAGCATTGCTGAGGAGACCAAAAACCCGTCCAAAGTCGTCCCATTCGCCATTACATCGTCTGCTGTCTTCACATATGTTGTGGGTTTCTTGTACAACATTGTCCTGGTTTTCTGCATGGGCGACCCCCGCGAGCTTTTGGACTCACCAACCGGCATGCCCGTAAGTGCCGAGCCCGCTGGCTTCCTCCTTGCTTGCCCCTCCTCCCGAGTATCATCCCTTTGATCAACCCTCTTCTGTGCTGGATTGTACATTCTGACTTTGCCCGGCTGACCCTGTCAAAGGTCACGCAAATCTTTTACAACGTCATGGGTCCGGCTCCGGCAGTTCTGCTCTCCATGGCAGGTTTCATAGTCATGAACATTGTATGCATCCCCTCCATGCATGCGGGCTCTCGCACCGTCTGGGCTTTTGCCCGCGATGAGTTACTTCCGCTTTCCCGTGTCTGGTTCCGCATGAACTCCCGCACGGGCACTCCAGTCCCGGCAGTTTGGTTGTATGTTGCCCTCTGCATCACTGTCAACCTCATCGGTCTTGGATCCGACATTCTCATGGCGGCCATCTTCAACGTCTGTGTGGTTGCTCTCAACTGGAGCTACTGCATCCCCATCCTGTGTAAGCTGATCTACCCTACACGTTTCGAGAAGGGATCTTGGAGTCTAGGCCCGTTCGGCGTTGTTATCAACATATACTCGATCATTTGGAACGCTTTTTTGTCGGTTATCTTCATGCTGCCTACCGTCCGCCCCGTCACCACGGACAACATGAACTACGCCTCGGTTGTATTGGTCGTCACCCTTCTTTTCTCCGTCCTGTATTGGTACCTACAAGGAAAGCAGTATTACACCGGTCCCCGTACGTACGCCAGGGTGTCGGATGGGGATGTCCTGGGCGTCGACGAAGTGGTCCCTAGCCATGACCTGGAGAAAGCCGGGCACGAGGACCTGCCGGCGAAGCAGGGCGTTCAGATCGACGTGGAGGAAGTCGAGGCCAATAATTCAGAAACGAGCTCGACGGTGGCCATCGTCGACATGAAAGCACACTCCTATCTGCGCGGCCCAGAAGAGGTCAAGGAGTCGAACGATTCGCAGGAAAGCCTGCCTACCGGCCCGACGGCCACACCTCACCGATAGAACGGCGAGGCATATATCAAAGTAACGTCTTTGTTGAGTCTGGGCATTGGGAAACGCGAGTGACTAGAGGTGAAGGGCCTCGGGTCTCAGCTAGCACCATGGCATTATTCATACAGCATGGCATAGAAAACGACGCCATGGACATGGCACATCTTTCACAATATTATGACTTTGCTTCTTCCTCATTTCTTTCTACGGTTCTCTCCTTGTTTCCTTCTCTTCTCGGTTCCTGTTCAGCAACTTATTTTATTGCAGTTTGTTTTTCGGGTTGGGATATTGGGCTTCGGCAACTTCACTTTCGACTATCAGGGGGGGGGGAGTGTATGGGTGAAGAAGGGCAATAAAAGGAAAATATTGCTTCGACGCAACCGCACCACGGAATGGCATATCACTCTGTCCTGTCTGATAGATGGTCGACCAAGTCGACCGAAGTAACCCTAATAGGCCATTGCTACACTGGCATATTTGCAAAACTTCGTCATGTTGAAAGTCTTTTGTTGCAGTCATTCATCATTCATTCATGAGGTCCTATCTCATTTCATCGTCACACAGAAGTGGGACGTCCACGAGGAAACGGACAGAAAGAACAGCAAGAGAACGAGAGAACGAACATCTCACACCCTCTTCACTCCTCCTCGCCGTGCTCATATAGGCCTAGAAAGCCAGCGCTCACCAAACTCTCAGGACCGGGGCGATCGGACGCACCAGTCCAGTACATCAAGCCGCCCAGACCGCGGTCCCTGACATAGCGGGCCTTCTGCCGCACGCTGGCCGGGCTGTCGAAGCTGACGAACCCCTTCTCGGGGTCACTACACCAAGCGGCAGCGGCGTGGTGGTCGACCTGCGCGTTGGAGACCCACTCGTCGGGGAAATCGCAGTAGTCCATCTCGCCTGCGCCTTCGAAGGGGTGGCCCGGCCCGGCGGCGCCGGGGAAATAGCGCGCATAGGCGGGGATGCCGAGCAGGATCTTGTTCGGGGGAAAGCCGTTGGACAGGCAGTAGTCTACGCCCGAGTTGCAGTCCGCTCGGCAGGTGGCGGGGTAGTCGGATCCGTCGTCGCCGCCGGGGGGGAACAATTGGGCTTGGTGGCCGGCCACGTCGGTCCAGGGGCCGGTCAGGTCGTAGGCCATCAGGTTGAGGTAGTCCAGATAGGCTGCGGCTTGGGCGAGGTTGATGTTGCGGAGGACCCAGGCGCCGGGGGGGAGGGCGGTGGTGATGAGGTATTGCGGGCCTGGGAGTTGGGTGCGCAGGGTGTAGAGGAGGTGAAGGAAGTCGTGGCCTTCGGTTGGGTCTTTTGGATGTTCCCAGTCGACTGTTTTTCCACCCCCCCCGGCCCCCACCGGTCTCGCGTTAGCCGAGGATTAACGTCGAGGAGGAGAGAAGGGATGGAGGGTTGCTAGGCTCGTTGCTCCCCGAAAAGAGGAAAGGATATGGAGGGGAGGGGGCCTTAACTGTCTATGCCATCCATTTCATGTTCATCGACGAAAGCACGGCAGGCGCGGGCGAAGGTCTCGCGGGCTTCCGGGTCGGCGGCCAGGGCGGGAAATTCGGCGCTGGCACTTGCACCCCCGACGGAGAGGAGGGTGCGAAGATGAGGATGGGTATGCTTGAGCTTGGCGAGGGCAGCGAGACAGCCTTCTTCGCCGTCGACTTCGATGGAGTTGTCGGCCCAGTCATCTAGGGGCTAGAGAGTGAAGAGAAAGGTTTGGTAGTCAGACATTTATGTCGCGACGGCACTTTGACGAATTTCCTCGAGGCTGATGATGCAGCAGGAATGCATACCCTGAGAGTGCCGTCTTCATTCACACTGGTCGATGTTAGACAAGGAAAGCATGGAATGGGGGTTGACGGGGAGGGGAGAGAAATGAAGAGGGGCGACGCGACACTCACCCGACGAAAGCATAGAGAACGTGGCTCGCTTGGCTAAGGTTGAGATCAGAGGGGGCGAAGCCTTTGTAGACACGCCATTGCGGGTAGTACACTGCGTTGGCAAAGCCCGACATGGCAGAAGTCGAAAGGCTCGAGAAAACGCGGGTTAAGAATGATTACGAGTTTGAGTATGGAGGAGTGGGAAATGGATGGACATTGTGACCGCAGTCGCTTGCAGAGCTTTATTACGACACAGCCTCTCGACTTCACTTCAGGGCAACGGGTAGGGCTACTGGTGGCAAGAAGGGGCAGTGGATGGGCGGACGCGGAGAACAAGGACCCCCTCTCTGAACGACAGCTCACTGGCTCTAGATGAGGAGAGAGTGTCTCGGCAGCCACGCAAGCAGCTCATGCCGGGCTAGATCTATTGGATGCAGAAAGGGCTAAAAAAATATCCCTCTAAAGCCGAGTTTCATTGCGTTTGATAGCGGCAGAGTTCTTGCATCTCATATAGTCAGGCTCAATGTGTCTGTTTGCCATGAGAACTTGGAATGCCGGGTGAAAGATCTTCGGCCGATACACGCTCCGTGCGGGATGGAATGGGGGCGAAAGTGACGCCAAATGGGGATATGCATCCAAATGTCTGTCGGCTCGTCGGGTATTTGTGTTCTGTATAATAGAGACGGAGACGCTATTCAGTTCCAGCTTCTAGCTTCAACAGAAGAAGATGGACGGTGAGGTACTACAAGACGAGGAGCGAGGAGGCTTTTACAAAGTCGTTTTGAAGAAACAGAAGCGAATCCATAATTCATATCATTTGTATTAGTACCTACTGCTTTTCTTCGACGAAGTTCCAGCATAATTACATCTGAGTAATCCCGGTCAGGTCAGGACAGAGGCTGCAAATTACCGTTAGTAGCGAAAAGTACCGACGCGTTCTGCAAGATATGATTACGTAAAGTGCTTCGGTCATTATGTCAGGCCCCTGTATATGCCCCACGGGTTAGTCACGCGCCGCTCATTAATAACCTTGCTCCTTTTCTTCGTCCCGCAAAAACAATGCGGCATGTCAGACACGACTCGACATAACGGATACGACAAGGCTTGCACCGAACGTGTCCCACGCACGCCGAGTACCGAATACGCGCGATCGGAGATGGATCCAAGGGTCAGCAATAAGCATATTCCCGGCATGGCGGGGATACGAGGATAATAATCTCGCTGCGCAGCTGTAGTCCAACATGGCTCGTCGTTGTCGGTAAGCCATAAGCCATAAGATGCAGCGTTCCGTCTCAACGTTCACTCACGCAGGGCGAGGGAGGTAAGGGATCAAACGCAGCCTGGCCAGATAAGGAGCTTGGACCGCAGCATCGCGAGAGAGAGAGAGAGAGAGAGAGAGAGAGAGAGAGAGAGAGAGAGAGAGAGAGAGAAAATTGTCGCATCTGAAAGGCGACATTCACAGGCAAACTTGTTTGGCCCAGCTGCACGAAGTAGCTCGAGCCAACGCCGCAGTTCCTGTTCCAGATCCCATCTCTCAGCTCCCAGCTCCCACACCTTCTCCCACCGGAGATGACATTAGCTCGCAAAAACTCACCGAATCGATGCATTGGGCTTGGGAGGACCAACACCACCAGCACGCTCCGCCGGCCATGCCCGTTCGTCGTACACATCACCTTATTGCTTACCCTCCCTTGCTGTCCCTCCGGCCGGGCCTTTTCCCCCATTCCTGCGTCGCCCGATGTGTACTCCGGTTCCCAACGAGACGAGCCGCATGTTCTCTCAATGGAATCGTCGCCGTCATCGTAGCCTCCGTCCCCCGTTTTGCCTGGCCACGCTACGCCAAGCTGATTCGAACTATTCCGACCGCCCGGGTCCTTTCCCCCCACCGGCTGTTGATGTTCCCTTTGACCTTTTCCCAGGGGTGAAGCCCCCAACCTATTGTTGCCCAGGCAAACATGTGCTTAAGATCGCTGATCGAGTCCCCATTAGGTGCTGTATGGGCATTTTGCATTTATTTGCCTCGTATCCCTACCGTTCGCCAAGGTCATCTCCTCGGGCGCAGTTGCTGGAGGCGCTTTTCTTGTAACCATACACCATCATTATTCGCTTCCGATCCAATACATGGACCGGCAGTGTCAGTGTCACGTCGTCTACTGCTTTCCCAGGGACTCGGCTAGCCAGCCCGTGCATCTGCTCGTGATGGGATCCCCACGCGGGGAGTCAAATTCCCGGTATTATTAGTACGAGACGAGCCCCTTAGTTGGTGTTTCCAAGACGACTCTCTCCTCTCGACTGCCTTGGTGATATCTGCTCTCGCCATATATCACACATTTGCATCAGCCCTTCTTGCTTTTAGCTTTGCTTATCCGTCACATTTTAGTCTGGCCGCCCTCGTTCAGCCCGGTGTGCGTGTGCTGTGCCATCTTCAGCTCAACTAGCTGCCATTCGTTTATTACTCCCCGTGCAACTTGAAACCTAACCCGCTTCACGTCATGCGTCCCTCTAGTTTCTCGCGCCTGGCAGCAGCTACTGCCGTGGTGGCCGTGGCCGTGGCAGACTCCCTACATCAGCGAAACGTCGAGTACGTGTGACTTCTCCAACATATGTGCTCTAAGCTTTGTCATCCGCCTGCCTAACCTTCCCAGCAGCTCGTCATCAGTCGAAGGACTCAACTGCAACGCCCCCCGGAACGCTCCCCCTCTCGGTCAAGTCATCACCACCTGCCGTAGCCCAGGCCAGGTAGCGCTGACCTACGACGACGGGCCTTACATCCACACCTCCTCCCTCCTCGACCACCTCGACGACCTCAACGTGACGGCAACCTTCTTCCTCGTCGGCTCCAACTGGGGCCGCCAGATGGACGAGGACGAGTGGGCCTCGATCGTCCGCCGCATGCACGCCGCCGGCCACCAGCTCGCCTCGCACACCTGGGACCACGAGGACCTGAACCTCCTGGACAGGGCCGGCCGGGCACAGCAGATGCGCCGCAACGGCGACGTCTTCCGCAACATCCTCGGCTTCGCCCCGCGCTACATGCGGCCCCCGTTCTTGTCGTGCGGCGAGTCCTGCGTGGCCGACCTGTCCGACATGGGCTACTACGTCGTCGACACCGACCTCGACACCAACGACTGGCAGCACAATACCCCCGAGACCGTCCACATCAGCGAGCGCATCTTCGACGACCTCCTCGGCTGGGAGCCGAGGGGGGTTAGCCGCATCGTGCTCGCCCACGACACCCAGAGCACCACTGTGCATAGACTCACGAGCCATATGATCTCGACGCTGCGAGGCAGGGGCTTCGAGGCTGTGACGGTGGGCGAGTGTCTTGGTGATCCAAAGAACAACTGGTACTGGTACTAGGGGCCTTTTCCAATTTTTCTTTTTCTTTTTTTCTTCTTCTTCCTTCTTCTTCCCCACCTCACTTTTTTCATCGTCTCGTCCTGTTCGGCTTCTTTTGACTTCCACTTCACTTTTGACACTGCACTTGGGAAAACGTCTTGATGAAGATACGACACGATGACTCTTCGCATAATGGCAGCCTCGATCATCTAGGACCGATCCAATACAAGAAGGAGAAAATATATCGGGGGCCCCGTCAGACCGACTGCTTACTGGATATTAGATATATCACTTCTGTTTCTAGGACCACTGCAAGCGTCCCATAGCAATGCTTGGGTTTCCCCCCGCATCCTTTTTAATAAAATAACGTCCTCGCCGTCTTTGGTTCCCTTTCAGCCGCGTTTGCCGAGTTATGCAGTGTTCAGTCTTCAGGCATTCTCGTGTCGGACCTTGCCCCCTTTCTCCCCTCCCTCTCGACCTTCTTTTTCCTCTCTCTCTCGAACTTCTTTCTCCTCTCTTTCTCGGCGCTCTTGCTCCCTCTGCGCGGCCCGCCAGTACAGCGGACCCTCGCCCCCTTCGTAGTAGAAGTCCTTAAAAAGAGGTCCCTGGACCGGAATCCTCTTACGATCTGTTCTCCTTTCGGGTTCCCGGAGCCGTGAGAAATTTTCGTCCTCAACCTCCGTGGTTGTTGGGTTGGAATCCGGGCCGCCTGTGTTGTTGAGGACGGGCCAGGTGTGCGGAGAGCGATAAACACCCGAGCCTGAGCCACTGCCCGAGGCCGATGCCGATGCCGGTGCAGAGCTGGACTGTCTCGGTGCCGGGAGGGTGCTACTCGGCTGTGTTTTGCCGTATAGGCGGGACTTGGCCACCTTTGTTGCACGGTACATTTGTTGTATGACGCGCGGAGACGCCCCCTGGTTGTCAAGGCTTGTTATGAAGATCGAAGAATGAAATGTAATGTGTTGGGGTTTCGGAAATTGTAGCCGTGGATAGGCAGCTCCAGCTTCAGCTTCTTTGCAAAAGTGGTGCAGTGTGGCAATGTTGGTGATTGTGAGTTCACCAGGACTGGGGAAATCGGTTCAGTTGAAAAGACGGGAAATCATGGCCAGCATGTGTGGACGAAGGGGGCAGGCAGGTTTCTTTAACAACAGACAGACAGCTCGGTGGCTACTTCCTCTCAGCTAAAGAATTTATGTCTGACCCGATATGATTCCCGGGCAGGAACCAAGAACACATGCAGTCACAAACAAGTCACAGTGACCTGATTGTCCTCATATCTCCGTACCTTAGGTTCTGGTTCTAGGTACTACGGACCAGATGCTCAGCCTGTTACACACCATAATAACAGCCTCTTACATATTCCTATGCTGAGGGTCGATAACATTGAGATATATCCACACCTCACTGAGTAGCTTCTTTTGGTGAACGTGGCAAACCTTAAGGACCAACCCATACCCATGCATTGGGGGGGAAACATATCAAAACAAGGGGTAGAAAAGACACGACGCCCCGCAAACCCAAAATCATGCCCTGTCCTTACCCTTGGATAAGCCCGAGTATCGTACAAAAAGATGGTCTAAGAAATGCGAGTGCCGGATTCCATTAGGCCTCGCCGCTGCAAAGGTATCAATGGCCTCCTGAACTTCGAACCCGCACCGCTCCACTAGATAGCACACGAGGAAGTATCCGGTCCGGTTGAAACCATAATGGCAGTGAACGCCGATAACCTCTTTCTTCTCATCGTCTACCGCATCATCCTCTTCGTTTTCGCTCACACCCTCGTCCAGTGACGGGGACTTTTGCTTCTCGCTGCGAATCCGGTCGACGACCTGTATGAACGAGTCGACTTCGCCATCCCTCGGAGGGATCTTCGACACCGTAGCAAACTTGTGGTAGGAAACGCCGCCCTTCTCCATCGTAAGGGGATCGTACACCGGTTGGTCATGGCTGATATCGATGACCGTCCTGATAATTTCACCCCATTTCTTGACGAAGACGGCAGGGCTGTGCACGTCGTCAGCCTCACGGAGGGTCTTCATGGCTCGGAAGACCGGTGCGCCTGGTCGGCCAATGGGGGCCGAGACGGGCGCTACTTTTCTCCATTTCTCGAAATTTTTGACGTCCCATTTCCCCTCCCGAGAGAGGTACTGTAGCTGCCAGCCTAGAGAGAGGCGGCCCGAGACATGGTTCTGTAAAAAGTCCGATATCAGACCACTGAGGATGCGCACCGTGGCCGGCATATAGAGCAGAGCATGGTTAGCGGGGGACGGCATGACGACGGCCTTGAACGTCCCGGCCGGATGACGAGGTTGTGGCGGCACGCTTGTCGGGGTCTCCTGCGGGGTAGAAGGGTCGTCTTGGCTGTCACCTCGGTTCGCAATGCTCCGGTCCCTCGTGAAGTCCTCCTGGGCAATATCCTCAATCCGCTGTGGGAGATGTTCCGAAAGCGTGGTCGAGGTGTTGACCGGCGCTGCGGAGTCCGGTATGCCCTCACTCTCGTCGCCAGGTTCCGCTGGAGGCGGCGACCGCTTGGTAATAGACTGTTCGATCCTTTTGACCTCGTTGGGGGATGTGACATGGTCGTCCTCGCCTGCAACCAGAAATACCGGAACGTTGAGACCAGCCCACACATCTTCCCCAGACATGCCACCCTTGGCGATGCCGTCCTCAAAGGTCGGCAACGTGCCCCATGCCACACGACGCCAGACAGGGGTGCGACTCTGAGTGTTGAAACGATCCTGCATCTTGCGCAGTTGCAGACTGCCTCCTTTCCCAACAAAACGAGTCACGCTCGCGCTGTAGGGACCACCTCGACGATCCCACGCCCGCCAGAGGTCAAATAGCCATCCCGGAGTCCAAAGAAGTCTCCTGAAGAGCGTGACCTTCTCTTCCGGTAATGGGCCTGGAGGACAGATACCAACTAGGCCGACGACATGCTCAGAAAGGGACGTCCTCTCTGGGGTAGCGTGGCTTGCGAGACGCGCACAGAAAGCACTGCCGAGGCTGTGGCCGATAAGGACGACGGTCCCCTCAACATCCTTCCGTCGATACTCCTCGATGATGACTTCGAGCAGTTCGACCAGGGCCTCAAAAGAGTATGCCTCCCAGCCCGCGGGGTCAAACTTGGACCGACCGCAGCCTGGCAGATCGATGGCAAGGCAAGAGGACAGATGGACAAGGCTGGTGAGAAGAGGGTAAAACTGGGCGACCGACCCTCCCAAACCGTGGACGAAGACGAGAAGCGGTAGAGATGGGTGCGGGAGTTGCTCAGCCTGCCGATGTCGTCGATAGAAGACGCGGACTCCAGGATAAGTGAAGCGAGACGTGCGATATGACTTGACCTCGGAGTGCTCTCGCAGCAGCTTGGGGTCTGTGGCATCCGAATCGTGGGGAGCCCAGGACGGGCCATCGATCCATCCTGCGACCTCCTCTGGACTACCGGAACTGGCCGGCTGGGTCATCTTCGAAGCGATAGCCGGGAGGAAAGCAAAATGTAGGGAATTTGATGGCCCGTAAATCGATATTGATCCAATTCAATTGGAGGATGGTCTCGGGAGTCCGCAAATTACCGACAAAAAAAGCTGAATGATGGTGAAAAATGAGTCGGAGATATAGAATGCACTCATTTGAGACCGTAATAGCAGCATCAATCAGGCTCACTGACTGCTCTTTTGTCTTCACATCTCACAAAAGAGCAACCGATGGAGAGGTATAACAGTCTTCCAACTCTGAGTCAAAGTTTAGAAAGAGAAGAATCGCTTAAGAGGGGGTGGCAGTGGTGGTGGTTTCGCTTGTGATACGGATGCCTGCCGCGGATCGCTCCCACGTATTCCGACTGGGCCTCTCTTCAATTCGTTTTGTTCTGTTGCGCCCGGGCATGCGCCCAGGCTCCTGACTCGAGTCAAGACAGGTCAACTTGGAAATTCGTACTTGGAGTGTTCCAATTGACCTGTGGGGGATCTGATATCAAGGGATATTGGAAGAACGTGGTTGACAGCGTTGGTTTTAATGGTGAGATTGGGTGAATCAAGAAACGTTTGTTGTCCATTCGCTCCCTGAACTTTCTCAAACCATGATCCAGATCAAGGGAGATAGATGACTCAGCCTTGGCATTAATTCTCCTTGACCAACCACCTTGCATAATTACCCCACTTGCGGTCTTCTACATCCTCCAATTGGACAGATGTCTCGGTGAATATTTAGCCAATGTACACTAAAGGCTACCACACCGATCCTAGATATTCACCGAAATGACGTTCGGTATGCTATTACCATATTTTCGTACTTCGGACAGTCGTTGATTACTGTAGCACGGATATGCTTGCCGCGAAAATTGCAGTCATCATCGAACAAATAGCTTGATCATACGCAGAGCTGTCACTCCTCGACAGCTCCCTTCCCTTCCACCCACCCGACAGGTATCAATGCTGCGGCTACATCCCCAACACCTCTTTCCGTAGCCAGTAGGTTAAACTGCGCCGCCGCATTCCGCGTGTCCAAGATTTCCACCCGTAGCCCAAGCTCGCCAATATGCCGTCTCGTCTCCGGACTCAGAGGGCGAATCGTAGGACCCGTACCAACCACTAGTAGATCTGCCAGAGAGATTTCCTTTTCGTTAGCTAACTGTCTCCGTGCACCTTCCCGTCTCTCTTACGGGAGGGAAACGTAGAAAACGCACCAGGTTTCGGCCACATCAGTCCCAGAACCGAAAACGCCTCTGGAGGAATATCCAACTGCCCGCGCTCGTTGTATAAGCGTAACCTCTTGCTCTTATCGGATGCGTCCGAGTCCGCTTTGGCAAGCCATGGCCGCCATGCGAAAGCCTCGCCGCCCACGAGTAAGGCGCCGTCACCGCCGAGAATCGACAACCCGCTGTTTAATAGGAAACCTCCAGGTACGGTAGCTTCAATGTTGGTCGAGGGGACAGGCGTCGCGCCGAGGACGTCGAGCTCTGCGATGTCGGCGGGGCCTCTCACATCCGACTCCGAGGGAGTTTCTTGCTTCCTTCGTCGCCAGACAGGAGAAGAATGGAAACTCCGTTGAGCCGGTAATGACTGGACAAATACTGTGCGGGCTGCTTGCGGCTGGATCTTGCCAAGCGGACGGATATATGATGTGGACGTGGGTAGAGGAGTTCGTGGTAGGCGAAGGACGCGCAAGGCGCGGATAGAGCTGGAAGAGTGCATGGCCCGCCGGACCGTTGTGGTGTTACCGATGATGACCGATGGAAGGTCCAATTGCTCATTATTCTCCTAAAGCCTGGACAATCAGATTCGTGGTTTTCGTAAATCGAGGTTGGAAGACAAATCTAGCTCCGTTGGGTGACAAAATAGAGTGTACGAAGTAGGTATTGGAGGCTTGTGTTGTTGGACGTCATGCTTACCCACTCTTCACACAAGGTACCTGGCTAGAAAAGAAAAAAGCCCCATTCTTACTGTAATTCCCAACAGCGCCCAAAAAAAGCCAATACGCGGCAGAATCAGAGCTTCATCACCACGAACCCAAAATTCCAACACGCATGGGATAAAACTACGGATGGAGGGAGGGATAAAGGGTCGACGGCAAAGTTGAAAATCGAAACCATAGTCACACAATACATGAACGCAGATCATAGCACATCGAGTCTTAGACGGAAACCCCGCAATTCATTCCGGTATCAAAGCCTGCCCCCAGATGGCAGGAGACCGCCCGTACCTTTTTTGTTGGTTGGTATGCGCGTCCTTCGCAGCACATGCAGTCCCATTTTTTGCCCTATTGAACACCGAAGCGCAATGAACCAACCCCCCGAGCCATCCTATTGCCGGGCGTGTTGTGTTGTGTGTGTTGTGTGTGAGATGATTTTGATTGACCGAAAATTGACGTGACGAGAGAATATGGAAGAACGTGACAAAGTAGTATTGTGTGTTTATTTCTTCTTCTCGCTCTGGCCAGCTTCCTTGAGCACCTTCTTCACAATCTTCTGCTCCTCGATCAGGAAGGCCCGGACAACCCGGTCCCGAACGCAGTTGCCGCACCTCGAACCGCCGTACGCACGCTGGACGGTCTTCTTGGGCTTGGAGATCTGGGAGTACTCGCGGGGGCGGAGGGCAGGGATCTGTCAAGAGAAATGGTCAGCACCGATCCGTTCTCGATGTGAATGCGTCGTGGACCGCCGGAAAAGAAAAAGAAAAATCGTCCTCTTTCGTTGCGCTTCGGGGATTTCGAGTTGTTTCTGCAACGAGTGCGAATCATTGTGACACCGGAGACATCCTCTCAACCCGGCTTCGCGTTGCAAGGCAAAGTTGTCGCAGCCGCCCCGTAGTCGACATCCTCATGAGCCAACCCATCGACCAGACCCGGTGATCTGTCGCAACAAATCCGAACCCCTCCTTCGCATCGGCAGACTTCATGTCGGAATCAGATTAGAACTTACGCCAGGCAGCTTGGTGCCGCAGTCACCGCACTTGGGGGCAGTGCCAGGCTTCTTGATGTGAAGGATACGGTGGGCGCCGCCGGGGGTCTTGATGATGCGGGTGCGGTTTGAGGTGGTGTTGTAGCTGCCAGGAAAAAAACCCGTTAGTCGGTTCTGTCTTTTTCGAGCAGCGCATTGGCGAGAAGATGATAACTTCGTCAGCAAAGAGAACGGGAGAGAAACTCACCCGTTACGACGGCGATAGGTAACGCGCTGGCCCGCCATTTTGCTGGTGTTTGTCGACGTCGTCGTGAGGGTTGCTGAAGTGTTCGTTCCGGGGCGACGACAACAATTTTGAAAATTAGGTGTGGGTGGTGGAAAAGGTCGCTTGACTACAAATGGTGGGTCCAATGGGAGTGAAAGCTGTGGGACGATGTCTGGGGCTTGGTTGGTTGAGGATGTGGCGTTTCAGTCCCGGTACTTGTGGCGGTGCGCATCTACCTTAGGTATTGACTTCGAGCCAGAGAGGGGTCGCTGACATGCAACTGAACACATGCTTCCAACTCCAGGTCCGGATTGAATAATACGGGCATCCTAAGCCCATAATAAAGTGGTAACGTGCTTCCAGAGAAGCAAAGCTCAACATAACGCTAGTGCAAACTCCTAAGCATTTTATTAAAGACATTCCACTTGTCAGTGCCGAGGATAAACCATCGCAACTCAATTCCTCTGATGGTCACCATGAGCCTCATTGAAAAAAAAAAAAACCCTCCCCCTGAAAAATTTAGACTGAATATGAGCTTGCTCCATGCCATGCTGAACCTTTTAATACCAGAACCCTGAACGCCGCCCTCGCTGCCGGAACAATCAAGCACTGTATCATGATGAACTGTCTATCGTCATCCAATCGGGATGGTCCTTCGACCTCCATAGCTTGATTCCCTGAGGCTCCTCTTTTCGGCGCTGGGCGGCGTGCTCCAGAATTTGCCTTGTCTTCGCATCCTTCTTCATCTCTGTAAACTCCTGCACTTCCTTGTAGCTGTTGTTAACAGAGTCGGAGAACGAGTGAAAGAGGGCTTCGGCTACGAGATGCACAGTCAGCAGGAGGCAGGCGGTGGGAGAAATTTCGGTCGGTACGTACGAGATGGCTGCTTCTCCGTCAACGGTTGAAGCATACGGGGAATGGTTGTCCTCAAGTCGCGCAGCTTTAGATTGATTAGCATAAGGGCCCCGCGGAAAAAGGAGGTCCAGGACATACCTTGATGTGTAACAACTTGAGATGCTCCATTGCATCACGGAGACGCTCCTCATCCCAGCTGCCCTGGTTAGTTGAGGCGGCTGCCGCTCCGTTGCTGTTCGCAGGGGTAGTGTTGCTGGCCATGGTGCTGTTGCTCGGCGATAAGCGGGGTGAGCCAGTTGTGGCTGTCGTCGCGGACTCGTTTGCTTATTATCAAATCATAACCGGGAATGGGTGGCAGGCTTGGAGTTGCCGACCAGATCGTAGCCCCAAAATTTGATAGGGAAATCGTGTAATTGACGAGTGGTCATCAACCTCGGTATTGTTTCGAGGGAGCGAGAAGGACAATGACGCCCAACTGAGGTGGAGATACTGGAGATAAGGACGATGGTCATTAAACCTTCTTGGTCTTATCCGTCCAAAGCAGATTATCACGTGCAATTTATCATCACGTGAGAAGTCTACCAGTACCTTACCAGGTACCGTTATCTTAGCTGGGACATACATACCTAGGTGCCCAGGTAGCTACATATTCTGCAAAGGCCTTCCATTCCTCAGTTCCATACACAGAAATCATAAACAGTTGATTCTCTGTTTGCCCTGGTCTTCTTTATCACTTTCTGAATCCCACGCGGCGAAAATTATCACCGAGCTTTACCAGCTACCCTCATTCATACGACGTAAATCGGACCAGACACTACGGAGTACCTGCCTTGGACGGAGATCTTCAAACTCCCGAGGGGCCCGAGGGTACGTGCACTAAGCCAAGCTTTTAGCGTAAGCACCAAGAACCATCAGTAGGAATCACTGATAACCTTGTTTAGACCGTGCGGATTGGAATTCTCTGACTCCAACCTCTTTCCATTCTACCCACTGTCCTCAACCTGCGCATCAGTACCACTGTTGTACAGCATCACCAAGGTAGGCGCGCAAACCTTCCGTAGCTGTCCGATTCTGGCCCTAACTTTCCCTTTTTTTCGACATTTTTAGCAGCAAAACACCTTATTCAGCTACCGCGCACAAAAGCGCACACGCGACATCCATCGTACCACCCCTCTTTCCCCAAAGTCACCCCGACAATACCGCCAAGCTGGATTCCTCAGTAGCAATGCCGAACTCCCCCCCTCCTGCGCTGCTTCCGCCGCCGGAGGGTATATTCCGTAACTTTGAGGATCTCCTCAGTTCGGTCCAGCGCGTCGCGAAGGACCAGGGCTACGGAGTCGTCAAGCTGCGTGCCTCCAACTACCGCGACGGCAAGCCCACCCGCTACGACCTCGTCTGCGACCGCGGGGGCGTCAAGTACTCGAGCACGGCGAAGAAGCGAAACCCGTCGACGCGCAAGGTCGACTGCCCCTGGCGTGCCAAGGCCGTCTGCGAAGTCCAGCTGGGCAACCAGTGGCGCTTCGCCGTCCAAGAGTCACGCCACAACCACGAGCCCCGGATCGCGACCGCGCCGCCGGGGCAGGAGAACACGCCGCTCGCGCAGAGCATGCGCAGCTTCACCAACAAAATCGATCGCCTCTCCCACGACATGGCGCAGGGGTTCATCCGCATCGAACAGGCCCTCGACAACCTCAACAAGCGGCTCGAGAACCTGGAGAACCGCACGGGTGGGTACGAGCCCCGATTCCAGAACATGGAGTCGCGCCTTCAGGGCGTCGAGGCCCGTGGCAGCGGCATGGAACTTCCCATGGACGACGTCGACGCGCGGCTTCTGCAGAGCGGTGTGATGTAGGATGATGGCCACGGCGGAAATCTCGATGTCGAAAATCTCGATGACGAACAATGCAAGGCCCAATGACGCCGTCGGTCGTGAGGATATCACCGACAAGGACGTAGCTGCTGTTTGTCAACTCGAGACCAAACGAGGTTAATGCGACCGGCAGAGGAATGCGGCATGATTCGGGAACATGCCTACCCGATGACAAAGGGGAAATGGCAGGCTGGAGGGCTTCGGCCTGGGCTGCCTGTTTGTGGGGACACTTTGAGGTTGTGTTTGAGGTTATATTCGGCAGGGCGGAGGGTTTTGTGTGTTTTACTCCGATTCTCGCTGGTATCTTTTGGCTCACAATGATTCCCATTGGCGTCACACACTTGAGCAGGGTTCGGAACGGCGTTTAGGTATGGTATTTTTGCTTCGTCCTTTACTTTCTCTCCCTCCTTCCTTCGCGGCCAGCCACTATTCTCCAGAGACTCGGGAACACATTTGTATGTAAGGTATAATCCGCTCAGAACGGATTCTCTTCTCCTCTCTCCACTTGGGTATTTGGATTGATTTCGGGGTTTTTAAGGGAGGTGCAATGATGTTGTAGATGGTCAGGTCTGTAAGGAGGGTTACTTTCGCCTTTCTTTCCGAGAGGCGACACACACATCATCGCAGATTACATCCACTCTGGAGCTTTAGATGAAGGCCAAATCCATCAACTACGCGTACGAAGTACTTCGCTGTGAGCCATGATCTGAGTTGTCTTCTGGCCTTGGATTCACGCCGGCTCGACTTATGGTGGTTTCCGACGCGCTGTGACGCGTGCCCCGCTTCCGCCTCTCCGTAACGGGGTTTCCGCTCCGAATGGATCGTCGTCGCCAGCCGAGGACTTACACGACACAGTACTCGTAATGACCCTTCGCACGTCCGTAGTCGCAAACTGTGATTCCAAAGCAAGAAATCCACTGATATCCATATCGATCGAAGCATTATTAGATCTTAGGCGGAGTATCATCGGTAGACCAAACTGCTACGTAATTACCCCATGACGGTTTTGGTTTGGCGTGTCTTGACAGCACCACATTGTACACTACAGCTGAGAAAAAAAGAAAAGACAAAAAAAGGGCGATGCCATTCGGCTGGGCCGCTCGAATGTATTGCAAAAGCATTTATGATTTTCTTCCGCCCTTGGTATGTGAAAGGAGGAAAAAGAAGGAAACGCCAAACCTCCCTTCCAGGACGAGGTGATGGTGCCATCTACATCGTATTGAAAAAAGAAAATGTGTTTGGTTCCTTGTGTTAATAAACACAAGCGACTAGCAAATAGAGAAACGGTCTCTTAATGTACGAAGTATGGACTGCAGGCTCTTTTGCGTCCCTGTTTCAGCGGATTGCGCCTTCGTTGACGGTAGCCTTCCCCGGGAGACAAATCTGCAGGGGTCCAGACAGCGAGTAGGAACCACAAAGAAATTGTCCCGTTTACGCTCGAGCCGGAACAAAAGAAGAAAAAGGAGCCCCTTGAATCGTTGCAGGTGTCGTGAGCTGATTACCACAACCCAAAAAAAAAAGAAAAAACTGAAGTTGGTTGCAGTAACACCATGAGATTCCTCGACACCATATGGACCGTGTGGCTGTAAGTATGGTGTAGTATCAGATCTTAAAATAGATGTAATTCCCTAGCCAGATAATATGTCGTGTTCCTCATGCACCTCAATCGCCCAGAGTCAACGTGTTGATATATAACGTATTTGAGATCATCACCACACCCACTCCGCTCCCGTGCCCGTAGTCATACTCCTCATTTCCACTCTCTCCTTCCCCAGCTTCACCGCGCCCCTGGAAGCCCGTTCCGCAAAAATAGGTCTCAACTCCTCGACGACATCCTCGTCGAAAACCGTGCGACTACTCCCTGCGCTCCCCTCGCCCGCCTTGCTTCTTGTACCAGCAGAAGATGTGGGCGAAGAAATGGTCGCGGAAACCAAGCTGAACGACATTCTGCTCTCTCTTGGTTCGTGAGCGCCGCGGTGCGGACTTTGCCACGGACTTTGCCCGGGACGGCTTGACGGTGTTGTAGTGGGTGACGATGGTGGCGACGCGTCCTGAGCCTGGGTTGTGTGGAGGGATGATCTCCTTTGCGGGGTGACGCTTGGGGAGGCTAGGGTTCGAGTGGTTGAGGCTGGGGTGGATACCCTTGTGAGGACGGGACTTCGCATGGCCTTCATCCTGGGACTGGAAAGTCTCTTCAGTATCTCGAATGGTTCGTAGTATTGCGATCCCCTCCGTGGATTTTCGCGATGATATCAAGTGGCGGTGTGAGAGACGCCCGTAACTAAGGTACCAAGGGGGAAGACTCGAACGAAAGACCTTCGAGCGTCTTGATTTGAATTGGTTTTTGGCAGCAAGAATTAAGACCGTAGACAATGAATTGCGAAAAGAAGGCACATGCCTAGATGTTACAGTCCAGGGAGATGCCGTTTATTAGCGTCTGGGGTCGAAATCGGTGACATTTTGAGTCACAACAGGGGTGCCATTACCTGACTCATCCCCATGTCGGCCTGTTGATCAGATCAACCACCACCACCACCACCAAAAGAAAAGGAAAAGACACAAAAAAAAAGGTGGGCTTATTCGTCTGCATGGTATTACCCCCGGATCCAACAGATGTTTTCGTGTCAAAGCGGTCCGTGATGTGAGATTATTCAATGTAAAGTCATCCTGTAAAAGCAAAGCAACAGACCCCATATGCCATTCCCGACCAGAAAGCTACAACCGATATGGTATGCATGACCTATGACCATCGAACAAGGGAATGCTACAAGTACATACAGTTAGGGTTCGTGTAAGGGTATATGAAACGTTTGAGGTGCCGCTCGCGTTGGTGATCCCACGTCGCACCCCAATCACCACTCTCCGTTCCCGTACCACCGCTGTCCGTTGAGCATACGCTGTTGCTCCATCCAGTGATCCGGACCTTCCACCGACCCCGCAACTTGGGCAGCAAGATCTTCTTTCAGCAGACGATCAGCGCCCAGATGCTTTGCTCTGTCGGCCTTGGCCTTGAGCTCTTTCGTGATGGCACCCACGTCAACGTCCAGCCACTCGTGCAGGAAATTGCCGATGTCCGTGTTCTCCATGTTGCCGCGGATCTTGTCGACGCCTCGTCCGCCCGAGCTGTAAATGTTCACATCCACCGCTGAATGTCCGTGCGTGCTCCAGCCCACATGCGCCCGAAGGCTGATCATGGCCGCGAAAATGTAGGTTCCGTCCAAGGGCGCCTCGGCGAGTGCTTCGAGTTCCTCGTCCAGGGCGTCCGTGATTCCGAGACCTGCTATCACCAGGTTCTTGTTAATCCACTTCTTGAGGTCTTTCTTGCTTTCGGACGGCGCTTCGACCACGTGCTTCGCCAGTCTCAAGGCCAAGTATTCGGCTGAGGAATTAGCTTGGGCAAGTGCCTTGGGAAACCAGTCATACACCGGCCATTGGCCAGGCTCCTCTGATATCACCACCACAAGTGTCAGTCGTAGTCAGTAGAGGGGGGTGTTATGGGGGACGCAAAACTCACGAAGCGCCGTGGAAAGACCACCCGTCTCGTGGTCGCTGGTGGCCACCAGGATGGTCTCGGTGTCGCTCTTTTCGATGAATTCCAGCACAATCTCGAAGGCGTTGTCATATTCCAGTACCTCATGTACCTGAGCCGCCGGGTCGTTGATGTGGCCCGCATGATCGATCCTACTGCCCTCAATCATGAGGAAGAATCCTTGGTCACTATCCTCCGTCGCTTTCTCCAGGGCACGCAGAGCTGTCCTGGTCATCTCGGTCAGGCTCGGGTAAATGTGGTTCATGTGGCGGCGGTCAATCTCAAAGGGAACGTTATAATGGGCGAAGAGGCCGAGGAAGGGCATATTGACGTTTTCGCCTCCGTCCAGATCATCGAAACCCGCCCTGTCGCTGGCATAGGTCCAGTTGAACTGGCTCTGCGCGATGCTGACAACGTCCGTGTCGTCCAGGCGGCAGCTGTCGTCGGTGCCGTTGGGTAGAAAATGGCAGCGGCCACCTCCAAGCATAAGGTCCACGACCCGGCCGAGGGGCCCGTCACCGACCTCCTGCAGAGCAATATCGTCGTTCATGGACCGAGTCAGAACATGACTGGCGAAGCATGCCGGGGTGGCATCAGTGATATCGGTGGTGACGACGAGGCCCGTCTTGTACCCAGCCCTCTTGGCGGCCTCGAGAACGGTGCCGCAGGGCTCGTAGTCCGGCGTGACAGAAATCGCACTATTGTAGCTCTTCTTTCCGCACGAGAAGGCCGTGGCCCCCGCAGCGCTATCGGTGACGAGGGAGTTGGAGGACCGAGTGCGGCTGGTGCCCCAGAAGTTCTGGTCCAGCGTGAGCGTATCGTTGTGTGGGAGGTCGTGGATATGCTGGCGGAAACTCCGTGTCAACGAGAGCGAGGCGGGGCCCATTCCATCGGAGACCATGAAAATGAGATTTCGCTTCTCGGGAGCAGAGGGCTCATGGCGCGTTTGACGGCTATGCTGGCTCCAGACGGCGAGAACGATGACACCCGCAGTGGCCAGGAGTGCCCAGATAAACAGGAGGGTTTCGCGCAGTCGGAAGGGGCCTGGAGGAGGAGATGGATCGGGGTCGTAGCCTGTCTCGTCGTCCCCGTCTACAGCGTTGCTCGGGCGGCGGCGGGGCTCCTCGGACAGGAGAGGTGTCCGATCGGAAGGGGAAGGTGACTGGGGGGGGGGAAATCGCTGGTTAGCTCTGAGGGTGTGGCAAAACGTAGGATTTAGCATCGGAGGTTACCATGATGATAGAATTCCCCCTCCCATGTACCGATGCGTGAAAGTGTCCAAGTACCGATGTGTGTGCCAAGAGCGAAAAGAATAAAGGTCGCGATGGTCACAGAAGGGGAACTGGTTGAAATGAGAGCGGATAGGAGAGAGGAGAGAGGATAGAGGCTGAGAAGAAAAGACAGAGAAGAGAAGAAGTAACGCGGACGCGATCAGGACGAGGTGCCTCGTAGCTGGCTGCTACCTGCAGTTGCCTCGTACGCCAATTGTCTTATTAAGATATTCCCTTGTGATCCATGCGCTGAAACTTTGAGGAGACGGCTGTACAGTGTACACGCACGGAAAACAACAGGGGGCAGGTAACGTCGTAACTCCAAACCGCTAGCTCATTGCGTCATAGTGCTGTCTCTGCTGTTGTCCCCATCTTGCAGTACCCCTCAGCCACGATCTGTGGCGCAAGATAAAAGGAGCACATTGTGCACATGCAATGCAACGTCTACGAAATATGAAGTCACGGCAGATATTAGCCAGATCTGGTCATTGTATCTGCACCCGACCTTCTGTCACTCGTCGTCCTGAAGAAGCACTGCACGATTCCGGTTTGGCATCGGGGTATGACCAGGCACCGCTTGACAGCTTATCCCGTGGAACCAGCTACCACATGCGTCTCCATCACTCTCCGGAGTACTGTCCCAGGAAATGTCCAGATAACCCCGTTGCTGTACCAGCTGTCGCGTAACCATGCGGTCTGTCAAAGGCAATAGATTGCGTCCGGTTAGGGAGGCAGAGTGTGCAGTCTTCAACACTACATCTAGAGGAAGAGATTGAGTTGCACTCCAAGCAGCGTCAAGTGACCTCGGAGAAGCAAGTGGGCCACTCAACGAGTTTACGTTCGAATATTCAGGCCAAAAGAAGGAAGAAGCCTATTTCGACCTCTATAATCCCCAGCTTGGGGGGGGGGGGGGAAGAAAGGTGCCGAATAGGATATCTTGAACCAAAATGAGTGACAATGTGGGTTATTGAGCTACCCAAAGTATCTGGCAAAGTACACAAATCAAGTACAAAAATGTCATCAAGACCACAGGGCTTAACAGAGCCCCTATTCTCCTTTGAGTAGTGCGAAACGAATCAATGGAAACTCAATCTGGGATGCTGCCTAAGGAAAGGCACTGAGAAAAGACACATACCCATGTCCAATCGCATCCAACCTCCTGTTCCCAACTATGGCTAGTCTGGTGAACGTCGATATTGTCATTGTGTAAACCTCCGGAAGAGCGTCCATTCGAGGTTTACTGAGGAGGGACGGGAGCCTGCGTGGGCTGGGGGAACCCAGGAGGGAATTCGGAAGGCGGGAACTCAGGCGGGAACGGAACCTCAGTTTCCTGTGGAGGCTGAGGCTGCTCTGGGGGCTCCCGAGGAGGCTGCTCAGGCGGCTGCTGAGGGGGTTGCCCCTCATCGTCGGGCAGACACTGGTGATAGTATTCATTGATCACGACGCAAGTGCCCTCAGCACACTCGGTCGGGCCATCGTGCTCGATGCCGCCGCACTGTTCGTAAAGCTGGGCCTGTCCAGGGTTGCCGGGGTTGCCAGGGTCAGGGACGTCGGTAGTCGGAATCGGGGGCAGCGGAAGCGTGGGCTCGGGGATGCCCGGCAGCGACTCAGAAGGCTCGACCTGCCGGCGGTTCCAGCCGGCGGCACGGCCTTGAACCCCGGCCGATGCGGCGAAGGCAGTGATGAGAAGCGTAGCCTTGAAGTTGCCCATTCTGACTGAAGGGTGACGGAACACTTGAGTTGCTGAAAAGAGAGGAAGGAAGAAGTTTATCTTAAGGTCGTTGGAAATCCGGTTCCAAAGACGCGATAAACCAGAAGAAAATAACGAGACTTGGTTGGTGTGCTCTCAGTAAATGGAAGCTGGAGCTTGTTGAGATCGGTCTGGCAAAAGATAAAAGGAAGTGACTCCGGGGTTGAGAACCAGGCCTTTTATAGATGTTTTGGCACCGTCGATTATAATGCTGAGAGTAAGGAGTGCTGTAAAGTCTCGGCAAATACCAGAGCGGCCAGATAGTTTGAGTCGATGGGCACCTCAGTGCACAACTCCTAACACGCCTGGCAATGGGGGCCCGTAGACCCAGTTGATGCGATGGGAGTGCCTACATTTGCCGCGTTCCCGATTATGATCGTCCCGGAAAAATAGGGCTGGGGGGAAGATCTACTCAATATGAGAGGGGGACTCGAAACTGAAAAGCCTCGTCATTCAGTGAGTAGTTGCGTCACGTCAATATACACGTCCTTGGGATTGATTAATCTCGCCCTGGGACGCGACTGAGAACGCATGATGTGATGGAATTCACATGTGCAAGAATGCCTATCGAAATTTCGGCTTGCAAGCACCGAGCTGTTGGATCGGGTAGAGAGTTACAAAGAGAACCAGACTTTGGGGATGTCCTCAAGTACATGGTCTCCTCGATGCCGACCTGGAATCCCGTGAGCGTTCTCTGTTTGTTGACACTCTCTATTTGTAACAGGCCCGGTCCGGGAATCGTGACTAGCGAAGGAAGGGATATGCAATGTTGTTTCGGTTGACTATTCGACCTTCAAATCTGTCAGTCAGATTTCGAGAGAAACCTTCATGTATGATCCATGGGGTGATGAAGACAGTCTCGGGTTTATGTGGTTGTCAGAGAAGATCGGCTCGTATTTCTCCAACCAAACCCTTCAAGTCGCATTGCCGCGTAAGGGGTGGGTCGTCAAAGTCGATCGGGGGGCATGTTCCCATGGGCCCCTCCCCTGGGTACGGTTGTGGAGATGTCCGTTGACAACTGCCGACTCGGCTGCAGTTCTGGGGTTATAGGAGCGGCGGCGCCAGTTTGTCAAAGAAAGCTTCAAAAAAAGCTTCGATTGAGAGACCTGACGTCAGACCATCGCATTGCATAGAGTCGCGCATAGAGGCCGGTTGCTAGACTCACCGCCAGAGCGTACACAGAACACCCTCGGGAACGAATACCCTAGACGGACATTGCGTGACGATCCAGGAACCCTCAAGTGATGTGGCGTGGTTTGGGGACTGGGTAGAAGGCCAGCCTTTGGGTAAGATCAGAGTCAAATAGGTCTTGCACATCACCTTCCCACCGGTGATCAGATTCCCAGATCTGTAGATCTGTTCCTGACTGGTCAAAGTTGATTCGGTGCACCAGGCTTTGCTCCGCGGACAAGTCGAGAAATTCTCTGGAAAATCGTTGTTCTGGGCCTGAGCCGGGCCTCTGCACCAGCGCAAGGGGGATTTCTGAACGGCCTGCGACGTCTCGTCTTCACGGCGAGACAATCGAATGCGCAAACCGTTTCGCAGCAGTCAGGGTGACCCAATCGCCCGCATACTACGCCCCAGGAAAACAGATGATCAATCAGGGTTGGGGCCCAAAAAGAAGTCGTCCATAAAGGGAAAGTCTGGCATGAAGTCGCACTGCAATTCCGGGAAGGGATTGGCTAGAGGGTCCTCGGACGGATCAGGCGTTAACAACTTGTCAACGACATCAGAGTGCTGCGCAAGACAAATGTCGCCAAGATCCCAGCCATGCTGTCGTTGATGCGAACGCAAGGCCTTAAGGAGCTCGCTCGCTAATAGCAGTGAGGGACTCTTGGCCAGTGCAGCTGGCATCTCCTCCGTTTCCAGAGCACAGCGTATCAAGAGAGTCGCCGTGTGGGAGAATGTAAAAGCAGACATCGGGAGCCAGAAATCTCCAAGCTGACGGGCGTCTAGCTCCTGGACGAGAAGCACAATATCTTCGGCCGTCCTTCGGACTTGCACGTAACGACAACTCAGCTTCTCCGGATCCGAGTCTGTCGACTGCTTGTGGTTGTTCAGTTCAATACGCCGTAGTAGAAGTCTGATCGAAAGATAGGCGAGTCGCAGGTTGGAGGCTCCATGGACGCCAAGGTGAGTACCTCGGATGATGATTTTTCGGACGTCTCCTGCTAAGGAATCAATCCACCTGTCGAGGCTGAGTTCCAATTCGCTCACCGAGGAGCACGCCGACCCCCCTGGGAGTAGGTAAACATAGTCTAGAAAACCTTCCAACACCTCCGATAGTCCGACTACGGAAATGAAGACCGCTTCTGCGCCCTGACTCTCCTTGGATGTTGACAGGTACTCATGTGTCGGAGATGGGACGTCATAGTGTTCTCGCCTCAACCGAGGCGGCGTGCCGTAAGCTAAGCTAAGCCTGACGAACGTACGGACGGGTCAGTGAACAACTGGCATGCGACGGGATTCGAAAAGCCAGCGAGCGCAATAACACGTACCAACGATCATGAATCAAAAGACACCACCAAATCTTCATTCTCAAGTACTTCTCCGACTGAGGGATATGCCAGGAGAGCGGGTTGCGGTTCAAGCCGAGGGAGTAAGAAATGGAAACCGCCGCACCCAACAGCACGCCATTGCCGATCATGGAGGTAGAAGGCCGACCTCCCGCGTTGAGCAGCATGGCGGCGATGGTTGCCATACCGGGCGAGTATTGAAGCTCCGAGTAAAGGATTTGGCACGCCAGGTTCCACACGAACCGTCCATCGGGGCATCGTTGGGAGGAGAGATGAGCATCATACTGCCAGTATGACAGGGAATGGGCGTAAAGACACGAGAGAAGGGCGGGGGAAATGCGACCCCGGGCATTGAGGTACTGATCTCGGAAGGAGGCTTCGTCCAACAGAGGGAAACAGATGTTCGTCTTGCCCATGTACCTGGAAGAGCATTCGCCCATCAGCCAATTTACACCCCGAGCGAGGTGATACACGAGGGGAACAAAACCCGCTCTATCCACACTCACATGTCGACCACCTGATCAGTCCACGGCTCGACGAGCTTCTCGATGGCCTGTAACTGCAGGGAAGGGGGAGAGGGGTTCATAGCCATGCCAAGGGGACGCCTCATGACCTTGGTGAACATGACGGGTTCGGAATCACCACCCATCATGGGCCGGATGATAGGCAGGCCCCTTGTTCCGCCGCGAGCGCCGGATACCGTGGAAAGATAATCAGCAAGAACATGGTTGTCGCTAGTGAGAGCTGGGCCGACAATATGAGGGCTGTCGTCATCTTCTTCCTGATCGAGAGAGATTGCCATGTCATGAATTTGCGGGGCCTCGGTTAAGACGGTAGAGGGAGGCTGGCTGGTCGAGCTCAGGGGGTTATTCCCAAGGGACAATTCGTTTGTTCGGTTTGACGGGGCGGCCGTCACAGATGATTGCCGGGCGGACCGAGCTACTATAGCCTTCCCCCTCCTGGAGGCTCCTTTGTTTCTTTGATTGGATTCTGGGCTGGGAGGGAAAGCGCAGTCACTTCCATGAGCCTGGCACATCAGGCAGGACGAAGATCGTGCCTCAACCACGCAACGGGACTTCCTTCGCCTACAGGCGATGCAAGCCGGCCGGGAATGCGACCGATACGGGCGTTGTTCGACCATGTCACCCAAAGGAGAACCAGAGATTTAGGCTCTCCCGATACATCTAAAATGAGCGTTGCCGGCCATGCAACGACAAATGTAGATGATATGATAAACGAAGCCGTGAGAGCTACCTTAGTCTCCGCGGAATACCCCGGAAATTGCACCGTGCCCGCGGAGAACCATCAATTGCTCTGCTGACTAAAATCAATGTGCATTAGGTAAATTACGAGTTCGATTCCGTGTTCATTTCCCCCTTCCTTTTTTCTAGTTTTCCCCACCATCCAGACCCCTACATCTTTCGTCACTGGGTGGTTTAATCCGTAGGTCAGTACCCCTTATTATACAGCGCATTCAAGAACTGCCACTCATAGTGTAAAACAGGACGAAGAGTATACATGCGAAGCCGGTTCGTTGGATTGGTGTTTGCGCCATTCAACCTCTGCCCACTAGGCGCTCACTATTCCTGAGATGCTGGACAATCCAGGAGATCTTGTCGCACCACAGTGACAAGCTGGATAGCATGGACCTTCGTATCGGGGGTGGTTTGGCGTATCTATGGCATATGATACAATCCTGGACGACCTCGGGTGTTTAATTAACGTCAGCCACAGGGAAGTACTTGACACATATGCTAATTGTCTTTAACAAGATACGGCCGTTTCCCTTTCTACTTATTCCCAAGGGGCACTTGCTCTCCTTCTTCTTTCATGGGAGGGGAGCTCGCCTGCCAGAAACTTGCAGAGTTGAATATTGACAGCTGTTTGTACAGAAACCAAGTTCCCAAGCCCCTTTATCTGGCTGTCTAAATCTAGAGTACATACGAGACGGCACATCAGCCAAAGGCATAGATGGCCACGACATATAAATTGAACATAATATACCGTCAAGTCTACTCATACCCCTTTGACACTGTGGCGTGTCGTCTCTTTGTCTTTTTTCTAAAACCTTTTGGATTCTCCAGCACGGCAGCGTGCTACTTCTTCTTGCTAGCGTTGTACATGAAACGACGTTTGGATCACCACTTTCTCAAGTCGACGAAGCAAAGCCAGTCTGGGTCATCAAACGATCAACTCCCTGAGCTACAAACTTTCATCTTGGGGCTGGATGGCCTATGTCTATTCTCGGGGCACAACAAGATGCCTACATAGTAGGCAGCCAACCACGTTACCTTACGGAGTAGGTGTGTTGGCAGTATTGCGCACTTTCCCTTCGGAATCTCCAGCTTTGATTGGGATCCCGAATCTTCCACGGCTTCTCAACAGAGCAGGGCACCGCCGCGTGGTAATCCTATATCACCTTATGCGCAGAAGTCCTGTACTCTGGGATGTGCTCTTTCCCAGCTTTTCAACGTTCACTCTATCAAGTCTGCCAACAAGCTAGGGCTGTTTGTGACGTTGGGTGTAGTGATTCTCGTTATGTGCGTACACGTCGGCGTAGATTTGGGCTAACGATGAGTAGTAGTGCTTTGAATACGCCACCTAAGGTACGGAGTGGCTATCTGTGAGTATATATTTCCCGCGCTTCGGGCTTTGACTACGGCAGGAGGTCTTACGTACTTGCCTACGGCTACCTACCTTACCTGCGATGCATATCTTGGACATACCAACCAGGGACGTACGTACCTAGGAAGCTACCAGTCAGGGTAGATACCTTACTCAGGGAAGTAAGGCAGGCACGGTAAATTCGCCAACTTTCTCCATGGGCCGGGGAACGACGCCCTTTTGAGGTCTTCGGCTAGGTATTTATCATGGAAATTATCCCACATCTCGGTGCGCCCGCACTTTACTTTCCCACAAACCCGCAGCCTACAACCCAACGCCGTGGTACATCCACCGTGCCACACATACTTCTTCTGCCTGGAGATGATGCTGATATTTTTTCTAGGCATCTGGCTTAGAAAAGAGTTGCTACGTCTCTTATTCATCTAGGAGATCATCTCATCAGAGAAAAGAAAGAACTTCTTTTCCAGTCTCTCCTCAATCGCCAACCGTGACCCGGATGGCGTCAAGCTACCAATCTCTTTCCACCCGCCCGCGAGGGGAGAGGCGAAAGGGTCAACCAAGCCATGGCGAGCCTTCTATGGACGAGTCAGACATGGAGAAGTTGCAGCTTGATACGACCCTTCGTTCTGTGCGGCCTAAGCGCCGCAAGAGGACTCACACTGACGCGTCTGCGACATCCGTCACGCCGCGTTTGAAAGTGTCGCCTGAATCAGTCCCCATCGCAGATAAAGCCGAAACTCCTTTCACCGTTGCCAGCCTCGAAGTTCCCGATATCTGGGCCGATGTCTTTATGGTCCTTTACCACCAGAATGACACCGACGGCTTAGCCGCGTGTGCGCGTCTCAGACACAGCATCGGCATCTTCGCGATTCGCCTCTTGTATAGGTAAGCATCACTTGACGTATATTTCTCCTTGTCGCCTTCCAGCCCTTGCCGACCTGTTCTGGCCACTTATTCTTTCCGAAAATCACGCGGGCACTAACAGGCCATGACCAACGTTTTTCAGAGACTTGACCATGGAGCTGACCTGGACCGATTTGCGCCGAGCGAAGCGGGCGTTGTCTATCCTACGATCCGTCAATGGAACCACCATATACCCGTACAGCCTATATGCCCGCTACATATCCGTTGAAGACATGGCAGATGCCTTCACTCTCCAGGTAGCTGATGTCGATGAGTTCTTCCGGACGATCCAGCCAGTCAACATACCGCCGAACGCGAGAGACTTGCGCTTGGATCATGAACCGTCCATGGTATCCGTGTTCATTAGCATCTTCATTCAGCATCACGTCAAGCATTTCCCTGTCGTGCGTCATCTGTCGACCTCGTCCTGCAACCTCCTCATCCCTCTGCCTGTCGTTTTCGAGGGCCTTGAGGAGCTTACGATTTCATCACTCCATGCCACTGATTATCTGGGCCGTCTGGCCCGCCACGGGTGCCCCAAGCTTCATACGGTGTACATAACCCTACCCATTGGGGCCTACTCGTCAGAATATTCTCCCCATCTTCGACACCCTGGCCCCGGTTGCCGAATCGGCGGCTTCGTTAGTGAGCTCCGTCCGAACACTCTGAAGCGCTTCCATCTTAAATTTATCAACGACAAGCATGACGTTCTCGGCCCCATTCTCGGCCACACTCCTCCAGAGGGCGGGCTGAGAAGTATTGACGGCGAACCAATCTTGAAGTCGCTCCGGCGACACAAGCTCGAGTCTCTGCGCCTCGTCCGAATGCCAAACTCTGCCTATGTGCACCTGGCTATGTACACGGAGGCGTGTGATTCGCTCCAAGAGCTCGATATCGCGTTCCCCGACCATTGTTGGGGCAACGTCGGGGGGGGGACGGTTCCCGCAGCAAGCACCGAGCCGATGGCGCTCTGGCTCCGGAAGTGCACGAAACTTCGCAGCATCAAATGGACCTCTCTGGAAGGCGGAAGACCCAGTTCGCTCGGAACCTGGACCTGGACTAATCTGCTCGCCGAAGTGTTCAGCAAGCCCTTGCCATACACCCAGCTTCGTGAGCTCGGCCTCAAGCTTCGTTTCGCGAAAAACAGGGCGTACTGCGCTCTTGCGAACCTCAAGGACTTGGAGTCTCTTCAAATAACTGTTGACCCGTCACTGGTACCTGCTCCTCGAGGTCGTATAAAAGAGCTCAGGATGGAAGCACCGAGACAGCTCACATCCTCTATTCAAGATCTTAGGAAGCTGCAGAATCTATACATAGACGACGGTAACTTTCATCTTTCTGACAAGGCCTTTTCCTGGTGCAGACCCAAACCATACGGTGCGTCTGGCCAGTCTGTCAACCTTTTGAGAAGAATGAGGATTACATGCTCCAGTCTGCCGCTGAACGTTGGGTTCTGGAAGTGGGCATCTCACTTTCCCCTCATTGAGGAGCTACATATCAATGGGCCCATCGCAATCACGCCCCAAGACATTGAACTTTTCATCAAACATACCCAGCGGTGCTACGAGGTGGAGAAGAACCTCCTGGTCGTGCAATCTGGGACTACAATTCATTCATCAAGGGTCGGATCGGGTCGGTGCAACTAGTTCCAGGCGGCAAGGCGACGGGTAAAGAGCAGAATTTGCGGCCTGCTGTTAATTCATGGGCATCAAGGTGCTTTATGGTTTCTTCTGTTGGTTGTAAAATTTGCTGGTTTGCCGAGTTCTTGGGCTGAGTCGAATTATTTGCCGTCTCCGACTCGCATAATATAGCAGACTCACCAAACTTAGGGGCAGGTGTCGGTTGGATTATATGGTCTTGTAGCTTCGGATTTGGAGCTGCGCGACGAAGGGAGTGGTGTGCATCATGGTCAGTCAGATAAAAACCCTAATACAGTCTCAGTTAAGGCCCTTCATGGCTTGCATCCAGTGCTATCACTGCTATGTATGGCATGACCACCGAGTCAACGTCAGAGGCAATTATTCCTCGTCGTTGTTTTTACTCGACGGTACTTAGGTAAGCGACACGTATGTGTGGGACGCTGGAAACTGTATTAGTCATCGTAAGAGTTGAGGGGTGTCCGTTGAGTGCATCGTGCGTACATGCCCCAAAACGGGAAGTACGAAGTCCGAACACACCCTCCCGAATGGTACCGGCGTCTCACGGAGACTCATTCGAAGAACGGGGCGCACGAAAGTTCCTAATTTACTTCGAGACAAGTTCGACCAGATTCGCGAACTTCAAAACGATGCTGTTCGCTCCTCCGCCTATCCATTCATGTAAGGACGAAATTATTCTCGTCGGCTAAGCCTCAGCCGCAATGGCCGTCCTGAACTTGACTCTCAGTGAGGACGCCGTCGTCGCCCTTCGCGATGCCCTCATCTGCCTTAATAAGTTCAGCGACGACGTTTCTCTCGAAGCTCAGAAGGACAAGGTTTGTTCCATTCTCGTCCTCGTCATCGAGTCCGACATCCTTAGCAAACCTTCGAACAAAAGCAATAGAACGGTCTTGCGCTAATGGCTCTGCTCTCTCTTTGCGGCAATGCGTAGCTCATCCTCACTGCTCTTAATTCATCCAAATCTGCATATGCTTGTTTTTCGTTCTCTGCCACGCGCTTCTGCTCGCGTTATCACTTTGAAGGCAGCTCTCAGAACCATGAAAAATTCTATTGTACCCTCTACATCCGAGTGAGTCACCCTCTAATATCCTTCCTCCAACCGTCTCACGAATACCAGCCATGCTCCTTGCCCTTTCTTACTAAGAATGGGGATATAGGCTCTTATTTCCATCTTCCGCAGCCGAGTGGGCGGAGATCCGCAGCGTGACCGTGAGAAGGAGACTCTCATTGACCGCTGTGAGGTCGCCATCGAGGATGGACCGGGCGTCCAAAGCCGCTTCATCGCCAAGCTCGTCTTCCGGAACGGTATCGCCTCCACGCATCGTCTCCCTTTTGAGGTTGTGGTGCCCGTTCACGCCAAGTTCAATCGTGAGGAGGCAGTAAATCACTGGACCATCCCATCGAGGACGCTGCGGCAGCTGATGGATCATTTCGGACCCGGCGTGGAGCTTTTGGACGTCAACTCGGATGGAGAGCATGTCAAATTCACCTGTTTCACCGAAAAGACGGTCAATGGAGACGGTGTGTGCTGAGTCCCATTCCCCACGTTGCTTTGCGTATGGCTGCAGGTGAAGCTTAGAAACTAGAGAGAGGTGTGCTAACCATTTTTTGTCAGAGGTTCTCAAGAAGCCGCTACGTACATCTATAGCCATCGAGGTTGACGAATTCGAGGACCTCAAAATCGAAGACAGCCTCCACATCGTCATCAACGTGCGCGACTTCCGGGCCATTATCCAGCACGCCGGTATTTCCGGTACCAATGTGATGGCCCGCTACTCTGGTCCAGCCCGTCCGTTGCAGCTGACCTACCCAGGCGACGCCGTGTCTTGCGAGTTTCTCCTGATGACCGTCGGTGAGCGCACCGCCAACCCTCCCCATAAAACCAAGAGGGGGAAAAGCGTCAATAGCACAAAGGGGCCACGGCAGCAACAGCTCGAAGCCGCGTCTAGGAGACAGAGTGCTGCGCCGTCAGAACAGCTCCAGGGTGCCCCGCAACCTCAAGCCTCGGGTCATGCACAGTCCAGACTAGGTGGTGCACAACCGCCTCCGCCCCAGCATCCAATGCTTTCGGCCGGGTCGAATGTCGGAAGAATGTCAGCGTTTGATCTCCGTCCGTCTCAACGGCCAGCTCCGCCGCCTACTATGCGCTCGGAGGGCCTGTTTGTAGATGACTACCAGTGGGAGCCAGTTCACGAGGATGACGAGGAAACAGAGGAGAACGCTAGGTTAGAATGGGACCAGAGCGTCCAAACTGTAGGTTTCATCTTCATCCATCCCCTCCCTAACCTCTCCCTCAAGCTGCCTGTCACTGACACAAATGGTTGCAGGCCGAGCCTACGTCCCGCATGGACCGCACCATGTCCGACGCGGACGAAACGAACGAAGCGAACGCAGACGCCACCCAAGCGAGCAGTGTTGGCTTGGAGCCGACGCAGCGTCTTTCAGAAGTGGAGCGTATGGGACTATTCTTCCGTGAATAGACTGGGAGAAGCAGGGTGACATCGATCCCACCACACTATTGTTCTCTGCTGGGAATTTCGATGGCCAATGGGACAGCATATCCCCATCCGATTCGACTGGATGTTCAACCAGTCGTAATGTTGACCCAGCTTGTTGCACAGCCAGCACCAATGCCTGTAATATTAGAACCGGACGGAATGAATTTTGAAGAGGCAATGACATTCCAGCGGCCCTTGACATTGTTGTTTTCCGCTTGCGGTCCGCAGTTGCCGTGTTCTCCCCAGCCCCAAGACAATACGTCGCCGTCATCGGTCAAAGCTACGACATGCTCGCTTCCGATAGCAATTCTGGAGAGCTTGGGCAGATTCGGCGGCGAAAGCTGTCCGTGGTCATCCCGGCCCCAGGACAGGAGTGACCCATTTTGATTCAAGACGTACACATTGCTCCAGCCGGCTCCGACGTCCTTCCACCCTGGAACTTGTGGCGGTGCCGACGACCGAACGTGCCATTTGTCTGACCCCAGGGTTTCCAGGCGACCCGTTTCGGGCTCGCCGAACAAGCACGTAAATTCCCGGCCGCACACGGCTCGCACGATCTTGAAATCGATTCCCTCGACCTTCCTGGGCGTATAAATGATACCCTCAGGGCTACCGGCCTGGCCCTTGCGTCCGTTGCCCCATGAATATGCATCCCCATTGTTTAGTACAGCAACCACGTGTCCCATGCAAGCCGCGAGATCCACAACTTCGGTTCCTGGGGGTGGAAAGTCCTTGAAGCGCGTGGCGGAAGGCGAGCGAACAAGCGACTCCCCATGACCCAACTCGCCTTTCCCACCGGAACCAAAGCTGTACAGCTCGGTGAATTTACCCTGGCCATCCCGCTTGGCAATGAATGTCGCTTCCCAAGTGGCCGCGATCAGTGCCACGTCTTTCGTGCCGGTAGCTACATCGTCTTCTTTCGCGAGCTGGACGGGTTGAAAGACGAGTTCATTGGTCAAAGCGGATGATGTAAGACCACAAGCGCCAGAGCTAGGATCACCGCTCCAGTAGAGTTTTCCATCTGCGGTAAGAATAATGGTGTGGTTTCCACCGGCTGCTATCTTGGACACGGGTGAGGCCGGGGACTCTGGGTGGAATATGACCTGTTTGGGGACCGAAACATCTTCTTTGTGGGATATTCCGAGCTGACCTGAGCCGTTCGACCCAAGAGTAAATAATACGGACATTCTTTTAGCGGGAAACCCAGGTTCTTAGGCTTGGAATCATAAGTTGAAGAATAGGCTCAGAACTTGTCAGCACACAAATAAGGTACGCAAAAGATGTGTGTGTGCATTGAAGAAGAGTAAAAGATACTCTGCGGAAATATCTAACTATAAGGTAAAAGGAGGGGAAATCGATATAGATATATCGGTCGGAAGTACTCTATCCGAGTATATAAATGGCGTAAGTCACACCCCGATAAGTGTGTGGTGGTATCTGACACCCCCCCCTTAGAGCTGCTGGATTAATCCTGACTATTCTGCTTAATTAAAGCCGTAAATCTAGGGTAAAATAGAGGCCTAGATATTAATCCAATAATTAAACGGCTTATTAAAAAGCGCGCTCTTTTTATGCCTAAAAACGTTAAAAACGTGTAAAAACAGGTAGTTAAATTAACCCTATAATAACGTTAAAACGTTAAAAACAGGTGCCTAAATAATAATCTAAGCGGCACTAAAATAACAGTTAATCTAGGCTACAGATTATAAACTCAGCACCGCACCTCGTATAAATTACCTTAAGCCCCCTGGCTTAGGACCTTTATTCCTAATAGATATATAAACGTCTTATATTTCTACGGGGGAAGTACCTTAGTTAGCCTATCGCTGACTATCTCTTAGGTCGAGATCTAGGCGATTAGGACTTTCTTCTATTAAACGACCTATCGAATCTAAAGGGCGTGGATATCTAGATACTTTAATCTAGATATAACCTAAAGGCCTGGAGCCTTTAAAAGGATCCTCGTTTAGTTATTATCGTAGTATATCGTTAAATGCTTATTTTTAAAGGTTAAGGTTAGGTCCTTAATTAAACGCCTAATCGCGAATTACTGCCTAGTAGTAGCAGAAAGGGCTATAAGCTCGGCTTTAGTACTAGAGATCACGACACTTATTTACTTATTTACCTTCTAGTCTATAGAACCCCCGAATAATAGTATAGTATAGCCTTAGGAGCTATACCAAGTCTCACGGTTATCTCTAAAGGCTATATTAGAAGTATAGTAAAGTGCGTATTATAGGTGGTTTTTACGTGGTCTAAAGTAAAAGCATAGAGACTTAGTCAAGGCCAGGTACTTTAAACACTTATCTACGGTATCGTGATACTATTTTAATAGGTTAGTATTAAATTCGGTAAGCCTCGAAGCGGCCTTAGATATGTTAGGCCAGGTCTAATAGGCGGCGTAATTAATAGAACCGACCTTCCGTAGATATAGGTGGATTAATTCTGCAGAGGCTTATTAGTCGGTAGTAGTTAATTCTAAAACGTTAGGAAAAGGAAGAGGGCTTTTAACCCTACGCCCACTAAAGGGGAAATCTATCCCTAACGCCTTAATCTTTTCAGAGATATAGTTCTCGAGCGAAAGCTAAAGCCGACGTTATTAACGATCTCGAACCACTCTAATCCCTAGGAACCACTTAAGTGGGCCGAGGTCCCTTACTTAAAAGTGCTACTATATCTATTATATAAGGGAATTAGCAGTAGATTAATATTCTTTCCTATAGATTAGAATAATATCGTCTATATAGAAGAAGACGATTAGTTCCTTACTTTTAAAGACGTAATCGTCTTTAGTCAGTTACTTTAGGTCGTATTTACCTAAAACGGAAGAGAGCTATTCGTGCTATAGTTTAGGGGAGAGCGACGTACGCTATATAACGCCCTACGTAGGCGTTATATATTGCGCGAGGGTGGTAGCGATAGCTTTAAAAAAGCCTCGAGGTTACTATTAGATATATCTTTTACTGCTTAAAGCAGCGGCTACCCGGGTAGATCCTTAACGTAAATCTCTTTGTTAAGGGTGGCGTTAGTGAAGGCGTTAACGGCATTAAGCTAATAAGTCTCCAGGTCAAAATAGACAGTAATAGCTATTAACGACCTAAAGGTCCTACCGGCAAGGGTGGAAGCGTAAGCGTTAAGGTGGTTTTTAGGCTATTAATCGCCTCGCATGTATAGCCTCGCCTTAAACTTACTAACGTACCCCGACGAGTTAACCTTATACTTAAAGACCTATTTAAGGTCTAAGGCACGTTGCCTAGGGCAGCTCTGCTACTTTAAAGATGCCTATTAACTTAAATGTATCCACCTCTTATACGGCTACCCTAAGCCATTATAGCTTATAGGGGCTCTTTAGTATCTAAGACCAGTTTAATGGTTCCTTAGGTATCTCGCGGCGTAATAGCGGCTTTTTCGGCTTCTCGAAGGTAAAGTAGGAGACGTAATCGTTATATCTAGAAGGAGGTTAGAGATTACGAGTAGGCCGCCCTATAGGGGTAGACGTTAAAGCTAAAGCAGGCGAACGATAGGTTAGTTATTAGGCCTAAATGGTAGTAGTAGTAGTAGGATTAGACTTAGCTGCTAAAGATAGGGTTACTGCTTATAGATTAGTTATTTAAGGAGCAGCGGTAGTAGCAGTAGCAGTGGCCTCTTTAATAACGGATTAGTTAGGTGATAATAATCCTATCCCGACGGCATCGTTAGTAGCCTCGCCTATAGCCTCTTTTAAGGTGGAGGAAGATCCGCTAGTATCGTTAGATTCCTCTTAATTGCTACGTTTAATTATAGGATCGTTAGGAGGTAGCGAAAAGGGCGTATAAGTAGGCCTTAAAGAAGAAGAGGTTATTAAAAAGGGTAAAATTAGTGCTTTTAGTGCCGTTATTAAAGAGGAGGGTAAAATAGCAGTTGAAGGGGAAGAAGTAACGGTAGGAATAATAGTAGGTATAACGGTAGGCACTATTCCTGCCGCGGTAGCCGTTCCACGTAATACCTCTTAATTAGTAACCTATTAGTTTTTAGAGGCGTTTTTAGTGGTTTTTGCGTTAGTGGTGGTTTTTAATCTTTTACCACTACCGCCGGCTACCTCTTTAGATCTTAACGATTAAGGCTGTTATTAACGCCTCCTTCTCTCTTATAAAGCCTTTATTATAGAGTTCTCCTGCGTTACTATAGGTATACCGACATCGATAATATCCGTTATAACGCTAAAAGAATCGTGAATCCCTTAATCTAACGGTAGATTAAGCTCTTTATATAGTTCTAAAGGCATATTAGGCTCCTCTCCCCTATTTTTATAAAGGACTAACTCGTCGAACACGACGTCCCTTACGCGTAAGATCCTCCCTAATTTTAGCACCTAAATCCGAAAAATATTAGTGCCTTCGTAGCCGAGTAAATAACCGATATATACCCTCGGTATAAGCTTTTCGTTCTTATACCTCCCTCGCAGATAGTTAGTAGTTAACGTGTACGTCTTATAACTATACCTCTTTAGGTGCGTAATTAAGGGATTGGTTCCGGCTATAAAGCTAACAATACCCTCTTTGTATAGCCACGCGTTTAGTGCTCCCTCGGGGGTTTACTAGCCTAGATCCCTACGTGGAATCCTATTATATAGGTAAGTGGCTACTATAATAATCTCTGGCCATAGATCCTATTAGAAGCCTAAGGTATGTGCTAATACCCTCGCGATAGCGAAGATAATATCCCTATACCGTTCGGCATTAGCGTTCTATACGGCTATATAAGGAGCCGATCTTTCTAGCAGGATACCAAAGACTAGTTATCTAGCTTCTTCTATAGCGCCCTCTCTCCATCGAGTCTAATCACACTAATAAGTAGCCTATACTACCTCTATAAGAAGAGTTCGAAGTTAGCTATTAAGGATAGTATATGTTTATACCCTAGTATCGTTCTGGTCACGTTTTTATACGTGCAGGGATCGTGGAATAGGGTAATAGTATCGTCGCTGTTAGCGGCAGGATCTATAGAAAACAGATCCACGTTAATCCTCTAAAAAGGCCTTATTAGCCTATAGGTAAGTAGACGTCGCGATACTATCCTTTTTACCTTACTAATAGCGTAAGCCTCGTAGTCTACCACTAAAGGTGCCGCTCTTTCTTCTTTTAAAGCTATAATACCTCCTACGCACCCTTTTACCAGCTACGCTAGGCTTAAGGGTTTACGTGCCCTAGCCTCTTATACCATAAACGGGCGTCGGCCACACTTATAGGCTTTAGTTCCCTTAAGCTGTTAAAATAGCTCTGTTACTATAAGCATTACAGCGTGCTCTTAATCGGTTCAAGGGTATATTAGCCGTTAACGTTAATTAACGGTAGGCAGGTATATCGGTCTATTACTAAGATATCTCTGCCGGTTATAAAAATAGTATTCTAATCCTTCTATAACCTACGCGTCGCTAGCAGCGTTATAGGATATCTATCCATAAATGCTACGCTCTTTAGTATAAGGGTATAAGGATATCCTTTTATATCTTTAACCTAAAGACGCAAGGTACCGTACCCCTCTACTAGATTAGAGGTACCGCTACCTATCTAAAATCTAACGATAGTGGTAGCAGGCTAGAAGTCCTTAAGCAGGTAGCGTTAATTAGTTATATACCTTAAGGACTCCGAATCGATTAGTAACTAATTAAAGAGGTGGTTACTAACCACCTATTTAGTCTATAGGAGCGAGAAAACCGATAACAAAGCTACTACTTCTTCTATAAAATTAGAGGCAAAATATATATTGTAAAAGCTATTATCAGAATCCTCTTCCCTATTATTAACGAAATTAGATACTTCCTTAGACTAATCTTTCTCTAGTAACTTAGCTTTAGTCTCTTTTACCGTATTTTTTGCCTTATCGATATCCTTTTTAATATACTCCCTAAACCTTTTTTACTTAGAAGCACTCTAGCTCTTAAGAACGCGGTTATAGCGTTCCACTACCTCCTTTATAGGCATAAAGCCCTTTTAGCGGCGCGTCGGATTAATATTCGAGTAACCACTCCACGGATAGCAGTGGCGTTTAGCTCTTCCTATCTTAACGTAATCGCAGATAAATTCCCTTACCGAAGAATCCTCTTTTCTCTATTACTGCTGACCTTCCTAATTAATAGGCTACTATCTACTATCTTTATCCTTTCCTAGGAATATCGCCGTATAAAACGATAACTCTATAGGCTTCTTATTAAGCCTATAGGGATACCTACAGCGTAACTAAACCGTATATTCGTTTATAATCTCTTCGATAATAGGTTAGTCTTTCTTATCTTCTCTTAAAATCTCTATAAAACGCGCCTTTAACCACTTTAAAGCTATAGTACCGATAGCCCCCAAAAACGCGTTAAGTTAATTCTCTATAGTATTAGAAGATCTAACGCTATAGGTTTTTAAATCTCGGTATAGCGATATAAAGTCCTAAAGCTAGCGCTTATGGGGTATTCTCCGTATATTTTATATATATTCTTCCTATCTCTTCTTAACTAAGGACTTCTAGGTAGCGTTAATAGGTTTAAGATAGTCCTTTAAGGCGATTAGGATATCTTTAACCTCCTTCTTCCCCGCGTACTAATCTTTAAGATTAGGATTAACTATCTTCGCGATATAGTCGTGAAAAGTAGCTAAACCTTATTACTATTACTGATATTTATTCTCTTTACGTTCTATAGCTTAAACTTACGATCCTAGGTATTATCTTCGTTACCTTCTTCTAGCTCTAGAGGTTCCGAGGATTCGAGCTATTAAGGACATTTAGATTCCTTAAGGTCTGGATTAATAAGGTTAGAGACCTAGTTAGCGTAGGCTATCTATATAATAGCCTTAATCTAATAACGCTATTCTTTTAGTAAGGTAAGGATCGTATAGTCTATTATAGGTAACGCTATAGTTAAGGCTATCGTCTAACTAACTAGGACTATAGGGAAATAAACTATCGAAACCGACTATAACGGACCGATTAAATAAGGAACGATTAAACGAGATAGAATAAGATAGGGGGTTAAAATAAAGTAAGCGGACGTAGCTAATAATACTAAGCTAACCGCTATAGACTTAAGACTATTTTGACTGTCTTAAAGCTACAGGATCTATCAGAATAGCTTCGTTTATTAGAACGCTGGGCTTATAACTATTAGTATATAAATAAGATATGCAAAAGATATATATATGCATTAAAGAAGAGTAAAAGATACTCTGCGGAAATATCTAACTATAAGGTAAAAGGAGGGGAAATCGATATAGATACATCGGTCGGAAGTACTCCATCCGAGTATATAAATAGCGTAAGTCACACCCCGATAAGTGTGTGGTGGCATCTGACAGAACTCAAGTTCCTGTGGTACCCGCACGAACCTAGAGTCTCCGTAATTACACCGTATACGTACTATTCGGTACAAGGTTACTACCGATTTTGCATTCGAAATGAAGCCTCCATCACTCTATCCAGCTCATGTGGCTAAGCAATCTGCCCCACTCTCAGTCAACCACAAAAACTCGCGACCTCCCGAGATTTCCTCTCGATTCCTCCTTCTCCTCGCATATGTTCAGAGCATCCGCAAAGCCACCCGCCCAACCACTGACTCCCCATCGGCGCGTTGACAGGTGTGGAAGCCAGCTCTTGAAATTCTCCTTCCAGGATGTGAGTTCTTGGGCTTCTTCCATAGTCCTAGAACAACACAATTCCTCGCCTCAAGCCCTACCACCATGACCTCCACGTCTCCTCCGTCAGCCGCGGCCGATGGCCAGATTCGGCCAGACGGGATGGAAGACTTTGTCGTCGGTCTAATCGGCATGGGTGACATGGGGAAGATGTATGCGCAGAGGCTTTCTGCTGCCGGTTGGAAGTGAGTGCGCCCAGCAACTTCCATCTGCATTGGTGCGAGAACCTCTGCGCGTCAGGGTCTATGGTATGTCCTCTCTTTTTCATTTCGTCGGCACGTCTCAAACCCTTTTTTCACTCCACCCTTCCCCTTCCCCTGTGGTATGATGACATGAGCGCATTTGGCTAGAGTATCGTTCGGGACGCCCTGGTCGGCCATTCTGGTCTCTGGGTACCGTTCCGTTCTTTCCATGATGATCCCCTAGCTACCTTAACAAATTATTTTGTCTGACCACATTACCCTTGTCAAATTCTTCTATGGCATTACATGGATGAGAACGTTTACTGACTGGGTCGCAGAAACCAGGACTTCTTTTTCTCCTTTCCGTGCTCATCGATCGTGGAACTGACAAGCGGAGAGCAGAATAATGGCCTGTGATACGGAGGAAAAATATGAGGCGCTGAGGAAAGAATTTGATGGCAATGTATGGACTTTGCCTTCCCTCGCCTAGTCCTAGTATCACAGCTGAGTATCGGGTAATAGAACGATGTACAAATCTGCCGCAACGGTCACTTGGTCTCGAGAGCCAGCGACTACATTATCTATAGCGTGGAGGCCGCCGCCATTCACAATGTAATTGCCCAGTATGGACCTTGTATGCGTCTTTCCTGCGCTCCCTGTGCTTGTTTGTTGCGGTTAGAATCTGGCGTCTTCGTATGGGGCACACGTTTCTAACACTGTCGTGCTTCTCTCGCAGCCACCAAGTTGGGTGCCATCGTTGGCGGTCAGACGTCATGCAAGGACCCCGAGATCAAAGCCTTTGAGCGCCATCTCCCCGCAGACGTGGACATCGTCTCGTGTCACTCTCTCCATGGACCAGGCGTCGATCCACGCAACCAACCGCTCGTGATCATTGCCCACCGCGCCTCCCCTGCCTCCGTGGCCAAGGTCGAGATGGTCCTGTCTGTACTGGGGTCTAAGCACGTTCACCTCTCGGCCAAAGAGCACGACCGCATCACGGCCGACACGCAGGCCGTGACGCACGCCGCATTCCTCTCCATGGGCAAGGCGTGGCACGCCAACCGGCAGTTTCCCTGGGAGATGACGCGGTACGTTGGAGGGGTCGAAAACGTCAAGATCAACATCATGCTCCGCATCTACTCGCAGAAATGGCATGTGTACGCCGGCCTCGCCATCCTGAACCCGGAGGCGCGCAAGCAGATCTCTCAGTACGCCCGCAGCGTGACGGCCCTGTATAAGCTGATGCTCGAGGGCGACCTGGGTGCGCTGCGAGCCCGCGTGCTGGCGGCCAAGGAGAAGGTGTTTGGGCGGGACGACGCGCCGCTCTGGGACGATCAGCCCCTCCTCAACCCTGATCTGCTGGAACGGTTCTCGTTGGGGCGCAAGGAGCCGGGGGAAGCGCCGCGGGCGAACAACCACCTGAGCCTGCTGGCCATGGTGGATTGCTGGGCCGAACTCGGCATCATACCGTACAATCACATGGTCTGCTCGACGCCGCTCTTCCGGCTATGGCTCGGTGTCACTGAGCACGTCTTCCGGAGTCCGGGGGTCTTGGACGAGGCGCTGCGTGTCGCGGTCGAAGACAGGACGTACAGGTCCGACGACCTCGAGTTTACTTTTGCCGCTAGGGGATGGGCGGAGTGTGTGTCGCTGGGTCACTTCGAGACGTGGAAGAATCGGTTCGAAACGACACAGGAGTTCTTTGAACCGCGGTTCAAGGATGCTACTGTGGTTGGGAATGCCATGATGAAGGCTGTTCTGGAGAGCACAAGGAATTAATGAATGTAGGCACAACATGGCACGATTCGGGAATCTGGTTTATTGATATAGCTCAATCAAAGTCTGGCAGGTCGCCCGGTACCTCAGTGAAGGTCTTGGCCGTCACTCATGTAAGCGGCCATTCATCAATGTTATTATCATCTCTGTCGCGAGGTGTTTCTCCTTTTCTTCTCGCAGGCTTTCTTCTTTCATGGCGGACCTTTTTCCGATTCGTCATGTCCAAGACAGCTTTTCTTGGACTACAGAACAGTGGAAAAGCCCAGATCATCTCCTTTCTAGGTAGCCTATGTCCTCTTCAGGTCTCTTTGACATATCCCAGGGTCGCTAAGCAGTCTCTTCTTTGCACAATCTAAAGCATAGAGTTCCCTTGGGGCTCAGATCAGTGGTGGGTTTTTCCCAGTGTTCTTCGACCTGTGTCTACTTGTTCTTACCTTACTTAGGTATTCTACCTTCCTAAGGTACCAAGGGTACCCCCAAATAGGCGGCCAGAGAATACATCGCTCCTTCTCCCAGGCTTTCTATGGATGGGGGTAGGAAGGACCGTATGCTCTTACCCTCCCGACGTCCTGTTATCACTGATTCCAATGACATCACTGCCTGGTTCGTCCCTTGCCAAGCCGGACTTGCACATCGACATGGAAACGTCGAGACGCCTGTCCAGCGGCCAGAATATCGACGTGGCTAAACCATCTCAGCTTCCATTTACTCTCACTTCCCATCTGCCAGGTGGCGCGTCCTCAGCCGCAAGCGCCTCACCGGGCGTTCATCAATCTAGCGGAGAGGATGCTTCACCCCGACCCCAACCCCAACACCAGCACCAGCACCAGCACCAGCACCAGCATCGTCAGTTGATACTTTCCCACCCACCAAGAAAACTGAAGGCACCAATACTAATCTACGATGGCCGGCACCGCAGTCCGCCAACCCTAGGACCAGGGTAAAGATCGCGATGCCAGCCGGCCGCCCTCCTCCCCGACCATCCCAGGGACAGGCCAGCTCTTCGCTTCAGTCTCAGGGTGACGCTCGTAGCAGTCTTGCGGCACAGTCCAAGCCGCAGCGTTTCTCGATGGCTCGTCGCGGTCTTGGTCCTACTTGCACGCACACGACTATGACCCGTATCTACAGCATCGATCTCCGTTGTGATTCGTGCCATCAAGTCGGAGCTTTCGGCTGGCTGTACCGCTGCACTCAGGATCGAGAGGAGCTCATCTGCCAGATGCTGGCTGTTGGAAGCAAGGTAGGTTGAGTACTTGTACTTTTATACTCACTCGCTTGTTCCTTTTCTTACGACGCGACGGGGAGGGGGGCGGGGGCAAAGGAGCTGATCCGATGATACGAGTAGAAGGCCACATTCGACGAAACTGGCGATGTGCTGGCAACGCAAGTCAAGCCGCGGTTACGAGGTCCCGAGGCACGGGCAGACAAGCTGAGCTTCTTCAACGAGATTACTTCTGAGCAATTGCAAACCTACTCGGCCGAACAGGTTGCGGCCATTTTACGCCAGCGTGAGCATGTCCAGAATGTTATCAAAGACGAACTAGCGAGGCACAGGGAAGACAGAGCAGAAAAGACACGACTTTTCGGAGAGTTGCGTCAGAAGACCGGTGAACATGTTCTCCCGGAAGTCGCCAGGATCGATCGTTGGGATGAGCTCCAGAAAATGAAACCATGGGTCCCGCGCCCTGAAGATGAGTGCCAGTTCAAGGTATGCCCAGCTTGCCGAGAGACAGGGGCGGAGCGCGCGTCCATCAGCCTCGAAGGCGTTCTCAACGGTGATATCCCTGCCACGGCTGCCACAGGCTACGGCTTTCACGTCTTCGACCGACGACCGGTGTATGATGCCGCTTTTGTGGCCAAATTGGGCGAACACGCCAGCCGCCGTGTGAGTCCAATATCCCTTGCCTTTATGAGAAGCCGAGGAGCGGCTCATTGTTGTATTTTGTACAGCAGGCCCCTGTTGTTACCACGGATTCTGAAGCATTCGCTATGCCCTCTGAGCGTGACGACTCGACGACCACTTCTATGTCGAGCAACGCTAGCAGCACGGACGATCAACTGCCCGACACGAGCGGCCGCGTGTCGTGGAATAAAAGAGGCTGGAATTCGCAGGGGGGCGTATCTACTGTGTACCAGGCAGCGGCCCAAGCTGCCGCCGCTTGTGTCAACAAGGGACACCTTCCTCGATCACCTGGGTCTCCAGACCTCTCTCATCTCACGGATGTGGAAACCTTTCTGGAGAAAACGACCGAGATGGAGAAGCGCGAGTCGGAGGAGGGCAAATTCGGTGACAAGCCACTCGAAGTGGACAAGGGAGTTGCACTCTCGGAAGAAAGCGTCGAACTGCATATTCCAGATGTGCTTACTCAAGTCTAGGAGAGTGTGGAACCAACAGCGACGACGGCGATTATTAGGGCCAGTCTTGGACTGCTTGCGACTTGGGGATACCTCTCTTGTACCCCGCTCTTGTACTCCGCATAGAATTGCGATCGCTTCAGGTCGGAATTCGGTTATCGCGAGGCTTACCGTTGCATCCGCGCATCGCACGGTTGCGAATATGGGATTCGCCCCGGCGGATATGCCCGTAGCAAAAAAGGGAACTGTAGACGCTATTTGTCGGCATAATTCCCTCGTAAATATTTAAGGTCACGGAATGAATACGAGAAGAGCATTTACCAACCTGCAGTGTGCTGTCTGAGTGCAATGCAACGTGACAACAGCCTCCCACAGACCCTCAGTCAGTCCCTTGGTTCACGCCCCCGAGTACCTCGAATGATTTGTGATTTCTGTCATTCACTGGAAGAAGTATCGAATTCGTAATTCCAACCCGTGTTGAGAGGACGGAACTTCTACTGGGCGAGGGAGAAATAGGTAATCCACGGAAAACACAGCGGCCGAGCGAACCGATCTCACTCACCATGTCCAAGGCAACGAAACTCTAATGCTCCGCCATTCCTTCAGCTTTCGCCTGTCATGTCTGGGATGGCCTTGCATACAAAATGGAGCAACAGCGGCAGCTTAATCGAGGCTTTTCGCCGGTGATTTGTGAAAGGCCATGATGGGAAAAGGTACATGACTGAGTGATAGGAGAGAATCGCGAGCCTTGATCTTCAGGATGAGGGATAAAAATGGAGTGGCTAGAAGACGTAGGCATGCTCTGGAAACTTGGTTGAGGATGTGGCAGCGGCAGAGCGTTCAAAAGTCTAATGCCAAGAGATGTCAACTGTTAATCAAAACGGGAAAAGAGCATCAAGTTGTTATAGTGTGAGTATCTATGCCGCTCCCTGGGAGGTCTCCTCGGTGTCATCACGAGCAACAAGTTGTAGCTTGCACAGTGTCTACAAATCAAGTCTATTTTTGAACTCAGAAATCAATCACTCTAGCTCGATGGTACCTATTACCGGTTAGTACTAGTTCTTGAGTAAAGGGAGGTTGCTTGAGAGGATTCGTCTCACCCGGGGGCTTCGATGTTGTATCGTAAACAACTCTCGCAATGCCATCGACTTCGTTGACAATGCGTCTGCTTATAGCCTTCAGCAGAGTCCACGAGAACTCGTACGGCTCGGCGCTCATCATGTCCAAGCTGGTCACGGCTCTGAGGATGCAGATATACCCGTAAACCCGGGAATCACCCTGCACTCCCACGGCTGTCACAGAAAGCCCAGTCAGCGATTATGCTCAAAAAAAGATACGCAGGTCCGGTTGAGCAGGGCAAGTAGGCCAATGTTGAAGGAAAAGGATAGACCACGTACCTCTGTTCGTGTCAAGCGCAGCGTAGGCTTGCGTGACCTCTTGGTAAAGACCAGCTTCTTTGATCATTGAGATGAAAATGTGGTCGGCCCTTCTCACGATCTCGACTCTCTCGGGAGTGATCTCGCCGATGATCCGGATACCAATACCTGGTCCAGGGAAGGGATGTCTCATGACCAGATCTTCATGGATACCGAGTTGGCGACCAAAACTCCTCACCTCGTCCTTGAACCTTTTTTTGCAATCAATGTCAGCTCTCGGTCACAAGGCCCAATAAGTACTGGCGGGGACTCCCGGCGTTGATCGGCGAGCGACCAGAAAATAGGGGAGGAGAGCGACGTACAGCTCGCGAAGGGGCTCAAGCAACTTGAGTTGCGCCTCCTGTTTCTCATATTAGTCCTCATGTTCTAGAACAGCCACCTGGCTTCACTTACGCCATTCTGCATTCGAGCCGGGAGACCTCCGGCGTTGTGGTGGGCTACGATCATGTCAGTCAAAAAGGACATTACACGACAAGCATGGAAGAACGTACACTTGATGGTAGCTGACGGCCCTCTATATTTGTTGTCAGTGGGGGTTCAAAGCAATGTGGGACCTCTGCAGGCCCTGTTTCGGTGTTCGACTCCTTACCTGAAGCTGAGGCTCTCAATGATGTCGGCTATTCAAAAGTTAGGCTCTCGCAGCTATGGAAAACGATGCGATAGCTGATGATTATACTGACCATATAAGGTGCCCTGAAGGAACCATTCCACCTTGCCAGCAAGGGGTGTATTCTCGGCGCCTTTCTCGATCCTAAACGGGTATCACAATGAGTCCTGCACAGTTCGAAACTGGTGAAAAGGGGTAACTTACCGAAGTGCCTCAATCTCGAAGAGATCAATGACTGTACAAAAAGAAATTAGTACGTCAAGTCTGCAAGTGACATATATTCCAGCTTACAAGTTCCGCCGATGATCTTGCGCTTGGCCTCGGGTTCGACGACTCCGGCAAGACGACCCAAGAAGAGCTCAGACCCATCCACAATCGTCAGGTTGATACCGAGATGCTCCTGCAGCGTTTCCTTGACTTGTTCGCATTCGTTGAGACGCATCAAACCTACAGGTTGTCATTAGAGTTAACCCGTATTGTATATGCATCTCGGACCACGCTGCTTACCAGTATCCACAAGGATGGCGTGGAATCGGTCGCCGATAGCTTCTTTCAGGAGCTTAGCCGCCACGGTACTATCAACACCTCCAGAGACGGCTCCAATCTGTCAAACGGGGGTTAGTCGGTGATTCACCGTTTGAAGCAGTGCTCTCGACACATACAACTTGGGCCTTGTCTCCAACAAGCTTGCGGATCCTGTTGACCTCCTTTTCGGTGAAGTTCTCCATCTCCCAGTCGGCACGAGCCTTGCAGATATTGACGGCAAAGTTGCGGAGAATGTCAGTGCCCCGTGCGGTGTGGGAGATCTCAGGGTGGAGCTGGATACCTAAGTAGCAGCAGTCATTCCTCGTTAGCTACCCGAAAGGATGGCCAGGCGAGAGCCTAGGGTGCAAGGGTGAGGACAAACCGAAAATGGGTTTCGACTCGTGGGCAATTCCGGCGAACTCGGCGTTCTTCGTCGAGGCAATTTTCACAAATCCCTCGGGCAGACGAACGAGCTTGTCGAAGTGACTCATGAAAACTAAGACGATACGAAGATCAGGAATATGGACCCCCAGAAGATCACACTTTCGGTGTGAGGGCAAGACAAACCGTGCAGGCAGTCTCCCAGACCCTCGAAAAGGCGGTCGGGATCGCCCCCGACTTTGTGGATGGAAAGGTCCGTCTCGCCATACTCTCGCGCATCGCCGCGAGCGACGTTCTTGTCGTTGATACGCCAGGCAATTTCTTGACAGCCATAGCAGATTCCCCTGGGCTTATAAGCGAGCTGTCACGTCTGCGGTGTCTGGTTTGTAGCTTACAGGATGGGGACCCCCAGATCGAAGATTGCGGGATCGACGTCTGCTTACTGTTAGAAGAACGTCTGGGCCGTGAGATTTACGCATCCACTTACGAGGAGCTCCTTCATCATAGACAGAAGATGGGCCTAGTAGCTACGTCAGGAACCTCATATCATGAGGAGAGAGTAGTTCAAGCCAAACCTCCACTCAAAATGATGCCAACTGGCTTCCAAGTAAGCTCCGCAAGCTTCGTGGTACAACTGAGCATCTCGCAGTATACATTGAAAGATCTTAGACGTCGCACAACAAGGTGACTTGTCTGAGACCCAAAATCGAGCACCAGGATTGTCTAGACATTGCAAGTCAGTGACGAACGCCATTGCGGGCTAAATAAGGGGGTTTGGTTCACGTCAAAGGCGCTGTGCGGCGCAGCCGCTTCAACGGTGTCACTCATGGTGCCAGGAATAACTCGGTGAGACGTTATTTAAGAGTAGGTCTGGTATAAAATTGAAGTGTTGTTTGATGAGCGATAATTCTGATCCCTTCAGCGAGTCCAATCTGTCTGATAAAAGTGACTGACAAGGAAAATAAAATTTTCTAACCAAATGTAGCACTATGCCAACTGGGGCTAATACTGTACGTACAGTGAGTGAGTGAGTGAATGAGTGACTCTTGGGTCGCCTTAGTCGTGTTTTTTTGAAGAGGGGGGAAGAGAGTGGGCTTTCCCCAAGTGCTGAAACACAGCGATTACGAAAAATACTCCTAAGTACTTTCTAACTCTTGATAACAGGGTATTTTTATTTGTACTGAAATGTACTTCTCAGCCTCACAATGTTTGTCGTTGCTTTAGGGCTGCATATGGACTCTGGATAATAACAACGTAATCCGTCGTCTCGCCCTTTTTTTTTTTTACAAGAAAAAAAGAAGAAAAAAACAACCCCAAATTCATTTCATCTCAAGCCAACGCTCAGCTCAGCACTCCAATGCGGAATTGGGACGGTCGGTGTTGATTACTCAGATAGGTACTTCGTACTTTCGTGCTCATATTGGGTGAACATGTGGCTGACCGAACCGCGGTCGGTCGGCATAGCGACGCGATAAACAAACCATTGGCCGTCCCACACGCCACGAGACCCAGCCCCGGACGCTCGAGCCGCATTGGCTTCGTACCACCATCCCAACCCACACCGCAGCTCTTCTCGCACCCCATCCTTTGCCCAGTCACTTGTCGCGACGATCATCTAGGATACCCGGAGGACACGATTCTCGGGTTGACTTTCGAAGCCTAAAATATTCTCCATTCAATTAACGGTTGATAATTATTGGCGTCACTCCTTCGAATCCTACAGAACCCCTTGTCTCCAGCTCAGCCCAGCCGGGAAAAGGAGACCGAGACAACACACAGACAGACGGGTTTTGGTGCGACGACAGCGACAAAACAAACCGACCCCGACCCAAAATTCTTGCCTCCCCTAAAACAGTATAACCACGACGGGTATTCGCAACCATTTCTCGTGCGCTTCACGACGCGACGACCTCGAGAAACGTTGACGAGACGTTGATAAACGAACAGACGTTCTAATTGCCGAGGCAAATCGCCATCACGGACAGGGACGCCATGTCGGTCAAGTTCGAAAGCGAGACGATACGCCGCGGCGTCGAGAAGGCTCGCGACCTCCTCGATGGCGAGTCTATCCCGGGCACCAGCGGCAAGCGGCCCCTCAGAGCCGCCATCGGCACCGCCATTACCGGTGGGAGGGGGAATGCCGGCACCAAGGGTTATCTTGCGGTACGTCTCATCCGTCAACCGTCTTCCAACCTTATTCATTCTTCTCGTCGCACCTCGCCGTCGTCACACGACATGAATTCGTTCCTCAGAAAAAAGAAGCGATGCAGAAAAGAAAAAAAGACAAGGAAAACGAGCTCAGTCGCACATTACGATGTCGAGGAATAAAGTACCCGGTGGACTAACAGTGTTATCTTCGTATAGGCCTACATCAAGCAGATCGAGGAGAACCCCCTGCGCACCAAGATGCTGACTGCCGGTACTCTAGCTGGTGCCCAGGAACTCATCGCCTCGTGGCTCGCCAAGGACCGCAACAAGCACGGCAACTACTTCACCTCCCGTGTTCCCAAGATGGCCGCCTATGGTGCCCTCCTCAGCGCCCCCGTCGGCCATTTCCTTATCTGGCTCCTGCAGAAGGTCTTCTCCAACCGCACTAGCCTGCGCTCCAAGATTCTGCAGATTCTCGCCAGTAACCTCATCGTACGTCGTCATCCCTCCCTTCGCAGTTTTCCTTAGGTCGCCCTTCCCCGCCTCGATCTCTCCATCCCCCGAATAAATTCCAAGCAGTTGGAAGCGAAACAAGGGGGAATAGGAACAAGTTTTTTTTTTTTAATCAAAGAATCGAAGACTAACACATCCCTTGCCAGATTGCCCCTATCCAAAACTCCATCTATCTCGTCGCCATGGCTCTCATTGCTGGCGCCCGCACCTTCCATCAAGTCCGTGCCACCGTTCGCATTAGCTTCTGGAAGGTCATGAAGGTCAGCTGGGTCACCTCGCCCATCTGCCTTGCTTTCGCCCAGAAGTTCCTTCCCGACCAGCTCTGGGTTCCCTTCTTCAACCTCGTCAGCTTCGTCATCGGCACCTACATCAACACCGTCACCAAGAAGAAGCGCCTCGCCGCTCTCCGCAAGAAGCACTTCGGCAGTGCTGGTGCCTCCAGCGTTGGCGGTCGTCCCGAGGACTACCCTCCCATGGGCCCCCCGGGTTCCATTGGCCCGAACCCTCCTTACTAAAGTGTTGAGACTGAACGCCGAGGTTGTACGAGGTGAGCCGGAGAGAAAGCTAGTGCAGGGGAATGAGGGCAAAAGCGGGAGGGTGGTGGAACGAGTGACGTGTCTGTAATATGTGGTGAAAGTACTCGACCCTGAGACTTGGACATATCAGGAGTTTTTCTGGGTGGAGGAGGCGGATCTTGTGAGATGGGTGCTGCAAAGAGAAGGATTGTATGTCGGGCAGGCGCGAGGAGAACGTTTCACGTGGGCTTTCCGAGTTCACTAACGAAGCGTCGCGTGTAAACTGTTGTTAACCTTTCTTTGTTTCTATGCTTTCTTCTATCTCTCATGCTGCATGACTAGTGGTGGTAGATAGGTCGAAATCTGTGTGTGGTTCTGTGTTCGAACTCCGTTCTTGACTCGGATGTCTCCGCCCAATGAAGTGTAGAACGAGTGAATCAGGATTCACTACCGCGGCTCGGAAAGCCTACCATCGGTACTGTTCCGAGAGCCTTCCCAAGGCTTCGGCCTCGTGGTCCAAGTAGTGGCCGGCCCGTAACGCATTGGGGCACTAGGACAGGCCTGTCGGACCTGGTGATGTTCCTCATCGTATGTTTACCGGCGAACCCTCCCGGGGTTCAGTGACAGGTCTGCGCCCATTATATGCGGAGCCAGCAAAATGTGGGTGTCATGGAGAACAATACTCCCTGACACTTGTTGCTTTTGTCCTTTAGGCAGATATTAAGCTTTCTGGCTCCTCAGCCGCCTTCGGTCTCAGACGGCACGGCCGCACCTGCTGCCCCTGCCGCTCCATTCACCATGAAATCGGGACTCCAGTATTCCCACTCGCCAGGACACTGCTTATCAACCCAAAGCATGCCTTCTCCAAGGAGGTCCTCAATCGCGGTGACGGCACGGGCGCGGGTCCAGCCGAGATTATCCATGAGCATCCCAACACTTACGTAGCCCAGCACCTGGGCAGCTTCGAGGACGGCGCTCTGATCGGTGTTCAGCTCCTTGGGCACGCTGCGAATATAGGTCTTCCTTCCGACACGGATGACGCTAAAGGAGCTGCCGAGCGGTTTCAGGGTCCCTACGGCGCGCAGGATGTCGTCCTCCGTCACCTCGGGGCTACCTTCAGGACGTGTTTTCGTGATGCGCTCCTTCACCTCGCGGACGCCGATCAGGCCGCCGTTTTCGGGTCGGGTAGCAGTGCACACCTCAACGACACGGACGGCAAGCTCAAAGTAAAAGTCGTTGAGCGGACGGCCAAGGAGCTGTGCCCAGATGGAGCTGCCTGACGATGAGGAGGATGAGGAGGACGAGGAGGCCAGGGGGTCGACGCCTATTGCGGCGCACATGCGAGCGAACTGAGCGCGAAACGAAGGGTCGGAGCGGATATCTTTGGCGTGGGTCTGGGCAAACTGTTGCAGGAGAGAGCGGAAGACAGCAAGCTGGGTCTCTAAGGCGGCAGCGTTCGTGTTACGCAGATTGCTACCGTGACTAGCATACTGGGCGGAGGTGATGCGGGAGCGGTCAAAGGCCCCGATTCCAACACCCTTCCGGGACATGGCTGCTGGTGGTCGACGTTTTGGCCGGAGAGAATATCAATATAACTACCAGACTACCGGGTCACAGAGGCATGCCAAAGATCCAGTATAGAGGAGGGGTCAAGCTCATGAGCGAAGCAGTTGTTGGGTGGGTCATCGGAACCACTTTGGATGACATAATCCTCCCCCAGTCCCAGGGAGAATTAAGTCACGTGCATTTCATGGCAGTTAATTGACCCACCTTTGTCTTGCCCAATCGGGTCTAGCCCCAGCCAAGCGCACGCACAACCCTCACACAACTAGCCGATTTCAATTTTGCAAAGCGAAAGAAAGCGAAAGTGAGTAAAGCACGACAACGCCTTTTATCGCCGACCGACCTGTCAACCCTCCTCCGCTGCTGCGACTCTCAATCCTCTCGCAAGGCCACACAACCCCAGCAGCAAATATGTCGTCCACCCAAAGCGTCCAGTGCTTCGGCAAGAAGAAGACGGCCACCGCCGTTGCCCACTGCAAGGTTCGCGCCGACCTCCCCCCTTCGATCGTCGTCTCGTCAAAAACTGGTTTGGAGGACAGGAAATGTGGAACATGCATATTTGCAACGCGCTTTGGAACCGGGAAGGAGCAGGAACACGACGAAAAATTGAGATGTCAAGGAAGATTGGAGGGGAATTCATTTACCTAAGGGATCGTGACTGACGAACTTCCTCTATTCCAGGCCGGCAAGGGTCTCATCAAGGTCAACGGCAGGCCTCTGTCGCTTGTCCAGCCTGAGATTCTCCGCTTCAAGGTACGACCCTTATTGTTCATTCTCTCAGTCTGCCGCTCCATTTCACGTCGAACCTCTCGCCTTTCAAACTACAACCCATCACGCGATCCCCCGAAATCTTCACATGCCAAACGCCGGCAAATAACCCCGAAAAAGAAGGAAGGAAATGAAGAATGTCAACACATGAATGCTAACTGGCATCTTAGGTCTACGAGCCTCTTCTGATCCTCGGCCTCGACAAGTTCTCCAACGTCGACATCCGCGTCCGCGTGTCCGGTGGCGGTCACACCTCCCAGATCTACGCCATCCGTCAGGCCATCTCCAAGGCCCTGATCGCCTACTACCAGAAGTTCGTCGATGAGCACTCCAAGAACATGCTCAAGCAGGCCCTCGTAGCCTACGACCGCACCCTCCTCGTCGCCGACAACCGCCGGTGCGAGCCCAAGAAGTTCGGCGGTAAAGGTGCCCGCTCCCGCTTCCAGAAGTCCTACCGTTAAAGCATTTACCCATCCTCTTTTTGTTGTGGTGGTGCTGGTGGTGCCGGTGGCGGTGAGCAAAAGCGGCCGGCGCATGGGTATGGTGTGCCATGTACGCCTGCGTTGGTTACCTTTTGGGGGACGAGGGAAATGGCTAGAAACGAAAGAACGGGCGGCGGCGGAAGACGCATGGCTGGCTGGCTAGGGCTACCGCTGGGACCCGAGAATACCCAATCCGAGGCCCCAGCCCCCCTTGCGCGCAGTCTTTGGGAGATGCATGGTCGCAACTACTCACCCGGAGTCAACAGTGGATCAAAATTTAGGGGGGCTTACGGGGTTATCTTGCGCGCGTCGTCTTTTCCGATTATGCATTTGCATGGCCAAGAGGCTAGGCTAGGCTGGTTTGTAAAGGGTCAGGCAGGCAAATGAAACATTGATCAAAGACTGTTGTGAGTTCCGTCTTGGGGGGAACAGGTGTTCATGATTCATCGCATATGGGAGGTAAATATTCTGTGTCATTGGTGTCCATGTTGTGTTCCCACCTCCCAAATCTATCGTTCGCATGCGCGAATTCCCCAGCCTATGTACTAATCTTCTTCTTCCTCCGTGGGGCTCAATGAAAGAACACTGCGATGCTTTACAACCCAATCTACCTGTCTACATATGTAAAAGTCGACAACTCCAATGGACTGGTGCAGTTGTATACAAATTCACCATAGACCTACTACAGAGAATCATACTCACTACCCCTCTAGGTCAAGGCATCTCTCGGCAGGTCGGGACACCATCTGTTTCCGTCCCTCTTTCTAAGACTTGAGCACCCCCCTACCTAGCATCCGCCGATAGCCGGAACTAACGTCCCGAATCTCCTTGTTGAGCCACTTGGGAAGCTTTCTCATTGCGGGCATTATTCTGTGCCGATCCAGATTGACGTCCTTCCTACATTCACCATCGATATCTGTCGCAGGGAGACCGTGAGACAGCTCCGTTCGACCATCTGACGCTCCGAACGCAGTCCTCGTCCAGGCCACAACTGGCTGATGCAAAGATTGCAAAGACGGACGCCGCTTACTTCCTTTGCCAGCGTACAGAGGCGCTGCGGAAGCCATTTTCGTGGTGACAGGATCTAGTCTCATTTGCACATTCAGAGGTCCTTCGGATAAGACCCCGCAAATCAGTTGCTCGTGGGAAGCTACATCCTCAACGATGGAAGCCAATGTCCGAAAAGAGTCGTCACCACTGGACTCAAGGATACTCCCTTCGATGTTGGGCGCAATTCCGGTAGCCCACCCCGGCTCCCAGCGCAACTTACTGCCGTATTGTGCAACCATCCAGTTCTCGATGGCCGAAAATGTCCGCCCAATAACGAGATAGTCCTCCGGGCAGAAGGCCATCTCGTGTGAGAATTGCGGAAACCGCAGCTTGTACGTGGCGAGGGCACGGCATAGCGACTCCCCGAGGTCAGGGACCCTCTCCAGAACGTGTCCACAGTCGATATGATCGAACAGAAGCTGATGGTAGAAGATATCCAGAAGTTTCTTCGCCAACCCCGTGCTTTCTGGTAGCAAGGCATAAGCCCGAAGAACGAAAGTCTGTGCCGTGCGCCACTAGAGCTCGAGGCAGTCGTCGTTGTTCGCGAGGGCACCCGCAATGAAGAGGAACTGGAACTCCCCAGCCAAGTCGGAGTCTCCTGCTGCTCCGCCGTTGGCTTGATCGCTCAAAAATGAAACAAGATGGACGGTAGAATCGTTGGGTTCCATCTCGACATTCCCGGTCTTATCGGCCGTCTTTTCCTGCTCAATGTGGGTTTCACGGGCCAGTCTGGCGAGTGCAAAGGAAAGATCGCCGCCGCACATGGTCCTGGACATGCGGCGTTGACCTGCACCACCACGAGGCTCCGAGATATCCCGCACAGGGTGGTCCGAGTGCACCCTCCAGTCGCGATCGCGCCGGCTTACGACCCTGTGAAGCAGGGGCTCGGAGATGCAGCTTGTGATGCGCGACCAGATCGTTGCCGGCTCGGTAGCTCCCGAGTAATCCGAGGCCGGTGTTGGGCAGTGATAGTGGAAGAGGGATATTTTATGCTCGCGAATGGATTCCCGGTATAGTCGTCTTTCGTATCTACTGACATGACGTCCTAATGTCTGGGTATACTGGTTCCATTGCAGGACGTGAATATTCTGCTTCTTGCCAGAGCTGATAACCCAGCAGCCGCACCGGGGATATCCTCGAATCCTCGGGGTGGCCCACACAAAGTGAAATCCCGGAGGAATTCCCCGGATACCGAAGCATTGGTCTCCAAATCCCACGTGTGTCATTGTATCGCAGCCAACGGTATACCCCTCGGGCAAATCAGTGATGAGTAAGATGTCTTGCGCCAGTGCATCGTCTTCGTGGATCTTGGTCGGTTGAGGCTCCTCCGGGCTTACGGGGGAGCTGCGACATTGCAAGTCGTTGATATTTTCAGGCATGGGGTCTTGGTTAACGGCTAGGCTGGCGTATGGAGGATGTCGTATAGGAGCATCGTTGGGGCTGCTAGTAGTTGGATTGACTTCAGCCCTACTGGGAACCACATCCCGCGGAGTATATTCGAATGTGTGCATAGAGCCCGGTGAGCTCCGTATCTTACGTTAGGTATGAAGAAGTACTCCGTATGCGGGTGACGGGAGAAGATACGTCTACTCGGTCCGAATGTTAAAGCTGATACGATCAGACTCCGTAAGTGGTGGAGGGGCTGGCAAGATCTCTGGCGAAGGGAGGATATGGATCACGAATTCGACAATGGTGTTCTTGCTCTCGGTACGTGACTGATGCGTCATGTTTATGTGCTTCTCTCCATTACTCGAGTGGGCAAGAGACACCCACTTCGAAACACGTGCATCGAGGCAGACGTGACCTGGCCACTCGGCCAATGGTAGCGTCTTGGTGGCCCTAAATCCGGATGCACGGCTTCCAGAACAAGATACTTACCTTGGTCTACCAGGCAAGGTAAGCTTCGATTTACGGAATAAATATTGTCTGGTCAGTACCTACCTATCGATGTTGTTAGCTGCATGTGGCAGTTCAGGCTTTGTTCGCTACGGTGCCTACTTTTGCGGTAGCCTAGTGCCCGGAAAGGTTAATTACGGATAACATGATATTGCATCGTGTTGTGAGGAACATACTCCGTAAACCAGACTCTCAGAGAAAGCTTCCATGAACTTTTGGTGTGTACAGAGTAACTGGCCAGTTGTACGAATACGGAGAAAACGATTCGGTTTGTGTGTAGTGACCTCCGCAGACCGAGCAAGTCTCCCCGGTCAGTCGGTGGCTACGGTGAGCTCTAATACTGTATCTTATGTAAGCCATCAGCCATGTCACACTGTCCGTTTGATTACAAGCCATACCTATTTCTACTTCGTACCACTTATATCCCGATCTAACGGTACACTAATCAGTACGAAAGTCACCGATGTTACACTGGCTAAGAACAACGAGAAACGAAACGAACAAGCCAGACCACCTGCGTACTCCGCAAGACGGCGACGCACTAACGCATGGTAAATCACTTGGCCGCCCATCCCTTTCTCTTCCTACGTGTACTACACTACTTGTTCGGGCCCTTGCCATCACGCGCTATACCCATCCTTGCCCCTCCCCCCCGGGCCTCACTTTAGTTTAGGTATTGGGGTATTTATTCCCTACACTCCCCCTCCAGTCCATCTTTCTCGGGTTACACCACGCTAAAGGGCGGCAACGCATAGGGGATATCCTTTAGCCCTATCTAGGCAAGTCTCTGGGGATTCTATCGGCACCTCACGTCTTGATTATAGGGGCTGGGCTGGGTGGAGATACGCTTTCCCCCCCCCTTCTCTCTCTGTCCTCTTATACCCTTCCCGTACACTCGGGATGGCTGAAGTATATCAAAAGAATAACACGAAGGCTGAAGTTGACGGGAGCGGCTGGATAAATGACGACTGCCAAGGTAGCACGTCAGTCGCACTTCATCCAAATTTCCGTGGGGTTCCTCTCGTTCTAACTATGTTACGGCTGGACTCGCTTTCATGGCGGATCGCCAACGTTACTCCTGGATTCGTCGCACGGAAGAAGACCACCATATTGATTTGAACTTTCGATGAGAGAATGGCACGCGCAATGTGAAGCAAGGATGGCGGATATGATGATGCGCCAGAAGAGGATTGTCTCCATCACATGTAAACCGTACGCAAAAGACTGGGTAGTCGAAAATAACCATAAATGACAAACTCGATACTCGGAAGCGTAAGAACACGTGGGGTTGTCCCCTGCGCAACACCATCGGTGAAGTACGCATCTGTCAGGTGATTACTCCGTACGGGAGTGACACCCGAGATGATGCAACAACAGACAGCCCATGCATTCCAGCAACCAAAAAAAAAAAAGAAGAAGAAGAAGAAGAAAACCACATAGCCTGACGAAGGCCGTCCGTTAGAAGACACAGAGGGGGTAAAGGGAAGACAAAAGCGATGGAACCGGTGAAGAGATCGCCGTTTAGTGCTGTACACCAAGCCTGTCTTGAATTGCTCCGTTCCCGCCGTTCATACTCGGGCCCATGACGCCGTTCATTCCTTCCCGAACTCCGGACAGCGCACTAAGATCGACGCTTAAGCACAGCCGTTGCCTGCCTACCTGGTAGGTTCTTCCTCTGGGGGGCGGTTGGCCGTCTTGGCTCATCCTGTCAATTATTAGACTGCGCCGCAGCTTTACCTGTTTGCGACTAATACATATTAATTCCAACGTACATGTAAACAACACACACACACACACACTCTTCGCACACATATCTACATGTACACCCCTCCCCTGACGATACTGCGTAGGCAATGTTCACCAAGTCCCCATATGTCCAGTCGGTTCCCGTCCCGAGTAAAACAGCCTAAGGATGGCAGTTGTTCCAAGCAGGTACCTTAGTCATATGACAAGGGAGGCGACGATCTCGCCAGCTAGGCCAACTGTTGGGTCTGATCTCAATTGGTACCTTACTTTGGACAGATATAAAATCTCACACCTTGTCCCAAATCTCACCCAGCTAAACGCCAATCTGGTTTCTTGATCTTGTGTCACGAGAACCCCAATAATCACTCAACCGCGCCTCTATTGCAATTTTTTTTTTTTCCTTTTTCGCGTCTTCGTATTGTATGTTTAGACGCAACTCGTATACAGGGCAATATTCACCACCCCCAATGCTCAGTACAGACATGTCAACGCGGAAACTCCACAGGAAAGAATGCGGTGGTAAATTTTGCCCTCTTTTGTCTCCCCCGAGGGACCCCAGTCTGAAATCAAGAATGCATCGTCGAGTCCACCCACGCCAAAGCAACACTCCAAATCGTCACATCGTAAGTAACACGTGCCGAACCAAACTGCACACGCGTGCCCTCTCGTGACGACACCCGTGAAATAAGAGAGTTGCCATACCGTGAAGGTCGCTTACAGTACAACCCCTATGTCTAAATAATGATAAGCGAAGTCGTGGGATCATGAACAGCATGGCAGGCGTTAAGTCGCGGAGATCAAAGCATCCGATAACACACGCAAGTTCGCTCTGTCATTCGTGATAGTTATGGATTGTCTCGTCGCCATCGAGTTCGGTGGCAGGGGTTGTTGTTCGCGAAGGGGGTGTGTCTATCGGGTGGAAGTTTATCGGTTGGAATAATAATGGCTCCCAGCCTCGCCTTGGTGTCGGGGCTTGGATTTCTGGTATCTGTCGGTTCAAGCCCTGAGTCTCGCGCGCCTAATGACTCTGACCGGGCTGTGCACCATTATCTGCCTGTCCCGTTAGTTTAGCGTCTTCTAATCGCTCCGAATGGGTGAGACAAGTCGCTTTGTACCGAGTCGACTTACGTTGACTGTATAGACCCTGGCCGGGCTGCGCGTAAGGTGACTGTGATTGCGGCTGGTAGTTGGCTGAGTACATGTGTGTGCTGTTGTATTCGGGTAATGGCTGTTGCGGAACCCCCGACGGAGGACCGCCGGGGTACGAGGGCTGGTAGCCGATAGGCGGAAGCTGCACCTGCCTGTTGCCTGTGTATGCAGAGCCTGGCTGAGCTCCCTCGGGTCCAGATTGAGGGTCAGTCTGGGCATTCTGAGCTTGAGCCTGAGCCGCGGCCGCGACCGCGGCACGTCGTTGCTCTTCTTCAGCTTTGCGCGCAGCCTCTTCCTCCTTCTTGCGTTGTTTCCATTCTTTTCGAATCTCTTTGAACTCTGTTTTCAACGTACCATGGATTAGCTGTTTGTCAAGATGTTCCATTTGTCTGAAGATCGTGGCGGGAGAGATTCTTGCCCTCCCGAGTCTAGACTGCGATCCGAAGCGACTCCGATGGGGAAACATCATCAAGGCCAATGCCACAAAAGCGGACGAGGTGGAAAGACTAGGCTCAACAAGGGTTATGCGCATACCTTCTGGAGTCCGCTTTGCCCCGTGGGACTGCATGGTGACATGGGCATTCAGATGGTTTAAAGTACCATATGCCTTCTCGCAGCCGTTCCAGCCGCACTTGTACATGCGCTCGATCTCTTCATATCTTCGTCGCGGTCTTTTATGCTGTTGGGCGCCGGGGATGGGGACGAATGAATAGACCTGGTGTGCAGTAAACTATCATGTTAGTCGTTGGGGTTCTGGGATCCACTTCGAAAAACGACATTCAAAAAGAAAACGCCGTAAATGGTCCCTGCGGAGGCGTCGATATTCCCGCATTGTGTCCGTCGAATTCGTTTGGGACGACGCGACGGCTATGCGACGCGACACGACGCGACACACCGTCCATAGGAAAAAAAAAACCCCCCTTTATCAAGACGCTTACCTGGTGCGGTCTGCCCGGCGGGGCGGAGCTCGGGGTCGTGGGGAAGACATGGCCGGCCGGTGCCAACCCGGCGCTGTGCTGGCCGTAACCACCCCAGTCGGGACGAGGTTGAGGGTAGGCATGCTGGTATCCGTGCGCGATATCTCCGGGCGGCGGGCCGTAAGGCGATGGCTGACCGTAGGCATAGGTCGGACTCGGTCCGGCGATGGAGGGATCTAAGGGTACATCGTGGTCAGACTTGACTTGCTGCTGGGTGGCTTGATGGTTGGGCCCATCCTGCCGGGACAAAGACGGACTGTTTGTTTGTTGCGCCATGCCACCGCTGCTACCGCTCGGGTTGCTAGCCGGATGGTACGGTCTCTGGTGGATGTGCTCAGGGAACGATCCTGAGCGCGCCGAAGACGGGTAGACGCCGTACTCCGATGTGGGAGTAGCCGAAGCAGAGTAGTTACTAGGTCGGACCTCCTGCTGCGAGGAGTATTGCGCAGCAGAAGGCTGGTCTGCAGAGGAACCTTCAGAACGTGGGTCGCCGCAGTTGCTTGGATGAGGCGAAGGCAAACCTGACTGGGAGTACTCGGCAGCACTGTGTTCCATAAAGCGAGGCTGTACAAGCAGGTTCTCGATGGACGAGAGCCGATGGAGTGGTAGTGTCGGGTGGTGTGCGGTGATGAGGGCTGCTATATGAGAACCGGACGCATACTATGGCTCAACGGCAGGGAGATCGGGGTTCGTGGGCCGGTGAAGCCGCTGGGAACTAGGAGGGCAGGGAGGAGAAGATGCAGGTATATGCACTGCAGGTATGATACAGCGAAGAGGTTGAATGACGAGGCAATACTCCGTAGAATTAATTGACTTGATCGGCCGGAAGCGCAAGAAGCAATGGTAAGTGGGATATCCTGGGTGAGACCTTGCAGGCGGCGTGGGCGAGTATAAAATTGGTGCCGGGACGGGCTTGAGATGGTGCGGATCAACCAACGAGTCGGGATGGATGCTTTAAGTGGGCGTCGTCAATGACCGATGAGCCCACGGACTTTTCGAATGGATATGCGTAGGTATCTCTGCTGGGTCGCGTCTTGCTCGTCTTTGCTCGGAGCTCTTGCGGCCTGGGGAGCAGGCGTACTAAAATAGTGCGCTAGTTGAGAAGGTGGCGGACTCGGCTGGGCCTCAAGTCCGTCCGAGGGCAGGCTCTAGCGCGAAGATCGGAGACGGTTTCCCACTAATATCCCCAATGTCGCAAGTAAGTCGATGGGTCGGCTGTGCCTGACGTCTGCAGTACAATCTGCAACTGACTCTTCGACTAGTTACTAACGCAATGGTCGAAATGCCGGAGGAGCGTGTTTGGGAACGACGATAGAAACACGACTTAGATTCGTGTGAGAGTAATGGATATCGGTGATTGACGGTGTTGAGAGACGAAAACGTAGAGAGGGGTATGCCGAAAATATGACATGACGCCGCTCTTGGGGCCGTCAATGCATATGTATACAATGGACATAAGACCCATGAAATTACGAAGTGGAAAAGAATGGTGAAGACTGGAGCAGCGTGGGAAAAGGAGGGAGGGAAGGAATGGGGTAGAATGGGACGAGTTTGGCTGCAAATCAGGTTGTGGGGCCAGACCTAGACTAGGTTAAGCCAAGGAAACATAAATCCCAGGCACTGTTTTAGTCGCAGGACAGGGTTCTTAAAAGTCAAGCCTAAAGGAAGGGGGGTGGGGGGTGATCACTGAGCCACCGGGAAAATAGGGGCGTGTGTGGCGTAAGAGAGAGGGCGTGCGCTCTTGAGAAGTGGGGAGCCATGGCACCCCCGTACTTTGTACACTAGCCTCGAGAGATCAAGACGAATGTTACTGATTGCTTAGCGTCTTTGATGCCACGTGCTTGTGGAATATTGTCCGTAGGTAATGATGATGACGATGTCGGTTCTCAGAAGGTACGCGACAGTTGGGTGGTTACACCGAGAGTGGTTCGGGTCTGATTCCGGTACCTACTTCGTAGACGGCCGTTTTGGGCGGCAGAGATTGCGATTCGTACTTTTACCTTGTGCCCCATTTTCCGACTTCGTCATGATGGCAATTGAAGAGGAGAGCGAGGAGAGACACAGACGAGGAAAGGCCTTAAAGGCATGGAACAAGGAAGAGAGGAGGAACCCGAATCGCCCTCCTTCAGTTTATTGTCGGGCAGTGATATATTTGATCTGAAAGTATTGGACCGCACGAGCTTCCAGTCTTCCTCTGATGAGGAAGGGTGGGGGGGGGTGCTTCGCCCGATCAGCTGGAGGTCAATCTATGGAAACTCCCAGGAGGAAGAACCTGGTATGAGGGGGTCGCGAAAAAGAACAGCAACTAATTCGTAGGCCCGGAACACTGACTCGCGGAGACGGCCGCAGTGCTGGAGCGACATGCGGCGTGTGCCAATGGGTGACATGGAAGTTCGTTAGCAATGAGGATGGTGGAGTTCTGATATTGCATCTCGCCCGTTTTCGTGATGAGTAGGGACGCGGGTTTTGTTGGCCTTTTGAAAGCGCAATAAAAAAGGAGATACTATCTCACGTCCCCGGGACTGTCTGTTGTTTCCAGCCATTGACGTTTCTAGCTGGGGAGCGAAAGACTATGTTGCGGATTCTTACTCGCGATTGTTAAGTGAGACGAGACGGCCGGCGGTACGTGTGATGGCGTTACTTGGTCCTGCAGCACACAATTGCAGTTGGGAGATCGCTTGTTCCTCGAGAAGCGCGATTCTCTTGGGCCCGCTTGCTAGGGAACGGTAAACCCTTGAACCTTGCACCTTGCACCCCCCAGCGGAGTATACTTCATATGTGCATAAATATCTGACCTGGTCGAGGCCCCAGGGTCGGTCCAAGTCGGCAATAATAATACACGTTGTACTTCGTCCCTCAGTAGCGAGAAAAGAGGGGTGTGTCCGTTTTTGACACTCGATTTCTTTCGAAATTTTTCCTCGTCTCGTCTCCGAGAACAACTCAATTTTCTTGTCCGGTTGTCAATGTCAATCGACAGGGGTGCGACTACGTTTGACTGGTCAAGAGACTCGCCTGAACACGGTGCCGACAGACTGGCGGTCACAGCTGCACGAGTTCGATGCACCCCAGAGGCGCTGCACAAACACAGCGAAAGCGAAGTCTTGGCTTCCCACGAAACATATTTCTATAAAAGATGTGAACTTTGGCGATAAAACAAGATACGATAAAAAGATTTAGCGGGCAGGCGGATGCACACGTCGCGACGACGTGTTGAATTTATTATTTTTTATTATTTTTTATTGTTTTTTATTATTTATTATTATTTATTATTATTATTATTTTGGGAGAAAAAGGGTAGTGGTGATCGTTGTACCACGCGGTGGTGCCGAGAGTGGACTCCCGTGGGCTGGGTTAGTTCTCCCACCTCCCGAACTGCACCGGACTAATAACTGACCCCTACCCTGAGCGACTCCACAATACAATACAACGTACTCGTCTGGATTCCGCACTCGTATAGACGAATACAGTTGTACTTCTTACATATGTACATCCTACGATGCGAATGCCAGTGGTCTACTGGTTACGGCGTACCCGCCTTGTACGTCGTATGGCCCGTCGCCAAATCCCGGGGACGTCACCGAAGGAAAAAGTACACGTGAGGGGACAGAAAATACATACCTTAGTGCTCTGTGTGCGTAAGTGTGACTCCACTGTATGTGGGGAAGAGGGAGCATCGAACGGTGGAACGCTGTGGGCCGGGGTCCCTTGGGCAGCATTGGTAACGGAGAGTGTTATTCGTCCCAGCCATCGTGAGGAAGCGGAATTTCCTCTCAAGTACATACAACGTAAGTCAGTCAGGTGGACGAGGGAAATATTAGCATGCCGAACGAACGAAATGAGAGATGGAGAAAGAGCAAGACAAATTAACGCCGTGTGGGATGGCACTGTGCCGACATTTCAGCTTTACCTCCTTATCCCCACACTTCGTATAATTCGCCCAGCGTTGTCAGAAAAATCGTGAAGTTTGGAGGTGAGTTCAGGGCAAGGTCAAATAAACGTTTAGCCTCGCTATCCCACTCTGTCACAATTGTTAAGTTTGATCGTATTTGTAATGTAACCGACTTCATAGGCTTTTCTTAAGTCGCTATGGTTGGTATCTACTTCATGTACGTTGTATGTGGTTCCTGTCCTGCTATGCAGAATGATGATGGCGTATGCTCCAACTACTGAGTAAGGTCCACCACTGTGGTGCTGAATAGAAAGAATTGTGGGTGGAGCCGAACCAACTGATAGATCTGCGTCTTTTGCTGGTATTCCCTAGTTTCCTCTTTTTCTCTTCTTTTTCTTTTCGATTAGGTAAGAAACTCTCGGCCAACTCCGTCCACTTGCAGCCAATCAACGACGACCCTGCCAGTCTGCCAGTGTCAATGGTGCGTAATATTTTATGGCGAGAAACGACACGAAAGTGGCTGATGGACGATGTCCACGCTTCCATCCGGCCAGGAGACACACATGGAGATATCAGGGCTTTCAATCGTCTTCCGCTTGATTCTTGTTACGCTTAGTAGTGGCTCGTTGTACGGCGGTTACTAACAAAGCTCTCCCTGCGGTTACTCTAGTTTGATTGAGATATTGATGAATCGTCTTGCTGTGAGAATTACACGCCATGAACGCGCGGATCCCGTGAATCCCGCGTCTGCTGTCTTCCTCCTTCCGCGTCCTGGCCGCCCTCGCGCCAACGCCGCCCGCTGTCGTCCAAAGAGCTTCTTCGATGTTAGTTAGGTCTTGCCGGGATGTCCAGTGCTGCTTGGGAGGCAGTGCAAGGTCCCGTAGCGGGAGAGAGATGACCGTCGAGGGGCCGGCACAGGTCCCCGGCTGCCGGATGTAGCCACTGGACATGACAACCTTTGGCCAACCCACGAACCGACCACGACTCGCGCCCAAGATATGGAACGGTCGCGGCCCAGGGCGACCCAGTTTCTCAGCTGGGGCTGGTCGGGCAGCTGTGGGTGGGGTCTTTTACTCGAGTCCGTCGGAAGTCTGTCGATCTGTGATGTGGGTGGGGAGCAGAGATCGGGGTCCTCGGGTTTTTCTTGGACTCCCGCATACAGACTGCATGCAGTGCGGACTCAGCTGCGTTGTACGAAGTATTAATTGCTCTCCTTCCGTATTACGGAGTGCTTCCACGTTCGTGACCCCAGTCCAAGACCCAGCCCGCAGAGGCCTGACTACACAAATAGGTACCTCGTCGTGTTGCTGACGAGGCTGACGAGGCAGAACGAAGTGAGTAAGGGGACAGCGTGGCAAAGGGTGTAGGCAGGGCCGAGGGAAGAGCCGAGGTGCCCCCTTACTCCGGTCGGAGCTCACCTAGCCGAGCCAGCATCCTCTTCCGCGCCGGAAGCTTGGCGAGGTCACAAAGCGGGCCGCGGAACATTCAAGACTATACGCTATACGGATGGTGCAGGCCGTGGACTTGATGCACGGTGTATCGCTTTGAGATAAGAAGTTGTATGTATAGGTACCAATACCGAAGTTCAGCAGATATCGGGTTGCTTCATTGTCGTCTGTTTCAGGTCGTCATATCGAGTGCCGACAACTGACATCGAAGAACACCGCACCATGAGACACTGTAGACACCGCGACTGGCCTGACCCCTGTGAGCTAGCGTGCGGAGTAGCCGCATGTGTGTGCCCCGCCAGTTCGAAGCACGAAAGGATAGTATTTCGTGATACGTGCTTTTCCGTAGGTAATATTTCGTACCACGGGTAGTTATTATGTATGAAGCAGTTCGAAACAAGAGGTTTGGGCTCTGAGTTCAAGGAATGGGACATTCAAGGCTTACCATACGGCACGGCGCGCCTTGATGAACAACAGCGGGCAATAGCGGGTGAGAAAGGCATTATCCGTAGATCGAAACATGGAAGATACATACAGGTATCGGATAGGACCGGCCGAGAAGGGGAGGGGGGGGGGAAGAGCACGTTGCTGTACGGAGTACAGATACGGATGACGTGCAGGACTGTATGCGGGGTGAAAATACGTCCCGGGTCAGTGGCTGGATCCGAATGTTCTGGCGACTGGAAAAGAAAGGCAAGGTACTTCACTCCTCACATTCTCGGACATACGGAGTCGAACTGGAGAGAGATATGCATTTGCCACGGCTTAGAGATCGCGAAGTACGGAGAAAAGATGTTTCTCTTTCTATCTCTATCTTTTTTGTCCTTTTTTTCTTTTCTTTCAATACCCCCCCTTCTCCTTGATTATGGCGTGACTCTGCCTCCTTGAGGAACTGGGCCATCGGAAGTTCCCGTTTTCGATTCGTATTTCATCGGGGTGTTGCCGTACCGTGTCCTTATGCGTACATATCCGTAGCTCGAAGGGGCGAGACCAGACGAGACCAATTGAACGATAGGTCTTTTGTGTCCCATCTGCATCGCGAGCGTCTATCATATCCATCTCCCAGCCGGCTACGCAGGAATGTAAAAGACGGACACGAACGTAACTATTCAAAGCAGTGTATATCCGTATACTGGAATAATGAATATCTCAGGAATGGGCCCGAGAGGTGTGAGATGCCTCGTCTAATATAGGTACCGCAAATGATGATGTACAAGTAAATGACTGGTGTCCTTGTAAAGATGGGAAATCCCGTATTCCTGTATCCAGGGGACATCAGTAGATAAGCCTTCTTGTACTCCGTATTGCATAGATGGAATGCTCCATTTTACCTAAGTACCATGTCTCGCATCTTACAACGTATTTGATGGCAGTATCTGTACCATGCATGGCAGTACATTGTAATTAATTGGCAGAGGTAATGAGGGTTGAGTTCGAAGATCGGTATTCGCCCACGCGAAGCCGTTGCCCAGGGTCGATGAATCCGCTTTGTCATCCAATCCTTCTCAGACTCGACTCTACCTCATATCCATACAGATACCACAAACGATATTGCTCCCATGCCATGCGGTGTCTAGGGGTCACCGGTAAGCCCCCTGAGGCAGACTTCGCCCGCGGCGGCGGCCCAAGGACACCAATTAACCGGCCCCGCTCTCATCCGTCGTCCATCTTTCGACCGTTCTGCTCCGTCCTTAATCTAACATCTGACAGCCACGCTGTCGAGCAAAAGGGAATAGTCGAGAAGCGTTGGGGCAGAAAATATCCCGAAAGACTTGGAGTGCACTAAAGTCTTGGTCAAGTCCCAGGGCGCTGGTTCGTGGTTTACTGGTCCATCACAAGGCACCAAGTCGCCGGAGTGATCTATTGCCGGACATCCTTAGGGGCGTTTGGCGACCCAAGTTGCCGGGTTAGACTAACGTCGCCTCATGATTGCCCCAGAAGGGCGCATGGCCTTTTTTAGTAGCTGCTACGCGCTTAGCCGTCGTGAACATCACATCACATCACACAACTCAACACGGCCACTTCACCCGTGTTGATATCGTCTTTGCGGACTCCAGCGACTACGAAGGACCAGACTAACGGACGACTTGCTCAGCAGTTTCCAGTCCATTGGGTGCCAGTACTTCTTACGTTACATGTGGGTAATATCAAATCCACACGGCCTCTCGCACATACATAGGTACTCCGTACATACACACACCCATGCCCAGACGACGCATACGTAATTGGTTCACACGATTGTCGATAGTGTCCCGTAGGAGGAAGTGAAATACAACGTAGGATACTGAGAAGATTACAAATTGGATGGGGTGGGGGTTCGCAAGGACAGGAACCCAGTGCATGGGCATCTCAAGGAGGCAGGGAATCCTATCCTCCCCACGCATAATACTTCCTATGTACAGACATACATTCAAATTTCCACTGTTGACAACAAGAACAATTTACATATGTATGTACTTCGTACGATCGATCGCCATTTTCCCCCTCCAACCACCCAAGAGATAAATTTCCGGAAAAGTCTAAGAAGTACGAAGAGTGTCTCAACAGCTTAGGACCGTGCGTGGCAACTATTATCTTAGGTTCAGAACATGCTAGGTACAAATATCGTGAAAGCTTGGCATCCGGTGCGTCGAATTTAGGGGGGTTTCCTTTTTCCTTTTTCTTTATATACCAAGAAAAAAGGGGGACTGCATACGTGCGTCGTACTCGTCACTGGACGTCATCTTCAATCCTGCAAAGTGCAGATGATTGGCTTCTTGACAGTGGCGACCACGCATATGGGACACGTGTAGGAGACATGTCTCTGACTTCTGGCTGTCCAATCCAGGCGCTTGCCTCGCCAGCCACCCGACACGACACAAGAAGACATTCATTTGCCAGCATGTCCCTGACGCACTGAGTCATGGGATCATGAAGCGGTCAGTACATACCCTTGTTCGCAGGTGGCTCACCCCCAGGGGGAACGTGGGATTCGAACGCCCCTTCTTCTCCGTATGTATTCGTACGTTGTATTTATGTGCATATGAAATGCCTACCGTCGAGAAGAAGGGCCAGGGTACCCCCATGTGCAAGGAGAGAAAACGGTTGGTCTGGGGGGGCGTCCGCCGATAAGCACCCAGATACAGATGCATATGCATTGGCACTGTGAACGGATCCCGAGCTTACTTTGGAGTAGGTAGATGAGTTGAGGAAACATGGACCGACCCATGCCGGTCAGAGGAATCCCGCTTCAGCAAAACAGAAGACGTACCCAGTGATCACAGGAACATATGCGGATACCGTACGTACAATGTATGTACGGATATGGATACATACGTGCGATGTACATATCGTTATTCCTGCCATTTCGTGTTTGGCGGTCAAGAGTTGACCCCCACCGATAATCCCTCAGAGCCGCGACTGCCGAGGGAAACAAAATTGTGGGTCAAGTCAAGGGTTACCTACTCGGTGCGTCCGTCAGCACGCTGTGCTCTGAATGCTGGGAGCAGTTCGAAATGTCAATTAAATCCTCGCCGCTCCATATACACGGTACGTCGCTGCATATCCGTCGAGCTCACGAGTTGGGGGCCAAAATCCCCAGACTTCCCAAGAAAGGGTGTGCTAGCAATACCCCAGCCGTGCTAGCGCTACTTCCGTCGAGCAAAACAACAGCACCATTCATTCAGGCCCAGATGCCCCGCAAATTACCCACGAAGGACAACATACAAACAAGGTAGTCGGGTTTTCGTCCGCCTCCGAAGCCCACAAGCCGGCAACCGGAAGTCTTTTGTTCGCCTGACCATTCGGGCTACGAGGTACTTAACATGATCGGTATGATCGCGGCTGGGCCGATCCTAGCTCTGAAGCTACCGCCAGAGACCCTATGTATAATGCGTTGAATTGAGCTGTTTGCACCCAGCCTTTCTGCTGAGTATCTTCCAGCTTGCCAGCCTCCTAAGCGATGGCAAGCACATAAATCGACTCGAACAATAATAACGGAGGCTACCATAGGAGCCGATGACTCGCCTACCTAGGTAGTCAGCTGCGGGGGCCTGGGCCTCCACTCCCACCTGGATGGTTGCCCATCGCTGACCCCCCGTAGGGGAGGGGATGTTTGATGGGGACAACTGAGACATTATTTGCCTCCCCACCTCTATCCAATAGTCGGTAGATATGGAGCATGTAACATCCATCCCCAGTCATGGATGCAACCGTGAGGACCACTCAGTACCCCCTGACCCTCCTATAAAGGCCGCTACCTTATTGCGTACGTGTCTCGATGCCTCTACAACCTTTAGACACAGTTATGTAAGGTATATGCCGTACGAAGCGCGAAGTACCCAGTAATCATTCCGGAGAATACTATCAGAGGAACATAGGCAGGCACATGACAGACTTTTCATGCGGTCCTCTTAGCGCGAACTGTCTTAACTGTTCTCTCCCGAGGAGACACCGATAGGGCGTACGAAAGAACGATATTCTCGGAGACTAATTATTAGCCTGAGGCTCAGATTGTCCGGGCCAGTCAGTGGTCTTCAAATCGGAAAGATTACCGACGTTCACTTTCCTGCGACCTTGTCCTCACAGCTTCCACACTGACAACCTGGAAGGAACGACTTGGCTGGCTGAAAAGTTACATTCGAGGATGTACGAAATAATTACACTGTATATGAGATGCACTCCGAAATCCCCCCCGTGACACGGAAAAAACGCTTGGACTTACATGGTGATTTGTGGTGCATCCTGATCTGATGCCCCATAATTAACGATAAACCCCCTGTAGCACTATGGAGTGTTCCGTATGGTACAAAAGGTACCTACAACGTACATAATTCCGGCGTCCGCTGTTATGGAAATCGCCGGTAATGATGTCCCCGTGGCCCAGTAGATGAGAAAATACGCTACTGTATCTGTACTCGGTATCCTGTGCTCCGTACGTAGGTACTTCGTAACTGTAACTGTGATTCCTGCATCTGTTGTGGTCACTTCCCCGCATGTCGGTAATCAGCGATCATCGTAGCGTCCGCGAGTAGCTTCAGGGACGGAGGGCTGAGCGCTGCCCCCATCGGCGAAGCTAAACCTACGGCCAACCAAGTACGTATCACCACTAGAACAAGGCGATGCGACGGTCAACCGGTTATCTCGACGTCAAAACTGGGATCACTTCCTACATAAGTTACTAATTAGCAAGAGGTTTTATTTGGCACGATGCCATTTCGACACGATCAGCGTGATAAGGATTGCAGCTGGTTGACTACTGATCCACTCCCTGTATCCAGGAAGGACATGGGAGCGACTTGGACCTCATCTTACAAATGTCCGTAGTCTTACTGGTAGGTCCTTAGAGCTCCCACCCGTGTTTATATCTTTTCTTGCTTTTATCATAATCGTCCGTAAAATCTGCGGTCAGATCCAAAAGGCCGGAGCTAACATGATAAGGGCATGTCATGGCTTACAACGTACCTATGCAAGGCACTTGCAACCAGAGATCTCAAACGTTCAAGCCGAGTACAAGAGACTATGTACGTTGTAAAGGCGGCCTCCCTCACATCATTCAATATGAATCAGCGCCTGAAATGGAACAATTGCAATAATAAAATGGAGGGAGGTACGGAGAAATCCGGAGCAATTGGCAGATTTGGCTTGTTCGATACTTCCATCTTCGATGCCTACCTGCAACGTACGTCGTATACGAAGTACATAATGAAGGGCTTCTCGTTTTGGGAATGAGGATGACGAGAGCTTGATGGCGAAGCAGCCAAGATGCATTACTTCGAAATTAGTTAGTATGCCGTTTGTGACGCTAGTTGCAGAGCATCCGAGGGCCAAGTCCCTGGCCTGGTTGGGATGCGGCGGGCTAGCTAGCATGGGGAAGTTGGGCTTACAGCCCCCCTGTCGGTCAAGGTGCGTGATCGATCCTTGCGACAGATCACCCGCTTGCTGGTGCTAACGTCGCATTCGCGTTGCAGAAGCCCGGGAGACATGATGACGCGACGATGTAAAATGTATACATATATATATGTACGTTGTATAGGTATATGCGGAAGAGCAACGCCCTAACATTGCCAACAACAACAGCATCAAGCGCGGAAGATGGGAACTCGGTAGCTAGTTAGACGCCATAGGAACTAATTGCTTTTTGCCTCTTCTGGCGGAGAGAGCGTGATAGATTATCCAGGTGATTTACGAACCACAAGGGACGGTGGATGAGTTTGAAGGGGATCAGCCCAAGCGTACTCCCATCGCTTTTCTTCTCGTTTTCTTCGTTTTTATTTGATTTAATTACTTTTCAGTTACCGCTTGGGCCAAGTACCCCGACATTGAGGGCGTCAAATTCTAGCGAGGCTACCTATTGATCATTTTTTTATTACGACTGCCGCGACGCATCAACGGCGGCAGTGCTAGAAAAGCGGCTGGGAGCGAAACGAACGGCGCCTTGGTGCCAGACAGCTGACAGGTGACAGACCGGCGACGGACAAGTTGGCGGCGGCGCTATGTATCGAGTTCGTCGGGTCAACCCCGAGTAGGTATAGGGCATAGGCTTGATCTTCAGATCCAACTGCTCGATCTCCAGGCATAGGGGTCCTTTCTTTCCTTTCCTTTTTTTTTTCTTTTTCCTTTTCTTTTCTTTTCGCCCCGTCTTCTTCAGAGGCTGGAAGAAATCGACGACGCTTCTGCGCCCGGTGGACCAAGGACCGACGAAGCAAATCACGGAGTACACGTACAGTACAATCCATTCAACAGATTCCAATGCCGAGGTCAAAACCACACCGCACGAAGCATGTGCAAAAAGAGTGCATAACGTAAAATACAACGGTACAGTACGATTCATGTACAGCGTACTGCGGGAAAAATAATCCAATCCACCTGCCCCAATTCGACCCGGTCTTTTCTTTCTTGCTTTTCTCGGTTCCCCCTTCCTGCTCAAAACCCTCATCATCATCAGCCTGCACGAAGTCGTAAGTTAGATTGACACCCCCTGCTCCTCGAGACGTGATTCTCTAAACCGACACCCTCTCTCCTGGAAACTTATAAGCGATGCCCGGATAGGGAAAGCGCGCAATCTACGCTTTCAGAGTGGTGTCTAGCGAGATTGGTTATTGAAAACAGAAGGGGGGGTTGGTGTCGAGCATGTCTCCACCATACTATCCTTGATTGGCCATCACGGTCAAATGGAACATCATTGGTGTCAACCTTGCTATGTTCAGCTTCGGAGAAACCCACGCAGACGCTTCTGGATCCATTGGCCGTGACAAGAGAAGACGCATACGGTATGCTTATGACAAATGACAGGACGATAATGAATCGAGTCGAGAGAAGATGAGGAACGGGTGCAAGAGAGTGTCCAACCGAGGAGGCGCCTTCAGAGGAGCAAGAGCACCGTGTGCGAAGACGACATCTTGGAGCTGAACGGAGATGCTGGGAAACAAATGGAACTACGAAGTAATTAATTACAACGTACTTGTCAACCTGTCCCTCATGTACATTGTGATTGATTGAAAGCAACCTTTTATCCCACCGCATCGGGCACGGTAGCGACAAGGGCAGAGGCAGGGGATAGGACAGATCAGCCACGAAACCCCTGATCAAAGCGATACAGGGCTACCCTTCGAATCACTAATTCACTCAACTTGTCTTGTCTGAGCCAGGCGTCATCTGCATCTCCCATCTGCATTTGCATCTGCATTAGTCTGAGCATTAGCACCCCTCACCCCGTGGTCCTTGTCCGTCTTGACGAGCAGGTAAGGCTAACCTTTCTCGACTCAGCCCGCCATCTAAGGTAGAGCACCGCTTGCGACTTCTGTCATTGATCTTCATCGTCATCTCCCAGAGTGAGCAACTTGAGGTCCAAACGGGGAAGGCGCTTAGACTTTGTCTTGGTTTCGCCCCTCTCAGCTTGCAGCATGCCCTGGCGATTCTGCAGGTCCTGTTCACACACACACAAATGCATGCATTGTGTTGCTGAATATACGTACAAAGTGATTATATAGGGAGAGAACAGGATGAAATGGACACTGTCATCTGCTGCGTTGGCACGCGTGCCAGAATGCGACTTGGGAACAATTACGGCGCATATACAGTTGTAGGCTAGGTACCGTGAAAATAAGGCCTACGTGGGAAGCCTGGCGTCAACGGTGTACATAACGAAGTGGTGCCAACCACAACGTGTTGCCAGTTCTTGAGCCACAAATCCTTGCCATGTGCGATGCCGGGGATCGATGTCCCCGTAGAAGAAACAAGAACAACCGTCCTTTTCTCTGCATCGCCACGTATAATCGTTTGTATCCGTACCGGTGGCTCCAGTCGCGAGCCCCTGACAGGGTGGTTTGGCCGTACTATCATCGTCCTCGAAATCCATATGTTTCTCCACCCTGCGGCTCGACGTATGTCTACTCTCATAGTACGACGTACAGTATTTATCACAATCGAGATTCAATCTCATATATCATCTATATCATCACTGGACCGTGCCTCGGCGGGCTGTTGTCTGGCCTCCACCCAACACGCCCGTAGTTTACACTCAGGTTCCAGGGAATTATTCTCCGCCCTGTCTCGCCCAGCATGCCTGGAAAGCAAAACATACCCCAAGGGATGCTCCAAAACCAGGACTGCAGGCCCTCGCTTCGCTGTAAGGGAGAAATGACGGCAGCGTCCGACACGCCACCACCCCAGTGCCCTCGTGGTGATCGTCACGATAGAGGGTGAAACCAGCGAGAATGTCGGTTCGCCATGTGCAGTCTTGTGTCACTGGCGCCGGTCTATCTTTCTAGGCCATGCATAGGTAGAGTTCTGCTCAAGAAGATTCCAGCCATTCGCCCAGATGAATACTCGTTGTTGACATATGCAGTCTTTCCCTCTCTGCGTGTCTCGAGATATGCGTGCGGGAGCCACACGTGTCGTCCGCATTCTGGGGTTACACGCGGCCTCGACAGCGTGGCAAGACCCGGGTCAAAGGGGGGCGGGGACAAAGGGACTCGATTCAATCTTCTTCCATAACAGGTAGCCAAAGAACTCCACGGCATATTCCCATCTGTCAAAAGTTACATTGACTTCGGCCTCATATTGCGTATCCTTAAGTGAGCTAGCTCCGTGGAAGAAGCATGGCTCTTGACGGGCACAAGAACCATCTCCATCCGAATAAGTATCTGAATTATTTCAGTACTTATGGGCAAGGTGAACTGGAGGCCAGGCAGGCAGACAGGCAGGAGGCAGGCACATATCGCCCTTTCAATGACGAATGCCAGAATCCAGGCAATGCCCATGGACGGGCGAACTGCCATCACGAAGAACGGTGTTGCAGGTCACAAGGTTGACGGAACGTTTCCCTCATCATTAAAAAAATTGCATTACCGAGCAAAACACATTGTTGGCCTCAGAGGCAGGTATCTGAGCAAAGTAGTCTATGTGACGATCCATTCTTCCATTGCCGTACCAGGCATGTCCCCCTACCATGTCGCAGCCTCCAGCATGTCATGCCGGCATCATAATGCCTGAGCAAGGGACATCAAGGCGTCATAGCAGGTCTCTTGGCTTCGTAGTGTGAAGTCGGATTACCCTAGCCTCGTCCAAGAGGATATACCATATATGCCGTGAAAACTCGAGGGACTGGGCTGAAAACGAAAATAAAAAAGGAGTAAAAAAACCAAGAGTAAAGCAAAGAAGCACGGCGGACGTCTGCCAATGCAGACGGACATGAGACCCCTCTTACGCATGACGAATACCTTCCAAGTCTAGACCAGCCTGTCTAATAACGCCGATGTTGCCAGACAAACAATTTGCAATGAAGACGAGCAAAAGAAAACAAGGTCAGGGTCCAAGTCGATGCGACATCGACGCGTGACTCTTACCAGCGGCGGCTGCCGACAGGCATGTTATTCGCATTGTCTGCAGAATCAGTCAGAAACAGGCTCTCCACTGTCTCTAGGGTATCATCGCCTAAACGTACTTCGGCCGCCGCCGCCGCCGCCCCCACGTCCGCCGCGCCAGCCGCCGTAGCGGCCACCGCCACCACCGCCGCCAAAGCGGGTCATCTCAGCAAGACGAGGGTCAATCTCCTGACGAGCTTCCTTCAACACGTTGACAAGATCACGAGCCTGTTTCGCGTCTAGAATTGGTCTGTCAGTAACGGGGCCCATAACTTGAAGAGGGGAAGAACAGAATGGGGTCGGGTAAACTCACTATCAGTAGTGAAGAAGGTGATGGCGGTGCCCTTGGCACCAGCACGACCGGTACGGCCAATACGGTGGATATAATCCTCCGAGTTGTTGGGGTAGTCGTAATTCAAGACATGAGTGATGTTGCGGACATCTTGGCAGAAAGAATTAGCATAAAATCACGGCGGGATATAGCAACGTTCCAGCATGGAACCAGAGAAGACAGCTAAGTATATCGAGCTGTGACTTTGAACTCTTTGAGGCATCGACAGGGCTGTCTGTATGCGTACACATGCCATCCATGGAAGTTTCAGTGCACCGGGGGTCCTCAGGCGAGAAGAATCTTGGGGGAGACCACTTGAAGCGATCAAACAATGCCAAAGTCCACACTTGTACCATAAGCAGCGGAGAGCGGCACAAGGGCAGACCAACGAGTATAGCAGAGGGATGGCTACACTGCGGACCAAGACTCTACACATTTGAGAACCGAGCAGGCACGAGGATACCAGGCAATATTGCGCAATGAACAGAGCCCCTAGACAAGAGAGTAAAGCACAGCAAGTGGTTGCTGGAGGTTGCCATGAAGCGGGGAAGGGGAGGGGATGGAGTAGGTACTCACCGATACCACGCGAAGCTACATCCGTCGCAACCATGATAGGGCTCTTTCCCGTTTTGAACTGGTCGAGGACCCAGTCACGCTCGTTCTGTTGCTTGTCGCCGTGAATAGCTGGAGCAGAGAGTTAGCCCAAGTCGGTACAAGTAGGAAAAAGATGCGCCTGCCGTGCGGAAAATGCAAGACAATGTAAGAGGGAAAACACGGGGGAGGGGGGGCCAACGTACAGAGCGCAGGCCAGCCGTCCTGGCGAAGGAAACGGGTGATGTCATCAGCAATGCGCTTCGTGCCGACGAAGATGAGGATTTTGTTTTCTTTGTTCTCCATGACCTTTTCTAGATGCTTAATCATGCGGTCGCGCTTTTCGCTCTCGGAGACGACTTCGACCACCTGGGTGATACGGTGGTTCGCGGCAAGATCCATGGATCCAATGTTGACTTGGATGAAATCGGACAGGAAGTCGCCAGCAAGAGCGCGGACCTCCTTGGGCCATGTCGCCGACCACATGAGTGTCTGACGATCAGGGCGAATTTGGCCGATAATCTTTCGAATTTGGGGCTCGAAACCCATGTCCAACATGCGATCAGCCTCATCAAGCACCAGATAGGTAACGCGGCGAAGGTTGGTCTTGCCGGCTTCCAGCATGTCGATCAGGCGACCAGGTGTTGCGATACAAACCTCCACGCCTCTGGCGAGATCCCGAATCTGAGGGCCTTTGGGGACGCCGCCGTAGACACAGGTGTTGCGAATACGAGAGGACTTGCCGAACTTGGTGATCTCCTGCTGAATCTGGACCGCCAACTCGCGGGTCGGGGCGAGAACGAGAACTATGGGACCATCGCCAGGAGCCAATAGTGGTTGCGCATTGATGTGGACGATGGCGGGCAGGCAGTATGTCAGAGTCTTGCCGGAACCCGTCTCGGCGATACCGACGACGTCGCGACCGGAAAGAGCCATGGGCCAGCCTTGGGACTGGATAGCTGTGGGCGCAGGGAAGCCCTGAGCCTTCACTTCATCAATCACATAGCGGGGGAAGTTGGCCTCGTCGAAGGTCTCCACGGGCTTTGGAATATCGCTGCCAGCCACAGTCATCTGGTGCTTGCGGCGGAAGGCCTCGATCTCAGCCGGGCTGCGGCGAGCGACATCCGAGTGCTCCTTGTAGAACGACTTCTCGAATTTGGGAAGGGTATCCATATCTGGAAGAAATGCGTTTGTTAGCAGAATGTAATGAGGAATCAAAGGACGGGAAAACGTACCCCAAGTTTGTTTCTGAAGGCCAGCACCGAGATTGTTCATCCGATCACCACCGCCGCCGCCGCCGAAACCACCGCCTCCGCCTCCATAACCACCACCGCCGCCATAACCACCTCCGTAGCCGCCGCCGCTGCAAAGGCAAGTTAGTCATCATTATTAACAAAATCCGATAAATCGAAAAGACCACATGACATGATGATTTTCGAGTAGAACGAGATGCTCCAGTAAGAAGATGGATGAGCGGATGTCTGGAGGAGCTCCTGCTGCAACCACCATCAAAGTAAGGGGAGAGGGAAGGGAAAATATGATACGAGCAGATTGGAGGAAGAATTGAAATGTTCTCAAAGGAGAAAGGGGAGTAAAACAACACAAACGTACCCGTTTGATTGGCCGCCATATCCATTGCGGTCGTCGCCGCGATCACGATCCTGACGACCACCTCCGTAGCCTCCACGACCGCCGCCGCCGCCACCGCCACTGTAACCACCTCCTCCGTAGCCACCACCGTAGGACATGTTCGCGGTGTAGTGATTTGTCGGATTGAGGTTTTGAGTGTTGTTGATGGTACTGAACTTAACTGGGCTGCGCACGAAGGGGGCGCAGGTGAGACGATAAAACAATGGTGTCAAGGGAGCGTGGGGGAATTGCTTTGCGCAACGGACGCAGAATTCCGTTGGAGAATGAGTAGAACGAGAGCCTTGTGATGATGGGGAGGTAGGAGAGAAATGGGAAAGGGATGGGGGAGGGAAGGTTTGATGGAGGGAGCAGGAAGATGTGTAGAAGAAGTAGTTTTGAGGGAGGTTTGCGTAAGGCAGGAAGGAGGCGGCAACCTTGAAGGACCCTGCTTCTTTTGGGTTGGGGAAATTTTTTCCCTGCTTTTCTTGTTATAGCTTTTTGCCCACCCGGCAGAAAAAAAAATTTCATCCACCACGCCAAAAGGAAAGCGCGTCCGAGGCACCACGCTAGAATGTAGTTTGAAGACACCTTACCGTAAACGGACTAACTCATCCTGTGGCGCAAGAGTGCCTACGCTTAATCATCCTTATCGTTATCTACCGATTATCACGTCGCAAACATGGTTTGAGTGGCGAGGCCAAAAAGAAAAGAAGAAAAAAAAGAAAAAGGGGGGGGGGGGGGCAAAAGGAACCTGTGCGAGGACATGTGCGAACTTCAGTTCCCATATCCTCTGCCGTCACTGGTATCAGGACTGCAAAACTGAGAGGGTTTACTTTTTTATTTGCTTATAGACCCATTTCTTTTCGTCAACCGACGCCGGCTTCTATTTCGGCCTATGTCACGGATCAAGCCTCCGTTCACTTCCGCTATCCTCTTTAATGTCCTGCTTCATTTCATCAGAGGCGCCGTAGCCCCAGACATTACTTGGAAAAATACTCCGTGAAGCATCCAATGCACCTAGATTGCATTATTGACAGGGAAACATCTCCCAGAAGCCAATCTCCATCTGTCATTTCCTCCATGTCAGTCGGTCCAAAACTGCCTTGGGGGAGGGAGGCGGGAAGGGTAAAGCGTGTTGGACACATTGAAGAAGTGGCGAAGCGGGTTTGAGAAGAGTGAAGGAGAGGAAGGGAGGACACACCTTGGTAGCATGGATGAAGATCTCGACCAATCGCTCCAAACCCGAAGGAGATACGGCGGCAGCGTGCTTCTCCATTAGTTCCGACCCCGTTCGGACAGCCGCGACATAGTCTTCTGCGACGTAGTTCTCAATCCAGGGCCAGAACGTGTTCTCCTGGCGCACCGTCGCCGGGTCGGCGTGCAGTTGTTTCCCGACGGCCCCGTACCCGAGGAGGCAGGGCGCCAGGGCTACTTGCAGCGCCAGCCAACCTTCGCTCTGCCCGACATCCAACACGTACCGTGTATACGCCGTGCAGGCCTGGTGCTCCATCGTCGCCTCGATCTGCGGCACCGTGATGCCAAACTGGGCACAGTAGTCGATGTGCAGCTTCATCTCGTGGGCGATGTGTTGCACAATCTTCGCTCCTGCCACCACATCCTCTATCTGCTTCGCCTTGTAGGAGGCCAGGGCGTTGGCGCGAGCGAAATGGACCTGCGAGCGAGGCTTGTTAACTCCCTCATTGACAATGGTCGACGATGTCTTGGGGTGAGGGAGAGGAAGAGAAAAAGGTTGTAGAAAAGAAGGAACGCACAAGATACAGGTAGTCCTGAATCAGGTATCCCTTGAACGACTCTACGGGAAGAGTGCCGGCTCCCATGGCCATGACGAATGGGTGGTACACAAATGTCTTCCACACGTCCCTGACATCTGGGCGGTCCAGTAGATAGTCGATGAAACGCCCCCTAAATGAAATGATGAGCACAAGAACCTTTTCGGGGCAAAGGGGAGGGGGGGGTTGAGAGAGAGATGGCAGGAGAGAAAGAAGAAGAAGAAGAAGAAGAAGAAGAAGAAGAGTTCCGTCAGGATTACTTACGGCGCAAAGGGAAGCTTGTAAGTCGAATGGAAATGATTCAACGGTCCATGACCCTTCCCAAAGTCAGGGGCGGTGCGAATGGCCGCCTCAATGTACCAGACAGCCTTCCTGACAGCATCGATGACATGAAGGCCATTGGCCATGTTTGATGCAATGGCCGCTTAACCCATCTGTTAGGTTCTTGATCCGAAAAGCTTCGCCATCAAACAAAGCAGTCGAGAGGAAGAAAGAGAGATAGATGGGAATGGGGTCAGCAGGTGACTCACAGGCCAAGGAACAACCAGTCCCATGCGTGTTCTTCGTCCCCTGGAACGGTGTCTCGAACCTCACAACCGTATCCCCAGGTCCGCAGAGCACGTCCACGACAACCTCCCTCTCATCGTCCGTCTCGGCGACCAGCAGACCGGACGTCATGGGCGTGTGACCACCTTTGACGAGAACCCACTCAGGACCCAGGCTTCGAGCCGCCCGTCCGATGGTTTCTAGGTCCTCGACGCTCCGGATCTCCGGCGGCGACTGCCCCGCCTCGGAGAGGAGAAGCCTAGCTTCAGGGACGTTGGGCGTAAGGACGGTGGCATGCGGGAGGAGGTCCGAGATGAGCTCACGCACTGCTTGGCGGGGAAGGAGTTCAGCGCCGCTGGTGGCCACCATGACGGGATCGATGACCACTTTCTTCAGGTTGTACTTCTCGAGGCTTTCGGCAACCACTTTAATGCTTTCGACAGAGGCGAGCATGCCTTTTTGTTTGCATTGTCACGTCAGTTTGTCCCAAAACCCCGTTTTCCGAATGAAGGGCCCAAGAATTCCCAATGGTTCGAGGCGGTTGAGCAAGTGTTGTCTGTATCGCCCTATACCAGAGGGTAAGGGAGGGGGGAAGGAGAGGAGAAAAGAAAAGAAGAAGAAGAAGAAAGAAGAAGAAAAAGTCAACTCACCCGTCTTAACCACATCGACCCCGATATCCTCAACACACAGCTTGATCAACTTGGCCAGGAACTCTCCCGGTACATGGTGGACGTCGTACACGCCATTGGTGTCCTGGGCAGTCAGAGCCGTCGTGGCCGTCTGCGCGTAGCATCCATGCGCGGCGATGACCTTTTGGTCAGCTTCGAGGCCCCTAAGAGGATTATTAGCATTCAGTTCCCCAAAGCTGGTGATGATTTTCTCGTGGTTAAGAGGGGAAGTTAAGAAAAAGTAACAAAAAAAAAAAAAAAAAAAAAAAGAGTCACTCACGCCCCGCCAGAGTTATCGGACCCAGCAACTACGAGGACTCTCCTAGGCTGATCCATTGTGAAGGGTTATGAAGTTGATGAATTCTCCTCTGAGAAGGTATGTTTACTGGAAGCCAGGAGATCAAAGTTGAGAAAGCGAAACCGACGTAACGTGAATTTACGGAGTAAAAGCTTCCCGGAATGGCACCGATAGCGGATTACAATCGGCCGTCGAGTTATACTGTAAAGGTCCGGCACTCGGCGTCGTAAAGCGGGGGAAAATCGGCCAAGTAAAAAAACAGGAGAAAAACAAAAAGGAAACCACCCCTCCTCTATGCCCCAAATTTTCCTTGCCAAGGTCATTTGCACGACGGGCTCTGGGCATAAGTAATTATAGCGCGTACTTGATGTACAGTACTAGTATCTATCCACATAGGCGATGAAGTGATCAAGCTAGCCAACAGTGTCTCGTCAACAAGTTGTTCCTCTAATCTCCAGTCGGACGTACAGGTTGTCATGCACACGTAGAAAGTGAGATGCCACGATAAAAAGAAATCGCTTGGGTAGTTTGAGATGACCTCAATTCGGTACATCCTAGATAATCCTAACTGTCTGCTTCATTTTGCAAAGAAATGACAAGCATCACTTGTTGCCTCCTAACTCCGCCTTCCCCCCTGGCTCCAACCACCCCCCTTTTCGCTGCCGACAAGTGAAAACGAGATGACCAAGCCCCCCTATAACCAGAAGCTATCTGTTCCTCAAGACAGATCTTCGCAAGATCATAAAATACAAAGAGATATGGGTCCCGCAGGCCTTGTCCAAACATAGCGAGAGCCTCTTATTCAGTGCGGCTCACATCGCATCCTTTGGCCTCGGCCAACAGTTCAGACCCCAATCGTTCCCAACTTGAAAGGAAACAAACAAAAGAGAGACCTGTTTTTCAAACAAAAAAGAAAGAAAAAATGAGAAAAAATGAGGAAAAGGGAGGAAAAAAAAAAAGACGGAAAAAACCCCCGGGAAAAGGGCCCGCGCTGACTCCTCCCTCGAACATTCGTTCTTCTCATGCAATCGCATGCATGGACGGGACTATGGAGACAGCTTGGCTGCAAATGCCTGTCATCTGGGTATAGTACGATATTGGTCGCCCAAGCGTTACGCCCGCCTTTCACTCCGAGTCGAGAGACGTGCTTGAAGCTTCGGAAACTCCGCTGGACGGTCGGCCATTCCGCGCTCGGGTGTCCTTTTCAAGATCCGCCGGATCCGAAATGGTCCTCTGCCTCTCTTGCCTCTCCCCTTCCTCCCCCAAAGAAGATGACTCACTGTCCCAGCCACTAGTGTTCATCCTTCCGTGACCATCTTCGTCAAAATTGGCTGGGTCCGAGATGCTCTGGGGGCGTTCGGCACGGGCGTCCTTCCTGGACCTACGGCCCATGTGGGTGTGCACGTGTACTTCAGCGGGATCAGAGACGCTCCTTTGTCTCTCAGTCCGCATCTCGTCGCTGGAGGACGACATGCTGCGCCCGTCCTCATCCGGCTGCCTGGTCTTCTCTTCCTTTCCCCTTTTGTCTTTTTCAATCCTCTGGTCCGGGTATGCGGTGTCGTCTTCGTCTTCGTCGGCGCCATCCTCTTCGAACACGATGCTCCGCAACACGCTCTTGTCGAACAACTCTATAACCATCCGCCTGATAGGCAGCCGGTAATGGTTGTACTCGAGCATGGCCATGACCCTCTTAAAGAGCTTGGGATCCCTGAAGCCCGCCGCGTTGTTCTGCTTGATCTGCTTCAATTCGCTAATCGCCCGCTTGTACAGGATGATGTTGCTGAGGTCCACGACCAAGTCGATGATCGTTTCATTGACAGCTTCTTTGTCGTGGGGTGGGGGCAAATTCCCCTTTTCGAGGGGAGGCCGCGCCGCCACGGGAGGCGGAGGTGTCAGGATCGTCTTTTGCGTGTCGGGGAGCCGGATACAGGCGGCGATCGTGTGCTTCCAAGGAACGAAAGAGAAGAACTTGGACAGGTCATTGGGAATGCAGAAGCCAAGGGACTGACCCCTCCGGTTCAGGTTCGAGTCCCAGCCGCACCCCGCGAGGATCTCCAAGCCATGGACGGATCGGGAAATGAGACCCAACACAAAGAATGCCGTCCCCCGGATGCTCATGACCTCGTGTTCTTGTGCGATCTTGACAATATTCTCAACCACGTCGCAAGACTCGACGAAGGGCGCCCCAAGCTCCATGGATCCTACGTTCCCGACGGCCCACATGCATCCCTTCACTTTGAGAATCAGCTCGGGATCGGCCGACTGCATGCCATGTTCTCGTATCGTGTTCGCGAAATCGCTAAAATGTCCCTTCTCCCGCAGCATCTTGCATCCCTCCTCCGTGCGTGCGAGCTCCCGGTAGAAGTGGGGCGGAAGGTGGCTCTCCGGCTCCATCGCCTCGGCTTCTGTCTGACCTAGCATGCTGATGCGGCCCTGCTGCTCGTCTGGGTTATCGAAGAAAGCCTTCGCAAGGCTCGTCTCGATTAGATCAACGTAGGAATCATTCCTCCCCAAAAACCAGTCGTCCATTTCATTGCTAATATAGTCGAGGCCATCAAGATAATGATAGCCGCTCGAACTTGACAAAAAACGGAGAAGCAGCGGCGCGCTCAGCTCCCCGAGGTGGTCCATAGCGGGGCGGCATTGCACAACATACTCGAGGTACGCTTTCTTATTGCATGCCTTCTCGAGAATCTGCACAGCCGTCCGGCAGACCTCGACGTCTGGGTCGTACAGTTGATCGACCAGCCTCTTAATGGCCCATTTCCAGTCGACCTTGTCGTGGTCTCGCATATTATCGTTGAACGGCCGCGTGGCGTACTTGCGCAGAATTTTAGTACCCATGATGCGGATGTCCCTCGTGCCAGCCGTCAGGGCTTGTTCTATAAGCACTCGTGTGTGGCCGGGGACACTATAGTCGAAGTTGGTCAGGAGAAGCTTGATCAGATCCGGCCGCTGCTTGTGCGAAATAATGTGATACATCATGTTGAACATCCTCCAGCGCTGCAAGAGCTCCTGGCCCTTGGGATCGCTACTGAGGATGCCCAGCATAGGGAAATACCCGGCGGAAAGCGTCGTCTGAAGCCGACCGGGTGCGAAGATGGGATCAGACGAAGTCAGACCGCTGCTCTACAAGGGAGTGTCAGCACAGCGATCACCGAAAAAAAAGAAGAAAAAAAGGAAGGTGGCACATGACGATTCATGACGGAAAGGCTCCTGGCACAAAAGCTTACTGGGTCACACTGGGCCAGGCATTCGGCCAACTGCCGTAGCAACTTGCTGTCCTGCAAGAATTTTACTCCCTCGGGCGATTGGAGCAACGAGTGCATCAACGCACAGCCGGCTCTAACGTACTTTTGCGTGTTTTTGTTGCTCGTGAGGTCGGCAAACCGGTTCTTAAAAGGTCTGTAGAAACTCATGATGCGGTTCATGAATTTGGAGACTTTGATCGTCTCCTCGAGCCTCTTGCCATTCTGCAGCGGCCCGTCAATCATCCTGAGAATGGTATCCCAGTTCCACTTTAGGTAGTTCGAGCTGTTCAAGACGTTGGAGTCCACCAGCAGCTGCCTGAAGACCGTGTCGTGGATGACCACACCGGGGTTGCCTTTCTGCTGCTCCTCGTTAAGGGCGTTCAGATTGTCAACCGACGGTGACCCGATGCTCGATGAGGTGTCTGATGTCCTATACAGAGTCTTGCTCACGGAGCTGATCTGGTAGATGATGCCCGAGGAGATGAACCTATCATCATCCTTGAACTGAGTCGCCGCAGCAAAAAGCTCCGGGAGTAAGGGTAGACTGCGGCTCCATGACGGGGGCAGCAACCTGCTGGCCAGCTTGAGAACCTCACCAATAAGTAGGCACGTTTTCCTCGTTAGATGGGCTTCGCTATTTCGCGCAACGTGTAGGAGGCTCGGGAGGAGGTCGGCTTTGACGAGGACGGCGAGAAGTAATGCCGTGTAGTGGTCGAGGAAAGTTTGCTCTTCAATGGTATCTTCCTCGTGGGTCGGACCTCCGGAACTGGTGGACGCTGTAGTGGGGGTGGAAATCGACTTGAGACTAGCCACTCTCCCATACGTCGTGAGCCGGCGGCCTGCCAGGAACGAGGAGGCCCAAGAAGGGGGTTTTATGCGGAGAATGGCGAAGAGGAGGTCGATGACGGTCTCTTTGATCAAGGGGTTCGGAAGCACCATGCTACTAACAAGAGACTTGATCGCACGGAAATCCCGCATCCCCAAGACCATCAAGCCAGACCAGCTTTTGAGCACCTTGGCGATGGCGCGCGAGTTCTGCTTGAGCAGGCTTTCGGTTGCGAGGGTGATATCGGTAAAGGCCGTAAACAGGACTTCCAGATCATAACCCGAGCGTAGATACTTTCTCTTCTCTGGCCGGTCGAGGAGAAACATGAAGGAGGAGGCCAGCGTGTCTGGAGACTTGTAAGTCCCTTCGATGAGAGCCTCGGAGATCGGAGGTAGGCCGCCCGAAGCGACAACTAGCGCTGGGTCTCTTATGAGCAGCTCGGCGAGGGTCTGAAGACACATCGACCTTAACCTGTCGTCGACCTGTGCGGCGACGGCAGCGACGGCCCGGACGACGGCCCTTGAAATCTGTTGGACTCCGCCTTTCACTTCAAGGAACGCACGCACAAACTTGAGGGCCTGCTCGCGTTCCAGATCCGCTTTCCGATCTTTGATCAGCGACCTGTACCCGGTTAGCCTTGACATACTCACTGATCAATAAAACTAGAGTGTGCGCCACCCACGTTATCGCTAGATAATCCGTGTTGAGTTCTCTGATCTTTTTGAGAGATGACACATCGGAAATCGCATAGCGGACCATGCGGTACCCGGCAGCAACCACCTCCCGCGCCTCACTCAAGAGCATCACCTGCATACGCAATCCGAAGACGGGCCATACCAGATCGTATTTCAAGGTAGGATGCCTCTTCAACAAATCGACAAGACTGTTAGCTCTGCTGACGTAGTATTCAGGGCCGAGGCCCTCGACTTCCAGAGCCTGGAGGATCTCGGTCAGAGTAAAAGTGGGAGACTGTTCCGAATAGTCGTCAAAGTCGGAACCAGCACCACTCCGTGAGGCACTTGGCGGGGAGCGTAGGCCGTTAGAATGGGGCCAAGCGTCACCAGTACGGTTCCTGATAGGAGTAGCGGGGGTTTCCTTCATCCTCTGCACATCGGCTATCATCTGATGGAGCTCCTTAATCTTGTTTTTGGACGCGATGAGTTCGGCCTCAACCCGCGCCCTCTGGTCCTTGGTCTGCTTGGCCTTCTTGGAATTGAGCGCTTCTAGCATGTTCTCGCTCCCCTCCTTTATTTTATGTTCGCGATTGAGTAGTTCCCGCAGACTGTTGAGGTTTTTTTCGGTGAGCGAGGCGTTGTCGTCATCGTCGAGTCGTTCGCCGCTATGCATTTCGAGGCGAGACCCAGCACGGGATGTATTCATCTGGCTGCGCAGCTCGGAACTGAAGCTGCCGGGGGCCATGGACGGGTTGAGGGAGGACCCACGAGGAGCGAAGCTGAGGGAGGAAGCAGCGACGCTCCTAGGACCAACGGTACCATGACCAGCAGGTCCGGCGGGGAGCTTGAGGTTGACCGAAGAGCTTCCATCGCGATCGAAACTTGGGCGGGGGGTTGTGGTCGAGGCAGACTGCTGCGGGGGCGGATGTCCCTTCTCCCGGGATGCGCCCAGCATGGCGGCAAAACCTCTCTAAGGTTTCCGCAGCTTCTTTTCGGGCTTCCAAGAACGTGGCATTCGGGCAACTGTTTTATCGAGAGATGGTGTATGGACAGATTTGTAGGGAAGTCCGACGTGGAGGGCTTTGACCGCTCGAGTCCCGCTCGCAAGAATCGACCACAGATGCGATGAAGTAATGTAACGATGCCTCGTGGGCTTAGGTAGAGACGGAGAAATGCTACCGAGGTCCTGCGGGGTGTGTGATCAGTATCACTTCCGCAAAAGGCTGTCGGACAATTGAGGAGCCGGCCTCGCCATGAAGCGCGGAGTTAGAGGCGGAATTAGAGGTGCATAGGCAGACGTAAGGAAGTAAATAAAGGTTTGGAGGCTAGGATATGCAGGCCGGAAAGAAAAGATAGATAGAGGATAAACTGTCAATGATAGGCCATACCAAAGAAGATATTGTCGTAAGTTCTCCAGCCTGTGCAGATGTGCCCGGGAAAGAGAGCAAATGCACAAAGGGGATAAGTCAGAAAATAGAACAGGTTAAGAAAAGAAGAATAAAAATGCGCGCTTCCCTTGCTTAAGATTGTTAAGGGGTACGACTACTAGCTGGTGTTGTTGTTGTTATCGACCTCGTATTACAGCTGCCCTTGGTGAAGCCGACAACCTAGAGATGGTAATAAGAGGTGCACTTATTAGTAATTATTCCTGTTGCATTCCCTCCCCCACCAACAAAAACCCACATGGGATTTACTCAGCACTCAGGTGGTCCGAGTGTTAATCAGCCACAGCAAGAAAGTTTCAGTGGCTGGAATATGTCGCACAGACCTCCCTTGGGGATGGAACAACCTAACAGCCGATTACGCGTTTAGGCACGGATGGTGGATATCCATAGGATTACCGGGCATCAATTTTGCCTCCTATAACCAGACGTTTTTAACCACAGTTTTACGGCTTTAATACAATTAATTTTGAAACCCTTAATCTAGCCGGTTTTTTATCGTATTTATCCTTTTACGGTTACGCTATATTATTACGGATAGTGTGGCTTGCTTATAGAAGAAACCGCGGAAGCCCCCTGTGGCGGGCATATCCTCCACGATGGTTATCGGCGGGCTCCGGCGGGCTGTATGCACTTTTGGTGAGACCACTGCCCCGTTGCTTCTCCCGAGCCCCGCGACCGGCGCCCCTCATTGGGTATGTCGAATCTAGCTCAACTTAGCTCTATCATCACTGTATCGTCTGATATATGGCTTGCCTTCAGATCAAGGCTCTACAAGAAAACCTATATATCGAGACAGTAATTACACCATCTCAACGGTGAAGGCTACCTTACCTTCTTTCCTTTTTTTTTTTTCGTCGTGAATATCTAGATACTTCAATTTCGAGTTGCCTCTTATTATTAGGTACTTGCCCGTCCAATCGCACCTCTCGTCATAGCTCCGTGCTTATCATACCACACACCGAAGCAGCCCCTCACTGCCAGTGCTCGCACGAGATCTTCAAAATCGACATTCTTCCAGGTTCTGAACCTCCCTAAAGAAGGACGCCCATTGATCCCACTCTTCACCGTCCTTTAATTTCAACCCTGTAACAATGCCTTCGCTCGCCTCCGCCCGCTATGGCAAGGACAATGTCCGCGTCTTCAAGGTCTCAAAGGAAGAGGGCGGCAGACAGGCCGTCACGGAGATGACGGTCTGCTGTCTCCTCGAGGGCTCCATCGACACCTCGTACACCATCGCCGACAACTCCGTTGTCGTGGCCACTGATTCCATTAAAAACACCATCTACGTCAAGGCCAAGGAGCACCCGGTCAACCCACCAGAGCTATACGCCTCCATCTTGGGCACCCACTTCCTCGACACCTATGCTCACATCCATGCCGCCAACGTCCGGGTCGTCGTCCACCGCTGGACTCGCTACGAAGTCGACGGTCGCCCGCATCCGCACTCCTTCCTGCGCGACGGCGAAGAGACCCGCATCGTCTCAGCCCGCGTCTCCCGCGACGAGGGCGTCCGCCTCACCAGCGGCATCCAGAAGCTCACCGTCCTAAAGTCCACGGGTTCCGCCTTCCACGGCTTCGTACGCGACGAATACACCACCCTCCCCGAGACCTGGGACCGCATCCTTTCCACCGATGTAGACGCCTCTTGGACCTGGTCCTTCCCGACCGGCCTCCCGGCTGTTCAGGAGTCTGCCGCCCTTTTCGATGGCGCCTGGGAGGCTGCCCGCACCATCACCCTGAAAACTTTCGCCGAGGACAATAGCGCCAGCGTCCAGAATACCATGTACAAGATGTGCGAGCAGATCCTCGCCGCCGTCCCGGAGACGCAGTCCGTCAGCTATGCTCTCCCCAACAAGCACTACTTCGAAATCGACCTCAGTTGGCACAAGGGCCTGAAGAACACGGGTGCCGATGCCGAGGTCTATGCTCCTCAGTCCGGTCCGAACGGTCTCATTAAATGCGAGGTTACTCGGTCATAGACCAGTTCATTTCTCTATTTTTCTCGTGGAGTGAAAGTTATGCTCTATTTTCTCGGCAGAGGAAGAAGGGTTTGTCTTGGTACGAGGCAGGATCACCCATTGGTCATGGTGCATGTGGTCAGGCGTTTCTAAGGTATTGTTTCTTGTATGTAGACCCATATTCATTGGCCGGTTTGGATTCCGAGTTGAATGAATAAATCAATTGATTCGACTATATAATAGTCTTGCTCTTTGAAGCTTTCGATTTACGACCATGCCCATTGAAAGACTGGGGAACCCGTCCTCTCTCCCCAGGATAAGCCGGTGAGGCAAGTCCTCCCCGTGGAAAACATAGCAAGCACGTAGTCCTCTAACGAAGTCGACGAGCCTCCCTCGCTGCAGGCACATCGATGTCTGCGACACCTCGCATTACTGATTCATAATTCCCCTCCCAGCAGCCTTGAATGATACTCTTCAGACGAGGTGAAATTTCCCGTAAAGCTTGGATACTCTTGTGTCTGGAAACGCCGCTTTATTTCAGCCTCGACCATATCCTCGTCCAGTTGTTTATTTGTCGCAATCTCGTAGAGCACTGTACTGAGTCCGGAGAGAGACCATCTTCGGTCAAGTCACGGCCACGACCGGGTCTTCATCGGACAGGTGGGAATTCGAGGCATTTAGCCCCGTCAATTCTCGCTCCGCCAAAGTCTGCTAGGCTAGCGACGGAGTCTCATCGTTTGTGGTGAGGAAGTTGCGACAACTGATATCGCCGTGAATAATGCCTCGCGAATGTATATACCGGATAGCTTCACTTGCGTCTTTCTGCCCACCTGTGGTCGTTGGCTTAGACATTATGAGAAAGCCGCTTCACCTCGGAGACAGGTCTGCGTAGAAGCTCTTATAAGGTCCCGGCCTTATGATACTCAAGTAGTTAGTTAGCTCGGCCGTGGTCGGCGGATACAGGGTGTTCTATGCTCTTACTATTGCGTCTCGGTTCTTAATTCCATTTTCTTTGGACCCTTTATAAGGTCTACGATTACGAAGGACAAGTATATACGACCATACCCACTGGAAAACTCGGGATCCCGTCCGCTCTCCCCTAGATAAGCCAGTGAGGGCCGGATTAGTAGTTGGGTGGGTGACCACCAGCGAATACCCGGTGTTGTATATTTTTTATGTCGTCTTCTTAATTTCCTTTTTTTCTCTTTTCTTGTGTTTGATCTGCGATTTGTCCCCACTACAAATAACATCGTAGAGAAACAATATAAGAGCGAGGCTTGTTGAGACAGGCAAAGACGTTGTCATGGCCACTAGTCGTTGCCATTCGATTACGGACATCGAGGTCTGACGGTAGTCTTAGAGCACGTTTTGGGCCGGAGTAGATAATCTTAGCCATACCATCTCCTGACCCTGAACTCGTGAACAATGTACGTGGTGGTGCTCAGTGGCTGGTAGTAGACGACATGGGATTAGATGATTCCTGTTATGCTCTGTTGTGGTGCCAAAATGGCCATGATTGCTTGGATTCATCTCGTCCTTTCCAACAAGCAAAGTCATGACAATAATATAGTACAAAGTACCTATACACGCCGTTTGCCTTTCAAAGCTTCGGCACTGCGCCATCCATCTGCGTCCTCGGACCATCCGCCAGCAAGGTCCCCAAGCGTCACGGCAGCCAGGTAGCACATATGCTCCCCGCTTCCTCTACCCTACAGTCTCTTCATCCCCGCTTCACGAATCGCCTTGACAGCATCTTCCCACCCATTCTCACCGACCTTGACGCCGTTAAACTGCACAATATTCTGCTTATACGGGTGCGAAGGACCCTCAAAAGCCTTCAGCCGTGCTAATCTCTTCTCGCGCAGGCGGTTCTTCGGTAACATGCCGCTGACGGCTTTGCGTAGCACCTCGGCGCCGCCGTGCTTGGCCATGAGCACGTCCATGGTGACGGACTTGAGGGAGCCGGGCCGCGTCGTGTGCCTGTAGTAGGTCTTCTGCCACTTCTTGCGGCCCGTGACGTGAAGCGCCGCGCAATTGGTCACGACGACGTAGTCGCCGCAGTCGGTCGATGGGTCCCATGTCGGCTTGTGCTTGCCCATGAGGAGCACCGCGATGCGAGAGGCAAGCCGGCCTAGTGAAGGGGGTGTGACGGACGGCTGCGTGGATAGGGTTGGGTGCAGAGCGGCTGCGGAGATCTGGTGCCAGACGCGAGAGTAGGAGAGCCGCGTCTGTAAGAATGAGAAATCATTCCATCAGCGACGGCAATGACTCGGAATGAGATCATGTGGGAAAGAGATCATGTGGGAAAGAGATCATGTGGGAAAGAGATCATGTGTGGTGTTGGCGGAGGGCGTGAAAGAAAAAGAGGGAGAGGGAGAGAGCTTGAGGGAAGAAAGAGCTTACCAGGCCGATGTTTTGTGACATTTTGGGCGGATCAGCGAGGGTCTACGCCCTCACGGTAGCAAACTGTTCTACACTCGAGGTGATCTCAATGTATTCTTGATCTCAAGGCCATTCAGTATTGGTTGTCGTCCTAATCGCGGTCGCTGTCCGGTCGGTGAGGCATACTGGGGCTTCCGTGGTGTCTCTGGAAAGTTTGATGCCAAGATGGGTCGCTGTGGATCGCCAGAGGAAGCCGAGTATGTAATCAGGTTGAAGTCACGTGACATTCATTGTCAGGTCCGACGTCCGGCCAACTGGTTGCGAGATCCGACGGTGGACAAGGAATCGAGGGACCAACTCCGGGACTCGGCTTGTGGCGATTTCAAATCAACCCACAGATGAGTGTGGATATCCATGGAAACGTCGCAGTTAACAAGTTATCAGATTGTATTATCGTGCTAGTAGTCCCTGAAACTTGTCTCTCTTCATTACTCTTGCGCATTCCGAACCGTTCTGTTTATCGACCCCTCCGCTCTCCGACAGTGCTCTACTCTCTCTTAAACTTTATTGAAATACAGGTCACTCTTTTAGTCACCGCCCGCGATTTTCTTGGAGATGACGGCCTCACACCCCTTTCAGGTTTGTTGTCCCACCTCATGATCTGCCCACGTTGGAGAGTCATCGTAGTCAGGGGGGAAGCGAGCGAAAGGGAAATGGAATTTTTCGGAGGAACAAGAGGAGAGGCGACAGGAGGATCAACATCTCGTTTCCCACAATTCTTTCGCCAGCGTTATCTTTAAGGGGCAAACCGTTTGGCAGTTCGCAGGCTTAAAAGAGCCCCGCTAATGAAACGCCTCCTGGGTAGACCATCTTTGCGGTCTCTATGACATGTGACGGTTGCGCCAAGTCCGTTTCAGATTCGCTTTACAAACTCAATGGAATCAACAAAGTCGAAGCCAATGTGAAAGACCAATTAGTTTCGATAGAGGGCACAGGTGGGTTTCTTCAAGAGAACGCGACTGGACTTGGCCATGTTTCTTTCATTCCACCTGTAAGCTGACGTTTTATTGCCTCGTTTCCGTAGCGGCTCCATCTGCCATCGTGGAGGCCATTCAAGCCACGGGGAGAGACGCCATTCTGCGAGGCTCGGGATCATCAAACTGTAAGTGCAAGAGATTCCAGACAAGCCCGTGCGCGCCTGGCCGGGGCTGCCCTTGGCTGATTAAAAGCTGTTTCTGTCCCGGTCCGCTCGGGACAGCCAGCCCATAACTCCTCGCCCATGCATCGTCACTTGTTCGTACACCCTTGTTACTGATACTGATATCGTATCCGTACAGCCGCGGCCGTCAGCATTCTCGAGTCCTTCTTCCAATCTGATGCGACTGCCAACCGGGGGATTCCCGCCGACGGGGTGGAGCGGGATGTCCGGGGCTTGGCGAGGATGGTTCAGGTTTCCCCCACGTCGACACTGATCGATCTCACGGTGCGTGGTGTAGCCCCTGGATTGTACCAAGCGACGATTCGACAGTCGGGGGATTTGAAGGATGGCGCTGCCTCGACAGGAGGAATCTGGTCGGACCAGGGGGCGCACGATGGCTCTGCAGCTAGAGGAATTCTGGGTTCTCTCACAGTAGGACCTGATGGCCGCGGCAGCGCATATATCAACCATCCCTTCCAAATCTGGGAAGCCATTGGACGCGCCATGGTCGTGTCGAGACAAGACGAATCGGCTGGACCCCCGAAGAATGACCCGGACACCGTGGTGGGCGTCATTGCCAGGAGCGCTGGGGTATGGGATAACGACAAGACAGTATGCTCTTGCACCGGAAAGACTCTGTGGGAGGAGAGGAGGGACGAGGTGAAGAGGGGGATGTTATGATGGCCACGATCTATGACTAATCGTTGTCTACTTTTTCTTGGAAATGACTAGATGCATATATGGAGATGTAACCCAGGTCTTTAGGGGCTCATCGTCGGTCACCTGAATATCGTAGAAATGAGTGTTGATTTTTAGCGACCCTCTCTTACCCACGCGCTTGGCCTATGACGACTGTCGGGTGTTTCCCTGTTCGACACCGTAAGTACTTCGTAGTCTCCAGCACATGGGAGTCAAAGTTGGATAGTTTCTTGTCTGAGATGAGATGAGATGAGATGAGACGGGACGAGACGAGACGAGACGAGACGAGGATCTGAACTCCTAGCTTCAAATCAAAGCCGTCTGTATGAAACGGAGGCTGGAGAAATATGCTAGGCAAAGGCCCTGTTCGGTTGCCGAGAAGATACATCCGAATTATTTCCTGTTGGAAGAGATCAGAACACAGAGACTTGCGACAGGCGATCCCGACACGGGAAACAAGCTAACAGGGGGCGGGGATAAGGCCGATACGGGCTGGCATTCCCCTTAAGCAACTGCCGTGTCGCAGAATAAGGTAGCTATCAATACCGTCTCATATACCTGGCAGTAACAGAGTTCAAGAGCGTTCAGATCATAACTGATTTACGAACCCGTAGCCCTGGGGGTGGGCAGGTAAATGATGCTGAGGTGTATATCCCGAGATCGGATTAACGAGGTAGCTCTGGATCGAATGCAGGTAATTAGTGTAAAGAAGAGTTGATGATCCGCCAAGGAAAGAGAAAAAAAGATGAAGACGACGAAGGAACTGATACTTGCACGAGGTTGACAAATGACGTCCCTTGAGCTACCGTTCATGTCCTTTGATAACCAGATCGGCGAAAGCTAAGGTACCTTACACATCGGTTACTCATCTCATGACATTGCGAATGAAATGATGTAAGGTTAGTATTATATTCCTGTGTTGTTGTTGTAGTTGTAGTTGTACCTACCTTGGGCAGGTTCCGTGGAGGCAGACCCGTGCCCAACGTGGTTGCTCCTGCCGTCGACAAACTCACATAGGTAATCTACCTTCAGCTCGTATTCGAATCTATGCGTCACTTCTCCTGAAAAGCTTCAGCGACGACTGATGTTTTACATACATACCATTGGCAGCTCCTGGACAACACTCATCACCGCCGAAGGCGTCACATGGCAAATACGCCTATCTCAGTGGCATGCCAGACTGCACACGATCGGAATTTTCTCCAATTACGTCGCGAGTCAACGACCGGTTACAGCCACCAGCGGCAAAGCTAGACCAACATGCACCAACATGCACCAACTTGCACCAGCAACCTGCCCGATACTGTGGTTCGGGCTGGTTCGCACAGCGCCGACCCAATGCAGGAACTCGCCGTCATAATAGGGCAAAATAGACCAAAACCCGATATCCTGGGCGAGATCCCAGGGCCCATATATCTATCTATCATTAGAACATGGGCCGCCCCGTAACTTTAAAGAAAGCACCATCTTTATCTTGATAGGTCACGTCGTCGCCACCGGAGCCTGTAAGAAGGCCGTCCATCGTCACGCCCAGCCCATGGAATCGACATAGGTCGCCGACACATGGGCGTTGTGAGAATGATACGCAGCACCTTCGTCTTACCCCTCAGTGCCCTCACAAAGGACGGCGGTCCTGTTGAGCAGGCACCTTGGATCAGTACATACGTCTCGGCCACATCTGGCTGTGTGATGTCCGGATGGACGTGTCCTGTCGCTGTTCGCTGTTCGCTCTTCGCACTTCGCATCGTGGAGAGGCACCCCCTCCTGTCACTCTCGTCACGCCGCTGGCCGAAATGCGGGCGCTTATTGAGGTGATGTCATTGATAGATCTCGTGGGGTTCAACACCTGGCTTCGCAGGGTCACACTCCAAGTCTACCACGAGCCGGCGAGGCCACCAGAAAGGGATGGTTCGAAATGGAATTTCCCCATTCGGCCCTGGGCTTCAATCGTGCATGGCCTTGAAGGTCGTGGTCGTGGGATGCCACGTAGAATTTGCAGGGAAAGATGGGATGGTAAGTGCCGTACTGCCACGAAATCAACCACGAGGAATTATTATGGGAAAAACCCCCGACGCAATGCATACTCAACTGCTGGGTCTCATCGTTGGCAAATTCTAGCCTGTGTTTTACGCGCCCTTGGCCCCCCAAAGCAGTTGGGCGTCCGAGGCCCCCTGCTAGCAATCGTCCAATCACCGTCATGGCGCCCCGCCGCTGTAACAGTTGCTGCGTGGGAAGCGAGGGGCCCTGGGTTTACGGTGGCTGCAGCTGCACCAGTCAACTAGGTTCAGGGGTAATAGTCGATGTTTGAGCCCAATGAGCCGCTTGCTCGTGGTGTGTACGAAGAATACGTTGTACCGTGGGACGTTGACGGTGGTTGACGACGGACGGTCCCACGGACTATTAGTGCAACATCCCGCCTTTTCTGCGACACCCCACTCAACCTCTCGACTCGATTTCGCCTGTGCCTCCTGCGATTCCACTACCGAAACGTTCGATCCCATGCATATGCTTTGCTCTTGATCGGGCGAGAGCCTAGACAGAATCGTTCCCATCCCATTCCAGCCAACCACCACCCCATGACTCTCTGGCCTCGAGGTTCCCGTCAAGAAGGACTTCGTGTGCTTGACACAAAAAAATCACCAGAGAGGTGGAGGATTATCATGTTATGCAAGAGAGTGGTGGGAGAATTTATTTGACGACTTGGCCTGTCACGCACAACGTACAACGTAACGACGGATAGAACTGGACGGACTAGACCTATCGGTTGAATGGCCCTGATCAGCGCACGGGTTCCAATATCCACAGATATCGACAAGCCGCGTCTCGGCCGGTCGTATCTGGTTCTGCTAAGGTCTGGGAACCTCCCCTTCTTACGGAGCCCATCACCCCTTAGGGTACATACGTACGAAGCACAACCCCCTGCCCGAGAATCGCAAAACCGCCAAGCTCCAGACTCCCTGCAACATTATTCTTACGGAAGTACGGATACGTTGTACTCGACAAGCACCAAAGCGCAGAGGCTCGCTTTCCTAGAAGAGATCTCGAGGGCCTAATACGTAGTGGGAAACGCGATTCCCGAGTCGACTTTGCCTGCATAATCATCATCATACCTGACATACCTATACCGTCAACCTGGCTTTTTCCCATATTCTGGATCTCCCCGGCCCCATGTCTCCCTGACCCGCCTAGCCGTCTTGTCCAACAGTTTGTACTCGCCCATCAACGATCATTGTACCCTACTTCCCGTAGCCGCTGGCTTCCCGTTCAGGTATCTACCCACCCACCCATCTCTTCTCCGATTTTCCCGATTCCAGCTGCATGAGCTCTCTCCTCCATCGCCTTTGTTTCTCTGCCGCACTTCCCTCTTTACACCGGCCTTCACCAACTCCGTCTTGACAAAAACGATCCACCGTCGGACCACATTCAAGCTTGGCTCATAAGATACCTCGACTCGACTACGACGCCACAGCTGTAGGTGTGACTACCCCTCACGACGACAGCATTGCGATCACACTCTCGTCTTGCGGTGTGTCTCTGTTTCTGAGGCTTTCTTCGCCATCTTGTCGAGGCACAGAATCCTGTGTCAGTTGCTTTACAAGCAGCCGTCCCCTCTATATTCAGGAGACATATTCCTCCACCACTAATTATCTACAAGTCCGGCTCTTCCGAGGCTCAACGATAAAATTAACCCGAGGCACTATCCGGGTGAATTATTAGTGCTCTTCCATCAGTCTTCTGGCTTCCGAACAAACAGACACCGGTCTCAGTGAAGGCATTCCACTGTTCGAAAAGCTCAATCATTGAGAATCCCACGAAAAAAGTCTACTAGCAAAGCTCCAGCCATACGTCAACTCTTGAACAAATCCGCTTTGCCGCCCAATACTTATTGCCAAGAATCATTCTTGGCCTTGCAGTCTTTCCTACCCAGTCAGAGTAGAGAGCGGGGAAACTCGTCTGCAGCACACGTCTGCAGCCAGCGACTTTGACTGGCAGGGCCAGCTCAAACGCAGTAATAACCCTGCGAGGGCCCCTCTCAGTCCGGAACCGACTCTGTCGTGCAGTTTTCCCGACAATTGCTTTGTACCCGGCCATACACACACACACGTACGAACCGTCGTCGAGTCGCCGCTGGACAGCACTTGTATTTCTTGTGCAGCCTGCGCAACGCGGTGCGAGCAAATTCAAGTCCGGGAATCTCTAGGAGCCACAATCAGACTGAATTGAGCACACCATGTCATTGAAACAGGTAGGTTTGTCGGTGGTCCAGTCCATTTCATTCATGATGCTCGTTGGTGTTCGCGAGGTCTGCTGGGAGCGGGGAGGGGAACGGGAGGGCAAGGACATGATAATAACACCGACCGAGGGGCCCGACCTCTTCACAACACCTGCAAATATACAAGGCGGAACGAGCATTACTGACTTGCTCCCGCAATATAGGAGATAGAAACGTGGGTCGAGGCGCTGGCCCGCTATGACAACAACGAGTTTGACGAAGCGCTGGAGTCATTCGACAAGATCGCCGACACCTCCAAAATCCTCTTCAACATAGGTGTCATCTATGCTACCCTAGGCGAGCACGAAAGGGCCGTACGTACTTCTCGTTAGCATGTTCCGCTTCTCCCGGCCTGAGTGCCGCTTGTTAACGTCTTCCGTGTCTCCAGGTCGAACATTACCAACGCGCGATACGGCTCGATCAATACCTTGCCGTTGCCTATTTCCAACAGGGTGTGTCGAATTTCTTGCTTGGGGACTTTGAGGAAGCACTGGCCAACTTCAACGACACCCTTCTCTACTTGCGAGGCAACACTATGATCGACTACGCCCAACTTGGCCTCCTTTTCAAGCTTTACTCGTGTGAAGTGCTCTTCAACCGCGGCCTCTGCTACATATATTTGCAACAGAAGGAAGCCGGTATGCAGGACCTTTCATACGCAGCCAAGGAGAAAGTTGTTGAGGACCACAACGTGATCGACGAGGCGATCGTCGAGGAGGCAGAGGTATGATTTGCACATTATCTCTACCCGACGTCCCCAGGTCCAGCCCACGAACCTCTATTGACATGTCTGATGCAGGGCTACACTGTATTCTCTATCCCCGTCGGCGTCGTCTACAGACCCAACGAAGCCAAAGTGCGCAACCTGAAGACAAAAGACTACCTCGGAAAGGCCCGTCTCGTCGCTGCCTCAGACCGTGCCAATGCCTTCACCGGTTTTGCAGGGTCCGAAATCAAGAGCGTAAGTCCATTGCCCTCCAGTGACGGCTTCGCCGTTAAGCGGTGCCAAATACGCTAACTATCATGTAGCAACAACGGCGGGAAGTGAAGGACGATCGTCCACCGGACAATATCTCGTACGCCGCGACAAACCTCATCAAGCCCGGTCTTCAGTCCCGGAGACAACAGTCCGAACCCCCCGGCAACCGCAACGTCTTCCCTCCCACCCCTCCGCCCGACGCCGACAAGCCTGGCAGTGGAAACGGCCAGATGAGCCGCGGCGCCTCCGTCCGCAACGGACCCAGGCCTCAGCTCGCCAAGCTCAGCATCGATACCTCTGGTCCCAGCAGATACGAGAAAACGACCAGCCCGCCCGAACGCCGCCCAACCAACGCCGGCCCCAGCCGCAACCAGAGCGCAGCACCCTCACGAACTTACTCACGCCGTGAGCAGCCCCGGCGGACGCGCGACGATGACGAAGCCGGCGATGGCTATCCTGACGAGCTGTACGACATCTACCAGGGAACCAGTCGCGGGAGCCGGAGCAGTCGGGGCGCACGCCGTCCGCCACCGCAGCGGTACATCGACGAGGAGGACGATGGCTCCGACTACGATGACGGCTCATTCGACGAGGGCGATTTTGAAATGGTGACGAATAACCAACCGCGACGGTCAGGCACGACCTCGGGCACCAGCCGTACCGCGTCGCGACGACCCGAGATTCGAAAGGTTCGCGTCAAGGTCCACGCCGATGATGTGCGGTACATCATGGTCGGAACCGCCGTTGAGTTCAACGACTTTGTGGATCGCATTCGGGACAAATTTGGCCTGCGCAAGAGGTTCAAGATCAAGTTCCGGGATGACGATGTGCCCGACGGCGAATTGATTACCATGGGCGACCAGGACGACCTGGATATGGCCATTATGGCCGTCAAGAGCATGGCGAGGAAGACGAAGCAAGAAATCGGAAAGATGGAGGTCAGTTTATTTTCTTCTCTCCCTCTCTCATTCGTTCCACTCTTGTTCGACGACATGGTTCGCTAACTCTACATTGCAGGTCTGGGTTCAAGAACTACCGTAGACGAAACCCCGGAGGCGCACAGGAGACGGGCAGATGAACCAGGTGCAAAAGACCGCACCGATACACATAACATGATACCCCAGCAGCCACCCGCACAGGCTGGCTGCGACATCATCTTTATTATTACGAAGTAATGAACAACCGGAACGGGCGCGGAAAAGCAACGACCAAGGTAGAGCCAAATTAGAGCTGGCTCGAATGGCAGGCCGTCGGGATACACGATATTCTCAGCACACTACACATAGCACACAGCATGGTATAGCAACCCGGCATGGAGCAGCATCCTTCTTTTTCTATCTCCTTTTTTTTTTCTCGCACCGCACTCCGCTCTTCCTTATTATTGTCTATTTACTCTTTTCCTCTGCTGTTATTTTACTCATCGGATACATAGCGGAGAGGGGTAAATATTCCGGGTCAACACCCGAAGTTGGTTCTGAGCGTTGGTGGAGTGAAGGAGAAGCCAGACAGGACAGGCAAAAGTCGTTTGATCCATCCATCCCAGTTACTCGATTTTCGTTGTTCTGTTTGCAACTGGCCTAGCTTGATGGCGTCTCAGAGCCGTCGTAATACTCCCTGCACATATTATACATACTGCCGTGTTTTGTCGGTTTTCCAACGCATATTTACATACGCATCACTCTACCTGCGGTCACTTTGTAGTAGTATCTTTGACCTTATTTGAATTGAAAATCGGGTCATGTCTGTTTTGCGCTAATTCGTTCCATGTTCTCCTCGGGTTGTTTCTCTTCTGATGAAAACTTGGACAGGGTCCAAATCCTTACATTGGTGATGTGGGAGATGAGGTGACTGAAGGGGTTGGGGTCTACCGGTGTGAAACTGGAGATGTTTGGGGGATAATGATAATGTGAGGAGGATTGCGGAAAAGGGGGGGGGGGGGACAAAATCCAAGAATGCAAACCGTCCGATTATTGAAAGATATGGTGAGGGTAGAAATATACATGGCCCGATATATTACATAGAGCATAATACAGATATTAGTACAGTCTATCAACGTTCTCCCGGACCAGGAAGAGTATCTCCAACGGATAATGGGTCATAGATCGTTAAAGTTGGCCCTGCCACTTGCATATTGGCCGTATACCTCAATCTGCCGCCGAAGTCCGCGACGCCGCCCCCCGGAGCCTGACCAAGGCCTCCTCCGGACCAAGGACGGCAAGCTGAAGCTTCGCAGGCTTTGCGGGCCGGTCCGGGTCGCCCGACAGTACGTAACGTAGCCATGCATAGCCCGTCGTGCGCACCTCAAGGGCCGCCTCACGCAACACGGCGCTGATGCATGCTTGAATCGCGTCCGGGTTCCAGTTCGCATCGCTGTCGCGGTCGCCGCCGTTCCCCCCCTCAGCTAGTGTGCAGAGACTAGCCTCGAGGTTGGCGACAAGCTGTGCGGCTGCGGGGTTCGCATCGAGGGAAGCCCGGAAGCGGGTGCCAGACGGGGAAGAGGCTGCGGCGGCCGGGTCGGGGCGGAAGAAGAGGGAAGGGTGTGAAGTTAGAAGAGCCGCGGGGTCGATTGCGGTTTCTTTTGGATCAGAGGCGAGGGTTTTGAGCAGGGCCAGGATGTGAGATTCCTGAGAGCCACGCGGGGTGGAAGGGGAGAGCTGGGGCACGAGCTGGCTAAAAAGACCCATTGTGGCTTCGAGGTCTCCCTCCCCATCGGCATTGCTGCCCTGGAGCCGGCGTTCTTCCAGGTTCTGGATGTTTCTCAGGAGAGGAACGACGAGCAGTTCTTTGAGACGGGCATCCGGGGCGGATGGATCTCGGAGGAGATGGGTTAGGTGGGCACGTTGAAAAACGGGAAGCTTTTCCGGGTTGGTCTGCGCGTTGCCCTTTGTGAATTTGAGGGAGAACTGGATATGTGGTCAGGAAGTAATCCACCTGGAACACCGACGAAAGAAGGGAGATGCAAGAGAAATTTACCTTTTGGGCTAGATCGGCCATGGTAGGAAAGACATCGCCCTTGACTCCGGCATTCTTGTCAGGACTCCAGCCAAGGAGAGCAAGCCAGTTATTGAGAGCGGATGGCAAGATGCCCTTATCGCGGTAGGCGGCCATGTCGATGTCGATGTCGCGGTTCCGCTTGCTCAGCTTCTCGCCATTGGGACCACAGAGAAGACCAGCGTGGGCGAATGCTGGGGGCGTCCAGTTGAAGGCATTGTAGAGGGCCACATGTTTAGGGGTCGATATGAGCCATTCCTGAGGGAGCTGGTCAGGAAAATTCGGGAAGATTTCACGGAAAATGGGAACGGAACTGGACCGAAACGTACAACCCCACGAATGACGTGAGTAATCTTCATGAGATGATCGTCAACTACATTAGCAAAGTGGTAGGTTGGGAAACCATCGGTCTTGATGAGAATGAAGTCGCTCTCGTCCTCGTTCTTCTGATAATGCCCGTACACCAGGTCGGTAAAGGAAGGGCGCCCTTCACTACGAAACCGCACGACATGGCTCTCCCCGTGAGCGGCACGGCGGGCAGCCTGGTCAGGCGGGATGGTTCGACAAGTTCCAGGGTAGTTGACGAGGTTTCCTCCGTCGAGACTCTGTTGCTTATGACGCTCGAGGTCTTGGGCCGTGCAGAAGCATCGGTATGCATGGCCCCTGTCGAGCAGTTGCTCTGCGTGCTTGTGGTAAAGATGCAGTCGTTTAGACTAACCCGGTCAGTATAACTCAGTAAAATGGAATTTGGGTGAAGCGGTAATGAAGGGGCAATGAAGGGGTATGAATGGGGGGAGGGGATGAGGGAAGGGCGTTTCTGCTTGATGACCACACACTTGCACATAGGGGCCGTATGGTCCGCCAGCATCGGGACCTTCATCCCAGTCCAGCTGGGCCCATTTGAGGTCGTCCAAGAGGCGCGGCACAGCATCTTCAACGATTCTTGTCTGTTGTTATAGTCAGCGACGACTGTAGCCCATCAGCCCACTACGAGAGGACGGCTAGACTAACTTGATCGGTATCCTCGACACGGATGAGGAACTGACCGCCCGTAGCCCGAGCAAGGAGCCAATTATAAAGGGCAGTTCTTAGAGAGCCAACGTGAAGGTAACCCGTCGGAGACGGAGCGAACCGCGTCCTCGCTGGAGTCTTGGGAAGTTCATGAAGCGACTTATTCTTGGGCTGTAGCTTGCTTCTCAGGGCGTCTAGGCCGCCGCCTCCTTTTCGTGCCGTAGAGTGTTGCCTGGCCCATTGCGCTCTACAGCTACGGCATATGAAGTCGGTGCGATGAAGAACAAGCCTCCTTTGAGGGACCAACGCCATTAACATGGTAGCTATACAGAAGGAAAGTTGAGGCGTCTAACACCTGTTGTTGCTGTCGTGGAGGCTACAGAGTAATTACGGCGTAATTTATTACTAAGGTATGATTTTTTTTTCAAAGGGGTACGGATGTACCAGTGTTTACGACTATTACCTTAGGTAAGCTTGTAATGGGCTAGCCAATTGGAAACTCGACGGATTTGGCCCACACCTAAATTTGCCCATTCCTGCACTGTGAATGAATTACAGAACGCCAATCTTGCGAAGGAGCTCCCAGCCAGCATATCATGCTATAGCGTGACACATGTCAGCTGGAAAAAGTCTGGCAGTTAGTCCACGAACGATTCTCACTACCTTACTCTTCCACATGTATCCTTCAATCCACCGACCTCTTCCTAGGTCAGTAACCCATTGATCTCAAGGGGAGAGTCGGGCACAATGAAACAACCTTCTTAGACCATCTGAAACTTCTCGGAAACAAAATTCATGACTCTGATGGCAGGCAATAAAAGTGGTTTAACCTACGGACAGGCGCTGGAATCTACCTCATGATGGCTGTCACTGCCTTCTGACGGGTTCCGGCGTCTCACTGGGCTTCATTTTCATCCAAACAGTCTGAACCCTATCATGGTATCCCACCATGTCATATCATAGTACATGGGCCTCGACTCAGCTGGCGCATTGGAAGATCTTGGCTGTCGGTTGTTGGAGAGAAAAAAAGAAGAAAAAAAAGGAAGAAGAAAAAGCCATCTTCTGAATTGATAGTCACCGGCTCTCGCTATGGTTATGCTTGTCGCTCTACTTGTGGACGTTGCCCCTGAGACTATGATTTGAATTTCCCTAGCCAACATGCTTTGTGGAATGACGGTGATGGTTCTAGCATATGCTTTAAAGGCCTTGAACTCTGTCATATAGATTTTATTCCTTCGATATAAACGTCTATCGGAAACTGACATGAATCAGTATCTGCTTGGCCCAGCAGTCTTGAGATTTAAGCTCAGCAGCCTGTTATATATACCTGACTAATAAGCTCTGTCTGGATGAGGGTCCATCTGACATCCCTGCCTGTCAGAAGTCTCTTATCGTTATCTCTCTGACCGCCTTGCCACTGGTCTAGCGGCTCGTCACTCTGGGATGCCTAACAACCGCCGTTTGGGACCCCGCTAACTGAAGATTTTACCGCTTGGCTCTCCACATTAAGGTTCTCCCTCTGACCAACCTTTCCTTCAGCATTGTCACTTGCTATACTGGAAAGTCTGCTTGCGCTGGGAACCATCGCCCGCAGCAGTTTTTTTCCATCATGGACGGCGGACCTGATACTGGGCCTGCGTCTGGCCCCGAGGAGGCCGATCTTTATGGTACGTCTCGTCTACGGACTTTAACCCGTTCGGCGCCGGCCCTCGTCGTCACCGGACGTACCAAACCAGTGGATCTCTGACGCTTATCCAGTACTCCTTGGGATCGATAAGAGCGCCACACCAGATGAAATCAAGAAGGCATACCGAAAAGTAAGTCCACATCCGCACAAAACTCCGTCAAGAGATGCTGCCGCGCCTACTAACACTCGGTTTCCTTTCTTTTTCAACTAGGCTGCTTTGCAACATCATCCCGACAAAGTCCCCGAGGAGATCCGAGAAGAATCCGAGGCCAAATTCAAGGCCATTAGCCAGGCGTACGAAATCCTTCGCGATGAAGACAAGCGCCACCTCTACGACACCCACGGCATGGCCGCCTTTGACGGTCGCGGTGGTCCTTCCGGTCCCGAAGTAGATCTCAACGACGTCCTCTCGCAGATGTTCGGGTTCGGCATGGGAGGTCCCGGACCTCGCCGGCCCCGTCGCGGCCCAGACGAAGACCAAGAGTACAAGGTCACTCTCGAGGAGCTGTACAAGGGGAAGACCGTGAAGTTCTCCGCCGACAAGCAGATCGTCTGCGGCACGTGCAAAGGCACCGGCGCCAAGGCCAACGTCAAGCCCCAACAGTGCGAGAAGTGCCGCGGCGCCGGCGTATCAGAGGCCTTCCAGCAGATCGGCCCGGGTCTGGTCCGCAAAGCCACCGTTCTCTGCGACCGCTGCGAGGGCTCCGGAAACTTCCATAAGGAGAAGGATCGCTGCAAGAAGTGCAAGGGGAAGCGTACCGTTTCCGAGAAGAAGGTCCTGGAGGTCTACATCCCTCGTGGCTCCATGAACGGCGAGCGGATCGTCTTGGAGGGCGAGGCCGACCAGTTCCCTGACCAGACCCCCGGCGACATCGTCTTCCACCTGGTTGAGGAGTCGCATGCTGTTTTCACCCGCCTCGGCCACGATCTGTCGGCCGAATTGACCGTCACGCTGGCCGAGGCGCTGTCCGGGTTCTCCCGCGTCGTGCTGACACACCTAGACGGCCGCGGCATCCAAATCACTAGGCCCAGGGGCAAGATCCTCCGGCCGGGTGATGTGCTGAAGGTCCCTGGTGAGGGCATGCCGCTGAAGAGGGGAGAGGCGAAGGGTGATCTGTATCTGATTACCAAGGTCGAGTTCCCCGAGGACGATTGGCTGAAGGACGACAAGGAGTACGATATCATTAACAAGTTGCTTCCGCCACCCGCCACACCACTTAAGGTAGATGAGGTGGACGAAGTTCACTACGAAGACAACGTAGACATTGACCAGGTAAGCCGGTGTGGTTTTGATTTCCTCGTGGACTACTCTGTCGCTAACTTCACTCTTGCAGTTTGGTTCCAGTCACGGCAGGCAGGGCATGGGCAGTCAATGGGAGGAGGAGGATGATGGGGACGACGGCGCGCCGCAGTGTCAGCAACAGTAGGTTGTACTTGCTTCTTGTCATCACATAGAGGAAGAGGGATACGCTTGGCTCTTGATGAGTATGTTTCCGGTCCCACGATGTGAGGTTTTCACGACGGTCATGACGGCCCAGGGATGATAAGCTTTTGATAGAGGTACATAGGTATGCGCATGGATATGGGGGACAGAGATTTTGTATTGGACCAAATACCCTACTCATTTGTCCCACCCACGGATACCGTACCGGAGTTTGCCGACAAATAACTGTCCTCTCTCAGCCATCCTTGGGGCTCATTCTCGGAGCTGTGACGATTTTGGAGGCGACGTAGTAGACGTAGGCCAGAACTTGATAAGACGAGAAGACGGTGGAGCTAGCTTGCTCGGTGAGGCGTCCTGTACGATTCTCGGTCTGCTCCGTGCTCGTCCCGGAGCAAAAGAATTGCCAAGGATAAGTGGAGATCTACGTACCCACTGCACCCAGGTGTCATTGGCTGATGGCCTACACCTGATCCCATTGGTTGATTTTCGAAAATTTTGGCGAGCCCTAACGACCCACGGCCTGCCACCTCGAATTGGCACATCTTCCACTGGTTTTTTGCTGATGAACGGAACTTCCTGTTGATCGCGACGTCTTTATCTAACCAGCACAGGGAAAACTGCCGCCAAGGTACGAGCACCAGTCCACGATACTTTGATTCCGAATCTCGGTCGAGGCAAACAATACTAATATTTTCTTTTCTGTTCAAAGATGGTTGCCGCAAAGAAGCATGTCCCCATCGTCAAGAAGCGTATGTTATGTACTCAGCTGTTGTCACCGACGCCCTTCCCGAATCGAACCAACCGCGAGAGATCGAAACACTTCTACTAGGAGGGCACGATGGAATTTTGAAAGAACGGAAATGTTGACGGAATCATCGATATAGGCACCAAGCGCTTCTTCCGCCACCAGAGCGACCGCTTCAAGTGCGTCGACCCATCATGGCGCAAGCCTAAGGGTATCGACAGCCGCGTCCGCAGGCGTTTCCGCAGCGCCATCTCGATGCCTTCGGTATGTTTACTATGGCTCCATGGGTTGTTTATCGAAGGGAAAGAGCCCCTCCGAGCAGTGATACGCAACACGGGGCACACAAAAAAACAGTAGCTGATACAACTTTTCGGTGACTGCAGATCGGCTATGGCTCCAACAAGAAGACCAAGTACATGATGCCCTCGGGCCACAAGGCCTTCCTCGTCAACAACGTCAACGATGTCGAGCTCCTTCTCATGCACAACCGCACCTTCGCCGCTGAGTACGTTCAACCCGATACCCCGTCGCTTACAACAGGTGGAAGAAGAGTCTGGCCGGCGAGAACGGGATGAATCTCGAACCCGAACTGACATTGGTACTTTCAGGATTGCCCACGGCGTCTCATCGAGGAAGCGAATTGATATCATCGCCCGCGCCAAGCAACTGGGCGTCAAGGTCACCAACGCCAAGGCCAAGGTCACTACGGAGGTATGAGCTGGATGAGCGAGGTGGAAGCAAACAAAAAGGAAACGACATCACAGCACGATTGGGTTGGCCGGCCGGCTGGCGATACATGGGGCAATACAGGAGTGGATTTGTATTTGGTCGATGGCGATTTGCTCTATATCCTGGAACTGGGGCATGCATCGGGACAAACAGACGGGAATTCCCTTTTCTTACGACGACGGCGCGGCTCCTGCGGCTGGCATGACGGCATGTATCTGAGTGCTACGGAATGAAAACCCGCACAGTACTCATCAAGATGGTTCGTCCGATGCCCTAAGCGGTGTGAAATGGTTGCTTGTTTTTCCCACTGGCTGCCCGGGGACGTGACACCGCAGACCGGTTCTTCCTCCTTCTATTTAGGAGGCTTTCTCTCCCCTTCGGGAATACCTCACATGGAGTGAGGATACTCTCCGTCTGGAAAGACCGACCCAATCGCCCTATGTCTGACCTCGGCTCCAAATCCCACAAGCTGAAGCCAACTGTTATCGAACATGGCATTTGGCTGGTTCACCATACATCCAAATGTCTGGATTTTTGTTTGTCCACGCTGAGACTAGTTCGTGGAACGAACGTGTTGTCCAAGATGATTTCTGTGCTTAGGCCATGGAATCCCCTGTTCAAGTACCAGATGATTTGTAAATTGTTCCATATCTGCTATTGGGATTACCCGGCCTTCCACTTTCACAAGCCGTCTCGAAGCGTGCCACGGCAAACGGCTTGGTTTCAGATACTGTTCGTTATAGGGAAGCAAAGTATCGAGGTTATTTCGCTGTACTGAGACTCGGAGAACCAGACTGCTCCTAACGCCCAACGACCCCCTCTCATCTCCTAATTTCCGAGCCACGTCGTCTGTCTCTGGCACGACTTTTCAACAAGTTGTGCTTGCCGGTGAATGTTTGCTGGTTGGCGGTCCATCTCCACTCACCAAGCGCGTTGGCTCAACTGCCAGCTCGCCCGAAACCCCACTGAGATCGTCGAAGCCCATGCAAGAAACCGGAGTAGAAACGCAAGGTGCGGATACGAGGTCGCCATTTCCTGGGGGAAAGTCGTTCACGTTCTCTCAAAGGTCGTAGGAATATGACGCGCTCAAGTCCGCCTATCTGACGCACGAGAAGCCGCAGAGGCGGAACCGCCAGGCTCCGCGCCGCACGCCATTTTTGTCCACATGGACGCGTGTGCCGAAGTTCCTGCCTCCAATGTTCTTTGAGAAAAACCAGCTCATCCTGAAAGTCCTGCTTGGTGCAAGGGGAAAAGCTGTGGAGAGGTGGAAGCGGGGTTTGAAGGTGATTATATTTTTGCCCAACCGATCTGCAGCTGCCATGTTAGCCCTCACCTCGGAGACGACTTGCAGGTATGTCAGAATTGGGTTCAAATGTGTACTGACTGATGTAGGTATGGATGATGCGCAGTTATGCGGGTACGATGTGTATTCTTGAGAGGGGAGGCTTGCGGCGTGGTTTGAGTATCGAGGGAAACGGATGGAGATGCGCGAGCCCTCAATATACAGAAATCACCTTGCCTCATACAGCTACATAAGGTTATATACGGCATGTGAGTAAGGTAGGTAGGGCAGTACTCCGTACTGCCTTGGGCTGCGCATCAAGGCGGCCTCCCATCTCGGCTGATCCCGTTCACCGCTTAATATTTTATTATCAAAACAATCAACAGGGGCAGGGAATACGTTGTAGTAATAGTACTCCGGACCTCATTATCGTGGGACAAGACACAGTGGCTGCAGATGTGGCGTGCTTCGCGAGATTGGCGGTGGCTGTGCCTGTGACGCCAACCCGTTAGCCTTTCCAACTCCAACCTCGAAAAACATCGCCGAAGACCAGTTTAGGCAAAGTCCATATCGCTAGCCTCGCCCCTGCCCCTTTTCGAGTCGGTATCTTCCTTGAGGCCTCCGTGGCTTTCATCCCCCCTGCTTAACTTCAATATTACCATTTGACGCGAAGCTCTGAAATCTCAGCTGGCGAATGATCAAAATTTAAGACAACCCAGCATTTTTTCGGGGAATGCTGTATTAGAATTGAAATTTGACTTTTTTGATTCAGTCGAGATATCAATGCAGTGTCGGGAGATATCTCTGGACTTAGGGAACTAGGATATATTGGACGCGTAATGCTCGTGGATAATCGAGTTGGCTACTGCTGGGTGCCTTTGCCTGCGCTCTCCAAGGCCTTTCTAAACTCGTCTACGAAGTTGTAGCAGTCGGTAAAACTGTTATATAGGGGCGCCGGGGCAACTCGGATCACGTTCGGCTTCCTTTCGTCGACGATTACTGCCCGCGCCTCCAACGTCTCCATCACGGGCCCGAGCAACGCATCGTCCGTCAGCAAGATGCTCAGCTGCGCGCCACGCTTTTTCGCCGCCCGCGGCGTGATGATATGAAACATATTCTTCACATCCTCGGGTAATTCCTCGAGCAGGGATTCGAGATAGGCCGTTAGTCTCAATGACTTCTCCCGTAGAGGGCCCATGCCTCCCGTAGTCTCGAAGACCTCTAGACTCGCGCATAGGGCAGTCGTGTCAAGGACGCTGGGATTACTGAGTTGGAACCCCGCCGCTCCGGGAACAGGGCGGAAGGCTGCTGTGGTATCCATAGCAAAGCGCGTGGCCTTGTCGTTGCCCCACCAGCCAGCTAGGCGCGGGGCAAACCCGTCTTCAGGGGCGGCTTCGGGGTTCGCGGCGGACGCGGACGCGACCACGGTGTGACGAGAGTGCACGAAGAGCGAGGCGATACCACCAGGTCCGGAATTGAGGTATTTGTACGAGCACCAGGCAGCGGCATCGACATCCCAATCGTGAAGGTGGAGGGGCACGTTGCCGGCAGCATGAGCGAGGTCCCAGATGACAAAGATGGAACGAGCACGCGCGAAGGCGGTGATGGTGGGAATGTCGAGTAACTGGCCGGTATAATACTGAATCCCCGGCAGAAGTAGTACGGCCGTGTCCGAGGCGTGCTCGGCGACAGTGGAGAGGATGTGGTCTGTGGTTAGGATGGGGGAGTGGGGGGCCGGCGGCTCTATGCAGACCATGGATTCAGCTGGGGAAAGACCATGAAGACGGATCTGCGTCTCAACGGCAATCTAGCGGGGGGGGGGATCTTTGTCAGCCACGTCCCCACGGATGAGGCGCCCACAACACACTGGCTTGTCAGGGACGCCGTAGCTTCAGCAGGTATTACGTACATGGTCGCTAGGGAAGGCCTTGCTCTCGAGAATGATTTTGTGCCGACCGTTTCGGTCTGGCCGGTAAAAGGCACACATCAGGAAATGAAGATTGGCAGTCAGCGTTTGCATGACAGCAACCTCAGATTCCTGAGCACCGACAATGGGGGCCATCAGGCTGGCAGCCAGCGCGTCGACGTTGAGCCATGTCGGTAAGGGCGAATTGTCGATGGGCTTGAAGTGGCCCTGGACCCCTTGTGTTCCCCAAGTGTCAAGGTACTGGCGTATCCTCGTCGCCGTACGCCTTGGCTGCAAGCCCAGGGAATTGCCACAGAGGTAAGTACACGGCGTCTCACCGTTCCTCGACACCGTGCTTGGGCGTTCTGCTCCACCACGTATTAGCCAACGGTGGGGGGAACTTGGATTGACGTATCACCTGGGAGCTTGCCTTGGGAAGGGAGTGTTTTGCTGGTCACTTCGTTCTTGGTGGGGATGACGAACTCTCCCCGGATTGACCTGAGAGGGTCTCGTTCATCCAGGGACAAGGCATGCTGCCTCCCTGGGGAATCCGTCTCGGGCATGGTGCTATTCCATTTCCGTAACCGCTGTATTCGTAAGTTGATTTTGATATCACAGTTGACAGGGTGGTTGGGTCGGATCCGGGCAGCTCAACGCCAGTGCCGACTCGGTCGATGATCTCGATGGAATGTTCGTGAAGGACGCATGTAAATAGGCGGGATTCCTGGATCTACGCACGTCAGTATGCCGAGTCAACAGCTTGGCTGGGCTACATACCTACTTCGTACTTCGTAGGTCATAAAACGTTCCTTGCTGGCGGATGACAAGGCCATGCGGAAGGAATGGCAAAGGGAGGAAAGACAGACCAGGAATTGCCGCGACTTGCCGCTTTGCGGGGCTAGTGGATACGTACCCCTCGTCTGACGAGGGGGTCGCATGCGGGGCTATGAGGGGCGCTAACACTGCACGTACGGGCTGTCCCAACTCCTTGAGCAGCGGTTTCCGTTTTCGATATATTCTCCGCGATGTGTTACGAAGATTTCTCATCGGTGTTTTTCGCCTAAGGTACCTACCTATTCGTTGAGTACGGTGTACGGGTGAGCGACGAAATTTTCAGAGGTGTGTAACCATGATAACGTAGCTTGCCACAGCCACGTTGGCGCTCGATTCCTGCTCCGTCATTCGTTCTCCATTACAGCAGTTACGCAATGGACGATGCAGATGATTTGAATGGATATCAAAGAAGACAAGACGACAAGCCGTATTGAAGAAATTATCTGCGTTATACCATGGATCTAGAATTTCTCTGGAGGGAACACGGATAGGGAATGCACCCTGAGTATTTCCGTGGATTTCCTCTCCGATGTGTCGACTGCCCGACGCAGGTCTCAAGCAAGTCGTGGGGCAAGAGACAACGATGAACAGTAGCAACTATATTTCACCGATATATGGATGACGGCCCAAAATCCTATATGTTGCCCAAGCTCTGCCACATCCAACATCATTATCTGCATATGCGGGTGCTTTGTCCGACACGTATACCTCGTTGATTTCTACGAGTCATCTGAACCCCGTGCTTGGTCTTGACACAAACAGTACCTACCCTTTAGCATGGTGATATCAAATTACATCGAGCAAGGCAAGAACGCCAGAGTATGGCGAGGATCGCTATGGTCCAGATTCCCAACAAGCGGTGAAGGAACGGTGGTCAAGTGATGCTATCGTGAACATCTGTTACAGCTTACCGCCACCGGTTCACCGTCGTGGGAAATTGCTCCTAACCATCGTGACCTTCCTTGACAGCGGGCTGAGACCGATCACTTGACGACCCCGAAATTTCTGTGGCAGTGCCTGATGTCTAGCTCAAAGCTCATTTCGCCGTCACTAGTCTGTTCGGCATTCGGATAGGTGGGTCACGACCATTTCAGGGGTCAAATAAAGCGGGTTTATACACTCTAACCCCTGTTTAATTATATATAAAGTACTTACGGATCCCGAATAAACTAATAGTATACGTGTACCACGATAATATACAGAGTAGAATATAACTAGATATATTAAAAGTGGAGATCTTCTATATAAAGTATAGGGGTTTAGATATACTATACTAGGGAGACTTAGTATTTATTAATCTATCTTATAGTTTTTTAATAAGCTAAGGTTAACGTGGTATTAAAGTAACTAATAACGTAAATATCTTTATAGAAACTGCCTCCTATATAGCGAATATGGGTAAGAAGTAATGACTAAATCCTTTTATAGGTAAAATAGCTATTAATCGATTTTTAGCTTAACCTCTAGATATCTTATAATAGTATTAAAAAGGTTTATAGCGAATATACTATTAGTGTAGGTATATTACTCGAATCTTCAAAACTTTCCTATTTAGGAAGGGTTTGAATATACCCCCTTACACAATTAAACAGGGGTTGTATGGTATTGCGGAGGAGCCGGGCCTACTTGCATTACACTGTCCATAGTTGATGAGTTCTAGACCATATAATGACCGAGATGGATGTACACAGCATACAATATGTACGTGTAATTGTGAGCTGGAAGCAGGGCGAAAAGATACTTCGTACAATTGCTCGGGACCTCTTCTGATTGGGTGCATTGTACTGGTACTCCTAGACAGCCTTCGGTAGCTCCAGCGCTTTGTACGAAGTAATTACTACATTAAGATTCAAGCCACACGTACAAACTTACCATTAACTGTCGGATACCTGATCAGCGTCCATCACCGACACGGGGGACTTGCTTGATGCGTGTTCTCCAGTTAGCCTGGGGTTGTCCCACAAACTTCCAATCGCTTCCACACATGTTCCACTCCCCGGTCAATGGAGCGGTCTCGTGCCCAACGGCGTGCTGACCATTAAGTAATCTGGGGGTAATGAAAACGCCATCGACACCAGTAAGGGGTCCTGTAGGGGTTTCAATGGGTGCACCTTGCCCGGGGAGCGGCCGAGGCGCCGCGTCTGGCCATTAAGGTCTTTTTTTATACACGTTCGTGTACACGTAGAATCCGTAATGAACGAGCAAGCAAGGATGGACCAACCAGCTCCGCTCGGAGGTTCAACACGACTCGGGACCTGTAAACGCCACGGGACGTGGTGATATCTCAACGTTGAGATCGTAATCAGCTTGCTTTTGGTTTGATTGCCGGATTATTTGGGGATGCCAGCATATTGTGCATGGTCAAGGGTATCAGAGTTTGCTCGAAGAGTGGCAATCAAAAATATAATTCGTTCCTTGGCGATTGACCAGATGGATGTTGGCTGAGTTTGCGGCAAGGTAACGGTGCACCTGACCTGAAGAAAGGAGACATCCGGACCGCCCGGGTCATCGGTCGGTCAAGAAGGGACTCCGGACCGGGGGCGTCTCGGGGCCTCCTCTCTACCTAGTGTAGGATCAACTTGCGAGGAGGCGGTAAGAAATGGAAATGTTACAAAGGACCAGAAAGTACTGTACTTCCTCGGATAGTTCTTCTATGATCCCCACGTCGCCAGTGCCAAAGCCGGTAAAATTCTACACGTGTACGTCGTGATGCTTCTAGAGAAGTAGAAAGCAAGCGAAAAAGGGTGAGAGAAACGTAAGGAAGATCGGAGGCATGTGGGGAAACCGTCCTCAAGAACACAGAGTATACAACATAGCCCTATGACAACCATTCTAGCCCAGTACAAGGAGTGGTGGACATACACTGTAGATGTACGGCCAAAGAAAAAGCTCGAGACTACCGTACAAAGCTGGGAGCCTCGAATAGCCGTGCCCAGAGCCTTAAGGGGCAGGAGGTAAACTTGGGGTCTTCTTGAAGTACGCTATGAATGATTTGGCGGGGGAAAAACGCTAAAATAGGATCGGTGTCGACATGGAGGTACGAGCGACAGACACGAGTTGGCGAGTTGCATCATGGGGGGTGAGAAACGGGACGGTGGGGAACATTATCGCAGGCCACTCGAAGGACCTTCGGTAGGTACTCAGGTACGAGACAAATTCCAGCCAATTATGTTCGAGGTGAGTTGCTTTTTTGGGTGGGTTAGCCCTGAAGAGAGCTGTTACTTCGAATGAGTGGGTTCAAAATTTCCACGTGAAGTCATCGTACATAAGGCAATGTACAGTACCTTATGTGCACGTACTTTTCTTTTTTCTTCACCCTATTACTTCATACAAAATGCTCCGTATACGTGTCCCTGCAAAGCTTGTAAGACGTGCAAAAAACATGCAAAGAGAATGAATACCGGAGTAAGAAGACGGAGGACGTTCTAACTTTCCCCAATTGCTACAAGTCGGAGCTATGACAAGTCCGAGAACGTTTCGAATGTTTGTATTGGTACCTCAGCTGTACCGTTACCGATCTCCACCTGACCCCAAAAGTACCCCAGGTACGTTTCCCTCTTTCCCTCACAATAATAATACTTCGTACACGTGTAGAGGGGAGTCATCCCCAATAATCCTTGTTCTTGCCTCTCATGACCCGAACGACACGAGCTTGTTTTCTTTTTGGGACGACACTGGGGATAGGATGGTCGAGTACTTAAAGGCTCGGCCTACGCCTCTTTATCAAGAGTTCGCTAAAGATGACACTGTTAAATCCTGCTTTTCACATGGATCTGCAGAGGACTTCCTCCATACCCCTTTCTTGCCTAGATCCATTCTTTCTCTCGTGGTGTTGCTGAATAACACCATCCTCGACATCGTTTCAAGACACGAATACTTGCCTCCATAGTCTCCCAACCCACTATCCCTTTGTCACCTCACCATCGGGTTGACAGCCAGCAACACTACCGCTACCGCCGCCACTATATAACCGATTCTACCCACCTGACTCCCGCTACACGCCAGGTTCCGCGCCATACTATCTTCAGACATTCTACAGCCGCGAGTGGCCTTATTAGTTAGACACGCACTCGCACTCGGCACAGAATAGCATCTTTTCCTGACTCAGCAACCGTTTGCCCTGCCGTCCTCGTACCACTCCGGAGGGAGTAACACAGCTCGGCACAAGATTACGGACAACTGCTCAATCGTACGAGCTCATTGGTTCCCTCATCCGGTTCCTGGCTCCTCTGGTCCAACGGCAACGTCCTTTGACCTCACTCGGAGAAGTTGCGACTGTTCCCTGACTTCTCGGCCCACGACCTTATCTCGTAGGCCGCAGCAACTTCTGGAAAAGCCATCCCGACATATTCATCGGATGGCTGCATTTTCTGGCGTCCTCTTGCCTAGTTTGATCCCCCCCTACTTCACCTGACAGACACCGAGACACGCCGGACGAAATTCGACCTGGGAACCCCTCCTCCCGCAGGCTTGTATCACATTGAGCAACGAGCAGCGAGCATTGAGCATTGAGCATTCGAAGCCAATCCGTCAGCATTCCGTTGCCTTTGTTCCTTTGTTTCTGGGATCCTTATCTATCTCGTCTCGCTCGTTACGGCTTTTGGAACGAACCCACGGCTCTATTCCTTATCTCTGGCTGGAATAAGCTTGTACCCGCAGATTCCCGCCACCATCTCCTTCCCAAGTCCGATCACGGATTTTGACAAGCCGTGACCTTCTACTACGTACGATCCAACGAGTCGCGTAAAGTCAAGTCAAGTCACGTCAATTTCTGTCTTGACAACGTCAGCGACAAGTCCGAAGCGAAGCCACTTTCTGCTAGCGCCCGGCATTGTACCGCCCTCTTATCCCGCATATCAACCAGCCTCGACCTTTTTGATATTCCGTCCCTTCGGATCGGTACATATCGTCATATCACCATAACTCTAACCGTCGTTACCCAGAAGGTGAGTACGGTGTACATTTCCGCCCTGCCACTCTCCACTTTTCAGTTCAATTCCTTCCTTCCATGCTTGTTTCCTTTTTTATCATTAGCCCTTATCAGGCGGCCCTTGCAGCCAGGGGCCCATTTTCTTTACAACCCCCCTTACCATCGACAATACACGGGCCACCGAGCGGTGAAACCTCGATGCTCTTAGAACAACATCGACGCCCGCTTCCCATTCCCTCCCTTCACTTTCATCCAACCGCCAGCGAGCTAGCTATCAGCACCTAGGATTGCGCCGCCGTGTGTTCCGCGTCTTGCCGGGTCATCTCGAATGCTCCGGAACGTCATGACGGTTGCACTGATGCAAGGACCACTGCCCGTTTCTGCGTTTGCGGCTCAATCAGATGGCCTTCCCGGCTTCTATCGCGCCGCGCCGCGTCGCCATATGACCGGTCTTACACCTTGCTTTATGACTCAAACTCAATTCCCATTCTTATCAAACGAGGCGGTGATGCCGGCTAGGTCACTTTCTAGTCAACACTATATAGACTTAGATGTGGCCTGGCTGGTTCTCCCCTATGTCTTTTCCCCTTCCGATATTCATGAATCCTGCCCTCTTTTCTATCACATAGCGTGCCACGTCGTCAACTAGCGTCGTTGTGATTTGCTCTTCTCTGTGTTGACGTCGCTCTCGTTACTTCCCCCAGGCCGTGCTTGGCCAACATGTCGCCCAGCATGTTATCCCTAGCCATTGATACTAATTTTCCTGCCTTGGACAGATTTCCTGACTACATAGATCCTGTTGATTCCTTCTTAGACATCATGGCGACCACGAATGCCCCCCAGAACAAGCTTCTGGGCAAAGTGGTGGCCGAGTCGCAAGACTCCAGCCGGCATCCGTCGCCTCAACCGACACATTTCAGCGTACCTATCCTATCTCAGACCAATGGCAATGGTCACAGAGTCCTCCGTTCTGCCACTGTCGGATACGTGGCGCCCGAATTTGTGGGAAAGGTTGAGCAGATGCAGCAGGGTCAGTATACTCTCGATCCCCTCTCCCCCCCCCCCTTTTTACTTTTCCCCCCTCTCCGCATTGTTCTTCTCTCCTAATAACCCCCTAAACCTACGTAAAATGGCCATGTGCTGACTTTGAGGTTATAGTCAGAGAGCTCATCAAAGAAGCCGGCTGGATTCCCGAGAGTCTGATCAACGAGCAAGTGACCTGGTTTTACGAGAAGCTCGGCATCGATGATGTCTACTTCAAGATAGAGAAGCCATCCGTCATTGCTGGCCAGATCACCTCCCTCTATGCTGCCAAGGTTGCCGCTCTCGCCAGGGAGGACAAGCGCGAAGAGATCAGGTTAGACATGGAGTCCCATGACCACGCCATCTACATCGACACCAGCGAGCCCGGCAGGACAGTTACCAGCGGACCCTGTTACGAGAGCAGGCTGGAGGCAAAGTACCTCGATCACTCCGGCAATACCAAGTACCGCGTCGAAACCTTCCGCTCGCCCGGCGTCCTGGGACCATCCCACGATCTTAAGGCGACCCTGCGATGCTACTTCGTCTACCAATGCGTCTTCAAGCAGCCGCCAGAACAGACTGACCCCAAGGAGACACGTCTCGAGGTCATTTCCGATTACGGTTTCCTCAGCAAGGCCACCACCAACACCAAACTAATCTACCAGGAGATCATCGACCTTGCCGTGAATCGGACCGGTCCGGTTATCGAGGTTTTCGACATTGAAGACACCGAGGAGAAGCGTCTCGTCGTCGCCTTCCGGTCGAGGACTGCCCGCGGCATGTTCTCGGCGCTCAGCGACCTGTATCACTACTACGGTGTCACCAGTTCCCGCAAGTATGTCGAGCAGTTCGCCAACGGCATCACCGTTATGAGCATCTATCTTCGCCCCGCCCCGAATCCCCTGAAAGAATATCCGTCGTTGGATCAGTCTATCCACCAGATCACCAAGGAGATCTCTCTCCTCTATTGTCTCCCTCACAACAAGCTCCACGGTCTCTTCGTCAGTGGCGAGCTGAGTCTCCAGGAGACCATCTATGGTCACTGTGCCTGGGTCTTCATCCAGCATTTCCTTAACCGACTGGGCACGGAATATGTTGCGCTCTCGGAAATCGTCGACCCCAGGAGCAATGCCCACGCGGCCCTGCTGTCCAAGCTGAAGCGTCGTCTCAGGACCGAGACTTTTACGCCCGATTACATCCTCGAGATCATCCAGTCGTACCCGGGTCTCGTTAGGGCTTTGTACGCTTCGTTCGCCAGCGTCCATTTGGCCGTCGGCCCCGACTTTGATCGTCACTTTATTGCACCGACTCCTGCTCTGGAGGTGATGTCGGACGAGAAACTCAAGGAGAAGATTACCCGCGACGTGTCCAACGAGCACGAGGAGATGGTCATGACTGCATTTAGGGTATTCAACAATGCCATTCTCAAGACCAACTACTTCACCCCTACGAAGATTGCTCTGAGTTTCCGTCTGGACCCGAGTTTCCTCCCCGAGATCGAGTACCCGACGCCCCTCTACGGCATGTTCCTAGTCATCGGTGCCGAGTTCCGCGGCTTCCACCTCCGCTTCAAGGACGTCGCTCGAGGCGGCATCCGCATCGTCAAGTCTCGCAGCAAGGAGGCCTACAGAATCAACGCGCGCAATCTCTTCGACGAGAACTACAACCTGGCCAGCACCCAACAGCGCAAGAACAAGGACATCCCCGAGGGCGGATCCAAGGGCGTGATTCTGCTCGACCCCAAGATGCAGGACCGTGGCCAAGAGGCGTTCGAGAAGTACATTGACAGCATCCTGGATCTGCTGTTGCGCGGCCAGACCCCGGGAATCAAGAACCCGATTGTCGATTTATACGGCAAGGAGGAGATCCTCTTCATGGGACCCGACGAGAACACGGCCGACCTGGTCGATTGGGCCACCGCGCATGCTAGGCGACGCGGTGCTTCCTGGTGGAAGTCCTTCTTCACGGGCAAGTCTCCCAAGCTGGGTGGTATTCCCCACGACACGTACGGCATGACCACCCTGTCGGTGCGAGAGTACGTCAAGGGCGTCTATCGCAAGGTCGGTCTGGACCCTGCGACCGTGAGGAAGATGCAAACGGGTGGCCCCGACGGCGACCTCGGCAGCAATGAGATTCTCCGGAGCAACGAGAAGTACACGTCCGTTGTCGATGGGTCGGGCGTCCTGGTCGACCCCAACGGTATCGACAAGGACGAACTGTACCGCCTCGCCAGAGAGCGGGTCATGATCAGCCACTTCGACATGTCCAAGCTGTCCAAGGACGGGTACCGCGTGCTCTGTGAGGACTCCAACATTAACTTGCGGAACGGCGAGTTCGTCTCCAGCGGCACCACGTTCCGAAACACCTACCACCTGCGCGACACTGGGTTGACAGACTGCTTCGTTCCCTGCGGTGGCCGTCCCGAGTCGATCGACCTGATGAACGTTTCAAAGCTCATCAAGAACGGCAAGGCCACCATCCCATATATCATCGAAGGCGCCAACCTGTTCCTCACGCAGGATGCGAAGCTCCGCCTAGAAGCGGCCGGCTGCATCGTTTACAAGGACGCTAGCGTCAACAAGGGCGGGGTGACTTCGTCTTCCCTCGAGGTCCTCGCCTCCCTCTCCTTCGACGACGAGGGTTTCACCCAGAACATGTGCGTCGGCCCCGACGGCGAGGCGCCCCAGTTCTACAAGGACTACGTCAAGGAGGTGCAGGCCAAGATCCAGGAGAACGCCCGGCTCGAATTCGAGGCCATCTGGCGCGAGCACGAACTGACCGGCATGCCGCGGAGCATCCTGTCCGACAAGCTGTCCGTGGCCATCACGACGCTTGACGAGCAGCTACAGCACTCCGACATGTGGAGGGAGGAGCGTACCCGCCGCTCCGTCCTCCAGGATGCGCTGCCCAGGCTGTTGCTGGACAAGATCGGCCTGGATACCATCATGGAGCGTGTTCCCGACGCGTACCTGCGGGCCATTTTCGGCAGCTACCTCGCCTCGAGGTTCGTGTATGAGTTTGGCATCAACCCGGGCCAATTCGCATTTTATGATTTGTAGGTTCTTGCTTCCCCCCTTCCCCCCTTCCCCCCTGCCTCTTTGAGATGGATAATGCTCGGCAATAAGGACTTCCTGCTAATTGTTCTGTACAGCATGTCCAAGCGGATGACCAATATTAAGGAGTAGACTTTGGAGTTGATTTTAGATGGGCTGGCTCTTCCGGCAGTAGCTTCAGCAACTGGAGGGCAAGTTATGAGAAGTGTGTACATTATTACAAAGGGCGGCCATTAAGGTACGCGTGGTAATCCGAAAAGAGGAGGAGGAATGCATGAGGGGAGAAAAAGAGAGCACGGGATGAGAAAAGATCACCCGGAAAGATAAAAGTCTTCGTTGTACTGGTCTCGGTTCATGTCGTGGGAAACGACAGCAAGAAAAGGGAAGGAAAAAAAAAACGGTCATTAATTATTAGCAGGTATCGACGAATTTCTGCCAAGCAAATGCATCGTAGCTAATTCACGCATGTGCAATATGTCTTCATGCATTGAACCTCGACTCCTTTTTTGGTTGACCAGCTTTATTTAGTAAGAAACATACAAGGACTCTTCGTCAAGGCATCGCTGTTATGGTCGTTATCGCCGTAGCCAGCCGTCCAACTCTGACGGACTTGATATTGCGAATAGGGGCCGCTTATCATTTGAGAACAATCCATTTACAGGGGCGGTCAATAGAAAAAAGGGCGAGACCATAGACCGAAACGAGCCATGAAGAGTCATGAGATTGTCACAAAATAAGACACGGGAATGAAAAAAGATCAAATGCATTGGGCAAGGCATAAGAAAAAGATTGCCCATGACATATAACATGGAGCTCGGGGTTCATATCAGCCTCCATGAATGAAGAACAAGTACGGCTACAAGAAGCGCGCATCAAGAGAAGACAGGAACTCGAACGAAACAGGGGGGAAGGGAGAAGAAAATAGGACCAGCAGAACACAGCGAATCCATCCCCCCTGGGGGTCCGTTTTGACCTTTTCGTTTAGGTACGAAATGAGAGAAAAAGAAAACCCGCTTCCCTTCCGATCCAGTTCACACAATGTCCAAGCCGGGACGCCAAAAAAGAGTTCGTATCATAACAAGAAGTAGATAGTCGGGCGAGATGATGTTTTGTTTTTGTGTTACGCATCAATCAGATCATACAGTGCCTCGCAACCTTTGTTTGCGGGCTAACCAGTCGCCGAGCATGTTGTCGAGTTGCTACGAATTTGTTAGCCGCCTACTCTGCCAGAGGGGGGAAGAAGAACCAAGGGGGAAAAAAAAAGTAAAAGAAATAAAACCCCCCCATACCGTGGTTATTTCGGCCAACTTTGCGTTTTGTTCGCGGAACAGCGTTCCCACAAGGGGGTGGTCCGGCCCAGCAGGGACCACGTCGCTCTTGTCGTAGACCACGACCAGCATGTCTCGGATGTCGGAGCCAGAATCGAAAAAGGCCCGCAGCTTGGCGTCGTTCCAGCTGCTGCCCCGACTGTTGCTCGTCGAGGTAGAGCTGGTCATCGAGTCTTGGGTGTGCTTAGCTGCTTCGTCCGTGTCCACGAGCTCGGGGGACGGCGACTTGGACGACGAATCTTCCTGGCTGGACGTGTCGCCCATGAGCGCTGGCGGGTCGTTCGGCGCCAAGGAAGATACCTGCACAGGCGATTCGGTGAAGTGTTCCGCAGGAGGTTCAGACTCTGACGTGTTGGTTGCTGTTGCCGTTGCCGTTGCCGCCGCCGCCGCCGCCGGTGCCGAGCCATCGGCCTGCTTGTTCGACGCGAAACTGTCTGGATATGCGCCCGGCAGTACAGGGCGCTGGGCCTTCTCCTGTGTCGACTGGTCCTGCGTTTGGGTCTGGATCTGGGCCTGGTTCTGGGTATGTTGCGTGTTGGCAATAGCCGTCGTCTCCTCATCGGTGGAGTCAAAGTCATCCAGTTCAATGCGAGACTTGGCCTTAGTGACCTTTTGAGGTTTCTCGACCTTGTTCTGCTTCTCGGCCCCGCCCCCGGCAGACCGCGACAACTTGATCTTCGAGAGGCCGGACCGTTCTTCTTTCTGCGAAGAGCCCGGGCGAGCCTGTTCGCCCGGCTGGCCCTGGCCCCGCTGACCGTTGGCTGGCGAATGGTCCCTCTCCTGCTGTTGTTCCTGGACGATGCGCATCGACGCCGGCGGCACATTGGAGACGTCATTCCTGGCTTCGGACACGATATAGTCGGCCAGTTCTCGCGTAGTAGACTTCTGAGCCGCGGAACCAGGTCTCCGGGTAGGTGAAGGCTCGGTCCGGGGTTGCTGCTTCTGAAGCTTGCTTGGTTGCCGCTGCGGCCCTGGCTTCTCGGGTGACGCATGAACGTCGGACCTGTCGTCATCGTGCTCGTTCTCGGCATCCATGGACCTCTTGCCGAAGGAATCGTCATCATCGTCGGTCGCCTTCTTCTTGTCCTTCCGGGAAAAGAAGCTGCGAATCACGCTGGGCTTCTTGTCCTTCTTCTTTCGGTCTTCCTTCTTGTCCGGCTGTAATTCCTTCTCCATCTTGTCCATCTTGTCCAGGCTGGGCCGTTGTTTGAGGTCCTTGGAATCGTTCGAAGATGACGGTCGTGGCGTGGTGTTGTCATCGCGGAGCAGGTTAGGCGTCAGCGTGATCTTCTTCGTCTCGACCGTTTCATCCTTAAAGAAAGAGTCCGTGTTCCTGACTGTGCCGTTCCTTGACCGACTGGGGCCGCCTTCCGACTTGGTCTCAAAGAATTGTTCGCTGCTAGGCCTGTTGTCACCCTGCTCATCCGCGACCTCCTTCGAAAGCTCCGCAGTGGCAACAGCTTCTTTGGTCGCTCTCGGCTTCAAGGGCTCGACCCTGGCAGTCTCGTCTATCATCGCATCCTCTGTGGGACGCTGCGTTTGTTCAGCAGCTCCATGTCGGTCATCTTCTTCTTGTTGTGGATGTTGTTCATCTTGCGCATCTACGTGTGCGTCTCCGTTCGTCTCCGAATCGGTCGGCGCCTGGCCCTGATCGCCGGTTTGTTTCTGGGTGCCGAAGAGCTCGTCCACGTCTTCCTCCTCGGACGAATAATCCAAGTCGGAGTAGTTAACGTACGTAGGCTCTGCAAAGACAACTGTCTTCCGCTTCTTTCCCCGCAAGGCCGATCGGAATGTGCTCTTAGACTTCTCCCCCGGCTGGTCTCCTAACATCGTAGCTGAAAGCTGCGACTTTGTTAGAGGTTTACGAGAATTGTTCAGAGGAAAGGCCAGTCATACGTCGATGTTCCGATGCTTGTTAAGGCGCGCCAACCTCTCAGTGGGCGTTTCGATGTGCTCGGCGGGGAGATACCCTACGGTGTACCAAGGGTAGTTAGCAATTTATAGTGATGTCCGGGGGTAAAAAAATGCGAATACGCAACGTACCGATGCTGCTGTCTTTCACTACTCGGACCAGCCACCAGTAGCTGTTGCTATCATCGAGAAGAACCATGGTGTCACCCTTGGTAGCGTTGGCTTGGCCCTCGACGGTCGCCACGAAAGTATGTAACGCGTAGACAAAATCGAAATCGATGTCCTCTGTACGATGTAAGCACTTATCAGCCCAGGCGGCATTGACGCAGTTGGGTTTGGGATCGTCTAGGAGGGGGGCGGTAAAGTCATCATCATCTTCGAGCGAGGCCTCGTAGAGCATCGTGAGCGGGTCGTCGTTCTCGTCGTTCTCGTCCACGAATTGTCCCACGGCTTTGACTCGCTCTGTCTTTTCCATTTCTGCGCGCCGCGCTGCGAAGTCTCTGTGCCTCGAATCCCGTATCTTTATGATATTGAGCGGGCGGACCTCGAAAGTGCCATGGGTTTCCGCGGCGTCTAGGCCAACGTTGGTGTCGCTCGGCAAAGTCTTCCCCGGCCTCCAAGTACAGATCCAATACGTCGTCGAGGGTATCGGCGGTCTCGTTGTTACTGCACTCGTCGTGCTCGTGTTCGTCGCGCGCGCGTTCGCGTTCGCGTTCGCGCTCATGCTCGTCGTCGGTTGCGTCTCGATCCTACTCGGGATACTCACCGCGAAGATGATGACGACGGGGGGATAACTCGACAGATGCCTTGCTATGCTGTCTGGGGTGAATGGAGTTCATGGGGGGGTGCTCGGGGATCTCGAGGTACGGCGATGAAGACCTCGGGTCGCCAAGGGCGGGTGAACGGGTGGGAGAAAAACAAGCGCGGGTGGTGGGAAGAGAGTCTACCCGGCGAGGCCAGAGTCTGGGGAGGTTGAGAGTATACCCACCATCTTCGATCGAGGGCGAGCTCGAAATCTTGTCCATCAGATCATCCTCCAGGCTATCGTCGGTGTCGCCGTCGGCGTCGCTCTCGTCGATGTTCCCCGAAAGGCCCCCATTTTGCGCTACGGCCAGAGAATCCCGCTGCTGCTGTTGCATTGTCGCCTCGGATGCGGCCAAGTCTCGGTCTTTGTGAGAGCCGTTGGGGTCGTGCGTATTTGAGGCACCGGCCGAGATGTCTTCAGCGTGCTGTTGTAGGTCGCCGATGGCGTCGCCGTTGGACCAGGAAACTCGGGGACTGCGGGCGTTCTCTTCTGCGGTCTCTTGCGCGACTTCTCGCAGTGTTCCGGCTTGATGGGGTGCGAGAGGGGAGGGACCTTTGGCGTGCGAGTGAGAGTGGTCTTTTGCGGACGGTGTCTTGCGATCTTGGAGGTCGATCGTGTCTGTGGAACGAGATAGAAGGCACAAGGTTAGTCCATCGGCAGCCTAGCACTCAACAAGGCAACAATGAATGCCAAGCAGTTTTTCTTCACGAAAGACAGGGGCAAAGGAAAAGAAAAAAACAAAAGGGGGGGGGGGGGGAAGACACGTGAGTCTCCGCAAGTTTGCGTGTAGCACAGCAAGACCAGAAGGGTATGCTATGGCTATGGCCCAAACTTGAGGCGTGGGCAAAACCAGGGGGTAGACCCGGGCTTTGGGACCAGCAGGGGGGAGGTGAAAGGGAGGTAAGGGGAAGCATAGACCACGACGACGCGTGTTGACAAACTTACCGGCACGAATAATGTGTGGCCTGGCCATATTGAATCACTGAGATGGCAAATCAGAGTTCCTGGTGCAGCGCAACGTCGTGGCGACGGGGGAGGAAGGCTGAGAAACGGTCTGGGGAACGAATGCCGAAACCCGCCGGAGAGCCAAAAAAAAAAAATGGCCAGGATCAAGCCAGATCCGCCTCGACGATACGGGTGGGAATGGAAATGCTAGGGAGTGAATTAGACAGGGAGGTAGTTGGCCAAGACGTGGTAGCGACTGTGGTCGCTGTCGCTGTCGTAGTCGTGTTTAACGCGGTCGCGGCAGGAGAGGTTGGTGGGTTGACGACGGGACGAAAATTGCAATTCCTGGTTCGGGGATCATGGACGAAGAACGTGGTGGTCGATACGTCTATCACAACCAGGAGTCCAGGGCAACTCCTATCGTCCTGATATATCGCGTTGAGTAAAGTAAGGTAGGTAGTGTTCGTACTGGCTGGCCTTCTATTCTTGCACTTCGTTCCAAAAGGCAGGTTTTCTCCGGGGGTCTATTGTCGTGAACGTTGTAAGTAGGTACGTTGTATTCGTAGGCTCTCGGTCGATCCTGGCAGCCGCAGGCACAGTTGAGGCAAGAGAAAGTGGAAAAGGGGTTGGGTGTTGGTCACGATAAGAGACAGGGGTGCGTCAGGGACCAGGCGGAGGACAAAAAAAGGCGAAAAAGTTCCAAGGAGTGACAGGGATGTCGAAGACTGAAGAGAAAATCCAACGAGGGGAGGGAGAGGGGAGGATGGGGAATAGGATTCGATGTTCAATTGGCGCCTTCCCCTTTGTCGGGGGGCGGGGGGTTTTCCTTTTTTTTTTTTTTAATTACTTTTCGTTTCGCGTTTCGCTGGGGAAGAAGAACGATAATGGAGGGAGGGAAACAAACAGATAAAAAAAAAAACGGCGAGGGATGGGATGGAGAAGGCGTCTTTTTTCCTGTTCCTTTCCTCTTTTTCCCTGAGATGATGATCATTCATTCGTGCCCGGGGCGAAGGGGGCAACAAGTACTCTGTACGTTGGGCATAGTTATCAATACAATACAGGGTGCTCCGTATGGATACCTCGGTTCTAAGTTTTAACCCTCCTCTCACCCTCATCCTTTCAAGTTCGAAACACACAAAGCACCGTACCGTATGGGCAGCAAGGAACTCAGTGGTGAGATGAGACGAATATTTGGCCAAATTCGCGGAGTACCTTACCTACTATGTAATGGTATCCAACTCTCAGGGACTGCCAGCCCTGCTGCCCTCTTGCTCCCCAGCCCCCAGCAATCATCACTTGGTGTGTGAAATGGGATGGGCTACGTCACATTAAAGGGTATTAAAGGGTATTCTACATGTACCCGTACCTACTCCGCACTACGCACGTACGAAGTACAAAGTACTTGGTACAGGTACAGGTACAGGTACAGGTACAGGCACTGAATGATCGGGAGATTTCCCACGAGATGTATCGTTTCCCACTCCCACTGGTCGTTCCTTCGAGGCAGGAAGGACGGACTTGTTGCTGGCTTCTATTTTGGTCCAATCGACCAGTGCATCGTCACCTGGCATCAGAAGATTGGCCAAGGTACTTAAAGGGAATTAATTACCTTACCTTATATACTTGTCCGGGCAGAATTGGGCAGTCTTCCCCCAATTGCCGCATGGGGTATCCTACTCCTTACTCCGTCCTCCGAGTCCGTTACTCGTACGAAGGAAGAGAAGCCAGACTTCTTTTTCCTCTTGCTTGCCCTTCGTCTTCGTCTTCTTCTCCTTCCTCCTCCTTTTCTTCTTCCTTCTTCTTCTTTCTTCAAGACCTCCCTCGTCCCTTTGGCCTTTTTATTTTAGTTTATTCCCGGGACCTTCACCTTATGGCCTTTACTAAGCCAGGTATCTGCTTGTACGGGCCCCCTGAATGAATCCCTTTATTGACTATTAGGCATCGATATTCGGTCCTTCTTCCAACCTGCATCCTTTTCACATCGAGACATGCAGTCGGACCTAATTACCAGCCAACCCTTTTCACTGACCGATAGACACGATTCAATGCATGTTTAGGAGAACACCCTCCTGGTCTAGGCGTGCCGTCTCCGTACTCCTCGTATATCCAAGGTATGAACCGTCCGCGCGTGTGAGGATTGGCGATCATACCATGTCCTCCTTATGACGTGGACGTCAGACGCTGTCTCCACGTCCTACGGAGTGTACGGCATCAGTGGTCCTTGGCCCACGCCCGGAACCACTCCAACGCCTCCGGGTTAGCCACGCTGGCATTGGTTGTGACATCCATTCCCGAAAGGATCTGTTTGACTGCCACCTCGATTCTAAAACAAAAAAGACTCAGTCAACATTTCACTCATATACATTCTTCACATGCTTCGTAGCGTAGGCAGTCTAGGGAGCGAGCGAGGGAGGAAGGGAGGGACGCAGACGTACTTCTTGCCGTTACCCGTCTTAGGAACCCCACCACCGCACTCCTCCACCACACCGGGGACGTGTCGCGGGCTCAGCTCCCTGCGAATGACATCCTTGATCCGCGCCCGCAGCTCATCCCCAAACGTTGTGTCCGGATTCACCACCACGAACAAGCAGACCGTCTCATCCGTGTCTGTGGGCCTGCGGCGACCGACGCAAACCGCATCCGCCACCTCGGCAGCGAAGAAGCGCGCGAGCACATTGTAAATCTCGGCACTGCCAAACCGCACCCCCGCCGGCTTCAGCACGCCGTCCGACCGCCCCAGCATCACGAGCCCGCCCGTCGCCGGGTCCGGGATGCGGACAAAGTCGCCGTGGTGCCACGTCGGCCCCGGAACACCGCACACGTCGGCGAATCGCTCAAAGTATGCCGCGCGGTATTTGACGTCGCCGTTCTCACCCCAGAAGGTCAGGGGCTGGCTCGGGAACGGCCGCACGCAAACGAGGTCGCCCGGCTCGTCGCCAGGGACCGGCTCCCCCGTGACCGAGTCGACCGCCCGGATCGCCATGCCCAGTCCGGCGCACTGGATCTCCCCCGTCCGCACGGGGAGCAGCGGGCAGGGCGCCCCGAAGAGGGAGATGATGTCGGTGCCGCCCGTGATCGAGCCAAGGTTGATGTGCGGCGGGAAGGCCTCGTAGACGAAGTTGAAGGTGCTGGGCGGCAGTGGGCTGGCCGTCGAGTAGATGGCCTCCAGTCGGCTGAGGTCCAGCCCTTCTTCTGCCACCGGCCGGACGTTGTTGGCTTCGAGCGCCGTAAGGTAGGCTGCTGATGTGCCAAAGTGCGTCACCTCGAGCTCGGACAGGAGGCGTGGCAGGGACAATGGACCGTGCGGCTTGAACGGTGAACCGGAGTAGAGGACGACAGTAGCGCCCACGGCCAGAGCAGCAATGGACCAGTGCCACATCATCCAGGAGGTCGTCGTGTAGTAGAGCATGCGGGAGGAGGAAGACAAGGAGCAGTGAAGGAAATGCTCCTTCTTGTGCTGGATCAACGTACCAAGCGCCGTGTGGATAATGGCCTTGGGCAGGCCTGTCGTGCCGCTGGAATAGAGCACGTAGAGGGGGTGGGACGGGGGCAGCTGCTCGAACTTGAGCGGTTCGTCGGGGGAGCTATCACACGGGGGGGTGGGGGGAGGGGAAGAAATGTCGTCAATGTCAGTCCCCGTTGCTCGCCTTACGTAGCTGGGAGGACGCCCGCCCGACGCAGCAACTTACCTCTTTAAGAAGCTCTCATACTCTGATGCCTTGACCCCCTTTTCTCTCAGCTCATCAAGCGCCAATTCACATGGCACATTGTCGATGACGACCACCAGCTCCAGCCCCTTCTCCTTCAGAGACCCCACAATCTCGGTGGTTTTGGCGGTGCTGCTCCACAACTTGCCGTTGTAGACGGTCCCATTGTCGGCGAACAGCACTTTGGGCCCGATTTGAGCCAAGCGGTCGAGCACGGCACTCACGCCGGTGTCAGGGCTAATGCCGGTCCATACGGCGCCAAGGGCAGCGGCGGCAAGCGAAGCCACGAGGGCCTGTGCGTGGTTGGAGACGTACCCGGCCACAACGTCACCCCGGGTTACACCGACGGAGCGGAGCCCGCTGCTGCATCGGCGCACGGCCTCTCGAAGCTGGGACCACGTGGTCGAGACCGGGTTCCCCAGCTCCGTGGTGGTGATGACCGCCACCGCGTCCGGGGCCACGTCGGCGTTGGCGGGGAAGAGCAGGTTCTCGGCGAAATTGAGCAGCGACCCGGCGAAGAAGTCCGGACGGGGATACATGGGCGCGTTGGGCGGGAGGACCTGTGCGCCGGAAAAGGTTTTGGTTTTTGTCAGTCAATTTGGGTAGACAGACAAAACCATCAAGAGTGAGTGCGAGCGTCGAGAGCGTCTCATGCCACCGCTTATGGCATATTCACCCCCGCTCTCTTTTCTCTTCCCTTTGGTCAACCCACCTGGTCAAAGGTCCGCGAGGACTTTATTCCGACAAAATGCCAGACTTCCTCCCAAAACTCCGACACATTGTCGATTGACCAACGGTAGAGGGAAGGGTAGCCGTCTAGCTGGAGGTTATACTTGGCGTTGACATGGAGCGTGAACTTGTGCAAGGCTGTCGAGGAGGGGTTCGGATGTCGCCAAAGCTCGCGCACAAGGGTGGCGGGCTGCGTCTGCCCATCACTGGCTACCGCAGCCATGACGATGAGGTCGATTGAACTTGGTGGATCCGGAGACGGAGGACGGGGGAATTCAATGTGAAATACGGAGTAGGCACGGAGACTGAATGAATGGCCCTTTGCCGGAACCTGAAACTCGAAGGGAAAAGAGCCAATTGCAATCAAAAGTAACACTGTTTTACTCGAGATCAGTTCAAGTAGGAGAACTGGCCAGAGTTAAGCGCCTCGGATCAAGTGAAGTGCTTGATCATCTTTGTGGAATGGCGGCCATGTCGAAATTTCTTTGGGCCGTCGCATTCCGAGACGCCGGCGTTGCCCGACAGGCCGCCCGCCCGCCCATCCGCCACTTCTATTCCAGCACTAGGAGAGTCGACCCTGATTTTCCGCCTACGTGTGAAGAGCATCGATTTCTCTTGTTGTCAAGTACGAAGGAATTACACGAAGTAGGGAATGCAGAGAGTTAAGAGTTGAGAGTTCAGGAGGCATGACGGGATGGTGTGCTGAGCAGCGCAATCAGCACAGGCAACGCCAAAGCATGCACAAAAGTACGGACACTCCAACTCAGTATTAGTACCTAGTACCTAAAGGAGGCGGCGGCACTCTGAGTACGCGACTCGCTGTGTACGGGTTGGCACAAAGTACACTTATTAGTAATAACTTCCTGTGCCTGGCTGCATCTGGAACCTCGGAAATTAACAAGAAGCCTAAATCCCGTAAGCCCGGAGTTCAAATCAAATTTTCCTCGGAGCCATCGCATGATCTTATTCTCCATTACGGAGTACACAAGATTAAGGCGGACTTTGATGGATGTGCTGACCGGGATTCTCGGGAGATGAATACCTTGCATCAAAGTACACTTATGCAGCTGAGGGACCCGGTGTGACTGGGGGCCATTTTCCCTTTCTTTTTCTTCCATCAATTCTCATTTTTATCACGTCCCATGGAGGGTGGAATGACCTACGTTTTTATTAGAAACTTTGACGATGCACGGCGAACAGGTCAGCTGGTTACTTCTTCGATGCAGCGCAACCAACATCTGGAGTAGAAGTCCAGTCCAGAGAGCAAATAGTTCAGCCTTGGTGGGTATGACCTGACGGACACGTTTGGGTCAAAGCGCGTGGGTTCTACAAATAAGGTACTTTGCAAGAAGTACGAAGTACATTGTAGGTTGTGTGGTATACAGGTACCTACACTTAGGTCAGGAAGGAACCGCCCCTTTTTGGGGCGGGGCGGGGCGGGGAGGGTCTTACCTCCTTCGCCTCCAGATGGAAGGTGAGACGAGCAAGGACTATGGTCCAAAAGCCGAAATTGCGATCCTGATGCGGAAAGCTGAGTGGCTAGATGGGCGCCGGAAGGCTCGGGCAGACAGCCTTGCACCTTAATGAGCGCCTGATGCTTGGCAGCGATTTGGCAACCGCTCGCAAACTCCCCTGGACGGGCCCTTGGCACCTCCGAAGTACCTACCTTGAGCAAAAGTGTACCTATGAGCTGCGCCAGCCGCGCTAGCGGCAGGTATGACAAGGTACAAAGTTTTCGTACAATGGTACTCCGTACCTACCTCCCTCCTTCGTACAACAGGAGGGACCCTTAATCATCAATCCACCACACACCCTCGAGCTGCATCAGTGTTCAATCGCGATCCCAGGTTCAGGTTCCAGTCTCCATAAGGTAGCTCGGACCACTGTCCTCTCCAACCGAGCACTACTTCGAACTATTCCCCTTACCCACCCAATATCTGTTAGACCCTCATCCCCTTACCAATCCTCGTTTTGCCTCGTCTCTTTTCCCTCCCATTTTCTTTTTTTCTTTTCTTTCTTCTCCTTGTTACTTCTTCTCTCCCTTCCTAGCACCCCCTCCTTACCGCTCCCGCTCCTCCTTTCCGACCTCTGTCTCGGCTGCTCACTCGCCAGCGTCCTTTTTTCCTCTCGGTTCGTCTCGAGGCCTCCCGTTCTCCCATCCGCCTTGCCCGCGATTTGGACCTCGAACGGTGACGCACGGCTACAGAGGTCATCCGGACGGAGCGGTCATTCTTACACGCCCTCCTTTCCTCCTCCAAGAAGCTGTCTCGATTATTGGAAGGTGGCAGCTCAACGCGTCCAAACTTTTGTTCGAGTACCTAATTCTTTTTTATGCCGATTTTCTTGTCTGCGCTGCATTAATTCCTCTGGGATACCAACGCCCCCTGATTCATCCCCGGTTCGACAACACCGCGAATTCTACTGGACCTCGGATAATCCATCAGCAGCAGCCCGCCCGTTCGTCTCGGTTTGTGGTCTGCATTGCCACCTCATTGCAATCTCAGCCAAAGGCGTATCAGTCTCCTTCCTCTACTGCGGTCACTGGCTGTCTGGTCGCGCGTCTGAAACCTACCGTCTCAAAAGCCCAAACCTAATTCGAAGATTAATAACCTGTATCACCACCAAGGACGTTCGTACGGAGTACTTCGAAAGAGATTGCTCCACGCGCCAGCTACCGTTTTCAACTTTGGGGGAAGCCGCAGCTTACGCTATATTCTTCTTTTACTTTTCCAGGATCCACAACCGTCAGCGCCCTAATATTTACTACCTGCGACTACCGACCTTACGGGAACCGGTAACGGACCAGTTGACGTCGAGTTGATTGCCCGTCTTCGTGTCTTAGCTGAGTGAGTGAACACCCCGAGCTCCCCTCTTCTTCTTCGATCCTTGGACTGGCGGGGGAAGCATATTCATCACAATGGCATTGTGAGAGATCATCGAGGTCAATCCACAATCCACCGTGCAGCCTCCCTGTCTTGTGGTCTCTGGCCGCTCTATCCGCCCTTTAGACGCCATCCCAATTCCCGCCCGAAATATGATCGGGCAGGATGCAGTGGAGTGAAAGGGGTTGGACAAGCCAGTTGCGATCTGGGGAGAAGGTCCGGCACAGGAACAGAAAGAGACATGGAGACGTGTACTGGTACTGGTACTGGTACTGGTACAGCCACAAGGGGCCTGGACACCTTACCTAGTGGTTCACCTGTCTCGAGCCTTCCCAGACCCAAGTGGGAACTGCCACGAGCTGGTGCTCAAACAGCATCATATCCACGCTTGACGTCTTCCATCTTTTCCCCTTCCGATATTCCAAACATGGGAACGGGAAAGCAGATGGAGCGACTTTTCACCAAAGTCAATTGCGAAATCATTCCCCTGTAATTTTTTCTCTCCCTGGAAACGAATGTCACGCTAACAATTGCTGTTTTCCCACTCTTCAGCAGACTACACTGCGATACTCGGTAGTTCTCTAACACAACGAACGACCACACGTTTACCACACGTTTTCATCGCCAATTCGAAGACATCTACCATTACCACGACTAAGTTGGTGCTAACGTGCTCCAAAAATCGGTCCAACACTAGCCAGAGCTCGCCTAATCGTGTACCTCTATTCTGGGCTTGCTTTTGCGCACAAGCGTTTGCAATGCCACGAAAAATCACGCTCCCTTTCACGTCCTCTTCCTCCTCCGCCATGAACAATCCTGAAAAGGAGCGGAGGCCATCGCGATCTGGCAACCGTATCACCAACTTCTTCTCGTCCCCCAAAAACAGAGAGCAATCGCTTGCCATGCATCAACAACAACAATCAGCTCTCGGTTCCTCGACTCTCAACCTTCCGACCATCTCCCTGTCCACCGCCTCGGGGATCGATCACGACGGCAGCGACTCTACCCAGACCCTCTTCTCGCCGCTGACCGCTGTCGAGGCCGAGGAGACGCGCAAACGTCATGCCCAGTTCGGCCCGCTCAATGATCCAAGCCACCTCTACGTGAGCATGCATCATGGCGAGCCCCTGGAAGCCCCGGTCGTCGACGAACCCCCCTATTACATCCTCATTACCACCTACATCAGCTATTTGCTGCTCATCCTGCTCGGTCACATCCGCGACTTCTTTGGCAAGCGCTTTGGCGACAAGAAGAAGTATCAGAGCCTGAAGCCCTATAACGGCTTTGCCCCGCTCAACGATGATTTCGACAGCTTCTACACCCGCCGCCTGAAGATGCGCCTCGACGACTGCTTCGCCAGGCCCACCACGGGCGTCCCCGGTCGCTACATCTCCATCATGGACCGCAAGTCGGACGACTTCAACCAGACCTACCAGTACACCGGAACCACTACCGAGACCCTCAACATGAGTTCCTACAACTACCTCGGTTTTGCCCAGTCCGAAGGTCCTTGCGCCGATGCCGTCGAAGAGTGCGTTACGCGATACGGCCTGAGCTTCACCAGCCCCCGCTCTGATTCTGGCACTTCGGATCTGGTCATAGAGGTCGAGCGGGAGATCGCCAACTTTGTGGGCAAGCCCGATGCCATGGTCTTCTCGCAGGGTTTTGTCACCAACGCCAGCTCTTTCCCCGCTCTCGTCTCCAAAGGCTGCCTGATTCTCTCCGACGAGCTCAACCACGCCTCCATTCGCATCGGCGCCCGCCAGTCCGGTGCCGTCATTTCGGCCTACAGACACAATGATATGAACCACCTGGAGAAGAAGCTGCGGGAGGCCATCTCCCAGGGCCAGCCTCGCACCCATCGTCCCTGGAAGAAGATCCTCGTCGTTGTCGAGGGTCTCTACTCCATGGAAGGCACCATGTGCGACCTGCCTGGTCTCATCGCCCTCAAGGACAAGTACAAGTTTTACCTCTTCGTGGACGAGGCCCACAGCATCGGTGCCCTCGGCCCCCGCGGCCGCGGCGTCTGCGACTACTTTGGCGTGGACCCTGCGCGTATCGACATTCTCATGGGAACCTTGACCAAGTCTTTCGGTGCCAACGGCGGTTACGTCGCGGCTGAGAAGCACATCATCGACAAGCTCCGCATGACCAACACCGCGAACCACTACGGAGAAACGCCCGCGCCTTCCGTGCTGATGCAGATTCTGAGCTCGCTCAAGCTCATCACGGGCGAACTCTGCCCAGGCCAGGGTGACGAGCGGCTCCAGCGGATCGCCTTCAACTCGCGGTACCTCCGTCTGGGGCTGAAGCGCCTCGGCTTCATCGTTTACGGCCACGACGACTCGCCCATTGTCCCCATCGTGCTCTACAACCCGGGCAAGATGCCGGCCTTCAGTCACGAGATGCTCAAGCGCAAGATCGCCGTCGTCGTCGTCGGCTACCCCGCCACGCCCTTGATCTCGTCGCGTGCCCGGTTTTGCGTCTCCGCCGCTCACAACAAGGATGACATGGATCGCCTCCTGGCCGCCTGCGACGAGGTGGGCGACAAGATGCAGCTCAAGTTCGCGTCGGGCATCGCGGGCGGCGCCGACCCGCTCCCCGAGGGCGTCACGCCCGAAATGGAGAAGGAGTGGCGCAAGGCCAACGGCCTCGAGGGCGTCGTCAAACCACCCCGGTGGTCGATTGAGGACGTCGTCGCGCACGGCGTCCAGGACGCCAAGGTCCGGCTGCGATAGAGCATCGGTCGGAATACTATGGCGAAGAAGTGGATACATTCCCTTGTGCAGCGCATTTTGCTTACAATGACCCCACAAAGAAGTTGATGAGATGAGCGAACAGCACATGTGTATGATTGGCATGTGTCATGTGTACCTGTGGTATGCATACGACGAGTCTGCCGTTTTATTTTCTTCTTCCCGCTGTCCCTTTTACTTCGCAGCGGGGCTCATCTACGGGGCTCATCTCCGTCCCCTGCACCGCACCTCCGAACCCTAAACAACAACAGCGGATGTTCGCAATCAAAAACCGAGGTCATGGAAAATGCCGGCGGGAATAGAGGGAGGTAATAGGCATGGCGGGAAGAGAACAGGAAGGGGGAAACGGAGTTACACAGAGTCGTTCATGCATATACAACGCCCCAATGTTTTCGATTCGTTCGACCATTTTCTTCCCCTTCGGTGGAAGCAAGGTCGCCCTGTTTGTTCTGCATATACAACACCAAGAAAGAGAGTCAGCATATGGCATGGGACGGCATGGAACTTTTCATGAGGGAGTGTCCCACATCCCTCGCTAGCTATCGCTTGGAAGCGCTTGCTGGAGGGGGAATGAAGACGAACGAAGTGTGGGAACGGTCGGGAAGAGGACAATGGGGCCTCTGGGGCGCGGCCAGCTTAGCATGCCTGCTTTGGTCAAAGTCTAGTCTTCCGTGACCCTGTATCTAATCTGAGAGGGCTGGAGGGGGTATTTATACATAGTAGAAAATAACAGTATTTATTACCAGCATATGTGTGACCGTGTTATCCCAAGCGAGTCTGCTCGATATCTGTGTGTTGTATTCTACGTGTAAGTTATTCCGTATTTTCCATATAAGTAACCCAGAGAGATACATAATGCCCTCGATTCATCGTACACATTTTCAGCCTCGTTCGCTCGTTCGCTCGGCCTTTTGTTGCTGTAAAAGATTGTCACCGTATTTTGGAGTTTTATAGCTTCGTAAAAACAGTCGGCACACTCCCACTCATGTCAATCAAGGTGCTCTTATTCCGTACCCAGGCCTCCAAACCTCTGCGACCATTCTCGACCCCGACGCCGCTCAACTTCCAACCACCCACCGCCATCTCAGCGGGCGACTCGCCCCAGGTGTTGACCCAGGTGATGCCGGCCTGCAGCTGGGCGATGACGCGGTGGCACTGGTCGAGATCCCGGCCGACGACGCCGGCGGCGAGGCCGAGGTCGGTGGCGTTGGCGCGACGGACGGCCTCGTCGACGGCGTCGTAGTACAGGACGGACATGACGGGGCCGAAGACCTCCTCGCGGGCCACGGCCATGTCGTCGGTGCAGTCGGTGAAGATGGTGGGGCGCACCCAGTAGCCGTCGCGGACGGAGTCGGGGAGGCCGTCGACCGGTTCGGGCCCGCCGCAGAGGAGGCGGGCGCGGTCGAGTTCGGTGCCGGTGCGGATGTAGCGGAGGACCTTGTCGCGGTGGAGGGCGCTGCTGAGGGGGCCGAAGTTGGTGGCGGGGTCGAAGAGGTCGCCGGGCCGCACGTGGCGGATGCGGTCGAGGAGGGCGCGCTCGAAGTCGCGCTGCAGGGGGCGGGGCACGAAGACGCGGGTGCCGTTGGTGCAGACCTGGCCCGAGGAGAAGAAGTTGGCGAGGAGGGCGACGTCGGCGGCGGAGTCGAGGGGTGCGTCGGGGAGGATGATGAGGGGGCTCTTGCCGCCCAGCTCCATGGTGACGTATTTCATCCCGCCGGCGGCGGAGGCGGCGACCTTTTTTCCGGTGGCGACTTGGCCGGTGAAGCTGACCTTGGCGATGGCTGGGTGGGAGGTGAGGCGGGCTCCGACGTCGCCGGCGCCGTAGACGACGTTGAAGACGCCGTCGGGGAGGCCGGCCTCGCGGTAGATGGAGGCGAGGTGCTCGGCGTGGAGAGGGGTGAACTCGCTGGGCTTGTAGACGAGGGTGTTGCCGGCGGCGAGGGCGGGGGCGGACTTCCAGAGGGCGATCTGGATGGGGTAGTTCCAGGCGCCGATGGCGGCGCAGACGCCGAGGGGTTCCTTGGTGGTGTAGGCGTGGACGGTGTCGCGGAGGCGGAGGGTCTCGCCGTTCAGGCCGCCGGCGGCGACGAGGCCGGCGAAGTACTCGAGGACGTCGGTGCCGGTGACGATGTCGACGGTGGAGGTCTCGGAGAAGGGCTTGCCCGTGTCGATGGTTTCGAGGCGGGCGAGGTCGTCGTTCCGGGCCCGTAGGAGGGCGACGGCACGGAGGAGGATGCGGGCGCGGTCGATGGGCGGGGTTGCGGACCAGGAGGGGAAGGCGGACTGGGCGGAGCGGATGGCGGAGTCGATGGCGGACGGGCTCGATGTGTGGATGGTGCAGACGGGCTTTCCGGTCGAGGGGTCGGTGGTTTGGAATGTCTCCTTCGAGTCGGCCGAGGGCTGCGGTTTGCCCGCATAGAAGGTGTGACGGTCTGGTTCTTGGGGAGCCATGATGAGGATATGTCCTGTGGCCTGTGTAGGAGGGTCTTAGGGGAAGACGAGATGCTCTTCTGTTGTGGTTGCGACGAAGAACAGAAAAAAGAATATCACAATCTCAGTTTCAGTCTCGCAGGAGAATTATACAGCGGGGTGTTAGAAGACGACGCGCTGTGGTGCAAGGTCCCTGGGGTTAGAGGGGCACTTGGCGTCGTGTCCACTCAAGGTACCTTTAGTGGGCTGTGATGTCAATTCAATTCGGTTTGCGGTTTGTTGGAGAAGGCACAGAATAGGGTATGTACACTACACTGTGACTGCCGTAGTGTATGCGTAGAAGTACCTCGAGTAAAACCCGGATTTAGTATTGCTTGGCGGTATAGCGACGAACCAACAGAGTTCTTAACCATGCCGAGTACAACGAGTTACGTACAACGTAAAGGTACTCGTCCTTGCCCTTTGACCACCGGCACTGTATCGATTATTCACAGATTCTACCGAAGGGGATATTACCTGCAAAAATGCATACCTACAACCTACAACGTACAGACTACAGTCGGATCTCCTCTAAATCCCAACTAACCTGTAAATGGATCGTTGCCGAGGAGCAATGCAGCTGCTCAGCAATGCCCGTCGAGTTCCAAGAAAAATAGCGACCCTTGAAAGTCGTCAATACATATGTATGCCGTACTTAGTACATGCCACCCATGTCTTTCGGTCAGAAACTCGTACGACCACGATAGTGGTGGCTTCCGGCGATTTTTTATGTCGCCCGACAAGTTGTTTCCGAGGAAATTTTCTTCGACGTCGTGCTTAGCGTCGGTAGCAGCCTTAAGGCGCGCTAAGGGTCTGTCACTGACCGTATCCACCAACTGACGTCACCGACTGCAGGAACCGCAGCTGAGAAGCGGGGGAGGGACGCACTCGTCAGCTCGCTGCGGAGTATTACGGGTCAACTAAGGTAGGGAAATCCGAACTGCTTCCTTCTCTCTTTCGTTCGACGTGAAATCAAAACAATCATCAAGCACTACCATCTTTAGTCTGTAAGGGTTTTGTCTATCTCCAAGGCGTACTCAACCTCAGAAGCTACGAATAGCTACGGAATCCATGCCGGCTACCTTGAATTACGAATGCCTAAGGTACGGATGCTTCGTACGGAGTACAGTATCTCTCCTCTCACTCTCCATTCTTCACAAGGGTTCTCCTGTCTGTCTTCTGTGTTCTTGACCGCCTGCCCATCGCTTTGGTTTTGGGACGGTGTGGATCTCGCCCACTTTAGATCCGTTTCAAAGGGAAAAAGAAAAGGAAAAATAGAAGGAAAAAGAAAAGAAAGAAAAAAAAAAGCCTCGTTGTTCTCGTCCAGGTTTCTTGGCCGAGACGCGAGTCAGGCCGAACGTTCACCTGTTCTTTCTTGGAGCATCCGCAGTTGCTGTATGTACGTTGTATGGACTAATGACAAATCCATACCTAGGTATACACTACAACGTATGTAGTACTCCCGGCCGAACCCCCTCTGAACGCCGCTCCCGGTCAGACGGGCTCACCGCCGGATCCTCCGTCGTTTCCAACACGTCAATTCCTTCCAATTGTGTCCCCGACATCGTTCGCTATTACTACACTACCAAGGCCATACCATGCGCCTCCAACATGCGCCGCTTGGTAGCCTCGTATCCTCTCGTCTATTGGTGCTATCGCTTATGTGGGCCACGTACCCTTACCTCGTGCCTTGTTCCGGGGCATCCTGATCATGTCATGCCCAGCCTCATCGCCTCGGTGCTACAGAGTACATACCTACATCTGTGGCTTCGGGGCGTTTGACTAAGGTCATAGAGGGGCTATGGAGTGTACGAATAGGACACCCTCTGTTGTACTAATCGTTTTAGTATCCTACGTGTCCGAGGGACAAGCAACGAGGTGTTTACGGCCAATTCCCGGGCGGTTTTTTCTTGGGCGGGCTCTCTCTTTTTTACGTATGGTTTTCTTTTTCTTTTTCCCCCCCATTCGTATAGAAAAGGAAAGTTTATTCCCACCTTTCGTATTTCCAATTCGCACATTATCCCAGTGATCTTCAGTGGCTTTCAGTAAACCGCCCCTCCCACCCTCCCACCCATCCATCTCTCCCATCCATCCCTCCCATCTTACTTATATATCCCCTGCTTTATCACACGGCGTTGCCTGCATCTACTATACTTGAGACCCATCGGACTCCGGCGGCTCCACAACTCAAATCGAACCTCGCTTCCTCCTTACCATTCGAGGGAGACGAAAAGGGAAGACCTCGAGACGCTGGCGGACTTGCTGGGATCTCTCACTCGCCTACGCTGCTGTCCAACGCCACATCTGCCTGCCCTTGAGAGGAGATATATATTGTCACCATTCAACATGACCACCAATCATCTCCCCGAAAGCGACGTCGCCAAGTACGACTACATCGTCGTCGGCGGTGGTACTGCGGGCTGCGTCGTCGCATCGAGGCTTGCCGAGTACCTTCCTCGGAAGAACATCCTCCTCATCGAGGCTGGCCCCAGCGACCTGACCGATGAGCGTGTCCTCGATCTACGTAGGTGGCTAAGTCTGTTGGGCGGAGAGCTTGACTACGACTACGGCACCACTGAACAGCCCAATGGTAAGTTGTGTGTTGAACGAGAGACGGGGGGAGAAAAGAAAGAGAAAAGAAAGGGGGAAAAGGAAAAGAAAGAGGAAGAAGAAAAAAACCGCCCAAGGAGGACAGGCCAAAGACGGGCTAAACATTTACAAATTCACTGAGAATCCTCTCACCAATCGGGCCCCTTTCTTTGACCCTCCCCCCCTTTTGTTTCTTTCTTTTCTTCTTCTTCTTTTTTTTTCTCCAAGTTCGCCAGTGGAAAACATCAGTTCTTATACCATGTCCCTCTCCCATTATAGGCAATTCTCATATCCGACACTCGCGGGCCAAGGTTCTTGGAGGCTGTTCCTCCCATAACACCCTCATCTCCTTCCGCCCCCTCCAATATGACCTCGACATCTGGCAGTCCCTCGGCGCCAAAGGCTGGACTTTCCCACTCTTCATGCGCCTTCTCGACCGCCTCCGTACCACCGTGCAGCCCGTCCATGCCCGCCACCGCAACCAGCTCTGCAAGGACTGGGTCCAGTCCTGCAGTGACGCCCTGAATATCCCTATCATCTCCGACTTCAACCGCCACATCAAGGAGACTGGCTCCCTGGACGAGGGCGTCGGTTTCCTGTCCATCTCTTACAACCCGGACAATGGTTACCGCTCGTCCGCCTCGGTAGCCTACATCCATCCCATCCTCCGCGGGGACGAGCCACGTCCCAACCTCACCGTCCTCACCAACGCCTGGGTCTCCCGTGTCAACGTCGCAGGCGATTCCGTCGCCGGTGTCAACCTGACCCTGCAGGACGGCACGCGCCGCACCCTCGCCGCCAAGGCTGAGACCATCCTCTGCGCCGGCGCCATCGACACCTCGCGTCTGCTGCTGCACTCGGGTATCGGCCCGGCCGCCCAGCTCTCCGGGCTCGGAATCCCCGTCGTCCGCGACATTCCCGGTGTCGGCGAGAACCTCCAGGACCACCCGGAGAGCATCATCATGTGGGAGCTCAACAAGCCCGTCCCGCCCAACCAGACGACCATGGACTCCGACGCGAGCATCTTCCTCCGCCGCGAACCTCCCAACGCTGGCGCCATACCGAGCGCTGCCAACCCGTACGGCCTCTCCGACGGCGGCGTCACCGACCTCATGATGCACTGCTACCAGATCCCCTTCACGCTCAACACCCTGCGTCTCGGCTACCCCGACGTGAAGGACGGCCATGCCTTCTGCATGACCCCGAACATCCCCCGTCCCCGGTCCCGCGGTCGGCTCTACCTCACCTCGGCCGACCCCAACGTCAAGCCGGCGCTCGACTTCCGCTACTTCACCGACCCGGGAGGCTACGACGCCGCCACCCTTGTCTACGGCATGCGCGCCGCCCGCGAGGTCGCGCAGCAATCCCCCTTCAAGGACTGGATCAAGCGCGAGGTCGCGCCGGGCCCGGAGGTGCAGTCCGACGAGGATCTCAGCAATTACGCCCGCCGCGCGGCCCACACCGTCTACCATCCCGTCGGCACCACCCGGATGGGCGACGTCGCGAGGGACGGCATGGCCGTCGTCGATGAGCGGCTGCGGCTACGGGGGCTGCGCGGTGTGCGCATCGCTGATGCCGGCGTCTTCCCTACCATTCCTACCATCAATCCCATGCTCACGGTGCTGGGCGTTGGCGAGCGGTGTGCTGAGATGATTCTCGAAGAGACGGAGGCTCTCGAGGCGCAGAAGGCACAGCCCAAGCTGTAATTTTTATTTCTTTATATAAATTTTTTATTGGGGGGGGGGGGGTTAAAAAAAAAAAAAAAAAAGAAGGCGAAGGCTGTGGAATATTGGTGCTCTGATAGCCCATGACGAACCCATTTACAGCGAATGCTGTGGCACAACTGTGTCTCATCACCTCTTGGATAAGGTACCTGGTAAGGTAGTTAACACATAATTACACGGTACCTCGGTTGGTCCCAAATCCATGTATATATATATTTAGATTCCCTACCTAAGCCGAGCACCGGCTCGTTTCTCATCATTTCCAACTCTACACTAAACACTTGAATACCCATTAAGCGTCTAGGCTTGACGAATTGGGAAGTGTCTCTGTAATGTGACTGAGTGAAAGCAATTTTTTTTTTGAAACGATTCGGGAGTCGACGTCGAGGTCAAGTCTCTGCTCTGCGGGATACGAAGTCCTGGGAGGGCTCAAGAGAAGGGGTCAGTCAGCGGCCTGAAACTCGGACGACAAACGGCGGGATGGGTCGAATCTCAAATCTTCAAACGACGGGTGAGTTGGAAAATGGTATTGACTCCGGCGATCTCCAGATAGAAGGAATGAAAAGGGGAGAAATGATGCCTAACGGCTGGATCGCTCGTACAGTATGAGAGTGCAAAATACGGAGGAATATTTTGGTATTCGGCTTCATTTCGAAGAGATGAATACTACATTGCGTGCATTTGTATCCGTATAAGCATGCGGGACGGATGAGAGGGGACATGGAAAATCAAGAATTACGAAGCCATACTGTAATTAATTACAGAGTACGGGAAACGGAGAAACACCTGCGGACGTGACGTGGTTGGCTTGGGAGGTCCAAATGTCTCTAGACCGAGTCCGGGGAGAGCTCCGGAAACTGCCAGATTAGTTTGCCTGTCGAGTCGTATTTGTAACGGAGCCATCCCCAATTTTCATCTTCTTTTTCCCTTCAGCGAGTGACGATAAGAGACGGAAATTGGGGGTTGACTCACCGGGAATATATCACATATATCTATGCTTGCAAATAGTCGCGGGAAAGGAAGCAATCGTAATTTTGTTCTCGTCCTCGAACACCCCCCCTTTTCTTCCCCCTTTTCTTTGTCTTCCTTACTTTTACCTCCGTATTGGGATTGGAATATCGGATAATCCATCCGAGGACCCTCCCAAGTCCGCCCTGGGTCCCGCTGATTTGGCATCTTGTCACTTTCAAAATTGTCCCATGGCCAATACTCATCAATAAAAATCGATAAATGTCGGCGCCAAGAGGATAGGCCGGCTTCTGTTTGCCAGGTCCGCCGAGGACTCTTGTTCCGCGGGCGGTGGAGCAAGGGCGTTCATGTTCATGGGCTAGATGTATTAGCGAGTAATGAGATTAAAGCGAGTAGAATGAATAAAGATGGTAAAAAGTCCGGATACTAGCTGCAAAGCGAAAAGGGGTAGCCCATATATATGGCAATTGGGGAATGCGTGATGATTGCGGGTTGTGAAAAAGAGGCAGGCTATGATCGATACTCGGTTGCGCACCTCATCTCTCAACTCCTGTAGTCGTATGTATCAGTCACTTTGTTTCGTACCTTGGATGTTGAAGGTCCATTGCCAGTAGGAAATACAACCTCTGTGGGTCTTGGCTAGCAAATCCGCATCGTAACTTGCTTCAATAAACCGATAATGCGCGATGTACCCCCCCACTTCGGGCCCACCTGCCATGTTCCCCACGTTGTCCTAACCTTACGGATAGAATGGCCCACCAAACGCCTACGAATTCGCAGCAGGTATTACCGTACCGCCACCGTTGGCCTAGCCCAGGCACAGGCACAGGCACAGGCACAAGCACAAGCACAAGCACAAGCACAGGCACAGGTTCATCTTGGGCACGGGGCTCAGGCTTCATCAATGTTTCCCTCAGGCGTGGGCCTCTCCACCCAGGACCGCTTCCCTCCACCACCACCACCACCACCACCACCACCTTCTCCTCCAAAAGAACTCCCCAAAAATCCATCCGTTCTCGACTCTGCTCCTCATTTCCAACCGCCCCATGACACACTTTCGCATCCCCAAGCCAACGATGGTGAGACGCAATTGAATCAGTCACCTCGCTCAACGCAAAAAGCACGCAGACGACAAGCCCGATCCGACTTCGTCAACCAGATGATCTTCCTTCTCTCCCGACTCTTGCCGCCAACTGTCCGTCACAGTGACCGCCTCTTCTCGACATTAACCGCCTTCCCATTCTAATTTGTCTGGTCTCTCTTGCGGCACTTCTGCACTTCTGACGAAACCCTCCTCGATTCTCGACTTGTCGCTTGACCACTTCTCCTCTCGTCGACTCTCATAAACTTGATGGCCTAAAGAGTTCCCAGTTCCCAGTTCCCAGTTCCATCCTCCATCGCCAAAACAACCTACCTGCCGCCCAGGCGTTTTGCATGATCCGCCCGCTTCACCCTCACAAAGTCGTTATTCTCCTGCCCCCGAGTTTCTCCTCGCATTTTCCCCTCCCACCAGCAGCCATGAACTTCGACTCGGGCACCGCCTACGCCGAGTCGGATGCCGACGACGAGTACGAACGCAGCGTCGCCGCGAGCTCTCCCGTCATGGCTACCGACAGCGAGGCCTCTCCTATCGAATCGGAGCTCCCCTCCTCCAACGAACATACCCCTACCACATACGGCCACCGCAATAGCGCCGACCGACTACCCGAAACCATCATCTCAGAATGGACCGCCGAGGAGTGTGCCGATTTCATCAATACCATAGGTTTGCAGCAATATGCCGACCGCTTTATAGGTGGGTTATTCGTCTTCCTAGGCCGACTGGCCTGGCCTCGATTTTCTGTTGTTTTTCTTTGTCTTTTTTTTCTTCTTTTTTTTTTTTCTTTCTCTTCTTCTTCTCGGTGTATTCTTATAACTGCCTTGGGCCGCCGCTGAGAATAGTTCAAGCTAACCTGGGCCCCTTACCACCCCTCTGCAGAAAACGAGATTGTAGGAGAGGCTCTCGTGGCGCTCCTGCATGACGATCTCAAGTCCATGGGCATCACCAGTGTCGGCCACCGCTTGACCATCCTAAAAAGTGTCCACGACGTGAAGAAGGCTCAGGATGTGCCCGTAGAAAGCGATCACTACGTCCCCCTTAGTACGTGAACCCCGCCGTGCGCCCGGTAGAAAGTCAATCCCGCTTCCGTTCTTGTCACCCGCTTGTTCACCCGCTTGCTAACCCGCTCGAAACCAGCCGCCGACGCTGAGGCGCAGTACGCCACCGCCACTCTCAAGGATATTAAGCATCTCGTCGAGCAATTACGACTTCGAGACGAACGGGCAAACCTAATCGAGCAGGATCTCCGCCGACTCAGCGAGGATTTCCGAAGACTTCGCGAGGATATGTTGCCTGCTCTGCGCCTGGCCAAGGACACATCCCAGCCGCTGCCCAATGTCAGCAACTCTTCGAATCCCAGCTACGGCTACGAAGCGACCCTGTCACCGCCCGTGCCGATACCTCCCCCGACGCAATCCGCAGGAATTATGCGATCTCATTCGACCAAGAAAATCATGCTCGGCTCGATGCCCAAGAACCCGACGCCGTCGCCGTCGCATCTACAGACCGCCCACGAGAGGCCAACGGCCGAGCAGACCTTGGATCCTTCCGGTGCGGCCGAGAGGGCCGTGCTCTCCTCCTCGCATCTAGCTGCCATGAACGGCCCCGGCCAGAGTGCTTCGTCTCCCGTGTACCATCACTCCCCCGGCATCCCGTCACCCACCTCGCCACCCATCATGAGCAGTGGCGGTACCACCCTCGGTTCGCGGTCCTACCGGGCGGAGGTCCCTACACCGTCGAACCGGACGACCTTTAATGAGAGCGATTACGGCCACAAGAGCCGCGACCAACCCGCATCCGTACCAAGACGCGGGCCCACGCCTGCGCCCGACACGCCCAGTAGCAACGCATCCGTCGAGATCTTCAAGTCGTTTCGCGTCAGCATGGACGATCCCTGCTACAAGGTGCTGCCCGCCGCTCTGAAGAAGTATCAGATCAATGCACCCTGGGAACAGTACGCCCTCTACATTGTATACGGCGATCAAGAACGCTGCCTGGCGCTCGACGAGAAACCGTTAATCCTATTCAAGCAGCTCGACAAGGAAGGGAAGAAGCCCATGTTCATGCTGCGCAAGACCAACAGCGCACAGGTGGACCTGTCCGGTGACCAACCGGGGAGTGCCGGCCTCGGAACGGCGTCGGCACGCGGCGCAGCCACAGGTTACGACCCGCCTGGCGGTATCATTTAGGGCATGATCCTGCAGGTTGATCACGAAACCACGCACCGAGCTGCCACCGGCGAGCGGACCCACTCGACGACGACCCACCCGTCTTGCTCTGACGACGACGCTCAGCTTGTCTTGTCCACCACTTCTTTGTTCGCACTGGATCAATGGGGCCGGAGGAAAATGAATCCCCGGAATCCCTGGGAGCCTGTCGACGTTTGGGATAGGGCCGCCGGCCAACTGCACAGCGACTGCGTACAACATCAGATGGTATCGCTGCTGGAGGCGAAACGGACACGGGCGGAGCTGGCACGGTAGCTCGGAGCTGCCCCTTCCATGCTCATGTCTTTCATGTCTTTCACATAGAAGAATACCGGGGTTGTTAAGGAGGTGGGGGGGAGGGGGCAGAGTACCGTTTACATTTCTGGCGGCGGCCCTTGGCTACTCTCTGCATGGTGCCTTGAGACTCCCAGGCACAAAATTGTGTGCGTATAAGGCATTAATAAATATGGGCACGGGACTAAGGGTTGGCCTCTTCCCTGGATTTCCCCTTTTCGGGGAGAAGAAGGTCCCTGGGACTCATACGGCGCCCAAAGAAAGGAGGAAGACGAGGTGTGAAGTCGGGCTAAACACTTGAGAAGGCGAGGGTGCTCACACACGCAGGCACGCTCCAGACACGGTGGGAAACAGGCCAGGCCGCTGAGAAAGTAGGAGAGGGAACCAGCTCGGATGTTAATATATACCAACAGCGGCGTCGAATGTTGGCTGCACAGTACGTGCCGTGTTGTGACGGATCAATAGGCCATGTTGGGCTTCGCATAGGACAGCACAACACGACAAACATTCCCAACGCCATCTTCTCCTCGTAGGGTAGTAATCCTATGCAACACTTTCGATCGGTTTATTTTCCCCATCGGACAACGGGAACCCTTTTCGCGTCTGTGTAACTGCTGGTTTTGCCTTGGAAAGGCAAGTAATTGTACGATTGAGACTCTGTTGAGTTCACACACCAGAGAACTTCGTTGTTAGACTGAGTGTATTCCCCCCATCTGGAAACCTTGAGGTAATCCAAAATTTATCCGCGATGTGTCTCGTTTCGCACGAACTCGAAGAGTTAGCAGGTAAGTAAGGTCTCGGTCTCTCGAAATAGCGACAGTCGTCGCAACTTTCTCATCTTGAGAAGAACGAGACATGCCCCTTCCCCCGGACTCCCCCGCATAGTGGATAGTGGAGGTCGGTGGTTTGCCACGACGCTTAAGTCTTATATAGTCAATTAAGGTCTCCCTTGCTATCAACAAGCGAAAAGCCTCGTTGGCTCAGTGGTAAAGCGCCTCACTAGTAATGAGGAGATCACTGGTTCGATTCCAGTACGAGGCAACGCAGCAGTTGAATTTTTTTGTTAGGTGGCTTGTACCACCTAACTCTTTTATTGTCTTTTTTTTTATTTTTCTCTCTTCTCCCTCTTTTTCCTTCTTTCTGTCTTTGTCTTCACTTTCATTAATTATGCGTTTTGTTTTAAGAAGTTGACTGCCTTAGTCGAGCGAGAGTTTCAAGGCTCAAGCACCAGCTTTACTCTAAATAAACACTTGCACACATAGAGCCACCAGGTCCTTATACCCAAACCTGGTTTCTTTGCTGTATTCGTTGTGGTGGACATGCGTTTTCACAATGGTTGGGACATGGTGGACTAGAGCAGGCGTAGAAGAACTCCTAAACTCTCAACATGCTCAGTGCGAAGCAGCTGGTGGTTTGGTCGAGTTGGCAACACACAATGAAACACAGTCCCTGAAATATTTCATCATAACAATCATTATCAGCTTTCGTAACAGACATGCCTACTGGAAATGTCATAGTTCAGATACATATGAAACGGTCCGACAATATCCAATCCAGTTCGCTCGGGCTCGTAGGCTTAAACCGTCTGCATGAAAATTCCCTCCAACGAGAAAGAAAGAAGAAAAGAAGAAGAAAAAAAAAAAAGAGAGAGAGAGGGAGAGAGGGAGGTATAAAAATCATGCCTTCTCCTTCATTACAGACTCTTCTTCCGCAAGAGTCCCGGGCCATCTGTTCCTCTACCCCTCTCCCTGTCCCGTTCTCGGTCCCGGTCCCGCGAAAAGAGGCCCGAGAGCGGATTAGTATGCTTCTTCCCGGGACGGGACCCCCCGTTCCCGGCCGCGCCAGACGAAGGCGCCCCAGCAGGCCTCCCCCACCAGGACGTCCCGCCGGACATATGCATGGGCCCGGTGCTGAGAGGCCGTTGCGGCAGAAGTGGTGTCTGCAGCGTGGTGGGCGACATACCGGGGCTGAACCCTCCGGGGTTGGGGCTCGGCCGGGGCGGCAGCGGCGGGCTAGCAGCGGGATTCGCCTGAGCCGGTCCGCCGCCGCCGCCGCCACCGCCGCCACCACCGTACGCCTGGCCCTGCACGCCGTACTGCCTGCGCAGGCGCTCCGTCTCCCTCTCGACCTCGGCCTGCCCGCGCCGCCGCTCCTCTTCTTCCCGGTTGAGCATGTCGCGGATGCGGCGCGCCTCTTCCTCGTCGCGCCGCTCTTGCTTGCGCGCCAGCCTCTCTTCTTCCTCCACCATGGCCTGGAGCCGTCTCGTCTCCATGTCGATCTCCTCCTGCCTGCGGGGATTGCTGGGACCGGGGCGCTGGGCCTGTGGCGGCGGCGCCGCCGCCGCAGCGGGAGCGGCGGAAGGAGTAGTGGGCAAGGCGCCAGACATGACCGTTGTCGATGCTGCTGCTGCTGCTGTTGCTGCTGTTGTTGCTGCTACAGCTTTCCCCGGCGGTGCTGCCGCGGCGGCGGGGGAGCCGGTTGCGCCGCGCCCGTCCTTGATCCGACCGGACGAAACGGCTCCGCGACCAGCGGCGTTGAAGGGGTCCGTCTTGGGGTTCAGGTAGAGGTCGCAGATGACTTCGGCGCTCAGGAGGAGGACGAGTTCCAGACCTTTCCGATCCTCGACCTCGACCCGGCGCAGGTTGGGCTCGTAGATGGCGACGGTGCTCCCGTGGCGGCCGACCTTGAACATGGCGACGGTGATGTCGGGCTCCTTGCTCTTCTTGCCGTCGACGCTCTTGCCCACCATGTAGCAGGTCATCTCCTTGCTGATGCGGGACTCCTTCTTCCACCGGAAGACGATCTTGGGGATGACGTCGCTGACGGGGGGTTGGCCGGCGGTGCGGTCGATCATGCTCGCGCTCGGGGCGCGGAAGGACTCCTCGGGCAGCTCGAACTCCCAGCTGTCGGATTTGCCCCACGAGCCGGGCTTGGTGCGGATCACGACCTGCGAGTCCGGGTTGTAGAGGGCAAGGGTGACGGCGTCGGGGGTAATGGGCGTCGCTGGGAGAGGAGCGCCATTTCCATTGTGGTTTTGGGCTCGGATCTCGGCGGTCGAGAGGGTCGGCTGCGTCCAGGAAGGTTCGACGAGGGTTTCGGCGTAGATGATGGATTGGGAGGAGACGTCGGTCAGGGCAACGGCGTACTTGTCCTTGGAGGCGGGGAGAGCGGGGTCGGGCCGCATGAGGAGGTAATACGGGGAGAGTTCGGAGCCATTATGGGTGAAGAAAAGAATGGTGTGGAGTGGCGAGTCGGAAGAGGGTTTGAAGTGGAACGATGGAAGGTTCTCGTCGAGCATGATGATATGATGGTGGTTTAGCGGGCTAAATAATGATGATCTCTAGGCGTACATTTTCGGCCTTCTTTTGCCTCGCTGTTTGTTCAAGACGACGACGGAAGGATCGAATGAGGTTGAGACCGAGAGTAAATAAAGCTTTGGCAAATACTTGACGTCAAAAGGTCGGCCGCAACGGGAAGAGAGGAGATATATCGGGTGGATTATGACAGCTTCAAGGAGCTTACTGACGTTGAATAAGACGCTGGCTGTTGAAAATGTTCTGTAAATAATTTTAGGGGCTTATGAGTACTGAGAAGGATAAAAAGTAAAAACAGAAGAGAGGGGAAACGGAGAGAAGACAAAGGGGGATGGATTATGGGGGGGCGAGTCTGCTCTGCCTGCCTATACAATATGTTGATGATTCTCGCAAGTCTTTGCCTCGTCAACTCCAAGTTACGCAACGCAGTCCTTCGTTGGCGGAGACCGCCAAGCGTTCCGGTGGGGCTTTCATGTTAGAGGGCAACGCGTTCCCGGCCTACCTAATTAAGGTAGCGCTCAGCCACGATTGCCCGCCGCTTATTATTTGCGGAGTACGTACTATTAGTAGGGACGTATTGTATTACCTAAGGCATTCGTACCTAAGGTCGTTCTACTCCGGTGTACGGCGTACGGATGGCCACTGCTCTACCTTATGTAGGACATAACGTCTGGTATTGGTATCTATTCTTTTTATATTATTTTTACATGTCCCCGTTTCCTGTATGCATGCGCCCTTCCTTGTGAATGGACTGACTGACTCAGAGACAAAACGTTATCTCCTCCTTCAGTTTTGCTGTTATGGTTTTGTCAGATGAGAGATGGGCCGTCTCGGCACCTCGCCATCCGGCATCATCAAGCTGAAACGTGGCTCGGGGGGTAGCCCGTTGTTTCCCGCCTCGGCTGACACGCCCGGGACCGGACGGGCCTGCGCTCTCTTGACCCGGCTCGTCTGCTGCTTTACCCAGCTGTTGACCGTCCGATATCTCGGCGGCGAGTCCTCGCTCGCTTCCGTGTACATCGTCTCCCTCTGACTATTCCTCTGGCTGGTCCTCTGGCTACTTCTCCGACTTGCCCACGAGAGCCGACCGCCCTTTTGAGACTGCTGCTGCCTGGACTGCCACACCACCGGCGGTGGCCGTAGTCCACTCATCCCCGGGACGATGATGTCCACGTCGCCGAATCCCGACGACAACGACGAGAGCTCACTGACTCGGTTGACTTGGCCGCTCGCAGGATCCAGTAGTGCGCGTGCGTCCGGGGCTTGGCGTGACGTCTCGGAATGATTGTACAACGGCCCGGTGGCGAACGATCGGAACGTCCAATTGACGTCGACGTCGGACGCATTGGCCACGGCGCTCCGGGGCTCGGTCGTGCCAGTCGTAGACGGGCTGGTCCCGACGGGGGCCTGGGGCGATCTGTACGCAAAAGTCGTGCTCGGCTGCGGTGGTTTGGTATTGGCGCCTTGTCCGGAGAACTTCGTTTGAACCCGAAGTGCCCCTCGGCCGGGCTTCTGGTGCACCGGCAGTATCTGGCCTGCCTCGCCTGCCTCGCTGTCTTCGAGATGAAGCCATGTTTGGCCCCACGATTTCTTTTCCGCAGATGCCGCTTGAGGCCCTTTCCCAACGTCCCCAGAGGGACGTCGTTCATGCATTTCTGGTTCCAGGTCCTGCCGTCTCTTTTTATGGACTTTCCGGACGGTTCTCCAGAGCAGCCACACTATAAATCCCATCGATATGAAGGTGCCTTCAATCATCGTCAGCATATTGCTCACCCGGGTTGTTTGGTGTCTGACGCGTTTGGGTTTCTCAGACTTACCGATGGACGCAATGGCAATGAGAGCGTGCTGGGTGGGGACATCCATGGCCCCTTGCCTACTTTGCTCCGCGGGGATTGCCGTGGACCACAGGCCGCTAGAGCTAGCAGGGGACGAGGAAGGTTCGTTCGTTCCCGGTGTAACGGACGAGAAGGATACGGCTGATCTGGACGCTGTTGAATCTGACGGGGAGGGTATGTTGGTATCAGGTGAGAGTGTTGAGAAGAGAACGGGCGAAGTGGGCGCTGTCGCAGGTGATGAGAACGGTACGTTGGTATTAGATGGGAGTGCCGAGAAGAAAACAGGCGAACTGGACGCTGTCACAGATGACGATGGCTCTGTGACAGATGACAATGAATCGGCCACCGATGAGGATGACTCGGCCACGGGTAACGATGGTTCAATCGCGGATGACGATGGCTCAACCGCAGGGGGGGCGGGGGTTTCTATCGAAACAGTTATGCCACCTGTGTCTGATGGGATCTGGAGGCCGATTCAGCAACTCATGTCCCAGGTCTTTCTATCCTAAAACAGATCCATGTCGGCCCACCATATGGCGGGGGATGTAGCAGAGAGAGAGTGTGTACTGACCGTCTGGATGAGAGTCGAGCCCGTCGGTGCAAGGCTGAGTGAGGGTAGGCCAGGGGAAGGTGGGGGCGGTTGGAAGGGGGGCGGCAGTAACGACGGTCTTGATAATGGCGATGCAGGAGGTGGAGGTGAGGGACGTGAGGGAAGTCCAGGAAATACGGGACGGCCGGGACGGCCGGGTCTTCTCCGGTCGTCGTTGTCGTCCCTATTATTCTCGCCTCTATCGTCGTCGCTATCGTCGTCGTCGCTATCGTCGTCGTCGCTATTCTCGTCGTCGCTACTATCGCCGCGGAACACCTGCCTCGCTGTCTTGCGGGCCCTTGCACCACCAATCTCCGCACGTAATACTACGATTCTTGGTTTCCTCGAAGACGGAAAAGAAGGGCGGATTGGGGCGTCAAAGTCGGGGTCGGAGGTAGGATCTGATATATCCTTTCGTACCCGCGGCCATCCCAAGGAAGAGTCTATGCTAGCTGGGGGCGCCGCCCTCTTCCAACCAGCTCGTTGCGTCTCTCGTGGAACAGCTGGTACCATACCTGCACATCGCAGCAGGGTTAGGGACCTCGATTCCCGCTCGAGGACAAAGTATATGAACTCTTAAAAGGTGCTTGACATTGCCTTTGGGGTGGAGACGTTGACGGTACTTGGCGGAGTTGTCGAGCAGGTCAAGAGACTCAAGACGCGGGCAATGTCGTAAAAATACAATGGAAAGGGAAAGATTAGGACAAGGAAAGAATGTTGAAGGGAAAGGAGCCCAACTAGCAGGCTCACTGGAAAGAGATAGGAAAGCAAGGCCGGCCTTGATGACGACAAACCAGGACAACGAATGGAAAAGAAACAGGCCGAGACCTGGCCGTGGTGGTGGAATTACAAATAGGACGAGAAAGGGAAAAAGAGAGGGAAGAACGAAGACAGAGAATCAGATGAGATGACAAGACGATGTCAGGTTGTGCCAGGCCGTCAAAGACTCTCCCACTTCGTAGGTGGATATGCCACATACGCACACGCACACGCACACGCATACATCTGCGGGAACTACCGAGGGTGAGCCCGGTTTCTCGATCTCGAGCCAGGGGAATATCGGGAGCCGGGGCTTTGCCAGACCAGCATCTGCGGCGGATGGGATTGGTTTCGAGATACCTACCCCATTCCATTATTGAGCCCAATATCAAGGGGCTCGCTCGTCTGGAACTACCCTCGCTAGTCAGGTTACACGCACTGACCTTGTTGTGTTTGTTATACCGTAGTACCCTGTCCCACCACCACCAAACCGGCAAGCTGTCAAATGGGACCAGGACAAACTGTGATCCGTGGTCTGGGAAGGGAATAGCGGAAACGTGCACTATATGGGACGAGATGAGACTCTGCGAGACGTGCAAGTGCAAAGGTTTCTGCTGCCAGGTGCTGGGCTCTCGCGTGCCGTGCGGCCTGCATGGGCATCGAGGAGACTAACCCTCGAATGACCGCCCAGTGTTTGGAAGGAGAACAAAACAAAGCATTCCTAATAAGGGGAGGAGTCTGATATGTCATTGATTGTCCAGATCAACCGGAGATGAAGGGAAAAGAGAGAGAGAGATGACCTGGCTGTTGGTATCGTCCATCACAGCCTTTCCCAATCGCCTTGATTGCATCTTCCTGTGAGAAGACGAGAAGCGAACGGGAGGGAGAAGCGTCCCTGCGAAAGGAAGGAAGCACGGGGTGGCCAGAGGTACTCCGTGCATCTGAGGCTCGTGGGAGAGGCCATAGGATGAATACATCGAATATGCGCCACACGGCCGTTTCGCATAAAGCTCCTTCTAAGGTGCTGTCAAGGATTTTCGCAGTTGGATAGGTCGGCCGGCCGTACACTGTTGTTGTTACGGGGAAATGCAGTATTAATTAGCTCTTCCATATCTGTCAAAGACGCCTCATGGACGCCTCAGGGGTTCTGCGTCTCGGCCTGGGACAGAAGGTGTTTCAGGCAGTTGACGACTTTCGTGGTACTGTTTCTGTTTCCAGTGCGACTTTGAGGAAGCGGACTGTGGGGCTGATGGTGATGTGGTTGGTGCTCTCCACCCGCCCCCACTTGCGGTCTGGGACTTTTGTTGGTTGGCCGACTTCGGGAGGCGGGAAGTCTGGGATAATGCCAAGCAGCGACAGCTATCCGTACTCCGACATCACACACTATATGAACACACAAAGTACGCCGAGATACAAAACCACACAAGGGCACCGCCGATTTTCCCAACATCACTCAAAAATATCATAACAAAAGAGCTCTTATGCCTCTTATAAATCCTGCATCGTTTGATTCAGATAAGTATTTACGAAGTAATTGTGCAGCATTCCGATCCAACAAGAACAGTCCGCGAAAGACAGACAAGCGAGCCCGAGGTGTCACCAGGTCGGTCCGGGCAACAATCAACTTGGTAAGACGTACCTACTTCGGGCTCCTCGATAGGACTTCGCAGGTAGGGTATGTGTACGAATGCCTAGAAGATATCATTACTTCGAATTCCGGAGAAATACACCGGGAAGCTTTTGTGGCCGTCTCCACGCGGTCTTCATGCCGCCAACAAGTGAGAAGGTAGAAGAAGAAAGCACAAACAAAGCACGAATAGAAGCACACAGCAAATAATCACGCTTTGCAATGTCCCCAAATGGTACGCCGGCCTGATGGGCCCGGTTTGGTGGAGGTCGAGTTTATACGGAGTCCAGGTAAATGGCTTCAGGTGTTGCGGGATAAATGGCAACACACCAAGTATGTCGTACGTAATGGGGAGTTCGCATCGGACTTTGCGAGGAAATATGGCGCATCTGGAAGCTTCAAGTAAGTGCCTTTGGTAGCAACCAAGGAGAGGGTTATCTCTAGAGTACGGAGTAATTAGAGCAGACGAACAACTTCATTGCTCATAAATACTGGGAACCCTGCCGGAATAGTTGGGCTATGAGGTAGACAGCCTTGTCTTAAGATTCGAGCAAAGAAGCAAAGATTTCAAGGAGCAGAGCAACACATCCTTCATGAAGCTCTGGTGGAGACGGGTGTGGAGCGATAAATAGGCTATTTCCCTCCTTTCCCTCCGGTAAATATCTGTCCGCTATCTCTAAAGTCTCTAGGCAAATAGGAGAGCGGGCAAAAAGACCCCCATTGATAAGTCTAGGCAAGGGGTAGAGCGGCAATTGACTAGTACTTCGTGGAAGCTGGGTGGGCGCCAGTTAAAAAGAAGCGCTAAAAGACGCGAGTAACCACGAGTGAGATGATAATAATGACACGACGGCGTGGAAGGGAGAGCGTGGGATGGCGTGGGACGACTCGGGACGACACGACATACCTAACACATACGGAGGCTACAACGTACATCATGGCCCAAGCTCGGCATGGCGCGCTGCGGAATGGGTCAAGCATATGACTGGGCAATAAGAAATGTCCCGAGGTTTCTCCTAGGTCCTCGGATCTCCACGGCAAATTTTGACACGGAAAGACATGAGTGTGCCAAGAATCCAGGCCAGCAAAAGCCGTCGCCAATGACTTGGGCCGCTCGGTCAGCTACCAACGGGAGGAAAAAAGCGTGAAAAATAAAAACGGGTTGGCGTCGTCCTCCGATCGCTCACCGGGAGGGGGACAACGGAGAAGCAAGTCAATTGATAGCCCTCCAATCCTCCAATCCCGCTTTTCCATTTCGCTTCGTAGTAGGCCTGAATGAAAGAAAAAAAAAAGAAAAAAAAGGAAGAAGAAAAAAAAGTCAATCCATTTCTTTGCTTGGATATTACCACCGTTTCCTTCCCACACTTTCTTTACCTTGGTCCTTGATCTCCCTTCCCTTTCGTTTTCCTCGGGACCTCCGTTCCCATCATACAACGGAAGCCATGGCTTCGTCAACACGAGCCATGAGTTCGCTGCGTGCAGCTCAAAACATCATCGCTCCCAGGGTGATCACTCGCGCTTCGATCGCGACTTCGACATTGGCCCGTCGAGCTTTCACCACCACGAGGCCAACCACGTCCCTGCAAGCGAGACCTAATGCTTCCTCCATCGTCAGATCCGCCACCCTCTCGCGCCAGTTCCAACGCGCCTATGCCGATGCTGCTTCCCAGAAGCGGAAGCCGGGCAAGATTCTCACTACCTTTAAATGGCTTTGGAGGTTGACCTATCTCTCGGCCCTGGGTGCCATTGGCGCCGTGATCTATGCTGTCTATGAGGATCGGAACCCTCAGCCTCAGGTCCAGCCGGATCCTACCAAGAAGACTTTGGTCGTCCTCGGTACGCGCTACATTCTCTTCTTTATGGAATTCACATGGCACCATAGGATAAATGCACACTGGCAGTGGGAGGCACATATGCTACTGTCAGAGTTGTTTCGTGAACAAGAAAAAAAAAGCATGAGAAAACGAGGAATGGAGGGCTAACCTGCGCAATCTTTTAACAGGCACTGGCTGGGGATCTGTCTCTCTTCTGAAGAAGCTCGATACCGAAAACTACAATGTCGTCGTCATCTCGCCCCGAAACTACTTCCTCTTCACGCCGCTCCTCCCATCCTGTACCACCGGCCTTATCGAGCACCGCTCCATCATGGAGCCTGTCCGCTCCATCTTCCAGCACCGCAAGGCCGCCGTCAAGTTCTACGAAGCCGAAGCCTCCTCCGTTGACCCTGACCGGAAGGTCGTCATAATCACGGACAACTCGGAGATCCAAGGTGATACTTCTCAGACCGAGATCCCCTACGACATGCTCGTTGTCGGCGTTGGCGCTGAGAACGCTACATTCGGCATTCCCGGCGTTCGTGAGAACTCGTGCTTCCTCAAGGAGATCGGCGACGCCCAGTTGATCCGCAAGAAGATCATGGACTGCGTCGAAACCGCCGCCTTCAAGGGCCAGACCGAGGAGGAGATCAAGCGCTTGCTGCATATGGTCGTCGTCGGTGGTGGCCCCACCGGTGTCGAATTTGCTGGCGAACTCCAGGACTTCTTCGAGCAGGACATCAAGCGTCTCGTCCCCGAGATTGCCGACCGCTGCAAGGTCACCCTGATCGAGGCCCTGCCCAACGTCTTGCCCTCATTCTCCCGCCAGCTTATCGAGTACACCGAGAACACCTTCAAGGAAGAGAAGATCGACGTCCTGACCAAGACCATGGTCAAGAACGTGAGCGACAAGACCGTAGAGGCCGTTGCCACCCGCCCTGACGGCACCAAGGAGACCATCACCATCCCCTACGGCCTCCTCGTCTGGGCCACCGGCAACGCCGTCCGACCCATCGTCAAGGACCTCATCTCCAAGATCGCCGCCCAGAAGGACTCCCGCCGCGGCCTCGCCGTCAACGAGTACCTCGTCGTCCAGGGTACCCGCGACATCTGGGCCGTCGGCGACTGTGCCGTCGCCGGCTACGCCCCGACCGCCCAGGTCGCGGCTCAGGAGGGCAACTTCCTCGCCCGCCTCTTCAACAACATGGCGAAGACCGAGGCCCTGGAGGCCCGCATCCACGAGCTCAGCTCCAGCCTCAACCTCAAGCCCGGCACCAACTCGGCCGACGCCGCCCGCGAGATCGAGGAGTGCGAGCGCAAGCTCCGCCGCATCAAGGACATCAAGCCCTTCCACTACACCCACCAGGGCAGCCTGGCCTACATTGGCAGCGAGAAGGCCGTTGCCGACGTCAGCTGGTGGAATGGTAACATTGCCAGCCACGGCAGCATGACCTACCTCTTCTGGCGCAGCGCCTATCTATCCATGTGCTTCAGCAGTAAGTTTTCCTTTCTTTTTCTTCCCCTTTGCCCCATGAACCGACTCGTCTCTTCGGCCTGCCCTTTATGCCGGGGAGCAACCACACTCGCCTCCCTTGCCTTGTAACACCCCCAGCTCGCTTGAGAACGCCAGAAAAACTAACCCGTCGTGCAACAGCACGGAATCGCCTGCTCGTCAGTATCGACTGGTTAAAGTCAAAGATGTTTGGTCGCGACATCTCGCGGGAATAACCGACCTATAGTGCGCCTCGCCCTAAAGATACCATGACCGCACTTTTTCTTCTTCTTTTTTTTTTTCTTTCTTCCCTTCCGTTGTATTCTGACGAAGGCGTCTTCGACCACTTCTACATCATCACCTCATACCTTGGTGTCCTGTCTTTTGTTTTTTGTCGGTGTTACAATAGTTAAATCGCCCCGTGTCGGGGTTGGGGTGGGTTAGCCGGTGACTGTTAGGGAATATAGAATATGTCGTAATGCTACCAAATCAACCGCATCAACGCCGTGGGGTGTCATTCATCCTGACTTTCGAGCACTGTCAACAGATCCTTGTCTTGATTGAATCAGGCTATTGAACCAAAACCTGGAATACTACTTGACGGTACTGCATTGGGGGCATGAAATAATCCTGAACAGAATCCAGTACGAAGGTATTCAGGGGGTTTTGCGATAACCTGGGGCAGACGGGGGACGAACAGGTCGGCCACTGAATACATGCAGCTCCTTCAAAAGGCCAACATAGGTCAACATAGCCAAGGGACGCCGTGAGCTCATTAGAAGCAACGCGTCCATCTGGGCTGGGCGTATACGATGGTTACAGTGTATACAGACAGTGCTGCTTCTGATCAACTGATAGCTAAGTGCAAAAGGAACGAGCACCCAAGGTACCAATAATGTGAGGAAGCGGAGCGGAAGAGCTAAAAGAGGAAGAAAAAGACAGCACAGCAGTAGCTCACAAGTCACGGCCAATACATCATCATACCCAGTGGTGAATGCAGGCTGTCGAACATTTTATGTACCATTATGTGAAGAGCGGTCAATGCTTTCCATAAGCCGGTAATGTTCGTATCTGTAGATCGAGAATTTGGTTTCTCTGACAGAAGCAGCAATCTGCGGATGACATTCGTCTACAGACGAGAGAGCTTTCTGCTTGTGCAATGGATCGAGACGGCGCACTCCCGTGGCGCCAATAGTGGACAGTAGAGCGCATTGCCTAGCGGCCTTTCCAGACAGAGAGGGTCCGCCAGTGGGTTGGCGGTTATTTTTCCAGGTTCCAAGTTTAATTATGCAGATGAGAAGCAGCAGAAACGCGGATGATCCCGGCGTTGGTCCGGCGGGACACATCCTCATCGTGCATAAGGTACCTTACTGTACATATCAACTGGTGATCTGGTTAGGAGCAAGTAACAGAAAGCATATTTCGCAGAAGAGTCATGGTCTGTTTGGTCAGCAAGAGAAACATAAAGTATCACACCGTAGGAGGGTATAGGGATTGGTTATTGGATCCGAGTTATCTTTTATTCTGATTCGACCTTACCCGTGAGGCGTTGAGGCGTTGAAATGTAATTACGGTACCTTAGTAAATGCAACTTTGGTCTTCCTTCCTCATGATTACCTTATCCATCAAATGGGCTGACAAATGACAGTGACGTCTCGGCGGAACGTGTCTGGAGCTGATGACCTCGCTAATCATCCAACGGCCTTTTGCACCGGTATTCGTGCTCTGATGGAGACCTTCCGGATAGGTAGGTTGCTTCAAGTTGTTCATACGCAATCCCAGTACTGGGGACTCTTCAGATTAGTCAGGCCCGTTGAAGAGGGATACAACTCCCTGGGATTTTCCGAAGGTCCCCAAACCGGAGGTCCACTAGCGCAAGCCTTGGCAAAGGAGGGCTGCATCTGTAGGAAAACATACATACCATCTATGAAGGAGCCGGCACTGTCGTTAAATAATATATACGTACTGCCCACTCTTTAGGCAACTTTAACGACCCAAGGCGATTCGGCACTGTAAAAGCATGTCATGCTTCACCCACTGAGACAACCCCCAGCCTCGCCCCCACTAAGTGAACCTGTACCTGCGCCTATTCGTATATGTCCAAATAAGGTAGGTAACTCTTAATAAGGGTAGGTAAGTACCTTTCCTGGATATCGATTATCGGTTACTTCTCGTGCGCTGACATTCTACCCAGCAACACCGTAAGAAGAGTCAGAGCGCTATTGTTGTGTGCGAGGTATGTAATTAATTACTGTCCCTACTTTATAGGCCACTATGCTGCTGTTAGCCAGAGGTGCCTTTGATGCTTTGAACACAGTCCCATACATACACTCCCGGGACTTTTAGCGCTGCAATGATTCCTACTAAGGTAATTAATTACCGTGCAACCAGATCAGCCGCAACTGTAACGTAAGCCAACAAGGAACGACAAGGGATCTAAAAAAGGGGGACTGTCAGAAATCCGAACAGTGAAAGCTGTCTAATTGTTCGTCCCTACAATAAGAGAGCAAGCAGCCTTGCTTCAGCTTTTTGTATGCGTGGGCCGTTACAAAAACAGCCATATTATAAGATATCTCTTTCGGCTTGTTCGGCCAAAAAGAGACCGACTTCTCCATTTCGTTATCGTCTGCTATTCAGGTATACGAAATGATTGTTTGGATGGATGAGGTTCGAGCTTATACCTTAGAAGAAGAAGAAGAAGAAGAAGACGAAAAAATCATCTCCCACGTCGTATCGTCCTTTCCCGTCCCCTTTCTCTTTCTTGGCTTTCCAAGCCTGCACCCGACCTGTATCTCCACTTCCGCATACATACATAATCGTATATTGGTACCTCTGCTCCCTGTCACTAGTGTACACACAGAGTCCGTGCCATTCGACGTACAGAGTATGAGTACACTTCCAGCTTGTCAAATAACTTCATGTTGAGTTTGTCTTGTTCTAGAGCAGCCCTGTTAAGACCTCTAATAATATGTTTTCATATTTCTGTGCCTGGGACAGACGAGGGATGCCTGATTAAGGAGACACGAATATGTAGGGAGTACAGAGGGGCTATATAGGACCCATGGGGCCACAATACATTACTGTTAAGATGGAAGTAAAGGTACCCCATACTTCATACGAGAATATAGGTACCAGTTTACTGTACGGTACTTACCTGATTTGAAAGCCCAATCAGTACCAGTACTTCCAGCGTCAATACATTGTACATACGCGACTAAGCGGTCCGAGGCTCCCCATCCTTAGATCCGCTTAGTACGGAGCGGAGGACGCATAGTCTTCCTTCTCCAACGGAACAGTACAGTATTACAACGTACCTTACTTCCTCTCCCCACCGGCTGCATCCCCCCAGCACGACTATCATTTCCCATTGCCAAGCAACGATATCACTGGTCCGCCCGCGAACTCCCTCCCCTGGAGCTCGCATTGCCCCCTTCCCACGGCACCAGCCCCAGAGCACAACGACCACCTAACCTCCCTTTTCTTCCCTCTCCGCCGAGGTCCTTGCCTTCGATTCATTTCTGCATCGACGACGTTGACTGAACGTACGCCAGCGAGCGACCAATTCCTCTTCTCCTCTGTCCCCCCTCGCCGCCCGGCCCTCTTTCGACTTGTTTCCTCGACCCGTCGCATCGCCCATCGCTTTTCCTTTCCGTGTCGTCTTTTCTACCGGTCCATTTCTCTGGTGTCGACAATGAATTCGCAGAGCCACAACGACGTGTCGCCCGAGGCGATGCAGGCGCGCATTCAACAAGCGCGCCGCGAGGCGGAGACTCTCAAGGACAGAATTAAGAGGAAGAAGGATGAGCTTGCCGATACTTCACGTCAGTTTATTTTGTTACTCTTTTGTTGTTGTTCTTGTCGTTCCCTTCTTAGACTCCACCCCCTCCCCAACATCGGGATCGGTTCTCTGCGATGGCCTGATGCGCATGCGGTCGCTGTCTCGATGCCTCGTCATGCCCCCCCACGCAATACAATCCCCCTCCTGTATTCTATTTCAATGGGTACTGACAATTGTTCGGCTGCTCTGTCACAGTGCGAAGCCTCGCCCAGGAAGCCCACGAACAAATCCCTCGAGGTCAGCTTATGAAGGCCAAACGGACTCTGAAAGGTCATCTTGCCAAAATTTACGCAATGCACTGGTCGACGGACCGGAGACATCTCGTCTCTGCCTCGCAAGATGGAAAGCTCATCATCTGGGATGCCTATACCACCAACAAGGTCCACGCCATCCCCCTACGTTCCTCATGGGTCATGACGTGCGCCTACGCTCCGTCGGGCAACTACGTGGCCTGCGGTGGTCTCGACAACATCTGCTCCATCTACAACCTCAACCATCAGCGTGATGGTCCGACCAGGGTCGCCCGCGAGCTTTCTGGTCATGCTGGCTACCTATCATGCTGTCGCTTCATCAATGACAAAAGCATACTGACCTCCTCCGGTGACATGACCTGTATGAAATGGGACATTGAGACGGGCCAGAAAGTCATTGAGTTCGCCGACCACCTCGGCGATGTCATGAGCATCAGTCTCAACCCTACAAATTCCAATACATTCATCTCCGGAGCCTGCGACGCCTTCGCCAAGCTGTGGGATATCCGTGCCGGCAAGGCCGTCCAGACCTTTGCGGGCCACGAGTCCGACATCAACGCTATTCAATTCTTCCCCGACGGTCATTCCTTCGTCACCGGCTCAGACGATGCCACTTGCCGTCTCTTCGATATCCGTGCCGATAGGGAATTGAACCTCTATGGCGTAAGCGCAACCCCCCCCCAACACCCCGGCTCCTTTTCTTTTGTCGTTTTTCTTTGTTTTGTTGGGACCTCTCCCTCTTCTCTCACACACACATCATGCATTCACGTGGCATCGCGCTAACCCGTCACTGGCAGTCGGAATCCATTCTCTGCGGAATTACCTCTGTTGCTACCTCCATTTCAGGGCGGTTATTGTTCGCCGGCTACGACGACTTCGAGTGCAAAGTGTGGGATATTACAAGAGGCGAGAAGGTTGGCTCGCTTGTCGGCCACGAGAATCGCGTCAGCTGCCTGGGTGTCAGCAACGACGGCATTAGTCTGTGCACGGGTTCTTGGGATTCTCTAGTAAGTATACCCAAAATAACTGAGCACCCTCGGATGAGTTATCCCCACGTATATAGTTGGCTAACCAACCAACCACTCTCTCCAGCTCAAAATCTGGGCATACTAAATGTACCGACCGCCCTTGATGATCCTCTCGAGCGATCATTTTCGCGTGTCTGGATAGATCGATTCCAGCTCTGCCACATAATTTCCCAACCCAGATGCCACCCTGTCTATTGCACGAGCACTGGCGCTGCTGGGACGAAGTCACGATACACACCTGCTCATAACCTGTCCTATTTTCTCGTTTGCCCATTTCTCCTCGGGCGGAAGGTTTCCTGATTTATAATGGATGGCTGACGTTGGCGATGCTCTGCGCCGTACCTCTTATTTTTATTCCCCTTGCCTTTTCGCGCATTCCCACCATTACGCCCTACCTACCAACCATCAGGCTCCTACCCTACCGAGTCCCGACGAGCCGCACTCTCGCTGTACGACCTTGATCCTACCAGAGGCTCCTCGACAGCCATAAAACGAACAAAAAAACCGACGTGGGAAACAGAACGGTACTCTATGGACTTGGGAGTTCTGCACCGAGACGGAAATATGTTCGTTGTCGTTCATTTCTCGAGGGCTTCGGCCACCGCGTTTCACCAACACGTGATGCGCAATATCTGGCAGGCTTGCCCCCCATTTTTTTCCTGTTTGTCTGTTTTGTTGTTGCCTTGTTTGGTTTACCGATCTACGCGAGATACACCTTTGATTCTCGTTTATTTTTGCGTTGCGGTAAACGAGAAGACGCCTTCTGTTGGAGACTTGTGGGCGTATCTAATTAGCGATGAGAAGCCTCGACTTTGAGAAAACGATGCGGGTTTTCTTTTTTCGCATAGCGTGTGGTACTCGACCAAGGACAAAAAGTAGGAGTGGGGTTGAAAGAAGCCCGTAAAAGGGAGCTGCCCGATGAGGAGATGTCAGCAAGAGGGCAGCGGCTGTGGGCGACGAATTGCCAGCGAACCGGGAGCCAGGAGATGAAGGATCGGCTTGCTTGTCTTGCGGGCGTTGAAGCGCTGGCCATATAGTCACGTACTGTCACCAGGCATTACCTGTTCTCCTTCAGTTGTTCTTTGTACTATATTAGTATCTCGCGTTCAAAAAAAAAATTGTAGTTTATTTTCCCAACCGTTTTCGTCCATGGCGCCGCACATTTCCCTGGCTACCTGTGCACCGAGTAAATACGGAGCATCCTATGTATCTTCATGGGATGGGACTATGATGAGGGGGCGAACCATGGATGCCGCAACTTCGAAATCATGGGAGATGTGGAAAGAGAACATGGATTCGGCCGGACACGTTGCGTGGATGTGGTATTCTGTCTTGGCCTTCCTCTCGGGCTGTTCACGGTAGAGAAGGGGTCAACGATGGGCTGGTTGGTCTAGGGACAGAAGAAGCCCTCTGCCATCCTTCGCTCTTCCACCATCTTGTCATCTCTTCTACGGTCGTTGTGAGACTCTCCGGGGTGTTCGGAAATGGCGGAGGGGGTGTCAAGGGCAATTATATCAGGTTGCCGGAGTTTTGTGTAGCACATGGCTTAGGGTGGACTGTTTGCACCTGTCCGTCATAAGATGAAAAGAGCCCCATATTGCTCAACTGGGGAAGAATAACAGATGTATTGAACGCATCTGTGAGGTAACTGAGAAGTCGTCGTTATGGGAATAAGTGCGTCGCGGTTTGAGAATGAGAGATGGCGAAAGACCTGGGGCCAGGTAAAACCACGGGAGATTCACGACTCTGAGAGGGCCATCTACGTGACGTTGGCTACTTATACGTGTCGTCCTTGGTGCTCTTCCCGCAAAGTGAATACGAGTGTGGTCTGTACGAAGAAATTCCGCCACGGCTCGCCAACTCGATGTAGAAATATATGGCTACTCTCCCGTGACAGCAGTCGAATTAAGTCGCGGAGTAAAGGGAACCTGGGGAATTAATGGTTTGCTCTGCGTCAGGTAGAGGGTAGGATGGAAGGAAAGAAGAATACTCTGATGCTGAACATGCAGCATAAGATGGGACTTGGGCTCTTTTATTTGCTCTTAGGTGCCACTTTGCAAGAGATGAGAAGTAAAAAAAAAAAAAAAAAAAAAAAAAAAAAGGAGAGAACATAGGAGAGATTGTCGCTTTCGAATGTTTTCTGTAAATAGAGGACTCCGTCTTTGCGACCGCTGGGCATGAATCCAAGTGCCGGCAGGAGACCTAAGATACCTTACATAGACGCACCGGGACATTCGTGCTCTGCTCCCCCAGTATGGCCGGAATGAGACAGCACAAATCTGGGTGACTCTTTTATAGCTGATTCTCGCCCGAGCCTAAGTCTTATAGCAATTAATAAGAAACTGATGTCTTTGAAAAATAAGGTTGTATATAGCAGGTTTTAACTAAGATGAGAAGGCAAGTGTAGTTTTAGACACCTTGGCCCGGACTCGCCCATTCCGCCCTGCATTCGATGTAACCTCCTGTTTCGCCATAATTGTGTGGTGGTTTATTATGGGCATGGCTTTTGAAGTGTCAGATTCAGGACAGCTCGTAGCTAAGACAGTTATTGCTACGCTACTCGCAAAACGAGGTCAACGTAAGGAGAATATAGTCGAAGGGCGGCGCTTTGAGAGGCGAGATTCAAGCATGAACAAGGCGAGACAAACAAATAAAGAACACCAGAGAACCGAAATTCGCATACTGCGTTCATCGTGCAGCAATCTGGTTACTGGTACTAAGGCCAAGGGGCAGGTGTCAGGGGCAGAGTTGGGGGATATCCTGTGAAACGCTGATCCGCCCATAATAGCCCCGTGTTTGCTGGTCGACCGTACGTCTGGGACTGAGCCCATGAACCCCTGGCCTCCATGAGGGAAGCATAAATATGACCGGAATGACCGGAGTCACAACCTTCCATGGAGGTCGCGTCGCAAGGGCTATGGTTCTTACCCAGGAAAATGATTTGGCGAGCTCGTTGGGCAGACCGACAGCGGACGACCCCTTGGGATACGTACTCCGTTCCGCACGGGGGCTATAGACGGCGCGGCTACAGTGCTGTACGTGGACGTGGCTGCAGGACGGCTTGGAAGTCGGGTGTCAAAACAAGGGATGCTATTTTGGGAAATCACCGAGTGACCCTTGCCCCAGACTCCAGTCTCACTGCATGCATCCGCATATCTTTGATTAAAAAGTGGTCGTGTGCATGTCCCTTCATTTGCCAGTGCCTACCTAAGGTAGGGAGAAGGATGCGTGTGATTTGGGGCATTTTGTTTGCGGCACAGCGTGGCACAGCGTGGCACAACTTCTACTATTGTTCTTGTAGGATGGGTCGCCGACAACGGCACAGACATCGGAAGGACTGGTAGTATGTACCGAGGTATATGTACTGATACTGGACACGTTTTCACACTACCCGTTGTGGGGTGACGTTGTGATGCAGTCGTGCGAGGTGTTGACGTTTCCCGGCGTCGTGCGATGTGCCAGAAAGGAGGGGGAGGGGCAATTCGGGGTATTTTCAAATGCAGACATGGACAATCGACGCATGGTCTGATCATGGGGCCGTTATTACTACAATTAAGAACTAACCTTCACAGAAGGGGTGGAGTAATTACGAGTATCATGGGGTCGGAGTAAAATGCCGATGCATCAGCTGAAAACTGCGCCCATCCTTCAGGGACGGGATGGAAGAGAACCGATGTCGGGGAACCGATAAAGGCGGCACTCAAATAAGGCTGCCTGAACCAGCCTGTTTTATGCAACTCAGAGCTGCAACCTGCACCCGTTCTTCCACCCCGTGAGGCGATTCGTAGCCGAGGCGAACCAAAGAAATAACCCTGCCAGTGAAACTCTAGCTACCAGTGATGGTGGTGGTTGAAGTGTTGCCAGTGAGAGCAAGGACAAAGTAATTACTAAGGTACGGAGACATGTTTATATCAGGCACCCGTCGGTTTGGCACGGAATCTAGATAAAATGCTTGATGACCTACCTCAAGCTGTTTCTGGTAATCTCGGAGGCACCAGGTCAAATAATTGGCAATGGACAAACACGGAGTAAGAGCAGAGCCCCCAATCAAACATTGGACCAAGGCAGAAGATGCTTGATTATGTATGTACATACGCTCGGCGAAAGGCCACGCGGTTTCTTAAATTAGACCACCGGTAATTGGTAATTGTGCGGCCCACCGAAGATAGCGCCAAGTCAACGGTGGCTTGCTATCTCCTTGTCGATCAACGCTCCTCCTGTCCGATGTTACCGGAGGAGGCTTTTCACAAATCATCCGTTCGATTTTCGCAGTTTACCCAGCCAGGACTGGCCCAGACTGACTCGGCTCGAATTTGAACTTGTTGGCAGTACGAATGAATATTGGAGAAGTATGTGCCGAATGTGATTTAACCAGCATTTATTATCCCGTACCAATCCCTTCCCGTTGCTCGTTTTATTATTTCGTTCTTCGCTGGTCTTTGTCTCTTGTCCTGCAAACTTCAAATAGTCCTCTTGTTCCTATTTTAATTTGTCCTTTTCTTGGTACTGCAGCCCACTCTACGAAGTAATTACTTCAGCATACAACGTAATTAGGCAACAGGGAGCATGAAGTTGATCTAGGGATTCTGAAACAAACTGTCTAACACCAGAAACAAGGGGGCTCCGCAACCCCCCCCCCCAACATAACCCAAGCTTTTTTCATCTTCTTTTTCTCCCCACGAGCCCGAGGTCGCCACCCTGACCCTTCTGCCCACCACCTAAGACAGGGATTGCTTATTTCATATCGCACATATCCCTGTCTTTGCCGACTCGTACCCACAGCTTCGAGAATCACTTTCGAAAAAACTCGAGGGCAATAAGGCAGGAGCACTCTCTCTCCGGTCCACCCCCGTTGTTTCTTGTTTGCCGTGCCCCTTTCTCCTTCCTCGACGAAGCACACGAAACTCGCAGGCATCTTTGTTCCCCTCCCATGACGCTTTCTCCGTGAAACACACCCACTACCTAATTATCACATCTATTAAAAGAGCCCTGCCCTCGAGCCTTCCCGCCCGCGAATCCCGTTTTTGCCCAATATGTCCAACCCAACCCCCGCCCAAGAAGAATTCAACAGACTAGTTGCCAACAGCGCGAGAGATCCCATCCGAGTCCACCCTGAAGACAGAGCAGACTACTCCCGCGAGCGCACCAGCGTCGACGTCAGCGAAGAAGACGCCTATCGCGCCTCCCAGATCGACAACGCCATGCGTACCCCCACCCTCGACCAAGGCCTCAAGCTGCCTCCGGCCACTTTCGACGCCGGCCGCACCACCGGAGTCAAAGGCGTCATCGCCGACGCCCGCAGCTACGAGGAAGCCAAGAAAGTCTCCTTCATCAGCCGTGCCAAGTCTACCGTGCGCAAGTCCATCTTTGGCCTCGACGGGGCTCAACATTCTGCTTCCCGCAACTCCAGCGAGGACGACGGCAACGCCAGCGATTCGCCGAGCGAGGAGGCTTTCCTGCAGCAATGGCGCGAGAGCCGGAGACGCGAATTGGAGAGGGACGGGAACAAGGCGGTACGAAACAGGAGGACAAGCCCGAGCGTGAGGGTGTATGGCAGACTGGACGAGGTCGATGCGCTGGGCTACCTCGACGCCATTGAGAAGGTCAGCCGCGACACTGTCGTCGTCGTCTTCGTCTACGATCCCGATGTATGTCTTTTCCTTCCTCGGTCGCATCTAACACCACAATCCCTTCTTTCTTCCCCCCCCCCCCTCCTCTTTCACATACACTGGCGCCATTTCCTTGCTACGTACTAACAATTTGTCCGCAGTGCGATGTGTCATCGGAGATACAGGCCGCGATGAGTCCGCTCGTGAGGAACCATAACACCGTCCACTTTGTCAAGGTACATTACCTCGACATCGAATTCGACAATGCCGCCGTGCCATCAATTTTGGCGTACCGGAACCAAGGCGACATCTTTGCCAATCTCACCGGCATCATCGAGATGATCCCCGACGATGAACCCTTTGGCACGCAAACCCTAATGAGGCTCTTCCAGCAATACGGCATTCTATGAAAGCGTTACCTCTGCTGTTCATCATGTTCCTTCCCCTCATGCTTCGGCTGCCTCGAGAGGCTGTGCTATACGACCACCACACCCTTCCCCTCTCTCTAAAGCTTGCCCGTACGGCTCTCCCAACGTCTTCACTTGACGACTGAGGCGTTTTCATCTGCGTTTTGTTCCGGTTCTTCTTACCCACGATACCCCGCCTCGCGGCCCTTCTTTACGCCTGTCGCCCGGTTTCGTCACCGGCATAACATAGGCAAGTGGGCATTGGTGAACCTGGGCTCTTTTCCTTTATCAAGGTCACCAGCGTCGGATGGCCAATACCCCAAGATAATACTGTTTTGACGCGTGCCGATATGCATGCTTTTTGCGGTTCTGTGGACGGGGCCTGTTTTGCTTTTACGGTTTGCAAGCTTAAGGTTATGCAGGATACGAAGACACGGTTTTCACTTTCTTTTGGTGAATTATACAGAGAAGGCGAGAGACATTGCTTAGCCCTGTCTGGAGTTGGGTATCCCAACGCTTTTTGGACTGGGCTGGATTCTTGCCCTGGGTGCTATGAAAACCGGGGACCCGGAAATCAGACCCGTGCCAGGGCTCGTCCTGACCTTCGGGGACACGCATATATACGGAGGCATCGCATTGCTGTATGATACCTTGGGTTGGAGGGGTTTTCGGCATTAATTTACTTACTATCGGCAGGGCTGCCGGCTTTAATGGACACACCTTGCTGCCCGCTCTTCCTCGTTTTCTCACTGTCTTCTTGCAATGCCAGCATACGGAGTACTTCGTAATATGCGGTTTATCTAACAGGGACTCTCGGGCGGGACAGCTACCCAGGTGTCAAGTCTAAGGTACCTACCTAAGGTAGGCACATTGTACCCTGAAGTTTTACGACCCCGCCATCACAGCGAGAGGGGGGCATACCCTCCCTTATCGATAAGGCACTATGATGCCATCGAAGTGTGGCACAAAAGGTAGTAGGTACGAAGTCGAGTCATCTTCGACTCTCAATTATTACTGAATGTCTCTTGCTTGGTATCGAAAGACAAGTATTCATCTATCAAACAACAAAATGTATTTGAGTGTTTAATATATTCTCCCGGTATCTAATAGATGCCCAAGGCGAATACAACGTGTTTCGGAGATCCATCTGAACCATTGGGCTCTGGGGGTTGGATGTTGGGTACACTATAACCACCAAGTTGCGCGCCTAATAAGGTAGCCCAAAAACCATCCCTCCACGCACAGGTACGTACCTTTAGCAGCAAGGCAGGACTCCGTATCCGTATATCTACACGTCTACGCCAGAATTCATATATTAGTCTATTCTTCTCACAGAAATTATAATAAATATCCGTTGCCTACTCCACGAATTTACCTAGTCTACGGATACGTCCTCCATAAGGGCAGGTTGGTGACCACTTCCATCGTCATATTGACCGGCTGTTTATCCCTGTACGAGGTGCCCCACCAAAGTTACGGTAGGTAACTCCAATGTTAGATCACATGTCCAGCGATTCTGCAGGTACTGTCCAGCCAAGAGGGTGGGTGGTACTGGTAACTTCACGTCCACCTCGATGTTTCAAAATTACCCGACTGAACATTGAACCCTAAACCTTCTCTTCTTCTGTTGGTTCCGAGAATTCTCTTCTCATAGGCACTTCAAGCTCACACAGAGATACGTATTTTCAAAGTTACTAGATATGGCAAAGATCCAGCGATTATATCAGTTAATGTATCTAAATCACGTACGGAGATAAGGTTCACGGCGACGGGCGGCAAGCTTTCGCGGGGATGGCGGCAACCCCCCCCACAACAATACCCACCTGTGTACCGACGGAGTATTCAAGTGCGGATACGGAGTACAGAGTACATAGGTATCCTAGCCATAAGGAGTTCCTGCCTTATTGCTCCATTCCTGCTTCACTGTTCCTTATCTCCAAACAACCCCGCGTGACAACATGTCGAGTACGGCCCAGAAAGGTGGGCAGTCAACGGAGGTAGGTACCTTAAGCGAGTCACTTCGATGAATGATGAAATCGTATCTCTCCGTCCTCTCTTCCTCCCTACCTTATTCTAAAAGCCAGTCGAGGCCAAAGACGAACGACAACCAACGTACCAGGCAGCAGCCGCCACCCCTCCCGTTATCCCAAAGCTCTAGCCCGACCCAGAGTGCCATACCCCGCCCTACAGCAGGCTCACTCATCAGATCAGGCGGCAGGTTTAACCTGTCCATCAGACACGACAGACGACCAGAAACCACTCCGCGATCATACCTTCCTAAATCACCGTATTTGGGTGAAAACTTTCTCTGTAATATACCTACATGGGAAGGTTCTCTTCTACAAACTTTAAGTTACCCCTTCCACGACCTTCGCCTCCACAGTAAGTCTTCGTCCAGTAAGCCCAGGCCACACTTTGAAAGCCGGCTGACGGAGGGGGCGGCTCGGTCCAAGTCATTTTCCACCAAAAGCCTCAAAGACAACGAGGTTCCTTGTTCCCTTCAGGCCAATAACTTGTTGGTTGGGGTTGGTTCTACGCCTCTCTCGTGTTGTTCAAAGGTCTATATTCTACGATTTCTCTCCCTCTGTTCGCCTAAAAAGCCTAAAGTCCTCCTTTGTCCAGTTTACTCGATCCACTATCCTCAACCGATATTCGTGCTCACCCCATCCGTGTCAACTCGATTTCCCCTTCGTTCTATAATTTCCCATCCTGGTCGGTCTGTCGAGCATTTTCTCGACTGATCTTCCCGTCCAGAACTCCATCCTCGCGCTCTCCGGCTCTTTCCCCTGTCGATGCTCTCCCGAACTGGAGGGATGACGTGATATCTACCAGACTGACATTTGGTATCTCGTGATGGAAGAGCAGAAGCTTTCTGCTCAACATTTCGAACCTGACAGTTCCGACCCGGCCGACAAGCAGCTTCAACCTTTGAGCCAGTCTTCACTGTCGTCCTCAGAGCTGACCCTTCGATTCCCCCGACCGCAGGGCAACCGACAGCTAGCTAGCTGGATAGCCTCCAGTCATTCTGATATCATGACTCCTTCCGCCGACCCTTACGGTGATGCCACCGCCTCTCTGTCAGAATCAACCTTTGAGTTCATCCACACAGACGACGAGAGTCAGGATGGGCCTGCTTCCGAGTCCCTCGATTCGTTCGACGACAGCCGAGCCGATGACGTTCATAGTCTTGCTGGTACTGAGCAGTCGGCGGATGACTTGGAGACAGACTCAGAGATCGAATTCAATAACCAAGAAACACGAGAAGAAGAGGAGGATGAAGTAGCGGAAGAAGAACAAGAAGCCCGCAATAACTCGCAGGTTTATGCGGAAGAGAGCCTGAGTAGTCCCTCTACTCCTGCGAGTGCCTCCATTATCGACCCTACAACCAATACTCCTTCATTTCTCGACCCTACGCTTGCTCCGTCACGGGGAGCCTCGGCATCTCAAGATCCCAAACATGTTTCCGACGAAGAAGACCTCGCTCGCCAGAATGACACTCCGAATATTTCTTGGCCACCCTTTGCCACTGTCCACCAGCGCATGGACGAAGAATACTTGCTCATCAAAAAGCCACTTCGTATCATGTATGTCGGCAGTCCGACGGCACAAGAAGATATCGTCAAAAAAATGGCCTCTGCACTCACAGCACCCTCTGGTCCCGGCTCTTCTCAGTTGGACGAGGCAGAGTTTAGGAGGACCCATATCAAAGTTGAGCGCTGCACATTGGCCCAGGAGACAGCCTATATGTCGACGCATGGTGTGATTGAGACAATGATCTTCATCACTGTCGACGGCGAGAGAACCTACAGCACTTTGGCACACCGGAGAAACTTTCATGTCACGTCTCACTGGACGGTGCCCGATTTCGCCGTTTTCTATGCCTCGCAGGAGGATGACGCCATTGCCGGGGAAACGCGAGATGCTGCTTGGCTATTCATGAAGCAGCACTGTGTGCCCTGCATCCTTATATCCGACCCCCAGCTCTGCCTCCTGCCTGTAAACGTCTGGAGCAAATACATAGACGGACGTGCCATCCACCGCCGTCTCTTTAGTAGCCACAACCGTCAAACAGGGCGCTTACCCGTCGATTTGACCTCTTTCTTGAACGTCGATTCCGGTAAGCTAAACCGCAACCTTGCATATTTGGCCCGCCGATACTCGCGGAAGAGGGAAGAAAAACCTGGCGAGAGTGAAATCGAGGGACTTTGCGCACATGCAAGCAAGGCAGCTCGAGAGATATGGAGATATATGCTCGACCGATGTCCCGTGGTAAGCACATACGTGCTCATCCATTTGCTTCTTTTTGGGCTCACGGCGGTCGTATGTTACGGCGTCTCCCGGGTTTCCTTGGTCGCGCCTCCGATACCCGCCCCCGGTGCAGTGCACCAGCCCCTGACCTCGCCACCCCCGGTTGCCAGCACCGCTATCTACCCCGACTCAACCATGACCAGCAACCTGACGTCGACGACGATGGTTGATATTCCTCGCGCCAACGCTTCCCCAACCAACTTGGCTCTCGCTCCTTTCCCGAGCTTCTTTTCCGAAAGCGTAACCGGCTCTCAGGAGTCAACGGTCTGCTCTGCCGAGGTCCATGGACGCAACGAAATCCTGGTGAAAATTCCACTGAGCACGAAGACGACCTGGCTCGCGAAGGACTCCATTAGTATTGACGTACTTCGCGGTGGCAGGCTTGTCAAGACCAAGTTCTCGTCCATCGACGAGGGCCTCTTAATTGAGATTCCGATGAGTGAGGCATATGGTCCGATTTCCGTAACAGTCGTCACTACCCGAAAACCAAAAGTCAATGAGACGTTCGAGGTTGACTTTGGCAAGAGCATTATTGAAGAGGTAGTCGACTTTGGACGGTTTCTCGTCGACAGGGTGTCCGACGTAGCCGGCGGAGTCGCGAAGGCTGCGGACCGAGTCAGGGACAAAGCCAGGGATACAGCCAGCGAGACGCCGGAGCTGGTCCTCTCCCTTAGACACTCGCTGCTGAAGAAGCTCACAGACTTGCCAGAGCGGGTCAGGGCAGAGACATCCGTGACGGTGGATTACCTCAAAAACGCATGGAGCAACAGTAACCTGATGCCCAAACAATGGCGGCGGATTCAGGACGAGACCTCACGGCACATGGAAGATTACTCGGATCAGGTGAGGCTGTCCGTCCTCAAGGCGCAGATCGCATCACATCTCGGGTGGCTGCGGCTGCAAGGGAAGCACGAAGAGTACAACCTGTACCGGGAGAAGGCCAAGGCATACTTGGCCGACAAATACTCGGAGGCCGTCAAGGCTCGACAGGTGCGGCATAGAACGGACGCCAAGACGAGCTCTGAGAGTGGTTGCCGCTCGTGGCGATGGTCCAGGAAATGTTGGCTTGGAGACAAGTAGTGGTACGAAACGATTTAGGTCGCATGCTTGTCAGGATGCAATGGATTATGGTTATGGGAGACGAACAAGGGACAGGGAATTGGGCACAGCAGGTGGCGTTTGGAGGGAACTGTTTGCGTTCGGAACACATTTTACCTTTGCCTTCTCTATTTCTCTTCTGGTTCTATCTCTGTTAGGGGACTCTGCTGTTTAGCCTTCTCTACTGTCCTTGTCTCTCTTAAGTCGATCGTTGTTCGTCAGAATACTTTCTGGTCCATTCTCCATTCTCTTCAAACAACACGTTATCGTTCACGCCGTCGACTGTACTTGGAATGACGGTAGGAGACAACGAAGAGGAAGAGGGCATGAATAAGGTAGGCAGCTGCAGTAGACCCAAAGGTCCTGTCAGAGAATCGGGGTTGGAGCAAAAGAGAAATGGAGTAAGGAGACACTTAATGGCAGATTCCATCGGGACCACAAAAGTATCGAGCTCATGACACGGAGTAACAAGCGAATTCAAAAATGGAATAATGTATAATAGCTGCTACTTTGCAGTATGATGCCTCTCTCAAACGCGATTCCCTTTTTTTTTTTTTTTTTTTTGGATTATTCTCATCGGAAGTACAGAGTAATTAATAAGTATCGGGACCAGTACCTAGGGGCCCACTTTCTTGGAAAAGGGGCACGTGGGGCTGGTGCTGGAGGCTTGATACGGAGTACATAGGTAATTACTGTACTTCGTGCTGCGACGGGCTACCTGTTATAGGTCATTGTCAGAGCGGGGTGGGAAAATACGAACAACAGAAAGGAAGGAAAAAGAACAAAAAATCACAACTACTTGGGAGCGCTCACTTCACAGCTCACACATCATTACTATTATTCCAAGCTACTTCTTCAAGCCTATACAGTAAGTTCCTGACCCCTTTTCCCATGTTGTTTGGTTCAGAGTCGGTATGCCACCATCAGGAGGTTTCAGGCGTCGTGCCTTTTGCGGCTCCAAGCTGTGGCTGATGTTTGCCCACCCCGCCTTTTATTACTTTTCTTTACTCGAGGAGGGGGGGAGAGGGGCAAAGCGCACAAGGCAGGGGCGGCCCGACTGAATGATTAGGCGACAGGCGGAGGGAGGCAGCGAACATGTGGGAACCAGCAACTCTTGACTGACTCTTTTTTTTTTTTAATCTTGTCCTCCCTCTTGTCTTTCTATCAGCTGAGCATTTAGTAGTACTTCTGTCGGCCGAACCTAACCTTTTACATTTACCTACCTTATCGTCCCGCCATTTTTCTCTTGCGACATTTTCATCAACATGTCTGCTGCCGAAGCCACCGAACCCAAGGTCGAGGAGACCACGGCCCCTGCGCCTGAGGTACGATTACCCATGTCTCCTCTCCGTCCAGCAATCACTGCATGCATGCTATAGTTTACCCGGTATCGCGGGGCATGAAATACATTGGAAAAATGAAGCTAACACTCTACTCTCTTCCACACTCAGGCCACCGAGACCAAGACCGATGCCCCTGCCCCTGCCGATGCCGATAAGCCCGTCACCCAGTCGGCGGTCTTCTCCATGTTCGGCGGCGGTGCGAAGAAGGAAAAGAAGGTCGAGGACGAGGATCGCGGTGACAACTCGGGCAGCAATAAGGCCCAGCGTGAGGCTGCTGCCGCTGCTGCCGACGAGAAGAAGGAGGGCGGCGTACGTTCCATGCACCAACCCCGTTCTGCCTGTGTGAATGGCCCTTCCCCGTGCGTTGTTGCGGCGCGCTGACCAGTACATGCTACGCCACTCTCCCCGCCATGCAGGATGAGGAAGCCCCCGAAGAAGCGGAGGATGTCCACTTCGAGCCTGTCGTCAAGCTCACCGAGCAGGTCGAGGTCCGTACCAACGAGGAATCCGAGGAGCAGCTGTTCAAGATGCGGGCCAAGCTGTTCAAGTTTGTCAAGGAGTCGAGCGAATGGAAGGAGCGTGGCACGGGCGACGTCCGCCTGTTGAAACACAAGGAGAATGGAAAGACTCGCCTTGTCATGCGTCGGGACAAGACGCTCAAGGTCTGCGCCAACCACTACAGTATGTCTGGCACAAAAAAAAAGAAGAAGAAGAAGAAACACGGGGCCGCCAAATTCCCTTTCCTGCGGCCATTCTTTGTGGCTCTACCGTCCCGAGCTGGTGGGCCGACGGTTTTACGAGAAAGAATGATGGTCTTGCTAACCGTTTGCTGTAGTTGTTCCCGAGATGAAGCTTTCTCCCAATGTCGGCTCTGACCGCAGCTGGGTCTGGAACGCTGCCGCCGATGTCAGTGAGGGCGAAGCCGAGGCCGTCACCCTGGCCATCCGCTTTGCCAACTCGGAGAGTAAGCCTTCGCCACACCCCCGATCTGAGCGTCTGTCGACGAGAGAGGATTGTTAGCTGACTGGCCATGTGATGTGTTACAGATGCCAACCTCTTCAAGGACTCTTTCCTCAAGGCCCAGAAGGAGAACGAGGAGGTGTTCAAGAAAGCCCAAGACGAGTCCTCTTAATTTGACTATATCAATGTCTTGAGTCCGGACAAGCAAACGGACTTCGACTATGTCTCACCCTATATCACCCCTCCCCTTAGCAAAACACAGCACATAGCGTACATACTTGACATTTGGTCCTAGGATCGATGTCTTAACGGCGCATAGTTCCCCATTACCCCTGATCCCACTACACGAAACATGATAGCGCGAATCATGAAAGGAAAAGAAGAGTAGAGAGAATCTGATGAGAGTTGAAGCACTGTACAGGGCAGGGGAGGCAGATGGAGTGAGCCGAGTTGGATGGACTGGTCTTCGTGGCCGCAGAAGGTGGAGGAGAGCTTGAGAAGGGTTTCGCGACTGGCATCGGGGCTAGACCATTGCAGCGCAAGTACCTACCTTCGAAGTGCTGGAATTCCCATCATCTCCTCAAAAGTGCCGACTTGCTTGTAGGCCAGATCAACAAAAGACTCTGATTCCCATTCCCCTAATTCAAAACCGGCCATGCGAGTCATGAAAATATCGGCGACGTTACTCCGCTGGCATATATGTAAGGTAATGAGTGCAGTTAAGACAGAGAACTTCTACGGCTGCTTCGCTGCAGGAACAAAGTCGCAGAGGTATTCATCTGTAAGTGCTTTCGTGAACTTAGGAGTCAAGTTGGACTGTGTATATAAGGAGACGATAATATTGTTACTTCTCTCTTCCTGTTAATTTTCACTCGCTTCAATATATGGTGGAGTTTTGTCGTTATGGTATAACAATTCGGCAGGTACTTTACTTCGTACGAGATACCTCGTGCATAGATACCTTAGGTAAGGTACCTACCTGTAAGGTACCTACCTGTAAGGTACTATAACCGTGCGCCCTCCCTTGCCTTGGCCTTAATAAGCATTGGAGTTCGAACATGACCGCATACATCAGGGCAGACCAGATTTCGTCCTCTCAGTTCAGAACACCCCCCTCCAACCATCTCTACCTCACGTATCACTAGCCGATGACGATTCAGCGATTCACCAGGCGACGTTAAAGAGCCACTACTTGTGTTCCGACCCTCGCCGTAGAATCCACTGCCGAACCACCGACGAAGCGACTGACCGACCGATCAATTGCGCCGCCGAGTATCAATCGAAATATAGTATAAACACCAAGCTGCATAGACTGTGGTTTATCCACAAGGTGTAAGAGGAGGAAGGCAAGATGATTGTCGAGGTAGGTTGTTTTGGTTCTTACTGCGCTGTCATCACGATGTCTACCTTGGTTTGCGTCGGCTTCTTGACTTCTTCTGCACCTCCCCGAGCCGCGACGTGCCTTGTCCAACCCGGCCGGCATGGAGGGGTGGTTCCTTTTTTCAATGAACTCCCCAGAGGTGAACGAAAGCGCAAAGAGAGGTGAAAGAGAAAAGGGAAACCTTTCCCTGGGGGGCAGCGCTGCTTGATCGATCCTCTGGGCTTTCACAGCGCGTGGCACCATGGCCTGCCCTTCTACTACCATCTTGCATTGCTGTTCTACCCGTCTTATTCCTACTCCCACTTGTACCACGACCTGGGACCCTGAATTCCCTCTGCTCTTCGTGGAGATATTGATCCCAAACTACCTGACATCCCGGAACAACCCACACTTCGTTGTGCTTCTCGTTCAATACCATCCCCATTGCCTCTACGCTCATACAGGATGCGGGCTAAGACGAAACTAAATCCCCAGCGCAAAGTCAGACTGGTCACCGACCAAAATATCCTGTAGGTGCTCCCTCGATCGCGATGCGCGGTGGCCTTGTTGCCCATGGGTTGGGCGAGTGCGAGTGCTACGGTATACGGGGCCGGCCTGTTGGGGCAAAGGCTGACGCGAGAGAAAAAAATCGACTCGAAATTCCAGTCCGGAACGACCACAGCAGGTAGAGGGCTTTCCTATGCGCAAATGGTCGGTTTCACTCTATGTCCTCGACGAGAATGGAGATCAGCATCCGGCCGACTGCTTCCAGCGCGTCACCTACAACCTTCACCCCTCGTTTGAGAACCCGGTCCAGAGTATGCTATGCTTTCTCCCCTTGTATCCCTGGCGCATGTCCTTTTCCCACTTCCGCGACCGAAAAGAGAACGGCGAATTATCGATATATGGTGCGACATGCTGACGTGCACGCGTGTTTGCGCCGTTACAGCCTTCACCAAGCCGCCATTTACCTGCGAAAACGAAGGATGGGGTGAATTTGAGATGTCAATTGACTGCTACACCACAGAGAAGTCGAAGCAGAGCATCCCGCACGACCTCAACTTCCAGTCCAACCACTACGAGAACGACCACACTGTTACCTTCAAGAACCCCAGCCAAGCCCTACAGCAGATCCTGCGCGAGACGGGACCCTTGCCTAGTGACGAGGACCGTGTGAAGCGCAAGGGCACCGCGGGACCTAAAAAGCCCAACCAAAAATACGACTACGAGAAGATCGCGGACGGTCTCGGAAAGTTGAAGGAGGACGACCTCCTGCATGTCATCCAGCTTATTAATGATAATCGCACGGAAGATATGTATATTAAAACTGATGTCGAGTGTACGTCTTGCGCGCCTCCTCCCCCCGCCACCCCCCGGTTTGGTTATTTGACGAGGACCTTGGAGGACCTTGGAAGCAATACTGACGGTGTCAATGCCATGCCTCGTTTGATAGCGGGCGAGTTCTCAATCGACCTGTACTCCATGTCGGACTCGCTCACCAAAATGCTCTGGGACCATTTGGTACGTTTGTGGTTTTGTTTTCTCCGTTGTCCTTCCTGGCACCTTACCGATTACCGGCGTTTTTCGATGGCCTCGAGGTCCCCAAAGGGTTTACTTTTACTTTTGCCTGCTGACTGTCCACCGCTGCTCTAGACCAAGAAGGGCATGATCAGCTAACTGCCATTTCGCCCTGGCTGCATAGGGCAGAGGGCAGACCCCTACAATGACTGATGGCAGTAAAGGACGGCGAGTTGTCTTGGCAGCTGTAACGAGACGGAGGGAACGGGGTGCAGGCCCGTTCCTTCAAGAGCTCCAGGACTTTTGTGGGATTGCGCTTGGCGTTTGGGTTTTTCTGTCCGGAATCCCCATGCGAGGGTGGCTGCTGCCTTGCTGCGTCGCCGCTGCATCCTCCACCGTGTGTTCAACGGGACGTGTGTGTGTGTGTTGGCTAAGTTTGGAATGGGATGGGTGGCCGAGGAGAAATCGGAGTCTGTTTATAGCATGATTAAGAAGTACGACAAGCACTCATGTAGCCATCATCTACCCTGTTCTGTCGACTCTGCGCAGAGCTTATAGTTCTTATCAGGACTATTTTCCATAAGGATGCCACGGTAACAAGCCGTAAAGTAGCAGGAGGGAGATGACGAGAAGAATATCACCAGATGTGGTCGGCGGCGAGAAAAGGGGGTTGCGATGGGATTGAATGTATTCCATTATTACCATTATCCGCTCCCATTTCCCACTTTGTTTTCTTCGAACCGTCGCGTTGAATCAGGGAGATAAGATATACTTGTGTGCAAGTTGAGGAGATATGGATTGAGACATGTCCTTCTTTTTGTTCGTCCCCCATTGCTGAAGCGAAAAAGAAAAACTGAAATACAAAAAGAAGAAGAAAATATGTTCCCTCTGACGCCACCGCGGAGCTTCAACGCCATTTGTAATAACACTGAAGTCAAAGTACACCAAATCAATCGGTACGGTTGTGCTTCTTGAACTTTTCAAGGGAAAGGCGGGTTGTCCATAACGGGGAACTGCGGATCCATCGCCATGTACTCGAGGAGATCGACGCCACCGACGTTGAGGCCCTCGGCCGTCATGGCGATGCCTCCGTTTTCCATGTTCTGGAAGAATGCCGGGCCGGGAGGCAGGTACCACATCTCCGTGTTCGGGTTACCCCAGTCGGTGACGTCCATGATGTTCTCGACCGAGGACGGGTTGTCGAGTGGTGCAGCGGGCGTTGACGGGTTGAAACCCGACGCTGCACCCGACGGGTAAGGGAAAGAGCCGGCGGTGAGGTCGAAGGGGGTGGCCGATATGTTGCCGCTGGCGTCTACTAGGTGGGAATACAGTCGTTAGTTGCCAGTCTGCAAAGATTGGCGTGCATGAGGAAGCGGAGGAAAGGGGCAAAAAAGAAGAAAAAAGGGAAAAAAAAAAGGACGTGTAACACAGTAGGGAGAAAACATACCTTGAGTGAGGCCCTCGCGGAGCCGGCTAGCATGGGCACTCCAATTCTGCCCGTCACCATTGGCGCCCTGTCCATTGAGACCGCCGCCATGGGCCATGCCGGCCTGCTGCGGGTCGGGACTGCGGGCGTCAGCCGAGTGGCCGAGAAGCGGTGCCTGGATGAACCGGTTCCGCAGCCGGCTGGTGAGCGAATCGAGCAGGTCGGCGAACCGGATGCCGAGGTGCACATCGTCGACGACGCAGTTCCGGAGCGCCTGCACCGTCGAGTCCATCAAGTCGATGCTGAGCTTGACGTCGGAACGCGGGGCCCCGAGGGCGAACGTCTTGAGTAGGAACATGGCGCCGCTGATGATGCGGAAATACGTCCGCACCGGGGCGTGCTTGAGGTAGTCGCCGGGGAGGAGACCTTCGACCACGGTCCTCAACAGGTTGCGGCAGCCGTCGACGACCTCCCTGATGTATTCCTGGTCTGTCGCCCCGAACCCGCCCAGCTGGCCGAGGGGCAGTTTCCCGAAGTAGTTCTGCGTCTGCGGCGACAGTTGCGCCGTGCTGATGGGGACTTGCCCACCCTGACCAGCCTGACCAGCCTGTGCCGAGTTCCCAGCATTGCTTGCTGATCGTTCCACGACGGCCTGCAGGGACAGGGAATTGACGTAGATCCGGACGTATTCGTATTCGATGCTGAGGATGTGCCGGATGAAGGGTGGGAGGCGAAAGCGCAAGAACTCCCTGTGCCAGTCTTCGAGGATGGGACGGAAGTCCTGCAAGTGCTCGGTGTACTTGCCGCTCTGGATGATGTTTTTCGTGTGTTGCCTGGAGCGGAAGAGTTTTTCGTTCCCCAGGTGCATGGCATTGCTGATGCCGGCCCAGCAATGAATGATCTGATCGTCCAGCTCGAGATCGGGAATGTAGTTGAACGCATTCGACAGCGACGACGGGTTGGTGCCTGGCGTCGTGCCTTCTCCTCCACCCTCTCTACCCGTTCCTCCTCCCCCTCCTCCTCCCCCTGCTCCTCCCCCTCCTCCCCCAGAACCCCCCGGGCGCTTTCGCGTCACGGCCGGGTCACTCCGCCGCAGCGCCTCGGGAACCATGTTCGTCCAACCCAGACGGCCAGCCAGCTGGGTCAGATAGATCAGCAGCAGCCGCTTGATGCGATTCGCGCGCTGACGGTACGTCTCCTCCTCGTACTCCGGCCGCGAGATGGCACCGTCGCGCAGCAGCTCGTCGATGTCGTCGAAGACGCCCAGCTCGTAGGCCAGACCCATGGCGGTGCTGAGCAGCATCCAGCACATGCGGTCGCTCCTCCATGCGGGCTCCAGCCAGCTCTCGATACGCCGGCCACCTATTCCGGCGGACAGCCGCTGGTTTCCGTTCTCGTCGGTACTGGCGAGGTCGCTGCCGTCGTAGGACGGTAGCATCAGTTCGTCGATGGCCTCATCGGGCGGGAAGTGCAGCGCCCGTGGGTGCCACTCGGTCAGGATCATCAGGGATTCGATCGTGCCGAGCGTGCGCAGGCTGCCCTTTCGGAGGCCGCGCCAGGGGGCAGTGCTGCTGGTCTGCGGGTCTTCCATGGAAGAGGCGCCGGCTGCCATGGCCACGAAGCCGCCACCGAAGGCTTCCTGGCCCCAGAGACACCGCTCGATCATGCCTCGCAGGTAGTTCCAGAGCTGCTCATGGATGGCATGCGACCTGCAGTGGCCGCCGGTGCCAGACATGCGCCGGTAGCGTGACGCGATGGTGAGAAGGGTGACGGTCAGGATGGGTTCCTCGGTCAGGAGGGTGAGATGAGATGCCGGGGTGCGGAAGGTTGGTGGGGAAATAGGAGTCAAGGGAGAAAGGTATTCGTAGTAGCTGATCGTGTAAGTAAAAGAGAAGAAAAAAAAAAGAAAAGAAAAAGAAGGGAAGGGGGGGGGGGGGGTACAGTGGACGAAAGGGCCCCGGTGAACATGGGCGGTAAAAGCTTACTAGTCAATATACTCAATGGCCTCGTGAGCCGTGAACCAGCCGGCTCGGACGAAGCGAAACCTGTTCCATGCCTTGATGGCATCGACGTAGCCCGGTTGGGCCGAGAGGTCGGGCTTCGCCAGCTCGGGATCTATGGGTTGCGGTTCGGCTTTGTGAATCGGCTCTGCCGGGGGTGGTGGGGCCGGCTTCATGGTCGCCGTAGGGCTGACAACCATGGGCTGTGATTGCGCCAAAGAAGCCAGAGAGGCGGCGCTCTCGTGGCGTTTGTGTGAAGGTAGGGAACTAAAAATGTGCGACGCGAGTCAGCAACAAGTTCAAGTTGTGCGACAGCGACAGCAGGTGTGGGAAAGGGAAAGGGAAAGGGAAAGGGAAAGGAAATGGAACCCCCCGTCTGGTTTACTGACTTATCGGTGGCGGCCTTGTAGAGCAAGTCGAGAGCGTCATGAGGCCCGTAGACTCCTCGACTCAGGACGTTTCGAGCTTCTCTGTTCTCCACCTGGGCGTTGGGCTCATCTTCGAGGACAAAGTCCCCGGCGTGGCTTGCCGTCGAAGCAGTCGGGGTGACGCCCCTACCGATACTACCACGACCGCTGCTGCGAGAGGTACCAGGGCGCGGCAGGGGTTTATCGCGCGTGACGGTCCCGCCCGGCGTCAGCGGCACGTCGCGGTAGAGACGGCGGTCCACGGCGGCGGGGCTGGGTTCGGCGGTGTGGAGTCGCTTCCGGCCGTTGCGGATGGTGTACTCGTCGACCTCCGGCTCCTCAAAGGTATCGGTTCCGTCCTCGTTCTTGCGCTTGCGACGGGTGGCGCTGAAGTAGCAGTCCTTGCTCTCTCGTCGGCATCGCACGCAGGGCGGATCATGGGGGTTGTCGACGCTGCCGAGGTCGCAGCGGACTTTGCGACGCCGGCAGGGAATGCATGCTTGGTAGACGCGCTTATGCTGGGTGGGCGGCTGAGATGTCTGAGAGGAGACCGAGCCGGAAGCCCTGGGTGCGGTAGTTGTTGAAGCGGAGGAGGCTGCGGCGGGAGGGACTGTGGTAGAGGCCGAGGCTGCTGATGGACTTGTATTGGTACCCCCTTGGGCGCCATATGCTGTCATTTTTTCGGCCGGCGACGGGATAATGGCAATAGGGTGGGCGGGTAGCGGGTACGAACGGCGGGTAGCGGTGGCACTTTTGGGAATAAGGGACAAAAAGGGCGATTGGGAGAGTGGACTGTGGGTGGGTTGCGGCGGGTTACGGCGGGCCCAGCGCTCGCTCACTCGCGGTACTCGACTTGTGAGATGCTAGGATTCAGTCGTTTGTAGAACATGAGACGCGAGATAATTGATGCCCAACGTTCAATGGTCAATGGGTCGATTCGCAAATCGGCGTCGGCTGTTCGGGGCCTGTTTGCGGTGATGATTGGGAATCATTTGTTGAGTCTTGAGTGGACGCGAGTCGAGTCTGGGGGGTTCGATCGGTTTGCACCGGGTTTATGGAGGGGTTGGGTTCGGCCTCTTTTTTGTTGTTGGGGCGGGGAGGAAGGAATCCCGATAATAAGGGGCAGTATCATGTGATGAGGCTGTGTTTAGCGGGGCGCGGGGTTGCTTATTGCTTACCCACCTTCCTATTTGGACCCTACTATTACCTAAGCGGACTAGAATTACCTCCAGGACTTTCATTTTACAGATACACACGAAAAACCCATCTCTGTACCAGGATAAAGCTATAATAATAGAATAAACATTATCTACGTAAGACGATATTCATCAAAGCCAACGCAGTCATGATGTACGGGCAGTACGCATACGAAACACTAGCTCGGTCTTAGTGGACAGCTTATCAACACACCGCCAAGCAAAGCCTGGAATTTATTAGAGGTCACGCGTTCTTCTGATCGTCCGTTTGCCTTGCTTCACTCACGCCTTGCCCTGACTGGATTAGGCCAACGACCAACAGGGCTTGCGATGGTTTAATACCGGGAAACCACGTCACGCGTACCGAACACGGAGTAATACAGCATCATTGTCTACGAAAACGATATTTCAGGCTTCGGTCGACCAGTACCTATGAACGGCCAAAGACACCCCCCCCAATGTCCGTCTTCGCGCCGCACACCTGTGTAATCTGTTGCATTCCTCTTTTGCTCGCCAGTGGTTCCAGGCAGTAGACATGCGTCATTTACTTAGAGAAACGACAGGACACTGCCAAAGAGAAAAAGGAGGGGGGGGGAGGGGGAGCATCGCAACTAAAGCATCCAGTCTTGTCCAGGCCGCTATCTGTCTGTCCATATACTCTGTCTCTTCGAAAAGTCAATCGTCGTGCACAAGTCTACCATCTCTTTGCTTTTCGGCTTAAGAACTGTTGGTCTTCGTGGCTGCCTCCTTGGGCGGTTCGTTGGCCGTCTCGGCCTCCTTGGACGGCGCCACGTCCGCATTCATAGATACTTCCGGGCACTCGGTCGTCGTATTGCCGCCGACGCTATTCGGTTCCTCCTCCAGCATACCGTCCGCTTTCGCAGGTTGCGTGTCGTCGCCCGGATCGCTACCGGCAGCCGGCGATTCGCTCTGGGCGAGATTGAGTTGCGCTTCGCGCACGATCTTGTCCGCCTCGCTGACCTGACCGCTCTGCGCCGGTTTCTCCACTCCGAGCGCATTCTCCTTGTCCTTTTGCGTCTCGAGCAGCGCGGCCTTGTCGAACCGCACAGTCATGCAAGACAGGTTATCCGTGCTGAATCTGTTGAGCGCATGGTCGACCAGGAGTTTCGCCGCATCTGTCGCGTCTTCAACATCGCGGACAAGGTCAACCGCCTCCTGGTCAGAACAGACATCCCACAGCTGTAGATGATTAGCTAAACTGTCCACACGGGAGGATGGATGGGGAGGAGAATAAAAAAAAAAAAACTACAAAAAGAAAAGAAAGAGAGGACAGCAAAAGGCAGATAGATAATCACTCGCGTAGCTGGTGCTTGGGGAAATACTTACGCCATCACAGGCTATAATGATGAATTCATCCGTCTCCGGGTGAATCACAGTCTCAGTCGTGTAAGGATGACCCGTGACGAGGCCCTTGATATAAGCGTCGCCCAGAGCCCTCGTCACCGCCAGGACACCATTGACTCGGTTGTTGAGGATCAGGCCTCCCGCGTTGGCAATGCGCCTGCCTTCGTTTTCGTCGCTTCCCTTGTGATCATATGACAGCCGCAGCGCCTTGCCCGACCGGCAAAGTATGATGCGAGCGTCGCCCACATTGGCCGTGTAGAGGACACGCTGCCGGAAAGCCGAGCTCTTGAGTTTCGTATGTGCAGCCTCGCTGCCTGCGGCCGCTCCAAGCTCCCCACCAGCAGCACCCTCTCCGGTAGCAGCCTGGGTCTTCGCCGCGGCGGCAACGGCCGGGGCGATGGCCTGGGAACCCGTGGCAGACTTGTCGCTGGCAACGCGGTCCTCCCAGCGCAGGACGGCAATAGCAGCCGTACAGCCACTGTTCTTAAGCGGCAGCTTCTCTAACTGGGCATCGACGGTTGTGAAGGTTTGATCGAGGAGCTCGGGAATAGGCATGTTGGGATTCCTCCGAATAAGATCCTCGAGAATGAGGTGCAGCTTCTTGCCGCACCAGTCGGCCGCGAAGGTACCAGCATGACCGTCGAAGATTGCAAAGTAGCCATTGTCCGTCTCCACCATATTTAAATCCGAGGCGGGGGGTGAGGACGTCGCGCCGGTAGTTGTGGTCGAGGGGTCCTTGTCGTCGCAGTCGGCACGCGTTTCGGATTTGTTGCCCTCGACGGCAGGTGCAGGAGTGTGAAGAAAGTTGTACAGAAAAGCATGGGTATCCTCCATCGTCCGGCGGCATTTCTTGTTTCTATCTTCCCAAACACCGACACGGAAGGTGGAGCGAGGCCCGGGGAGGGACTCGCCGGCCGAGTTATTGTGTTGACCCTGAGGCACGGCGAGTGCCGGGTCTTGCTTGCCGAGCTTCTGGAGGGGACTTTGCGAGCTGTCCGAGTTGGTGCGACCGACCTGTCCAAAATTCAACGTGTTTTTCGCTGAAGCGATCAGGCTGCTGGCTCGGCTCTGGACGCCGCTGGCCCGCCGTTTTTTCTTGTCCGCGGAGCTGCCGGTGTCCTGACGTCCCGGAGGGCTTCCATTGCCGCTTCTCTTGTCACCGCTAGAGACTTGGTCGGATGCCTTGGAGGAGGAAGAGCCAGCGGCGTCGGGCGGCGAGGGGGAAGGCTTGGCGTCGGCGTCCTTAGACTCGCGGGAAGCCGTAGGGTTGGAGCCACCACCGAACATTCTGCTCAGCAAACCACTCCCGTGACTGGAGAGGCTGCGGCGCTTGCTGCCTGCCAGCTTCGTTGATCTCGGAAAGACGAGGGGGAAAGGGTTCTTGTTTTCGGTGGGCTCGGAACTAGAAATGGTTTGGGTTCCGGTAGGAAATCGAATGCGGGGCACCAGGATCGCGAATTTCGGTGTATGTCACCAGTGGCGGAGACACAGCGCGAATCGGAGTATTCGCGCCGAGACGTTTTCTTTTCTTTTTTTGTCCTCCGCTGTTCCTTCTTTTCTTAGGAGAATGTCCCAAAGTTGATCAAGGTTCAAAGTGCGAGCTGAATCTTGGTATCCTTTTTTGGTGGGAAACCCCAAGATGTCAGAGGATGTTTTCACCGTACAGTTGGACAGCTGTGATCAAGTATTCCACTATGGTGAAGCAACGTAGCGGTTAGTAGGGGTTGCGACTGTCCCGTGTAAGGTGCTAGCTACACGTAGCCCACGGGTATCTTAGATCGTATGGGCCCGAGGGTCTGCGAGGGGAAACGAAGGGACGGGACAGCAAGGTGAGAACGAGGTAGAGTAATGGGAAAGGAGGATTTCAGAGGTGGGGGGAAGAATAACGAGATGTGACAAGGATGGAAAAGTGGCACAGCCCCGGAGTCTCGGCGGCTAGCCGAGTGGTCCCCTTTAGAAGGGACTGAGGCAGCACTTCACGAGAAAATGATGACGAGGATGGAGGCGAGGGAAGAACAGGACGAATTGCAAAGAGGATAGAGAACGTACGGAAGATATCCGTATGACTGAATAAGGGATCCAAGTAGCAGGAAGCTGGGTGGCAATGACGATAGACCAGTCGCTTTTGGGCTCTTCGCTAAGTTCCCGCTGTCTTCACGAACATACCAACTAAGGTATCAAAAATAGGCATTCAGCAAGCAAGGTAAATATCTAATTATGGTGGCAGAAAGATGAAGAGAATCTGGGGAAGGATGGACAAGGTATTTGGGGCCTAATAGTGTGGGTGGTTACTAATAAAGTGCTCTGGGCAAGGGTCCATCAATAGTGACGTAGAGCGGAAAGAAAGCGGTCCGGAAATGAGTAGTGTGAGAAGCGGAGCTGCCCGTAGGCATTGTGCACCCGAGTGACGTCCTAAAAGCACCTGAAGGGCAAGGGCACGCAACTTACCTACATTGTCTCAAGTCAATGCAGCAACAAAGAACCTGGGGCAGATCCGTCACCTACCCAGTACAGGGCCAGGCCTGACTGTGTTCTATGATAGTATGTTCCATCAACCACTACCTAATAAGCTTACCAAGAGAGACCAAAGAACGAACGATGAACATTGATATTGAGCAACCTTCTTACAAATTAAATAATCTTAATCCTGGGAACAACACACTGGAATGGTGGCCCAGACTAGCGGATAGGAACCACTAACATTATTTTGCCTTGGTAAGGGGGACTCTGATGCTTCTCCGCGGAAATCGTCACATCTAAGGTAGCTACCTACCTAAGGTAGGTAAGGTACCTTACTGTAAACTTGTCAAGTAAACACATCTCTATGCCCAGCGTAACCGGCCCCAAGAGTAGCATCCTCCACATCATCCGACATGCCTGCATGGCTACAACAATGCAGGCAAACGCCAGCAGAAGTGCGTGCCTGACCTGTACACACAAAAGAATTTCTCCATAAACTCCAAAACGCCTTTGTTGGTGGTAGAAGACGCACAAATGATTCCCTGCCCCATGCCGCAACTTCCAAGTCATAGCTGGCTATCACGGCTCCCCTTTTATCGCCTGAGACTGTCTAGTCGGGCTTGAAGTTCATCGTCCGCCCCGCTGCTACCCCCCATGCCTCCATCGCCCCCGATGGCCTGCGCTACCTTCTGTTCTTGCACCGCATTCGATTGCACTCCGACGGGCGTGTCTCCGAGCTGTATCTGCTTCGTTAGCACCACTCGGGCTGTCGACGGACAAACCCCCATGAGGCCGGCAGGGTAGGGTCCCACGTACCGCTGAGTTCAGGTCAACGCCAATCTCCTCCAAGACTTGTTCCACAACCTCCTCGCTTTCTTCTTCCGCGCCCACATCCATGGCGTCGTCGATCGCATCGTCCATCATCTCTTGCCTTTGCTCCATCACGTCGTTCTCTCGCTCAAATTCCATAGCGATTCGCTGCAGGGCGGGGAGGTTCATCGACCGGTTCATGCTCCCCAAGGCTACCGTAGCTCCTTTCATTGCCTGCATCATTTGCTCGTTGGTGCGGTATGTCTTTCCGTGCGAACCATGTCAGTTCTTGTGGTCGTTGTCGGAAACGGATGGATGAAGGGGGGAAGCGAAAGGGGAAGATGCGCCGTACCTGCAATCGAAGAGAGATCTTCTGAAGCTGGCTTTTCATGGAATAAAACTTCTCGATATACCTAGTCGCGTCACGTACGTTAGCGCAACAATCGGGGAGGCTCCAGGAGAGGTGTGCCTACCTTCTAGTCCGAACGAGATCCTTGGCCTGGATTTTGCAGGCGCCCATTTGACCCTTTTGCGCACTCTGCTTGATCTGTCCGATCAATGTCTTTTCTTGCTTCTCCAGTTTCACACGCATCTGGTCAAGCTCCCTTATCGCCTTGTCCAGCATGCGCTGATTCTTCCGCAGACGCTCGGCCGGCGTCATGCGCTTGCCGAACATATACTCGAGGATCTATGCTACGGCATTAACTGGCTGCTGCATGAAATGAGGGGGAGGGTGGGCTGTGCTTGCGCAGGGGTGATGGGTCGCCTCGTACATTCATGGTGTTGATACCGGCACTGGGATTGCAGAGATGTAGATCGATAAACGTCTCGCGTGGTGCGCTGTCGCAGAAGGGAGGATTTTGAAGGCAAGTAAATCTCAGAAACTGTGATTAGAGGGAAGAAGCGAGACGAAAGAGGCTACCGCAAAGGATGCCGAGGGGCGGTAGAGTGTTCACAACAGCAAGCTGGATGATCAATGAAGCCTGCTTGGCCGAGAGCCGCCAACCTTGCTCTACGGATAGGATGGATGGGGTCATAATTCACAGGTACAAGGTCTAGGTACCTGACCTGGCCGATAGATAAGATAAGAAGGCTAACATGACTAAGCAGAATCAGGGTTGGATGAAGCGCAACCTAATTGAAGTTCTTCCGCGGCAAGATTCTGAAGCCGGAGCTGAGATTTTCTAGGTCCTCTTACTTCGCATGACATCTCCTAGAGAAGATGAAGTCTGCTGCTGTGCTGATGACTGGTGTCGCCGCGGGATATGTCCAAAATATGGGTTTGTTCAAGACTTCATATATGTTTCCAGGTCACCATAGATAGCACCCTGGCGCACGAAGTAACGAGCGTTCGAGAGGGTGCAATGATATATTCTATAGGGCTAATAAGTAGGCAACGATTTACCGCTTACATCCCAAATATTTTCATACAGTCACTAAGGTATGAGATTACTACAGAAAGGAAGGGACAGTAAAGGACGAGTCTCGCCATGTATTAAGCAGATTCCTAGGATATTACCATCCGACTCAACTACTGTTTATTTTACGGCATCTCACTGCCACCTCTGTAATTACCCCAACAGATTCTATGTCCCGAGTTGAAAACTGGGGTAAGTTGGTGGACATCCTCCGAGTACCTAAGTGTAAAGTGGATTTCTCGCCGCATCGATCAACTGCCTTGATATTATAGACTTCCCGCAAGAACTTCAGAAACTGTCCATCTGATGGCGAGCTCATGCCGCTTTTCCGCATAACAGCGTGCAGAACTTCATAAGGGACAGATGGAAGGTAGCTATTATCCCCTGAGGTAAGTGGAACTTGGATGTTGTTTTTTAGTGGCCACTTCGGCGCTCGTAATCCACACCACCCGAAGAACAGGTACGAAGTTATAGCTACAATCAGTACGGATTATTAAGCAGTTGATGTGGCTTCATGTGGTAAGCCAATCAGAGTGTTCGTCATGATGAGGGGAGATAATTTGCCGCTCAGACCAGCATCATGCAAGTGGCACCAGGTCGTGGCAAGACGCGGCAGACAAAAACTATTATTCTCCCTCGAACATCAATTTCGACGTCACCTACTCCGTACTCGCGTCCTTCGACCATGCGGACTACCACCACACACCAACCACGACGATGAGCCAGGATTACTTCTCCGGAAAAGGCAAGGCTCCTATGAGCCAGGAGGCTCAGCCCGACAATGAAGATGCAGCTGCGGGGAGTCCGACGCCGACTGTCCCAGCTGACGGCCCACCGCAATTCGTGACCGTCGGCTCCGGTTCCACCTCTGTCCACGCTGCCCAACTTCAAGCGATGCTCGATAGAGACTCGGGTTACGGCGGTAGTATCGACGGAGGTGATGGCCACGTCTCGACTCTCGGTCGCGACCATGCAACGCAACCCGACGTCGATAGGCGGTACCAGGCCGGCGCCATCCACCAACTATGGTACAACCAGCACCGTTCGACCCTTGGCCGTTCTATCACCAAGGTTGTCGAACTTTTGAAACACCTGCAGCAGATGAACGCGCAATGGCCGGCACATTACCCATCGGTGCAACGAACGGATAATACACCAACCCCCGGGTCGTCTTCACGCCCCACCTTCCCTCATTCTTTCTCGACAACGGGCAACAAATCTCAGTCCCGTCCCGCCTCGCCTGTGCCCCCTCCCGCTCTTCGAAGAGCTATGACAGCAGCAGCAGATTCGCACGATGAAGCGGAATCGAGCAGGGCTTCGGAAAACAGACCGCCCGAGGAACCGAGGCTAGTCACACCTCAGATCGCCCAAGACTTCTCCGTCTTGAAGCTCGATCTCAAACTGGGATCTCTATACCAAGCGGAACTCGTGCACTCGCTCGAAAAGACTTCTATCGCTTCCCTCCTCGACGGTCAGATTAGCTCCAGCATTCGGCACCTCATGAGTCTCCGAGAACGAATCGAAGATACATCCAGCAAGGTCCTCATCACCGGCGACCTGAACGCAGGCAAGTCGACCTTTTGCAATGCCCTTCTGCGACGAAAAGTTCTTCCGGAAGACGAGCAGCCTTGTACGGCCATTTTTTGCGAGGTATTGGACGCAAGGGAAAATGGCGGAATCGAAGAAGTGCATGCGGTGCATAAAGATGCAGTCTATAATCGACATGACGAGACGACATACGACGTGTTCAAACTATCAGAGCTGGAAACGATTGTGGTCGATAATGCGACATATACTTTGTGCAAGGTCTACGTGAAGGATGTGCGGACCATCGACGAATCGCTCCTCAACAACGGGGTGGTGGACATCGCCCTCATCGATGCCCCGGGCCTCAACTCAGACACAACCAAGACCACGGCTGTTTTTGCGAGGCAAGAAGAGATTGACGTGGTCGTGTTTGTGGTTTCGGCCGCTAACCATTTCACCATGACGGCCAAGGAATTCATTTGGGCGGCAGCAAAAGAGAAGGCATACCTCTTTATTGTTGTGAACAGCTTTGATGCCATCCGAGATAAGGGCAGGTGCAAGAAGATGATCCTCGAGCAGGTGAATGGGTTGAGCCCACGCACCTTCAAGGAGTCTGCGGAACTTGTTCACTTTGTTTCGAGCAATGCCGTTCCGGCGGCTCCGGGCGGGGCGCCTGGTGGCAACGGAAGCTCAAGCGGCGGCGGTGGTGGTGGGGATGACGACGACCCAGGCCACGATCCCAAAGGCAAAGGCAAAGATGTCGATAAAGTCCGAGATTTCGAGAACTTGGAACAATCGCTTCGGAGGTTCGTCCTAGAGAAGAGAGCAAAGTCGAAGTTGGCACCGGCCAAGACGTACCTGCTCAACATACTCAACGATGTCCATACCCTGGCAACAGTCAACGCCGATGTTGCCCAGGGAGAGCTTGATCGGGTGACGCGAGAACTCCAGGAGATCGAACCGCAGCTCGCATCGAGCACGAAGGCAAGGTCACAGACGGGAGAAGAGCTTGACCAAACGATCGAGGCGACTTGCAAGGACGTTTACGACTACACGAGGACAACGCTGAATTCGGCCATCACTCGCGTCGGGGACAGCAACCACGGTGTACAGTACCGCGGCTTGTTCGCCGCATTCGATTACGCCGAAGAGTTAAAGGAGGCCATGATGGCACACATTTCCGAGTCGGTAGCTGGATGCGAGGAGCACGCGAGGATGAAGACTGTCGCTGGCGTCAACGTTATCAAGCAGTTGGGCATCCTGCATGTTGGCAACGATTTCCAGAATCTTACTTTCCGACCTGACGTTATGTTCAAGAGAAAGCGGGATTCCCTTGCCAGGCAGGTCGAGATCCCCACGGAAGTCTGGGACTTTGTGGATTGGTCCACCATCTTGCAGCAACAGGAGAAGGTCGCTGGTACGGGCATGGCGCTTACCCTGGCCGGTGCCATTTTGCCTCGTGCTGTTGGCCTGGATACGGGCTGGATTAGCCATGCTTTCAACGCCGCCAAAATCATGGGCAACGACAACCTACGCCGGCTTCTCCTCCCTGGCATCTTTGCTGCTGGTAAGCGAATGCTCGGCCCTTTTTTTCTGCACCTTTTTTTCTTTCCCTTTTCTTTCCTCTCTCTAACCAATGATTTCTTCTAGCAATCGCGGCCGGCGCCTATGTGATCAGCCAGATCCCCAACTCTCTACCTCATCGTCTATCGAATAAAATCTCCATGCAACTGGCGTCCACCGATTACGTGCACGAGAACTCCACACGTATCTCAGGTTCGGTCCGCAAGGTTCTCCGCATCCCGGCCGACAACCTCCGCTCTGGACTGGAGCGGAGCGTCAAGGACCTAGGGGAGAGGCGCGAGAAGACGGTCAAGGTGCGGGGGGAGAGCGAGGTGGCTCTCAAATATTTCGGCAACTTGGTACGGAAGAGCGCGGAACAGCGGGCACAAGTCGACCGTGTGGACTTGGATTCGCCGCCTCCCGATGCCGCGGCTGCACTACAGGCCCATTGAGTGTTTCGCTCGAGTTAGAGCAGAGGAAAATCCAAAAGTAGGTCGGAGAGGTATGTATAATGGGAATGACTTGTTTTTTTATATTTTTGTCTTTTTTTCTTTTACTCAACACAGTCACGAATTGGCATTGTGGGCATGGCGTAAACGGTACAGGCCTATTCTTTGCGAGACAGCAGACAAAACCGTCCCCTGTCTCACCCTCACCTTGTTACCTTTGCACCATGGAATGCCTAGGTGTAATAAACCTGCGATTCTTGTTCCTTGGAGGCGTTCATTCCCCTCCCCTCTCCAGTTGGTGTAGTTATTTTTTCTTCAGTTGGTAGGGCAGTCCTTAGGATGGACATTCGCTACCTAGAGAATATTACTTTTTGCAATCAGCAAATCGTCTTGGCGTGCTATCTGGCGATTTCGTATTGGTGTTGTTTATACAATGAATATATGCCAGGAATCTTCAGCAGCGGCAGAAGTTGGGTAGGGAATTAGTTGACGATAAACGCATCTTGGCCGATCAACCTAGGTTGGATATTAATTAGGGACAGGCAGCAGGGGGAAAAGAAGGGAGCTGAAGATGGGAAGACCGAACAGGTTCTTAGTATGATGCTCTTCTTGCTTCTTCCTCGTGGCGCATGTTCTGTGATCCCGTGAAGCCTGAGAAGGGAGATCTACGAAGCATTACTCCGTGCTTCTTACCGTTCTACGGTTTCCAGAAGTTCCAGAAAAGATAATGTAAAAGGTACCTACCTACCTACCTATCTGTACCGTCGTAGGCATAGATGTTGTACATATTCGTACAACGTAATTTCACTTTGGCTCGGGATGAGCTGTTTCAAGCGAGTTGATACACAGTGAAAGATGCATGCCAAGACCTTAGACCAGGGCTGGAGGCCCAGGAGTTAGTTGGATCACACTCGATTCCTGTGCATCTTTGCATTTTGTATCCGTGTTGTCCTTCCTATACCACGAATGTAGGCCGGCAGTGGTATGAAAATCTGTCTGTAGAGACAAATGATTAGGGTAATGAGCTTCTTCTGTCGCTGCTTCACTTTCTTGGGCAAGCGAATGACCAGTCCAGCGGGAAGCAATTAATATGCTGCGGTATCATGTAAGTAGGTAATATGGGAATTGCATTCAGGGGCAACGAATTAATATCCGAAGTACTAAGTACTCCGTACCTTCGGTAAGGTACCTTACCTTGTGCAAAGAAAAGTAATCCTACCTTGGTTTAGTGTAAGGACGGTTGTTGCATTGGTGGAGTTTCACCCCTGGCAAAGGAAGAAGGAAATACCAGGAAGAGTTGCGAGGCCCAAGCTCCCCCGAGAATCATTAGGTACCTGATCCATACGCCGTATCTGTACATACATGTGCAATGGAAATTCTAGCGCCAATTGACGCGTGATATTGTCCTTTGGCCCCTTCTAATAAGTTACCATTTCGATTCGGCTCTTTGGGTCTGGTGCTGGACAATGTACTTCGTACTCTCAGGTGCCTTCCATCCTAATCTCCTATCTCTCCTCAAATGTGACCATACTTTTTTTCCTCTTCGCCTGTCGCCCAACTTTTGACCCTACCTGTCTGTCCTTGACTGTACTCTCACCCCTCGTTCAGGGTCAACGTCGAGCAACTACCAGCACCGGTCGTGACGGTCCTTCGCTTCGTTTTGTCTTTACACATTGTACTTGTCTCATAAACACACTCCCTCTTTTCTTCTTCTTCCCTCGCTTCTTGTCAGCCAACTTTCTATCCCCCCTAATCTTCCTACCCAATTCAATTCCACTCGACGCGCCGCAACATTCCACGCCTCAACCCTCGGTTCGTCCCTCAACGACAACCCATCTTCATCGTCCTCTTCGCCGCCTCACTTCTCGACGCAGCACTGCAAATGCCCTCCTCGTGAAAAGCTACAGCTGGCTTTCTCGCCCATCCGACGCCTGACATTGATACATGCGAATTGCTTGCATCCTCTTCCGGCTACCCCACATGCCGTCGTACTGCCCTCGCCCCTGAACATCACAACTTCTCACGACCAACGACTGTCGACTGTTCATCCATCGACGCACTCCAGCGACGGGGCTAATTACTGAGGGTTCTGCGCTGGTTTTCCTGCTACTATTCGTAGGCGCCGAACCAGGCACATCAGAATGTCCCTGAATGGTCTGGACGACCCCAAGGTCAGGGAGGCCCATGAAGCGGCTGCTGCTGAACCAGGAGGATGGTATGCCGTACATCCCTCCCCCGAAAATTCCCTGTTGTGTACCTCGGATTGGAAGAGCCCCAAGTCGGCGCCATGGCTTCGAGTCGTACCTCTGTTCGACGCGTTTCTTGGCGTTTCTTCTTCTTCCTTTTTTTCTTTCGCTCTTTTCTTTCTTTTCAATTGAATCCAGTTTGGTGGGCGATTCCGACTGATTGGATACAGGTTCCTTCTCAAGTATGCCAGCCGCGATGAAGTCGATCTGCTGGCCCGTGGCAACGGCGGCATCGTCGAGATGCGAAACAACATCGCCCAGTACGAGGAGAAATCCCCCTTGTTCGGTTTTCTCAGGTACCGCCGCCGCAACGTCATCATCAAATACCTTCCCGAGGACTGTTCGCGGCTGATCCAGGGTAAGTTGAATCTCCCCTGCCCTCACGTGCGAACAGTGCCACGATTGTCCACGCTTCGCGTATTGGATATCGAAGGCGCTGTGGCGCGAAAAGGGGCATCCCGGATCAACAAAAATATTTGACTAATCGAACCGGCTTTGTACAGCCCGCGTAACCGTCCATTTCAACGCCGTATGCGAAAAGTTCACGCCGTATAACACCCTTTTCTCCATTTCGACGGCCAAGGAGCTCAAAGATACGAAACTGTCGGCGGCCTGTTCTCTACATGCCGCCTCTGGTTCAACGTCGTCTTCGACGAGCTCCCTCCGCGGGAGGAGGCTGATGGAAATTGCCGAAGAAGAAGAGGAGGAGCAGCGATCCAACAAGAGGAAATCAGCGGTACCCGAAGATGACATGGAACACGAGGATGATGCACCTGCCGTACCGTCAGATACACCACCACAGTCCCCCGAGCCTCCAGTAACCCTGAACTCGGAACTGGCTGCGTCCCCCGAGGAACGGAGGTTCTCGCCCTCTTCCGACCCGCCTGATTTCGTCGGGGCTGCACGGCCAATTTCGCCCACCCAATCCATAGATAACGGCAGGCCCATGTCGTCTCAAACTGCCCGTCCCGAGCTCTATGGTTATTCCAACTACACCTACGGTAAACCGAAAGTGAAGCTGGCCCCGCGACCTTCGATCGACGTGAGTGGCCGACCGAAAACCGCTGGGAACTTCAGACCCGTCTCGCAGATGCCGGCCGGTTTCAAGCTGTACTCCAAGGGTTCCAAGAGACAGAAATCGCGTGACGAGGACGTTCTGGAAGCTCCACAGGACGACCTTAGTTCGCATGTTGCATTTGGTCCTTCCTCCAATGGTCCCTCCGACTCCCACTCCATTTCCCTCGGCGAAGACCTGACAAAACTGCACACCGATTCCATCCGCCCTGCAACCAGCTCCGGCGCTTCCGCCAAGTCTCCCACGATGTCCAGTTTCCCCGGCTCTGCCAGACCGACGATGACGCCTGAGAAGGCGAGACTGATGAAGGCCATGCAGTTGCGGGAGAAGAAAAAAATGATGATGAGCACGCAGCCTGTAGAGACTACCGGTTCACCCGATGCTCCGCCGGGAAATACTGAGGACGGCAACTTCGACGGCGCCGGCAACGACGATGCACGGCCAGCAGAGCAATTTGGCACCACCGTCGACAATGGACTCGAACCGCTTTCGGAAGAAGATGAGCGACGCCTGTCCATGGCTAAGCTGGACTCTGGCGTCGTAGCGGACGTGTTCTCGACATCGCTTCCCACCGATCCATCCGAATCCACGCGCAGCGATTCGGGCCCCGCATCCCCGCTCATTCTATCCTCGGAGCCGGACCAGTCGACTAAGGCATCGTCGCTATCCGAATCGACAGACGAGACGGTCCAAGAAACCCAACCGAGAAAGGAACTCGACGGAATCGAGGACGCAAATCCGAATACTGGGGAAGACCAGACGACTCCGGCCCTGTCAGATACCGCAGTGGTGATCATGAACGAAGACGAATCCCCCAATGCACAGCAGACTGAGGAGAAACAAGGGGCGACCGATGACCGGGACTCGGAGGAGAAGGCCGGTGCTTCTGAGCCAGTCCAAGACGAGCCCTCCAAGGAAGTTGAGGCGCCACAACAAGGATCTGACAACGGCACGACTGAAATATCGTTGACCCATCTCACTCCTGAGCTCCCCAGCGATGCAGCCGTGACACCAGCCGTGGCCCTGTCAGGCAGCTCAGCCGATGAAGAGAACAAGACCGAAGAAGCTGTTTCGAACCAAGTTGATAGCACGCCAGACTCGCCACAGCGGGCATCCAAGTTTGCGATTCCCAAATCCAAGTTCTCGACGCACGATTCCAACAACTCGACAGCGCCAACTTTCGATCTGCGTATGACGGCACCCAACGCGGTGGAAGACGACGCGCCGGGAGCAGCATCCAGCCTTGTCATCGACGCTGACACGGGCGAAGAAGCAGTTCTCTCAAAGCCCTCGAAGCACAAAGTCGCGGTGGAGCCAATCCGTACCGACCTTGCTGCGACAAACAGACGGCCGATTTCACGCCTCTCCGATGATGAGGACCTTATGAACGAGCTTCAATCGGCGCCCGTGGAGCAAGCGCAACCCCTACTTGTCTCAAAGTCGCCTGTCACGCCGGTCTTTCCCACCAGACAAGCTGTGGAGGGTGTTGGTGGCATGCAGAGTGGCAAGGAGGCCGCCCCTCGAACCGTTGTCCGGACCATCTCGAATCCCGTTCGGGGCAGTTTTCTCGCGCCAACGGATGTATCCCAGAGCTCTGCGCGGTCGGTGTCTTCAGGTGCCGCATACCTACACAAGATCACGCAGCAGCAGACATCCAGCCACCAAAAGAATCTCGCCAAGAGCGGCAAGCTTGGCTCCAACATCTCGCAACGAATCAAGGCCCTGGAGAAGCTCTCCAGCTCCTCTGACAAGGATGCGTCACCACGAGGCGGCGTGCCGTCGTCGACATTTTTCGCCGTGCGTAAAACGAGTACGCGAGACCCATCACGCTCGCCTTCGCTGGTGGACCGCGCCAGTTCGTTGACCCGCGGAAGCCCCACGCGCTCGGTCATTTCCGAGTCACGGGATGGTTCTCCGGAACTCAGGGTCCCGCGGGAGAGGTCCGGATCGGTTGCCAGCCGGCTGTCAATGTTTGAAGTGCCGTTGGTGCCACCCGCTCATACGATGCCACGAGGCCAGCCGGAATCCGTCTCGGTGACGGCCCGGATTATTCGAGACAGCAGCCAAGTCGGAAAGGCGGCTCCGCCGCCCAAGGACCCGTCGGAGTTTAGCCGTCTGGACTTGAAGGTGTCCCCCCTTGAGGTGAACCATCAGAAGGCTACGCCGCCAGGGCTAGCTCCTGCCTTTGACGCAGTCGAGGCGTCGCCGTCCAGGGAAACGATCCGCGAGAGGAGGATGTCCAAGGAGAAGCGCCGGTCGCAGTCGATGGATCCCGCCGGTGGCGACAGCGACGTCAAGTCGCGGCGTTCATCGCTGAGTGTCGTCCGGGGTTTTATCAAAGACCGGCGCAAGAGCCTGACTTCGGCCTCGACAGACGTCTTGGCGGCGCCGGGCCTTGCAAGCCCGGCCCAATCGCCCTCGCGCCCTTCTTCGACGAACCACAGCAACAGCAGCTTCCCTCGGCGACTTTCCATCAGCAGCCGGCGATCCTCGGTCAGCCGGGACGGCGGGACTCCCGCCATGTCGCCGTCGATGTTTACGGAAGGGAGCGCTTCGGGCGACGACAGCAAGTCCACGAACAGCGACAAGAAGAAGGGTAGGGCTGGACGGTTCATGCGTCGGCTTTCTTCCTCGTTTGCGTCGAGCCGGAATAAGAATCTCGCTCCGACGACCATCTCGCCGACGGTGCATGAGGAGGACCTCCCCGAGGTGGCGGCGACGAATCCGCGATCAAACCAGCAGCAGCAGCAAGCCCAGCCTCAGCAGCCGTCGGTCGTGTCGTACATGGGTGACGTGAACGTGCAGTTCCCCGATAACCTGCTGTGGAAGCGGCGCGCTATGTGTCTGGACTCGCAAGGGTTCTTGATCCTGAGCGCGTCGACGGCGACGGCTCCTTCCCGGGACAAGTTGGCGGGAGCCGGGGTGAAGCGGTATCATCTCAGCGAGTTCCGTAATCCGTACACGCCGGACGTGGAGGTGCAGGAGCTGCCGAACAGTGTTGTGCTCGATTTCCTGGAGGGCTCTGGATTGCAGATTGCCTGTGAGGACCGGGCGGGCCAGATGAACGTCTTGCATAGTAAGTACATTGATTGAGAGGGGAGAGAGGGGAAAGAGAGAAAGACAGCGATGAAGACCTTGGTGGGGGGGAGTTCTTCTTTGTCTTCTTTTTTTCTTCTTCTTTTTCTTAACGGGCTCAACGAGTGCTAACCTGAATCTCCCTAGTTCTCCAAGAGGCGCATCAGAACCACACATCGTTTGGTCAGTGATCCGGATACCGATTCTTGAGCCCGACTCCGAGGGTATTCGCACGGGTCGACGCAATCACCGCCCTCCGACCATCCTATTCTAAAGGCCCTTCTTGTCTCTCGTTTCCTCTCTAACCCATCCCCAAACCCTCATATCTTACCGATTTTCTCTTTGGCTGGGATTGGAAGACAGCATGGCTATGCGCGATATAGCCGCCTTCTTTTCTTTCTCTTTTCTTTGTCTATTAAATAACCACCACCATGGTACGACTATTTGATGCCGTTCCATGACACGCCGGATTTCGTTTTATTCTATATTTTACTTTTTAGTCTTACCTTTTATAGTGCTCTTCTAGAAGAGGGACCTTCGGCTTGGTCGTCGCATTGCGGCTTTGTCAAAACTGAGCTTCTTTACCAAACATGGTACTTCGCCGGTAGACTCGGATGTTTATTTTATTTATATTTTCTTTCTCGTTGGGGACTCATTTCGTTCTGGAAAACGATACCACCGCTGCAGAAAAAAGAGGGAGGTTTCGGGGGATCATTGGGTCAGGCTTAGCTTGACTGACAAGTCAGAAGTTGTCCAAGCAAGGAATATGTATTGGTTAAAGAGAGCGCTCCCCTACGGTCGTCATCCGTCGTTGGATTTCTTTAGGCGTATCCGCAAGCCAAAAAGACAAAGCTGGGCATAAGAAAAGAAGTTGGTTTCGGTGTGAAGAAGTAAATAGCGGGGGTGGTGATATTTATATGCCTAATCAACACTTCTTGGGAGCTTGTTACAGTCACACTCCTCTGTTCCGGATGCGGTGATGTTTTACGAAGGACTCCGTCCGTATGATCGTACCTCGCTGGTCGCTGTCGCTGTCAGGGCTGGGCGCCAAGATGTTAGAGGCCTTGGCATAGGTTGTTGATGGCGTGAGTGCCCAATCACATTTCGCCCTGGAGCTCAACAGCTGGAGGACAAGCTTTTGCCAATGCTGCCCAGACTTTGGGGGTCGTCGCCGCACAAACGTCAACTTCCTCCCTGGTTGGTAAGGGAATTAGACGACATATACCCGGATACCTACCCGGGTTTGGCTGGTTATAGGTCAGAGCCCGATGGACTGGTCAGATGTCCGAAGTCTTAGAACATTATGTTGACAGCGATATCTCTGTCCTGGCTCTGGTTAGTGCAAAATTCTCTGTTCGAGCTCTGACCTATACCCACCCCTACCAGGGTAGGTAGGTAGGACAATGTCTATTTCCACGTGCAGATGGTGGCCGCCCAGGGGAAATTCATCAGTTAAAGGCAATTCAGGTCCGGGCGCTTGCCGGCAAACGGCTTCTTGGCCTGTTATCTGTCCTTGGTTGGTGATCAAACTCCCACTGGGGGTGACTCGTGAGTGGTTCCTTTAGGCTTTTCGTGCTTGGTCCCATCGGAATCCTCCTTATAGCGCCGGTATTCGTTCCGACCAAAGAGAGCATCAACTCTACTCCGTAAGAGTACGGTAAGGTAAGGTAAGTCTAAGGTAAGTACTTGGTACCTAAGTACATGAGACCTAAGGTACTCAACCCCAAGTAATCCGTACCTATACTTACTCGCTCCGGAGTAGGAATATGGGTGAAGTCATCGGCACGATATCCGAGAAAAGGATAAGGCAGGTAGAAACGAGAATCCCCCTAATCCAAGCCCCACGCCTTACAGCTCCAAGGAAGGCGTGACTCGTTAATATAGGGTATGTACTCGGTATTCCTCCGATATCCTCTGGTCTTTGGGTAGCCCCTGCTTAAGGTAAGGTAGTCGGAGTAAACGGGAAAGAAATACAAGAGTACGCGAATTATGATATTCGCCTCCCCCAGCTCGGAACATTTCTTCACTCCTCTCTGACGCTCTTCCGTCATCCTTTTTCCTTGTCGTGTCCCACACAACGGCCTATGTTGGACTTGGGGTGATATCGATTGAGCTATCTTGTCTCTTTTTTGCTGGCGTCGACCTTATGAGACATCGTGATATGTTTGTCTCGACTTGGCTACCCGAGTTTAACGTCGGTGTTTATCGAATCATACCCATTGCATCAAACAACGGCAACCATTGCGTTTTCGTTGCGGGATGAACTCGTCTTGTTTTCTTGTCTTACAGATATCGGTGAAGCACAGCAACTTAGTCGATCTGGGATTCAGGAGACCTGTTTCTCCCCTCTTAGGGGTCCTCTGTTGAAGTACCAGCCCGGGGAATCCCCTTCAATTTCGACGAGACGAGCCAGCCAGCATAGCCGACGACATCTTGGATTCTGGGGGAACTTGGCCTGAGATCAGGAAAAAAGAAAAAAGAAGAAAGAAAGAAAGAAAGAAAAACCGGAAACCGACCCTTCTAACTCGTCATCTCAGTCTCTTTACTCACCGCAATGGCGTGGGAACACCTGTCTATCACTAGGCCCCATTTGGTCTACCTTATCCTCGGCGGCTTCACCTCCCTCTTCATGCTTTGCTCCACGATAATAAAGGAACGCATGTATATTGGTGAGGCCACCGTCGCTACCATTTGCGGCATTATTTTCGGACCTTATGCTGCCAACCTCATCAACCCGGGCTCCTGGGGGAACGTCGACCTTGTTACCCTGGAATTCTCGCGCATCGTCCTCGTTGTCCAATGCTTCGCCATAGGGGTCGAACTGCCCAAATATTACATGGAACGTCACTGGAAGTCCGTTATATTCCTGCTGCTACCCGTCATGACCTATGGCTGGCTTATCGTCAGTCTCTTTATTTGGTGGCTGATCCCCCCTCTGGACTGGCTCGGGAGCCTTGTTGTCGCCGCCTGTGTCACCGCCACCGACCCCGTCCTCGCGTCTTCCGTCGTCGGCAAGGGGAAGTTTGCCAGGAGAGTACCCAAGCATCTACGCGACCTCCTGTCCGCCGAATCCGGCTGCAACGACGGCATGGCTTTTCCCTTTGTCTACCTAGCCGTCTACATCCTACAGGCACACATGGATGCACGCGAGACCGTCTTCCACTGGTTCGTCTATACCATCTTGTACGAGTGCATCTTCGGAGCCATCTTTGGCTTCGTTGTCGGCTACCTTGCCCGCCACGCCATCAAGTTCTCCGAATCCCGCGACCTCATTGACCGCGAGAGCTTTCTCGTCTTCTACTTCGTCCTGGCTCTCTTCTGCGCCGGTGCCGGGAGCCTGCTCGGTATGGATGACCTACTGATTGGCTTTGCCGCCGGCGTCGGCTTCTCCAACGACGGCTGGTTCTACGAAAAGACGGAAGAATCCCACGTGTCCAACGTCATCGACTTGCTCATCAACTTGACTTACTTCGTCTATCTCGGGACCATCATCCCCTGGCGCCAGTACAACGATGTCGCCCGGGGACTCGCCGCCTGGCGCCTGGTCGTCCTCGCCATTCTAGTAATCCTCTTCCGCCGCCTCCCCATCATGATGGCCCTGAAACAGTTTATACCCGACGTGAAGACCTGGCGAGAGGCTATGTTCGCCGGCCATTTCGGTCCCATCGGCGTCGGCGCCATCTTCATCGCCATCCTTGCCCGTGCCGAGCTCGCCTACGAGACTGCCGTCCCCCTCTCCGATAGACCCCCGCAGGACATTGAGCATTACACCCTCGTCTCGCTCATCTGGCCCATCGTCACCTTTATCGTCATCTCATCTATCATCGTCCACGGCTCGTCCATCGCCGTTTTCACCCTGGGCAAGCGCATCAACACCCTTAACCTGACCATGTCGTACACCACATCTCCGGACGAGGGTCCCTCGTGGATGAGCCGCCTGCCCCGCATCTCGTCGCAGTCGAAATCGCAGTCGAAATCGCAGCCGCCGCCTTCCACCTCCACATTGCAGGAGGACCTCGACATCCCCGATTTGCCTCCGGGAACGCTGCCTCCCATCGGCTTGCCGAGACATTTCCTTCGACGACAGGTCGAGGCCGAGGGTCCAGAAGAGAGCGCTCGGACACGGTCACAGTCACCCTGGGGAAGACGGCGGTCTCGACATCCAGATGCCGGACCCGGCGGTCCTATCTCCCCATCTGCCGTTTTCCCGACGCATAGGGATGGAGACGCAGCTATACCGACTGACGACGGAGGAGAGCCCTCTACTCCTGGCGCCGCCTCCTCCGGGAGGGCAGAGATAATTCCAAGAGAGGATGCCGTCGAGCGGCTGTCCGAGATGACGCCGGTAAGTCCGACACCGACGGAGCCCTCACAGCACATACAGGTCTACCAGGAAGGTAGAGGAGGCATTTTCGTCGAAAACGAAGAAGGAGATGTCCTCGCCCTCGAACAAGTACCGGGACATGATGGAGATCATCACGTTCATGATAACCTGAGAGGCGGCGCCATCTTGACTGCAGCTGTCCAGGACAAACCGGAACCAGGGCTATCTCGTTGGCAGTCGCTCAAGAGGGGGTTTAGCAATGTCTGTACGCAAGAGAGAGAGAAGCGCAGGCTCAAAGATGCCGCCGAGAGGAAACACAAGCCGGCGAGAGCTTTTCAGTTTGGAAATACGGTGGGCTATCAATTTCTTCTCACTAATTCACATGCGATGAAAGGTGATGAACGACATGACTGACATTCTCTTCACAGATTGTTATTGAAGATGAGGCAGGGGAGGTTCTTAAGACGTACGAACTGCAGCCGCCGGAAGAGAAGCAAGGTCCCGATCTGATAGGACAATGTCGGAAGTATCTAGGTATCGGAGGACCATCTACTCGACTGCCGAGGCAGCAAGAGTCAACAGCCGAATCCAGTGCGGCGGTCAAGCGCACAGCCAGCAGGACGGGATGGTTCCACGGAAGCGGCGATGCAAAAAACGACGATGGTCAGAAGGAGAAGAAGAAGACGGCCGACGGGCAGAATACGGACAATAAGCATGTCCGGTTCACGATTGGCCAGACCGGGAAACGCATGACAGAAAGGGATTTCATCCTCGAGGTGCAGAAGCTGGACCCCAAGACTCGGCGCGAGGTAGTGGCGCAGTCCTCGGCGTCTCAGCCCGTCAAGGCCATCGCGAGTCGGGATCTGTCTGAGCTAGTCGCGAATAGTACACCGTCGCCAAAGCTGCATGCAGCAAAACGGCCACTACAGGAAATGCGAGAAGGGTCAGACGGGACACAGAACGAGTCGCAGGATCAGAAGGAAACCCGTAGGAAGGGGAAACAGCGTGATACACCTGCTAGACCGTTTACCGGACCCAGCGCCGACAACGCCGATAACACGGAAGAGACATCGGTGGAGAGAAGACGTAGGGAAGCGGCGATAGGGATAACTACCTCCGGAGATGGGGATGGAGACGAAGAAGGGGAGGAGGGTGAGGCGTCGACAGGATCCCACGCCAGGAGGGAAATTCGATTCGCCGATGACCTGGAGCAAGGGAATGGTCATCAGAACGGACGGGGAGCGATGTGATGGCAATTGGATCAGGCGGTTTGTATAGATTGATGTGGTTTTGTTCAGCTGCATGGCGCTTGAAGCCTCGGTCTTTAATTAATACTATTTATTTATTTTTCTTTTTCCTTGGGCACTGTCCTCCGACGGTTGGTGCGCTACTGAGACGATATTCTCCCTTACTCCCGGGCTGGAGGCCGGGGAGTCTATTGACACCCCTTTCGGGAAGACAAAGGAGCGCCGTGCTACAGGACATCCACCTACAACATAAACACAACGTCGATAGACATGTTTATATATGTCAGATCCAACCCCATCAGGCCTCCATGGTGGTATGTAACGTAAAGTCAGCCTTTCGGAGAGGCGCGATCGACCGAAAACCAATACGAACGACATCTCCATCGTCCAACAGCTTGTTTTCCCCCTATCCTGCTTCAGTCCTCGCCTCAGCACCTTGTTATCTATTCCGAGTCTGGTCCCCTAGTTATCATCCCTGGAAGAGGCGATATTTTCTCACGCTTTTTTTTTTCTTTTTTTTCTTTTTTTTCTTTTTTTTTTTTTTTTTGGTTTCACTCGTCAGAGACGAAGAAGAGTGGCCAAGGGCTGCCTACCCCTCGCCGGCGGTTTACTGTCAACCACGGAAAAGCCAAAAACCAAGAAAAGCTGGAAGATGTATGGTGGTGAATTCGCTTTCGTACGGGTAGCGCCTGCAGCGAGGCCGGGGGCAAGGAGGGGCCTGTCCGATTCACGAGTTGGAGAGGGTCGTTGTCGGTACGGAGAAGAAGACGGGACGCCAGCAGGACGGGGCGGAGATACCCGTCTAAGGGCGGGAGAGACGTCTCTGGTTCCGAAGGGGGATTGGCGGCCCTGTTATGATGATGGTGGTGTTGGGGGGCAGTGGATTGAAATGAAGACATTTTCGGCGCCGTGATGAGTCGGTGTTTGCCTCTTTGTCTGCTTTTACGCTCGTCCGTCGACTGGCTCTCTGCATGATGTTAGAAGGGGGGGCTGACTTGGGAGCACAGAGGGTGAGTGATTCAAGACGTTGGGGGGAAGGGCAGGGTGGTATTTGCTCTCGGGCGCGACGCGAGTCGTCCTGAATCGATATGGGGGGGGGGGTCAAGCGTTGACTTGACGTGAACGGTTTTATCAAGAAAGGTGGTGAGTCTTATATCTCTCGTTCTGCATAGTCCTTTGGCTGATGATTGTGTCGGGCTTGTGAGGACTTTTTCAGTAACGAGAATCGATATGACGGGGCTTGCCTGGTCGTACAAGGGGCGTCGTCGTTGCTATACGGGCCTGGCACAAGAGTGGTCATACTGAGAATTGAATCACGGATTGCATATACCACGAGTGATGAAGTTTGTCGGGAGCAGAGACAACTCAGGAGATATCAGCAGGTCTCAGAATCAACTTGCTTCCGGGAGAAGTATATAAGAGGGAGCGACGACAGCGGTGAGCTAACCTTTCCTCCTTCTACTTCTGCTACTACCAGAGCAAGACAATCGCCGCTGTAGCACTCAGTCTCTGAAACCAACATTACAACTACGGCGCAGAACGACAAGGGCATAGAGTAGGGTTCTTTACTCGACACAACATTACCATCACAGAGGACAAAGGTCGCATCGAACTGCTGGGGCAGCCCGACGACATGGTTCCGCGAGGGACGCCAAACACCAGTGTACCTCCCTGGCGTCAGTCCCAGGGCAGGCCGCAGCAAAGCGATGAATACGGGACTGCTTCCGACTCTGGTGGTGCGCAGCAAGGGGATGCCGGACAATCGTCTTGGTTTCGACAGCGACACGGGGGACGAGGACGGCAACGCCAGGACCTGGCATCGACGAACATTCCACTCGACCCGCACCCCTTCACGGGGGGAAGGGCGATGGAGGATCTACAGGAACTCCAGCTACGACTGCTCCGGGATTCGTACGTACGAAGCCAGGGATTCCCTTCGGGACTCGTTCCCGTTCGGGGGCCCCCACTACCCCAGTGGCCGGACCATCCGGGCCTTCCATTGCCCGGGTTGATGCTGCAGCCGGACGTCTTTGGCGGCTACGCAATTCCCATGGGGCAGATCGCAGTCAACCCCCTGGGAACCGTGCTGGAGCAGTCGGAAGCTGCATTCCGAGATTCGCCTGCTTCGCAGGGTCACGGGGGACGGACGAACCAGGGTCGTGGCGGTGGCGGTGGCCGTGGCGGTGGACGAGGACGAGGACGAGGTCGGGGTCAGGGTCGGGGTCGGGGTCGGGGTGGTGGCCGTGGACGTGGCCGGGGTTGGAGTCGCGGGTGGCGCCGGGATGGGAACCAGGACCGAAGTTGGTCTCAAGCTCCATCGACGACGACGATGACGACGATGTCCCAGGGCCGCAGCATGGCGGGCACTAACACGCCGTCCCCGCTCACGGTCTTTCCTCATCGGCCCAATAGTGCCCGGCCACCGTACCAGAGCGGTGGTGGCCTCTCGTCTAGGGTGAACGTCTTCGGATCCCAGCTCGATTCTGATCGGACGACGGCGTCCGTTCGTGAACCGAGGGGCCGCCGGGGATCTCGGGTATCGGGGACAGGTCGCCAGACCACAATGCTTCCTCATGGTGTGCAGGTGGTGATTTCCGACACGACTTCTTCGGATGACGACAGTGGTGGCGGGGTCGAGATTGAGGATCCCTTTTATTTGGAGGAGTTTATCCCCAACCGATGAAGGGGCAGGACTATATGTGCTTCTTTCTCGGGTGTGTTGTGTGTATTGTGTATTAGGGGGTTTCACCACAGAGTCAGTCCTGGAAAGTCTTGGTCCTAGCATAGATACCTCAAGCGCCAATTTTGGATGTGAACTTTGCAGCAAGTTGGTGATCACTGGTAAAACAGAACAGTCCCAGTACCTGTAACCGTTGTTATGGACTCGACCCCCTGGCTGCGGCATCTGAATCGGCAGTTTATCGAGGCCAAAGCTGATATGCGTGTCTTGAGATGTCGGCTCCGAAAGTGAGATGGAGTAGATGTAAGTACCTAGTACTAAGGTAAGTAGGTAATCAAGTAAGGTAAGGTGAGATAATCAATGGGAGAAGTGCCTACCTTAGGTGCCCGGCCCGGGTACTGCGAGATTTTGAATATCACCAGAAAGTACCTAAAGTATTCCGTATATTCCGTATACCTCTGGGGGAAGGTGGTAGACAGCAGAGTCCATTGTCCATTGTTCATTGTCTATTGTCCATTGTCCATTGTCCGTTGTCCGTTGTCCGTTGACAAAGCAAATGTGGAAAGGCAAGTTGGCAAGTCGGGAATCGTATACTGTATCTTGTCAACTGCTCCTTTGCTCCCGATGTTATTGCACCGGCAACTGCAGGGTGCCTATCTTGCATTCCCCAGGAGGTTAAGCGTTTAAGCCCTAGGTACCTTATTCCGTAGATGGCAGTGAATTAATCAAATTCCTCTTAACTAAGGTACCCCGGCATGACCTGCAGGACCCCGTCTCGCAGAGTACATGTTGGGCCATCCGAAAGCATCAAAGCAATAAGAAGATGGGATAGGAAATCCCTAGGTCAAAGATTCAATACGATTTAACAGGTTCTGCGTGCGCCAGATGTTAGTCTCTTCTACCCGGATCTCTTTCAGATCATTCATCTCCAAACTGACTTACTTTGAAGTTCACCCATCAGAGGCATATCGACACTCTCTGCCGGACTTTTCATCTTCACTTCATCTTCATCTTCCCAGTTTTCATGTGAATTCTGGCAACTATGGCCGACGATCCAGTTCAACTCACTGATGACATTGGCTATCCCGGGTATCCCTATCCGACACCCACCACCTCCGTATCTCACGGCGCCGATCTTCATGTCTTCCGCGACTTTGTTTTTCACGCATCAGCAACCCAGCAAATATGGCGCGGCTTCCTCATCGGCTGCGGTCTGGGCCTCTTCGTCGCCCTCTTTTTCTGTTTCTGGGCCCCCTGCGTCCAGTATGGTGCCTGCGGCGCGCTCTCCCGCTTCCTGTTTCCCCACCGAGGGGATGCGCTCGATCAGCAGCAGCGCGAAGCCGATGAGCGTCAGCGTATCGTGAGTGAGCTGCCGACCCCGGAGAATGACCGGCCTCGGGGTCAGAGTTATGAAGAGGATCCCATGGTGCGGGACCAGAGCGTGCAGCGGTCTAGATTTGTGGATCGGCAGACGTTGATGCTTCTGAGTACGGGGAGGCTGTGACGGGTGGGCATCGGAGCGACAGAAAATTTGCGGTGGGAGGGGAGCTCATGCATCGAAAAGCTGAATTCCCATTGCAGCGGGACGATCTCGGGGTACTCGCTCCCAGAGTCCCAGTTGCACAGAGTTCCCTCTCGACAAAAGTGGGTGGGCTCATACGAAGGATCTCCCGCTGAAAGGCTGGAAGATTACGACTTATATCATTCTGCGAAAGAGATTGATTTCAATAGCCACATCCTTTGTCCCTGTTTGGGGAAGTTCGATTTGATACAGCGGAAGTTGATGTTGAAGCGTCGGGAAGGGTTGGTGATCAGTCACGTGATGACCTGCCATCTTCGGTTGGCCTCGGCACGAGGTAGCAGTACTAGCCGTACAGTACTCTAAATAGAACACTAAAAGGTACCACACTACCACTGTCACAGCTACCCCGCGTCGGCTTCACATGGGCTAACGTAGGTAAGGTGTGTAAGGTATGTTCCCCCTGAATGAAGGTATCATCACATCACTTTCGGTCGAATTCTCAAGAAATGTTCGCGGGGTAAGTGAGCCTGTTACAGTCCCATTTTCAACTTCTTTGTCTCTGGGGTTGCATTTGGACTAACCCTTGCCAGCGCGGTTCTACGTTCTGTCTCTCGGTCTGCCACGGCCGGAGGGACGCCACGGGCAGCCACACGGCCTATTCTCAGGGGTTTGTCCACGGCCGCTCAGCCGGGCCAGCCCGATGGCTCCCGGTATGACGTCGACGTCCAAGTGCTCCCGGATGGGCTTCAAATCAAGGGCATTCGAGGGAACTCCGTTAAGAGAGAGAAACTGTAAGCTTCTTGATCCCGGGGTGGATGACCGACGGGCCCGCCATGATATACTGACACCAGGGGATCGATTCGTATAGGCCACACTTTTGGTTGAGGTGAGAGATGCTGCACCGCTTTCTGTGGCCCCCTGAAGCATCGCTGGCCTCGGGAAGAGCAGGGTGGGGGGGGGGGGGGGGGGGGGGGGGGGGGCTTACTTACCTTTCCCATTCTTTCTTCTTCTCTTGTATTCTCTTCTTCTTTCCTAACCGCCAGAGGGTTGGTAGGGACAACTGTCGCTGCCAAAAATGTGTGCATCAGCAAACCTTGCAAAGGAACTTCAATACTTTCGCGGTGAGTCTCTGCCATGAACAGTGTCTGATTGACAAGGTATACGAGCCGGACCAACTCGTAGATTAGTGAGGACATCAAACCCGATCAGGTCAAGACCGAACCCGATGGAGTCCGCGTCAAGTGTAAGTAAGGAGGGAAAACTTTCTGACCCGGCCTGGCCCAGTCGCTCTGCTCTGCATCATACTGACTTACGATAGGGGATGGCGACGGCCATGAGAGCTTTTACCCCTGGAAGTTCATCAAGCACTATCTGAGGCATGATCACCGGAGTCCTGAGGATGTCGAGTGAGCAGCCCCTGCCTGACCCCCTCGCTTTCTCATCCTTAGTATTGGACCATAGACCATAGCCTTACCCCATGCAGATTTCATTATTGGGGCTCCGACATTGCCGTCAACCGTCCTGCCGTCAGTTATAACGACCTGATGGCCCCCGAGAACGAGTCCGGCATTGCCAGGCTGACCAACCTGATCGTAAGTCCTCCTTCAACCAGCAGGACTCTCTCGGGAGAGTCCGATCATCTCTTCCTTCGCAGGGCTCCGGGTAGCCTCGGAAGGGAGGTACAACTAACAGGCCGCAGCGCGAGTACGGTTTCGTTTTCGTCGATGGAACGCCTTTCGGCACCCCCGATGCCACAAAGCGTGTGCTCGAGAAGATCGCCTTTATCCGCGAAACCCACTACGGCGGCTTTTATGACTTCATCCCCGACCTCGCCATGGCCGACACGGCGTACACCAACATCGCGTTGCCCGCCCACACCGACACTACGTACTTCAGCGACCCGGCCGGCTTGCAGGCCTTCCACATGCTCTCCCACGAGGCCCCGCCGGGCCAGTCTGCGTCTGCGTCTGCGTCGCCCGACGAGGAGCTGGGCGGCAAGTCGCTCCTGGTCGACGGGTTCCACGCCGCCAACATCCTCCTCGAGGAGGACCCGGCCGCCTATGCCATCCTATCCAGGGTCCGGCTCCCGTGGCACGCCAGCGGGAACGAGGGCATCACGATTTCGCCCGACAAGCGCTACCCGGTTCTGGAGCTGGATGGGGCCACCGGGAAACTCGCCAGGGTGCGGTGGAATAACGATGACCGCGGCGTCGTCCCGTTCACAGACGACGTGTCTCCGACGCAGTGGTATGCGGCGGCTCGGAAGTGGGACGGCATCCTCCGGCGGCCGGACGTTGAGTATTGGGTCCAGTTGAAGCCGGGCCAGGTTCTGAGTACGTGCCTTTTTCTCTTTTCAAAATATTATTTCCTTTTTTTCCCCCCTCTCCTTCCAATGTGAGAGGGGCCGGCACTGACAACGTTTTTTTGTGCAGTCTTCGATAACTGGAGAGTCATGCACGGGCGGAGTGCATTTGAAGGGAGGAGACGGATGTGCGGTGCATATAGTAGGTTCCCCCTCTTTCTCAGCCCTGGCTGGCGATGCTGGCGAGAGAGTCCCCATGGTTGTCACGTAGACATTATGCTTACCCAATTTTAGTCAACCGGGATGATTTTATCTCGCGATGGCGGAACACCAACTTCCCCAGGGAGGCTATTCTGAGCCAAGTTGTTGGCTAGGGCAGAAGCTGACAAGCTGACTCCGACTATTTATTCGCCTTTCGGATCCCCCCCCCCCCCCCCGCCCCCCTTTCCCCCCACTTTCTTTGTTGAGAGTGATGTAACTATAAATATGTAGTCACTAGATTGGGTAAGTTCACTGCTTAGGAAGAAAGAAGTGAACAATCGAAGAATTGAGACACTCGGGGAATAGGGCCCAGGGGCACTGAACGGCACAAGCCACGGTTGTAATCAGTGCTGTAATTTCGAAGCCACAAACTAGCCACGCGGGGCAGCAGGGCCAACCAAACACCGTGAACCTATCAGGCTTTGCTTACGCCTTGGGAACCTTAAGAGCGGGGGTGGGAGGGGAGGCGATTACCTTATTAGGACAACCTGGAACGGCCGGCCAGCTTTAGGCAGCTGTAGCTTTTCTCACGATGCTTGGACAAGTATTCAGTACCCCGTCCATCGTACAGATATACCGTGTCTTGCTCGGGCTTTCCATTCTGCTTTCTTTGCCACGAATCTGCCATTTTAAATTATAAGTTTCCAGTTCACAGGAAGCAATGCACTGCGGTTTGAACTACCTACGTGAAGGACACTTGCTTTAAACATGGTTGAGATTTAAGACACTTTACCCAGGCTTCCGCCCCTTGTCCTACCTCTACCTCGAGGGGCTACATGTCCAGGTACCTTATCGAGTACTTACGCTTACCGATCCAGTCCAATCCAAAGCCTGATCGCTTGCCCCCTTGCCCCCCTAACGAACCCCTCCAATCCAAAATTTCCGTCACTCACACAGGTTCCTGTTAGGCGGCTGTTACCCACGGGGTTGCCTCTTAACGAGCCTCTCCGTCTCCAAACTCTTCAGCCCTATCCCAGGTATACCTGAGTGGTCCTTCGCCGCCCGCCGCTCACCAGTTTCTCTTTCGCTCGTGCCCAATACTACAGTGTACACGGCTGCGTCGTCATACCCGCCACCTCCTCATTACGCTTCGTGGAGCTCAGCAAAGACTCACACTTGCACTTGCCCCTTTCTGTACCACCGTCGCCATTACTCACCGCTCTCCGCTCTCCGCTATCCGCGTGCTTCCCCTCGCACCCCCTCGTGTCCCGAACCATCATTTGTAATTTATCGACTGTAAAGCCTCTCCGAACCGCCCTATCCGAGCGAAGCCGCTCTCGTCACCACCCGCTTCATCTCTTCACCCATATACATACACAGCGACAATGGACGCCGATAATCCGGGCGCGCCGGCCTCCCCCGAGGACCGCCGCAACCAGCAGGTCGACAATGCTATTCGAGCCATTCGCGAAAAGAAACCTGTGCCTGAAGTCGACTTCACCATTCATACCATGGAAGATGGGACCCAAGTGAGCACACTTGATCGTGTGAGCAAAGGTTAGTACCGCTCCGATCTGGTTTTTTTCTTCTTTTTTTCTCCCCCGGATCTTGCTCGTTCGTGCCCGTTTCTCTCTTTCCTCCTGTCGCCACCAGGGATCATCGTTGCCGGCATACACTGCGCCCACGCCGCCGTCAGATTGTCGCCATTGTCACAACGGGTCCCCCAAACCAAACCCGACACTACTCTTTTACCGTCTTTATCCTGCTGCGCACTCGGGATACACGCAATAGAGGCAACGAGCGCTGACTCCGATGCCGCTATTTTCCAGATGTCCAAGCACCTGCAACCTCCAAGCCTACCGACCAGCAGTTCTTCCAAGACGAGACGCAGTCGAAACCGGATATCAACTTTCTTAAGCAGCATTTCTACCGCGAGGGTCGTTTGACCGAGGAGCAGGCACTATGGATTCTCAAGAAAGGTACCGAAATTCTTCACGCGGAACCCAACCTCCTCGAGATGGACGCCCCCATCACCGTCTGCGGCGATGTCCACGGTCAATACTACGATCTCATGAAGCTTTTCGAAGTCGGCGGCGACCCTTCCGAAACACGCTACCTGTTCCTCGGTGACTATGTCGACAGAGGTTACTTCAGCATCGAATGCGTCCTCTACCTCTGGTCTCTGAAGATTCACTATCCAAACTCCCTGTGGCTTCTCCGTGGAAACCACGAGTGCCGTCATTTGACCGACTATTTCACCTTCAAGCTCGAATGCAAGCACAAGTACTCGGAGGCCGTATATGAGGCCTGCATCGAGTCCTTCTGTTCCCTGCCCCTGGCCGCCGTCATGAACAAGCAGTTCCTGTGCATCCACGGAGGTCTAAGCCCAGAGCTTCACACCCTCGACGATATCCGGACGGTACGTATTTCAGAAGAAGTGACTTTCCACAACTATGTGCTCACGTGTTGAGGGATACCATTTTGTTGACGGATGTTTTGGGCGGGCGCTCAGATTGATCGGTTCCGGGAACCTCCTACGCAGGGTCTCATGTGCGACCTTCTGTGGGCAGACCCGCTCGAGGAATTCGGCCAGGAGAAGTCGAGCGACTTCTTTCTACACAATCATGTCCGCGGATGTTCTTATTTCTTCTCGTACCCCGCCGCGTGCGCCTTCCTCGAGAAGAATAACCTTTTGTCCGTCATCCGGGCACACGAAGCGCAAGATGCGGGCTACCGGATGTACCGCAAGACGAGGACCACCGGTTTCCCCAGCGTGATGACCATCTTCTCCGCACCCAACTACCTGGACGTTTATAACAACAAAGCCGCTGTACTGAAGTACGAGAACAATGTTATGAACATCAGGCAGTTCAACTGTACGCCGCACCCTTACTGGCTGCCGAACTTTATGGACGTGTTCACCTGGTCTCTGCCCTTCGTCGGCGAAAAGATCACCGACATGTTGATCGCCATTCTCAGCACCTGTTCCGAGGAAGAGCTCAAGGAAGAGGCGACGCCGTCATCGACCTCTCCTGGTCCGGTGTCTCCTCCACTCTCGGCTGCCTTGCAAGACCCCGAGTCGATCGAGTTCAAGAGGCGTGCGATCAAGAACAAGATCCTGGCCATCGGGCGTCTGTCGCGTGTCTTCCAGGTTCTTCGGGAGGAATCGGAGAGCGTCACGGAGCTCAAGACGGTCTCGGGCGGCAGGCTTCCCGCCGGTACGCTTATGCTTGGTGCCGAGGGCATCAAGAATGCGATCAGCAATTTCGAGGATGCCAGGAAGGTCGACCTGCAGAACGAGCGCCTACCTCCTACGCATGAGGAGGTCGTGCGTCAGACGGAGGAGGAGAGACGGCAAAACTTTGAGAAAGCTGCCGAGGACGCCGCCAACGATAAGAAGTTGCAGCAACTGAGCAGGAAACTCAGCACGTGAGTACCCAACCGGCCTAATCTATCCGTTATCCAAGGTCACGGATCTGAGCGAGATGGGCTAACAATATTGCCGTAGCGACCGAAAGAGATAAGGGGCTCTCTGTCGTCGGTGAGATGGGACTTTGTATAAGGCCGGCATAGACCGCACATACCTACGTCATACGGATAGACTGAGCAGATGCCATGAAATGAAACGGGTACGGAAATGGAGGAAGTGGATACATATGGCTTTGCTTTGAGTTGGCATGGCTAGTATAGCGCGCTCTTGGACATGATGATGCATTTGACTACGAAACAGACGCGCCGCGCCCTTGCCGGGTGTGGAGCGAAAGGGATACGAGGGCCTAACCTAGTCTTATCCTTGCACGAGACGCTGGAAGTCGATTGAATAATGGTTAAGCGTGCAAGGCGAACAATTTATGAGCACCCCCCCCCCCTTTAGCAGTAGGATCGAGCATGTGATGCCTTTCCGTGGTTCCCCTTAGACTGCTTTTACACGAGCGGTTCGCGATACTAGCCAGCAGATTACTTCTGAGCACCACTGAGGATATGAGTTGCCGCATACCATGAGTGATTCTCCCCCCACTCACTACAACCTTGGGTGCGCAAATATCAGAATATGGCCAAGATATTTGGCGGACTGCGAGTATCCCAATCGAGTCAGCAGTTGTTCGTTTGTTGCCCACGCAGTTGAATAGATTGAAGCAGGCCTCCTCCTTTTTTTCTTCCTTTTTTTCCTTCTTTTTTTCCCTCTCTCCCCGGCTGCCCTCTTGATGATTTTGGCTTACCTGGCAACGCCACCAGGGACGTGACAAACCTCGCTGGCGACGAAGAAGCTCCAGCGGCCTTCCTTGCAGCAGTGGGCGGCCAGGGCTTCGAGGTCGAAGAGCTCGCCGAGGGGACAGCCCCAGCCGGCCAGGGCGACCTCGTGGATGGAGTAGGCGAGCCCGCGGCCGGCGGCGACGTCGTCCGGGTGGTCCGGCAGCGGGGGCCAGCATTCGAAGGCCGGCTGGTCGCCGGCTATGGCGGAGAAATTGTGCCAGAGCCAGCGGAGGGCGGGGAGGGAGGGTTGGAGGCCGCCGAGGGTGTGTGGTTCGCTTTTCTGGAGGGCGGCGAGGTCGCTGGTGGATTTCTGGGCGTGGGATACCATGTAGCCTTTTTTTTTTTCCCCTCTCCCCGACTTAGCCGTTGTCTTTTCTTCTCTTAATCAGACGGACGGGGAGTTTAAAAGAAAATAAAATAAAAATCACGTACCGGTTCTTGTGAAGAGAATGTCACCGAATCGGACCTCGGTACCTTGAGCTTTCAAGCAGGCTTTGATGTCGTCTACTGGTATCGGACTGCGCGCGAACGGATCGTAGTCGATCCCTTGGCCCAGACGCCAGGTGTGGTAGTCCACAAGAATACCGCGGCCAACGATGCCCTTTTTCTGCCAAGCTGTGATCCGTTGATTAGGCAGTAAGTATGGAATCTATGTGTATCTAGCTCATCTAGACTATGAAGGAGTGCGGCGGGCCAGGAGATGGCATAGCACGGACTGACCTTGGATCCCGTTGACGGTCGACTTCACCCCGTTCGCATCCACGGCGTACAACTCGTCCATGGTGACTCTGCTGTAGAACAGCTCCTCCTTCTGGTAGGCTACATGCCGCAAGCCGTCCCATTGAGACGAGACCTGAGTGTTGAAGGTCCAAGTGTCGTCGTTGGCGACGTGAGGTTTCTTCTGGAACATCTCCTGGTGAAACTCCCCTCTCGAAAAGAAGGAGCCCTTGGAGTGGGCGTCTAGGGGCCAGTTGAGCGAGATTCTATCCGAATTTTGGTTTCATCACACTTCAGCTGAGAATGTTTCCCCCTGAAGCCCTCCCCCCCCCTTTTCTGGAAAGTTGAGCTGGGTATCTGGCGGGAGGGAGACTTACCGTACGCCTGTTTTGATTTCTTCTCTTGCGGTGGCAGCTACGCGTTCGTCTGTGAGTCTGTTCAGAGTGCCCAGTTCGTCTTTGTCGCCGTATAGACCCCAGGCGGAGTAAGGGGGATCCCCTTCTTGGAGAGGAAGGCTTTCGAAAGGGGGAATCCCATTTTCATTGAGGGACGGGTTTTTAAGTGGCTGGAACATGGTGTGTTGGAGTAGCTTTATTGGGAATATGAGAGACCGGGTAGTATGTGTACGATATATATCGAAAGTGGGAGGGAGAGTCGGAGTGGAGAGGGTGAGTGTAAGCCGGGTTGATCGTCTTATATCGGCTATGTCATTGACCACACCGGATCCATTTCAATGATGGTCCAGAGAGTCTGCCAATTATACAATAAACATGCTTTCCCCGCATTCTCATGATGCGACCTTGTTCATTTAGCACTGCATCGGCCTCCCCCCCCTTTCTGAATCCACTAGGAGGGGCCTGCACGATTTCAGGTGGTCGGAGTAATCATGAACCACGTTCTTTTTCTCGGCATTTGCAGCATTTCGCCGACTCGGGGCTCGGACCACGAGGAGCTCCCCAATGCCGTATCCACATCGGCGCCGGTTCCGACAGCTCTTCGTTGTGGCCGTGCCGAATTTCATCCCTGTCGTAAGTCGTTACTCACTGGGCGGGTGTGTCACCCTCGAACATTGGGAACCGAACTGCAGTCTGAGGCGGCACACACAGCATGTCATGCCAATGACTTGACCAATGTCAGCCCAGGGCTATCTTGGATCATATCGTCATAGCACCTTCTGAACAAGCTCTACGGTGTCGAAGAACGCCTCCCGCGAGGTGTCGACCTTGAGTAGCCCCAACCCGAGGACAAGAGTGCGGCGGTCGTCCGAGTTCCGAAGTGTAATCAAGCTGCCGACTTGGGCAGCATATAGCTGGCCGAGGGTTTCCCTGTCCTCACCACCACCTCCGAGAAGGGTCTTGGGTGTGAGGTGAGTCGATGGAAGCATACCCTGCCTGCTGGTGGGCAGATTCATGTCCACCATGGCAGAGGCGTTTGCTAACAGAGGAACTTGGATCTATTATATCAGGCGAGGGTCATGTCAGAAGGAGGCTTTTCGCCATATGGGAAGGAGCACTACGTACCCACTGCGAGAGACGTCCCTCTTGCGAGATGGTTACGACGATTCGGTCGGAGAAGAACATGGATGTAGCCTCTGTTTCCACGCCGTTGATGGTGCCAGTGGCTTGCTTGGTCTTAGCAGGAAAGGGTTCTTCTCGAACCTCGCTCACTGTGGCATCCATAGTAATGGTACTTGTAAGATGGCTGCCAAGGTCCTCTGAGATTTTGGTTCAGAAGAAGATAAAGAAGAAGATTTCTGGTGAGAGGCTAGAGCCAGTGTGCGCGCCAACACTGAGAGATGATGGAGGACAGGAGGAGCTGTTTCGCGGTCCCGGTCCCGGTCTCGGTCCCGGTGACGGATGAACAGAGATACGCTGAGCAAGGTACCTTAGACATCCCGTGCCAGATGGCGACGGGCAGGCCAATCTAAATGTACCCACAGTTTCTGGGCGACTACTGATTTGCCCAATAGGAGGGAGGCCATAAAGCTAGTGGTGAACTGTGTGGAGACTGCACCCCGCGTTAGGCCTGTTCGGGACGACAAGCTGGGCGGTCAAGCCCGGCAAAACAAAGTCTCTCCCAAAAAATTCCCCCAAAAATCCCCCCAGACCTCACCGATAAGATCCAACTCGGAGAATTGAGAGCGATGTGAGAGAAACACAAGACAAGGCCACTCACTTTATGCCGTTTCTCTTTTATCTCTTCTTCTTTTCCACCGCCGAATAATTGGTCTTTTGTCATTTAAGTTTTATTTCTATTTTGTTTTCTAAATCGGTCCGAGGGAGACACCAAAACCCATGCAGAATTCCTCTTCCTAGCCCTGCCTCAAGAACCACATGGGGTTTGCGCCGTTCAGGGCAGCACAAGTTGTGGAATCCGGCTTGACAATCTTGTTGAGACTTTCACCTACCAAAAGACAGGGAGACCTTTCTCCTGACCCATAGCCATGGGTAAATTCGTACCCAGGCAGAGGAAACACAAGGTGCTGGCTCGTGAAAAGGCCAGGCAGAATGCCGTCATCCCAGACCACCTAGACACCAATGTCGAGCAAATCGACCCAGAGGACCGGAGAGCTCTGCAGGAGAAAAAGGAGCGCATGAAAGCAGAGCTCAGGGGTGATGTCAAAGTCAGCGGTAAAAAGGCCAAGCGACTCGACAAGTATATCGAAAAGAAGCTTCGGAAAGATGAGAACCGCGAGATCCTCGCCCAGCTAGAACAGCAGAAGGTTGACACAACGCTCTTCGCCAGCTCCAAAACCATCGGCCAGGGCCAGGGTAGGGAGACGAAGCGGCAGGCCCTGAGCCGGGTTCTTAGAGAAAGGAAGGCCGGTATTAACCTCGACGAGGACGCGGATGAGATTCTGTTCGAGAAGAGGAAAGAGATTCCGGAAGAGGGTGAGGACGAAGGAGAGGCTGAGACTTCTGCCCCGGAGCCAGCGCAACCAGCTGCCGAGCCCACACCGCAGCCGGCACCTACCACGTTGCCACCACAGGCCGTCGGCGTCGGTTCGGGCCTGAAACGACCGCTCGAGCTGGATGAAGAGGGAAAGCCTGTGCTTCGCAAACGACGGCGCCGTGGAGGAGTGGAATCCAAGTTCTCCATAGCTGAACCCGTGCGCGTCGAAGTGGACGAGGAGTGGAACGGATTTAGCTCTGACGAAGCGGAACCCACGAATGCGGAAAAACCTCTCCATGGCAGCATGTCTACCCAGAACGACGATTCGGACGGCTCATCCGAAGACGCTTCTGAAAATGGCTCTGGTTCAGAAGACGGTGATTCGGAGGATGAGGACGACGACGACGGGAGTAGCCCGGGAGAGGGCAAACCATCCGGATTCAAGGCATGGGCTCTCGCGCAACGCAACAAAGCCCTGGGATACAAGCCCGTGGAACCGACTACTGCCCTACTCGAACTCCCCAAACCCGCCAACTTCACCCCTCGACCCATCGAGCAAGACCCGCTGCCGATGGAATTGCAGCCTACTACGAACCTGTCCCGCAAGGCTTTCAGCGTCTCGGTGACGAGGACGCCCGAGATCCAGGAGGCCCGCCTCAAGCTTCCCGTGGTGGCCGAAGAGCAGAGGATCATGGAGGCAGTCCACAACAACGACATCGTCGTCCTATGCGGTTCGACCGGCTCTGGCAAGACGACACAGGTTCCGCAGTTCTTGTTCGAAGCCGGGTACGGGTCGCCCGGCTCACCTACCCCCGGCATGATCGGCGTCACACAACCTCGCCGAGTAGCCGCCGTGAGCATGTCCAAGCGAGTTGCCGACGAGCTAGGCGACCACGCCAAGCGCGTAGCGTACCAGATCCGTTTCGAAGGCACCGCGAGCCCGGAAACGGCCATCAAGTTCATGACCGACGGTGTTCTGTTGCGGGAGATGGCACACGATTTCTCCCTGAAGAAGTATTCGGCCATCATCATCGACGAGGCGCACGAAAGGAGCGTCAACACGGACATTCTCATCGGAATGCTCAGCCGCATCAACAACATCCGGAGAGGAGACGAGAACGGCGGCGCGGGATTGAAACCCCTGAAGATCATCATCATGTCTGCCACCCTGAGGGTGGAGGATATGACGCAGAACACTATGCTTTTCTCGAACCCGCCGCCCGTGGTGGAAGTCGAGGGAAGACAGCATCCCGTCACCATTCACTTCTCGAGGCGGACCCGCCCCGACTACGTCGAGGAAGCGTTCCGTAAAATCAGCAAAGCCCACAAGCAGCTTCCGCCGGGAGGCATCCTCGTCTTCCTCACCGGCCAGAACGAGATTACTCAGCTAAGCAAGCAGCTGAAGGCAGCTTTCGGAGGGCTCCCCGTGGTGAGCGGGCCGAAGGTGCACATCTCAGCGAACGAGGCACCGATGGAGGTGGAAGACATCGAGTTTGGAGACGTAGCAGATGATGTCGACAAAGCCGAATGGGACGACGAGTCCCTGGATGGAGATGGAGAAGGAGCGGACGAAGAGGAAGAAAACGAGTTCAAGATTGAAGACGAGGAAGAGGGCACAGGACCCCTGAAGATGCAAGTTTTGCCCCTCTACTCACTGCTGCCTACCCGGGAACAGATGAGGGTTTTCGAAGAACCACCGGAGGGCACCCGGCAGGTGATTCTGGCGACCAACGTGGCGGAGACGAGTTTGACGATCCCCGGAATACGGTACGTCTTCGACTGCGGCCGTTCGAAAGAGCGCCAATACGACCAAGTCAGCGGAGTGCAGACCTACCAGATCGGATGGATCAGCAAGGCGAGTGCAAACCAACGAGCCGGCCGTGCAGGCCGAACGGGGCCTGGCCATTGCTACCGACTCTACTCCTCGGCCGTCTACGAGAGAGACCTCCCCGAGTTTTCGGAACCGGAAATCCTCCGGATGCCCATCGACGGGGTCGTGCTGCAGCTGAAGGCCATGAACCTCTCGAACGTGGTGAATTTCCCTTTCCCCACGCCTCCCGACAGGATGAGCCTCCGCAAGGCGGAGAAGCTTTTGACCTACTTATCCGCCATCTCGCCGGAAGGCCACGTGACGCGGATCGGCTCGACCATGTCCATCTTCCCGCTCTCGCCCCGATTCGCCCGTATCCTCCTGATCGGACACCAGCACGACTGTCTCCCGTACACCATCGCCCTAGTGGCAGGCCTCTCGGCAGCCGACGTTTTCATCCCCGAGAACCAGGCGATCCCCGCGGTGGCCGCCTCGTCAGAGGACTTCCGGACGACGGCGGACGTGATCGCGGAGGATCGCCAGGCCAACATCCGACGCGCCTTCAACGCCGTGCACAGGAACTTCTGCCACCTCGACGACAGGTCCGACGCCATCAAGCTGCTCCAGGTCGTCGGCGAGTTCGCGCACGACCCCACCGAGTCGTGGTGCGCGCGCCACTTCGTCCGCTTCAAGGTGCTCAAGGAGATCCAGCAGCTCCGGCGCCAGACCCACGAGCTCCTCAAGGCCAACGTGCCGGCGTTCAAGGCCCTCCCGTTCCAGGACAGGCTGGACCGGCCGACGGACAGGCAAGTGGCGTACCTCAAGCAGATGGCCGCCGCGGGGTTCGTCGACCAGGTCGCCATCCGCGCCGACAAGGCGCCCCAGCCGCCCGAGGACATGCCGAAACCGCGCCGCGCCATTGACGTGCCCTACGCGCCGCTCGTACCCCTCGGCACGGGCGGCCACGGCGCGGACAAATACGTGTACATCCACCCGTCCTCGCCGCTGGCGCACCTGAGCCCCAAGGAGTGTCCCGAGTACGTCGTGTACGCGCACCTGCAGCGGGCGACGCAGAGCGCGGACCCGCACAAGACGCCCAAGACGAGGATGCACGCCTTGACGGACGTGACGGGCGGGCAGCTGGCGAGCCTGGCCAAGGGGACGCCGCTTTTGACGTACGGGAAACCGGTCAAGGAGACGAACGTGACGGCGACGTCGAGGGAGGTGTGGGTCGTGCCGTACCTCCGTGCCGACGGGGTGGGGGGGCTGGGATGGCCGTTGCCTATGAAGAAGGTGACGCAGAAGAGGGTGCCGGGCAAGGGATGGGTTGTGGAGTGATTGGATTTTGTTCGCGGAACCTGCATACCCAGCGACAAGACGGATAGCGTCATATGAGTGTGTCTGTGTGTTTATGTTCAGGAGTGTCCCATGTGACACCAGGGTCATACGTCTATAGATATTGTGAATTGTGAAAAGTCAGTCCAGCACGAAACAAAATAATATGATATCGTTTCGGAAGGGGGAAAATTGTGTTCAACACTCGGTGCGTATGTGTATGAACCATGGGGAACTGGTGATGTTCGGTCCTGTAATATTGTGGGAATTACTTCATATACGTCGAACGCAAACTAAGGGTATCATCAAAAAAAGCAGCCAACGCCCCCAACCAGTCCATCCATATCCTGTGGTCACGTTCTAACCCGGGAACACCGCCTCCAAAGGGAAAATCAAACCAGAGGCAAAGACCTCACGAAGGCGCAGGTGTGGTCGCAGCACTGCCGCCAAGAGGAGTAGCCGCAGCACTAACACCACCACCGCCACCACCACCTCCCGCAGCCGAGCTCATCTTGCTCTTCTTCCTCTTAGGCTTCGGCGCCCCGGGCGTCTTGGGGCTCTTGTCCTGCTTGGCCTCCTTTTTGGTCTCCTCGGCGATTTTGGTCAGCAGCGTCGGCTTCGGCGGTTGTTGCGTCGTCGCCGCGGGGGGAGGTGGCGCGGCCGCCGCGGTCTTGTCCTTGCGCCCCGTGGACGAGAGGTGGAACTCGCCGGGCCGTCCCGTGATGGGGTTCTCGTCGATGTAGTCGCCGCCGTGCCGCATGTGGATGGCGAAGGACTCTTCGGCTAGCCGGTCGAGGGCGGTTCGGTCGCGCTTCGTCGCGAAGGGCGATGTTCCGTTGGGCTTGCTGCTGGTGGTGTTGGCGCCTCCAGCGGCAGGTGTGGTGTTGTCTTTCGTGGTCGATCCGTGCCCCGTGCGGTTCATATCGCTCGCCGGTGCGGGGGGTTGCTCGTAGGAATGGCCTAGGGAGGGCGACCATCTTCGGACGCTGTCGATGGCAGGGAGCACTTTCCTCATATTCTCGGCGATGGATTCCTGCATCATCACACAGCCCTTGTTAGAGTTCAATTTCGTTTTTCCTTTTCCGCCGGAAAGAACCCGAGAAGCACCCATGTCTGAAAGCTACTACTACTCACCACTCTCGAGCTCATAATGTCAGCAAAGGTCGGTGCTTGATAGACGTTCTCCCCGACAACAAAGTAGTGTGCAAGGGGCGTAATTCCAACACCGCGTTCCTTCTCCTGCTTGACAATGACCCAGACACCAGTGCCGTTGACCATGTCGGCGGGAGCTTGGGCCACGCGGAACTCGACGCCGTTGGGAATCTGGCTCAGGACCCCCTCGAATTGCTCCCGGGTGAGCATCTTCTCGGCCATCTGCGGGTTAAACTGCGCCTGATGGACGTAGATTCCGTTGTTCGACTGGCGGTCGAAGAAGGGCGACTCGGCGAAGTAGAAGAGCACCGAGTTGGAGTGGATGCCCTGGAAGTGGTGTGCAATGGGCGGCGCGCGCCATTGCACCTCGTCGAGGGGAGGTTCTTTAGTGGCCATGATGGGCCTTTTTCGGTGAGAGGCGTGGTAGGTTGCGGAAACGTGCAGACAGCTTAGAATCGTCGAGAGAGGAGCGTTGTCTAGGATTGTGATGCAGGTGAAAGAACGCGACGAGCAGCTTTGGGTGAGGTCAAAGGATGGATCCAGAGGTACGTAGAACGAAGTACATTCCGGAGGGAAGCACGGACCACATTAGACAAGCCTTAAGAGTGGGGCACAGTTGATGCACGGTCCACATACCTTAGGTACATACGTGCAGCAGTTTCCTCAACACGTTTCTGTTCAATGACGCCAGTACGTTCCCCTTACCCTCTTTTCATCACCCTACCTACCTTACCTTACCTTCCATTGAAAGCCAACCGTACTCGCTGTTATTACTCCTCCGCCATCTTAGTCGAATCCCCATACACCGAGACCAACTCTGCCTCCGACTTGAATCCGCCGAAATCTCAAACCATGGACCTGCTCTCCACCGTCCGCAAGTCCGGCTCCCGCGGCGGTGTCAACTTCAGCTGGGACGAAGTCACCACCTCGATCCACCGCGAAAACTACCTAGGCCACAGCCTCAAAGCCCCCGTCGGCCGCTGGCAAGCCGGCCGCGACCTCAACTGGTACGCCAAGGCCGACGACGACGCCGGCGCCGTGCCGGGCGAAACCGACCAGGAGCGGCGCGAACGCGAGCGCAAGGAGGAGCTCCGAAAGGTCAAAGAAGCCGAGGAGGATGCCCTCGCTCGCGCCCTGGGCCTGCCTGTGGTGAATCGGGACACCTCGGGTGCGAATGCCATCGCCGTGGGACCCTCGAGGAATATCGGACCGCAGGAATCGGCGGCCGGCGAAGACGAGCCTGTCAAGGGGGGGTTACAGCTGACGGGGCCGAATACGAGGGAAAAGAAGGAACGGAGGAAACACAGGGACGATGAGGAGGGGAGGGGACGGAGGCGAAGTCCGGACCGGGAGAGGAGACATCGACGTGAGCATCAACGGTCGAGGCGGGACGACGAGCGGCGGCGGAGTCGAAGCCGAAGCCGAAGCCGAAGCCGGGGACGAGACGGAGGGCGAGAGCGTAGGAAAGATGGAGATGACCATGGCGATTCTTATCGTGGCGAAGCCTATTCGAGACGGTACCGGCGGGACCGAAGCCGCAGTTTGGAGAAGGATAGTCGCCGGGAACATCGACGAGGGAAAGAAAGGGAGACGAAGAGGGAAAAAGAGAGGGGACGCAGCCGCAGTCTAGAGCGGGAAAATAGGCGGGAGTACCGACGTAGGGATACCAGTCGGGATGACTACCGACCACGATCCAGGGAGCGCCGCCACAACGCAGATACTCGGCGCCGCTGAGGGATCAGCACGGCACGTAGAAGAGCTTGAGGCCACATTTTACACCGAAGATGCTGTGAGAGGACGGGACCAGAAGACGCTGGGGTATCAAAACTACGGAGAACGAAAACGGGTTGGAGAGTCTATGAGCAATGATTGATACCTGGAGAGATGGAGTACCTACTTGTAGAACAAACTCCCGCCTCCTACAGCAACCCAGAATGATACCCTTAAATATTGAGAGTCAGTCCAACAACGCCTGCCATGACAATATTTTCGTCCAACCGAGCCAGCCGAGAGCACCCTGAACTCCGCGGAACGAGATCGAGTCCTTATGTCCCATCCGTAGCCTAGTTCACCGGAAACAAAAAGAACAAACCCCCCACCGATTGCATGCGGTATGCTATGCACTATAAGAAGTTACATAGTACTGAAGGTCATTAGCGATAATCGCCCCCCTCCCCCTCGATGCGCTGCGCCCACGAACGGGAACCACTCACCGTAACGACCGAGTCTTCGGCCGAGGAATCGTCGTGCTGCGGCACGTAAACGTAGAGAATGAGGGCGTGGTCGTCAGCAAAGCACGCAATCACCCTCCCCTCGAGGCGCCCCACGCTCAACACCCGGCTCCAATCCTTGCCGTCGACGCGCACCGTGGCCCACTTGTCGGGGCCGGCCTCGCGGAACAGGGCGCTGGGGTGCTCCTCGAGGGGCCCCTGCAGCTGCGCCGGGTCAAGCTGCGGGTTTTCCAGGCCGGTCCAGGTGCTCGCGATGTCGACGGCCTCGGTGGCGATGCGGAGGCGCAACGACCCGTGCATGTTGGCACTCAGCTCGAGCCGGGGCCCGCCCCCGACCCGGCCCGTTGCCCCGCCGGCAGAAGAGGCGAGGGCCAGCTTGGTGAAGCGGTCGGAGATGGCCTTCAGCTGGAGGAGCGGGGGCAGCTGGATGTGGACGTCGGGCTCGCGGACCTTGGGCTGCATGATTGTCTCGACCGTTTCGGGGTGGAGGACGCGGACGGGGATGTCCTGAGTGATGATCTTCTCGCGTTCGCGGCGGAGGGACGTCTCGAGGTGTTCTGGCGCGAAGGCGGCTGCGTCGTCGTCGTCGTCGTCGTGGAAAGGGTCTTCGTCGAGGGCGGAGTGGACTCCTGTTGCTGCCGCTGCTGCCGCTGCGGCTGCGGCGGAGGCGACAGACCGTTGCCCTGGCGCGGCTGCCGAGTCGGTTGTGGTCGTGATGGTCATGGACAGGATGGGGACGCCCTCTTTTTTGGTCAGGCGAAGGGAGGCCGAGGTGCTGTTGAGGGCAGACTTGAGAGCACGTTGGAGGGGTTGTAGAGGAAGCTCCAAGTTGATGGTGTTGTTGGCCTCGGCAGATTGGATGTGGTAATTTTCGAACATGAAGTCCATGGAGAGTGAGCTATAGCGAGGGAGCCCCGCGTCGTCAGCTCTCTCTCCTTCTCTCGATTTGGACCTTGGACGGTTGGACCGGATGATGATCAAGCAAAGGGAAGGGTAGCATACGCCCAGACTTGGGACCCGGTGTCCGGAATGACGGTAAACCGCGCTGTGTCATCGTCCAGACGCACCCATGCAATCTTCTCGAGGGAGTTGAGAGCAGCCGTGAGTTCTGTTGTTGAAGAACGAAACGGTAGGTCAGCTTGCCGTTTCGTTTTCACTTGGTCAATTGGTCACGCAGGACAAGAAGATGGTCGGGGGCATACTGGAAAAGGTACGTATGTTTTTCAGCTCGGTTTTGAACCGCATCTTGTAGGTTGGCTATTATCATGTGCGACCAGGAAACAGTAAAGCTGAGTTGCGAGAGGAAAGAAGGAAGGGGAATGTCGTGGAGGACGAAGTACATGAGAAGGGACGGGGACGTGGACCTTGATGTCCACGTCCAATCGCTTGGTACCTGGACTGTGCTGAATATGCTGTAATTAGTGTACAGGGCCCTAAGAGCTTCCACTCCAACTGCCGGCCGGGACTACGAAGTACCCGTACATATCAATTACATAAGGTAGGTACTGTAGCTACCCCGCCACGAGAAAAACGCAAGGTACGCCCAGAGAGCGACCTTGGTGATGTGGGAGCGCCGGCCCCTTGAAAATGTCCATCTTTTTTTCTTTCTTTCTTTCTTTCTTCTGCAACATGTTCCCGAATATGTTGTAGAAAGTAAGGCATGAACTATGTTCAGCAGCATGATCAGCCTACCAGCCACCAAATAAAGTCCGCTTCTCGCCTCTCGCCGTGCCATCTTTCTCGCTGCCCCTCCAGTTGAAATGCCCCTATACTCCGTATAAAGTGGTTCGAGGCCAACTGGAAAGCATATCGGAGTGAAAAGCAACGGCGCCCTTGTGCCTTTTTCTACCCCTCGGGCCCTCTCCTCTTTATTCGCCGCCAACCCGGCATGCCTCGACCACCCCCTTTCATCACTTTCTGTGCATGCAGCTATCCCGAGGCCACCGGCGATGTCCTTTCAGCCTCTGAAGCTTCGCCTCATACCACGCCTTCCACAAGACGTCGTGGTGCGATTCGCAAGCCGGAAACCTGGGCGCCTGCGGTGGAATCGACATGATCCCTTCGTCGAATGCCCACAGCTCAGGCCGACGAAGCGCCTCCATCGTAGTGTGATCCCACATCCTGGGGATGACCTTCCGAAGACGCACGTCGCAGAAGTCGCATACCTCCGGCACGGGGTCCTCGGGGTCGCACTGGGCGAGGCGCTTGCGGTCCGACTTGCGCAGGGACGTCTGCGGTAGCCAGAGGTGCCGGCATCTGCACTGGTAATTGCGCCGGCACGTGGGGCACGAGTGCTCCTGGTTGTCTTCGCCGAGGAGCCAGTCTACCAGGCACGCGCTGCCGAAACGGTGCCCGCACGGTAGGTATATCCATTTCTCCAGGTACCCGTCTTGATTTCGTCTGCCGACGGCTTCGAAGCAGATGGGGCAATCGGAGTCGGTAACCGACTTCACCTCCGTAGCGCTGATGGAGATCGCCTTTTGAGGCTTTCCCTTTTCTCCGCGTGTTCTTTTCTTTTTCTTGTGGATGGGTTCGTCGTCACCCAGCAGTGGCTTTGCATCGGCCGGCTCACCCGCCGGTCGTTTCCAGCATCGGAGTAGTATCGCAGAGAGCCCGAACATTATGGCGGTACGGAGTATGTATTGTGGAAGGAGTGCGTTAGAAAGGAGATCATGAGAGCAAGTTGAAGATTGGGGGGGAGGGAGGTTTGCAGGGTTGAGTAGCTTGAGGCTAGGCTCCGGCGATGAGAGATGTGACATAGGGGAACAAGTGGCGAGGCGTCCACTCAAGATCAAGACGTCCCTCGATGACACGAAGAATTAAGTTGGAATCCCGACGCCATGGCGCCGAAGGGCTGAAATATCCCTAACACTCTCTGTCCGTTTAAGCTCTGAGCCAGGGGCATCCGGATCCAGCAGATGGACGGAACTGCGAGTCTCTTCTTCTTCTTTTTTTCCCCTTTTCTTCTCCTCTTTCGGCCCCCATACATGGGGCTCTCACTTCACAATGGGAACGTCCAATTCAATGAAGACACCGCTAGTCCCTCTTTCGGAAGTTGTGTTGGAAATTGCTCGCAGCGTTGGCGTATCGGCTGTAGCTTGGAGAGGAGTAGCAGCTGCAAACTGGGTTGGAAGAACAGTAGACCCAGACCGGAAACTGTCTTCTCGTCGTATGTTCCGCAATGGGCAACATATCGTGCCCTTCCCAACGATGCAGTAAGAACGTCGCGAGTCGCATTCAGAACGTTGAAGGTTGGTTGCGAGCATGAGGCACGTGGGAGCGGCTCTCAAGTGAGACACACTCATCTCCCAAGGCTCAAGACGCATCGAGCCACCAAGTCTGGCCCACCCAGCCCTGGCCACGGTCCTACCTACCAAAGTCTTTGGCGAGCATTCCAATGGCCAACTATTCAAGCCAAAAAGGGAAGACACGTAAGTATCAACCGAAAACGCCGGATTGCAACCTCGAGGTGATGTCCTCAGGCGAACTCGCGACGCTTCGACGCAAATGCGTACTAATGAGAACTTTCCATGCTCTTCAATAATATATATACATAGATATATATATATATATATTTCATGGTCTTCTGCGCATGTCTATCGTCTCCGGCTATTTCTATTGTTTCCGCCTTCATCGCTGCTGTCATCTCTGAAGCCCTCTTCTAGGCTGGGCAAAAGGGACGGGTCAGGTTAGCATGTGCCTTGTAATGCAATTACTTCTCCTTCTCTTTTTCCCTTCTCGACGCATTGGAATGCAGCCGAGTTGGGGGGCTTAATCTGCGGCAGGCAGAACAGGGAGAGGCGCATGCAGCGCAGCATGATGGCTAACTCACTCTCTGCTCAGTCGTCCAGTGTTATCCGGCCCATTGCGCTGCGCGTCCTCGGCAAGACGTCTGCGGGAGTTTGGGTCGACATGACCTAACTCTTCCCCATCCTCCGAGGCCACCCCGTCGTCAAACGCATCGCCGTCGACAACCGTACCGCCTGAGGGGTTGCGCCGCCAAAAGGGATTCGCCGCGAATTGTGAAAGGCCGTTCTGGACCCTCTGGCGGAAGGACGAGGTCTGGCTGGATAGACTATCCAAAGGGATATACTGAGCGTAGCGTTGGCGGGCTCTGCGCCATACCGGTAGGGCGACGTACGTGCCGATGAGGAATAGGAGGAGGGAGACGGCGGCCGTCACAAGCAAGGGCTGCAAGCGGGTCGGGAGCGTTAGTCAAGATATTTCAAATCATATTGAAGATTTCGAGTGGTGCGAGTCGGATGCAAAGTATTAAACGAAGGTCCGGGGATAGGGGAAGGTGACCAGAAGGGGACCGGAGACATGCCGCAACTCTTGTAACTCACCTTCAGGGCTGTTTTGTCGCCCATGGCGCGCCAGTTCTTACCCAATCGACAACAGCAAGAAAAGAAGTGGCTTGATGGACAGGAATATCGATATCTCTGAGAATGTCGGAGGTCCAAAACTCCTCGTGCGACGAGGTACGGAGTCTTGAATTGAAGGGTCTCCCCAAACCCAAGGTCAATACGATACGTCAGCTCTGGCCGATGCGCTTTGCTTAATAAGCAGCTCCTTGACTTATAGAAAGTACCGACACTCACCTTACCTTACCCTCAGAAGGTTAAGTTTCCGTACAGATGCAACCCATGGATATCCGTAAGGTACAGATACACAGTACAAAAAGCGTCTCTCTCACGTATCTCTGCACCCAGCTTTAACAAAACATGATGTGTAAGGCAGGGACACTACGGAATACTGAGTAGCATCATAGGTGTCTACCTGAGGTAGTAGGCAATATTGAGCATGTACTTCGTCGGCTGCTCGCATCTACTAGGTACCCGGCACTTGGGACGCTCCTTCCTTTTACAGATCGTTTGGGCCCTATCGTTTCGACAAAGTAAGGTACTTCGCATGACTAAAGTGCCTAGACCCTCCTAAACGCGGTGCCTCGGAAAAACACACGTTTCGAATAAGATACCTTACGATGACGTACGTCTGGAGATGACTTCACTCTCAATTGACCCTATGTGTAATAAGGAATGCTAGCAGAAATTAACGGTTCGGGAAAGGAAGAAGGACTAGACACTTAGATGCAACTCGGAGTAATCTGCCGGGAAACACTGAAAATGCTACTCTCCTCATCTCTCCATCCAGAAATGGCAAGTCGCGAGGGATGGAGGATGGACTTGCCGTGTTCCATAATTCCCGCCCATATGAACTATTACTGTAATGATTGGTCCGATGGTTATTCCAAGCAAGCCACCTAAGGTACGTGTAGCACCTCCCTCTGGCCCGGATTTCAGGGGTTTAGCTCATCATTGGCGGGTCTCCTTGGGCCTAAGGTAGTGGGTGCCGCCAACAGCTATCGAAGGTATAGTGATGCGGCCACTGCTGGGGATCCTGTTATTACCTTAGGTAAGGTAGGCACAGTACCTTGCAGGGCCATGCAAAGTTAAATGTCAGGTAGAAGTACTTCGTACGAATATGAATACCTCATAAGGCACTCCGTTCAATGAGCGCGTACGTAAGCAAGTAAGTGTTCACTTTGCACTAGGTACCTTAGGTACCTTACAGTGCTGCGATTCCATTTCGAAGAGAACATACCTACCGACGGATAATTGCAAAGTATTATTCGTACTTTGTACAAAGTAAACGTAAGGCAGTTGTTCCGACTCCTCCCACTCCACTACGGATAAGGTAGACGCCGCGTATCCATCCCATCCACAAGAGCATCCCCACTCGGGACTCGGGTGCGTGGTACTTGGTACGTACCGATACCGTATCGTAAGATACCTTACCTCACTTTCTACTTCGTACTCGGTACATCACCTTACTGTGGAAGTGGAAGGGGGGAAAAGGAGAAGGCACGATCCCGTGATCCCGCATATTCCAGAGTCTCCCAATCCTCCCAAGGTAGCCCAGCTTTCAATTCCAGCAACAACCCACACACACGATCGAACCCGATTCGACTTCACATCGAAGGCCTCGCAAGAGGAACGTGAGGATCGTGAAGAACGTCAACCAGACCGTTCTCATAGTCGACTCTAGGGCCGCATTAGCCGTTTCCTGTATGTACTTCGTCATTTCTACACAGAGCACAGAGACTTTTCCAACCCTCCAACCCTCCAAGACCCCTGTCATCAGACTTCCCCTTCTCGCCCTGTTTTCTCTCGAACATCCCCGTTTCCCTACGTCAAATCCGTCCAAGGTCGTCTCGCCGTCTCGCCGTCTCGCCGTCTCTCTCTATGTTGCTCTAGGGACACCGCCGCCACGGATATTCGAGCTGCACAACTCGAATCATCGCCGTTATTACCGCTGCTTGTGTGGTATAAACGTTCTCTCCCGTGCTTAAATACTGACATTTGTTCGTTGTTTTCCAGGTCTACAAGGGCATTCTCTCCTACTGCATTCGATCTCTCTTGTTCACCTTCTACCACCCGACCTTGATTCGTTTTCGATCCTAGAGCCTCCCCCCCCATCTGTATATACACTCACTCATCCCTAAACGCCGAGCGAACGAGCCAACTACCACGAGCATATTCCTTAGACGTTCAAGGACAGCAAGGACTACAGAACGACCACATACATACGACCTTCCTTGACTCCTTGACCGCGGCATGAATACAGTCCGATATATAGTGTTGTGGTTTCTGAACGAAGACGAAAGTTCCGTTTCAAAGAGCTCGGGTCTTCTGTCACGTAGTTGAACCTGCAGTTACGTGTGTTCCGATCTCCCGGAACTCGTCCATTCGCCAAACTCCGATCCTCAAACATTTCTCTGCCGCTTACCGCCTCGCCACAAAACATGGGCACATGCTAAAACATAGTCGATTCATGCGAACAGAATTACCTCGCTACAACTCTTCGTCTTCACATCCGAAGACGCCCAAGACTCCACGCCGCCTGTATTTGCATCTATTGCACCCATCTTCCCTCGCATTCGATCATCCTATTACACTGCACTCAATCATGCGACCTGCCTTGACAAACCCACTCGCTTACCCCGGCCGCCACCCGCAACCTTAAAGAACTATATCCATATATCAGAGACGCCAGACGTGCATGAGCGACGGGCTAGCCCAACCGCTCAATCTCCGTGCCGACCATGTCTGCCAGCGACAAATCGAGGCAATCCTCCGGGGCCAAGTCCTTCTTCTCCAGAAGCCGGCACAAAGACAAACGATACACCAGCGATGAGGGTAGACATATCGTCCCCGGCGACCATTACGAGACGGCTAGTTCGACAGGCTCGCGCTCCTCCCGTCACCACAAGCGTGAGTCGTCAGCCGTCTCTATCGATCAACCACTATCTCCCGAGAGCTGGAATACTACCGCTGGTGTCATGACGAGCATTCCTTACGATAGCGTCCACCCGGATTCGCGATCTCCGGCACCTGCCGACTATCCGCCACGCCGCGAACCTCTCCCGCACCACCTGAACAAGGCGACTAGCGATTTTCATCAGTATCCAGTCGTTGACTCCTCACGCATGCCGGCCCCCACCGCTTCTTATCACTCGGGGGCGCGCCTGGGCCCCGGAGCTTCCAACATCACCATGGCGTCAACAGGCAGACAGACCCAGTTGCAACAATGGGGTCCTTCTCGCGGAAGTACGGCCAGCAGTGCCGTGAATGGCTCCAATCATCCCAGATACGATTCATACCTGTCCGCCACGCCGAGTCGGCTCTCCGGCGACAGCTCCAGCTTTTATGCAAGTGCAGGTGGCGGAGGCACCCACGATGTGGCAGCGTACTATCGCTCATCAAAATCACTAGCGCCAAGTGTCTCGTCGCAAACCCCCTACTCCTCACACCACTCCCCCAGGGAGTCGCACCGCCTCGTCAAGCCACCTGCCGGCACCGGAAGCCATGACAGCTTTCATTTCCCCAAACCTGATAACGACGAGGTGATCCACCAGATGTTCCTCGACTTAATGCAGAAGAGGGGGTGGCACAACCTCCCGGAGCAGGCCCAGCGTCAGATGGTTGCGTACCCCCCTTCGAAGAAATGGATGCTTCTTCACCAGGATGCACTCACCGAGTGGCAGGGAGAACAGAAGAGGAGGCTGACCGCCAGGCCGGGCCAGTATGCGGCCCCCGACCTGCTCGTACAATCCGACGAGGAGGGCTCCCCCGAATGGTATGTTCGACGTGTCATGGATAACAGCCTAGACATTAAGGGGTTGGGCAGCCTGGAAGTGAACCTCAGAACGCAGCAGATCGGATGGGTGAAGCGCTTTATCGAGTGTCAGGGCCAGGTCGCCCTGACCAGCGTCCTTCTCAAGCTCAACCGCAAAACAGGGCTGGGGCCCGCCGCGCCCGAGCAGAAGGGGACGGTCGAGAAGAACCTGGACCGAGAGTACGAAATCATCAAGTGTCTCAAGGCGGTTATGAACAACAAGTTCGGCGCAGACGACGCTTTGATCCACCAGCAGATCATCATCGCCCTGGCCACCTCTCTCATCTCTCCGCGGCTCGTGACCAGAAAGCTCGTCAGCGATGTGTTGACTTTCTTGTGCTTCTGGAACGACGGCGATGGCCACATCAAGGTCATCCAGGCGCTAGACACCGTCAAGAGCCAGGCCGGCGAGAATGGCCGGTTCGATGCGTGGATGCGCCTGGTCGAGGTCACCGTCGATGGCCGGGGCAAGATGGGCAGCTTGGTCGGAGCCAGCGACGAAGTGCGCAGCGGCGGCATCGGCATGGAGAACCTGCTGATGGAATACGCCGTCACCACTATGATCCTCGTCAACAGCATCATCGACACGCCGCGGGAGCTGGAGAAGCGGATTCACATCCGCGCCCAGTTCCTGGCCTGCGGCATCAAGCGAATCATCACCAAAATGGAGTCCTTCCAGTACGAGCTCATCGACAAGCAGATCGAGCACTTCCGGTCGCACGAGGCCATCGACTACGAGGACATGCTGGACAGGGAAAACAGCAGCATCAAAGACAGCATTGAGGGAGAAGTCAAGGACCTGAACGATCCGGTGCAAATCGTCGACGCCATCCAGTCCCGCCTGCACGGAAGCAAGTCGCAGGATTACTTCGTCTCTGCCCTGCAGCACCTGTTGCTGATCCGCGAAAACGACGGCGAGGAGCGACTGCGCATGTTCCAGCTCGTCGACTCGATGCTCAGTTACGTGGCCATGGACCGGCGACTGCCGGACATGGACCTCAAGCAGAGCCTCAACTTCACCGTCCAAAGCCTCCTGGATAAGCTGCACACGGACTCGGAGGCTCGCCAGGCTCTGGAGGAGGCCCTAGAGGCTCGGCGGATCGCCGATGCCGCCATGGCCGAGCGCGACGAGATGAAAGCCGAGCTGGAGCTAGGGGCCGACGGACTCGTTGCCAAGCTGCAGAAGCAGCTCCACGAGCAGGCGAGGTTTATCGAGGCCCAGAGACGGCAGGCCGACGGTCTCAAGGCCGAGCTAGAGAACATCCAGACGCTGAGGGCGAAAGAGGCTCAACGCTACGAACTGGAGACGAGAGAGTTGTACTTGATGCTCAGAGATGCACAAGATGTGGCGGCGTCCAATGCCGTCAAATCCGGGAAGCCTGCTGCGCAAGAGGATCCCGCCCCCATGCAGGGCATCCTGGATCGGGAGCGTCTCATGGAGCGCCTCCAGATGCACATTGAACGCCAAAAGACGCAGTTCAAGCTCGAGGGGAGAGTGTGGGGAGAATCCGTTGGTCCGTCGGACAGGTTGCGGGCGTTACGTGAGGAGATGGATGACGGCCCCCAGGGCGCCGGTACACCACCCCGGGATTTCGCCAACAGCATGCTCGGGAGCGTTCAGCGCCACACCAAGATCACGCGGAAACCGGTCGGTTCCGGGGACGAAGCCGTTTCGGAGTACGCGACCGAAGGCGAAGAGGAAGAGGAGGATGGCGAAGTTGTTTACGAGAAGCCGCGCATGGTGGAGATCAGGAGGCCACCAGTCATGGATCCGAAGCAGCAGGCCGCATTGCACGGGGAAATGTCAAGCAAATTCAAGAAGTTCGACGCAAGCGACTCGGAAGAGGGCGAAGGGACGGCCACTGGCCCGTCGCACCCGAGCTTCGAGACCTCGTCGCCCATCACGCCGGCAGAGACCGATATGCCGCCACCCAAGATTGAGGTTACGGACGCTGCCGGACCTCCGCCTCCGCCTCCACCGCCGCCGCCTCCGCTACCTCCCTTGCCTGGCCAGGCTGGCGCTCCTCCCCCTCCTCCTC